AGAGGGGCAGCGTTTGGAATACCAAAGGATACCAAAAATTGCAATGCTCAGTTCCTATAGCTATAACTTATACTTAGTATGCCTCTGTCGCCATGGTGTGTCAGAAAGCAACACAATGGTGTTAGATTACAAAAGCAAGTGTCAGACATCTAGGGGGGGCGTGCGCCCCCCGCGCTAACCTCAAAATCCGCCACTGTACGTTATACCGTGCGGGTCTTCTTCGACTGCTTGTGGTACGCCGTCCTCGTAAGGAAAGGGAATTCTTCCTTCACCATGTGCTTGATTTTGTATCGTCCCTCTGAGAGTGAACGGTGCACATTCACAAAAACTCGGTATCGGGATGACGAGCAGTACTTGGGTACCTCCCTGCAGCACTAACACTGCATCTATTATTTCCCATAAATGAGGTGAATGTTGGCGTAGTCCTGAACGGTGTACACATGCACGGTGGCATTGCATAATCATGAATTTGTAACGGTTTCACCGTCCGATCGTATTTATTAAATCACTTCTCGATTATCATTTCATTAATCCCATCTCTAGTTTTTTTACTTGGAAAAATTTCCGCTTGGAGCGCGCTTGATGCGGAGTTCCTGATCTGTGATCTTCCTCGCGCTTCCTTTTCACTTGAGCCGCCGATCTAACAAGAGCTAAGAATTTTGTTCTCTGTAGCATGAGGTCATATAGCGCCATGTGCTAGAATTTTGTAGAATGTGTGTCCGAATAGGACAAAATGATTAGGGCCACCCCCTTTCCCTTTCCCTTTGCCTTTGTCTTTGACTTTGCTTTTGCCTTTGTCTTTGACTTTGCATTGCTTGGCCTATCACTTCACCCATGCATGTGCCTTGGCAGCGCCATCACCTTTAAGTTCAACTTCGCCTACATCTAGTTCTGAAGCCACTAAACGTGAGGTCACCCCTCATAAGTGGGACCTCCACTTCAAGCGCCTGGCCATCCTGGCTTCAGTCCAGTCAAAATGGACCAACTTAGCAAAAGATAAGTGTATAGCTTTATAGCAGCGCCAAATATTTAAAATTTATTTTGTTCTTTAAAATTTCAATTTCAAATGTAATGAAAATGCTTTTTTGTTAAATAAAATCTGTTAAATTTTTGTGTTCTGTTTGTTCTTCTATCCTCTAGCCATGCCATGGTCGACATATAGCTACACGCCTGTAGATGTCTTCATGCCACCGACTGAGCTACCGGAAGCTAACCTCCCTTTCTATGATTGTGCAGAAAAGTTGGAATCTTCATTGCATTTCATCTTTTCTGGACTTTTTGCGGAAAGGAAGCGTTACAAATTAATGAAAGTGGCATTACTATCTGTCACTGTACTACGTAGAACGGCACTAACCGTCACTCCGTCAACAAAAAAAGATAGAAATTTGTAGTAATGGGAACTAAACGGTCATCACAGGATGTAGATTTTTCAGATTCTTTCGATTTTTTTTAAAGTCTATAATTTGAAAAGTGCACAACTTAGATTTATATTTTTCTGATAACTATTAAGAATTGGCCTATCCCCCGTTTCCGGTTTGACGTCGACTTCTGGGAAACCCTGTAGAGTAGCTAAAGGGTAATATTCGGTAGACTATTCAAAATGTTCCTCCCCAAACCTGAAACTTACGAATGATTAAGAGGGGTCCGGATTATGTGGCTTTCACTGGCGCGACGTATGACATAAGTTCCCATAGGGGAGTTTGGGGCAAAGTGGCTACCTTAACTTCAAAATACCAAAAATACTTTATAGAAAATTAGAATGAGACGCACAACCATGCCAATCGCTTTATTCGTGAAAGAACTTTATTATTTTAAATGGTCTGTTGTTTCTAAATAAGTGCTACGAAAAAAAAAATAGAAAAAATAGGTTGCTATAAATTACACTTTGCCCCAAGTATGGGGTAAAGTGGATATGTGTATAGGGGTAAAGTGGACACTATCTAAAAAGTAAATAAGACTTTGGTTAATAGAATTTTTATTAACACTTTCAGGGTGGAAAAATAAACTACATAGAATAAAATACCAATCCTCCAAAAAAATGACACAAACATAGTTTCTTGAAAGGAAAAAAGTTCGTAGCAGAAAAATGAACAAAATTATAATCTAGTGAATTTCGTTATACAAAAAAGGTTTTGGTAACGTCCATAATATTGAAGAACTACTAAAACTAAACAGAACTATTCAGTCGAGACGTATTATCTTCTGCTTTAAAAGAGCCGTATTTTGCCATACCTTAGAGACTGAACTCTAATTTTTCCCAAAATATCTTCTTTTAAAACTTCACTAAAATCTTTAACTGCCGATATTGTCGCAAAAATGACACATTGATCTTAGTTTCTGGAATCTTTTCAATGCTTATTATTTGAGCAACAAAACGTTTTTTTGTCATTTTGTCAGATGTTAATTCTGTCAAAATAAAATCATCAGCATTGAGGTTTTCAACTTCAATAGCTTCGATGTTAAATTCGTTGGGTTTAGGATAAAATTCTATATCGCTATTGTCCGAATCGCAAGAAGAATCCTCCAGCTCCACTTCAACTGAGCTATCCGAAGATGTTACTTCCTCTATGTTTCTTTCTTTTGCAGTCAATGTTTTTTCCCCTGCCATCAAATCTTTTTTGACCATTTTTTTCTTTGCTTTAGATATTTGGGTTTTATTTGCTGCTTTTTTTAGTTCTTCATAAATAGGGCTTGAAGTGAGCACCATAGTTTTTCCTTTTCTCATTTTTCGTTTTGGAGCTCTTGCTTCGCCTGCGTTTGGTAATGCCAATATATCTTTAGGTGAATAGTAAATATTACTTTCACTCAGAATAGGGGCTGTAAACTCTGCGTTTCTAACAGGAGATGGTGTTCTAGCGCTAGAGGGACCTGGTTGTGGAGAGTTATTGATTTGTTGGTTATTCGGTTGTTGTAGGGATTGCGGAGTTATTGGGCGGTCTTGATTGAGAGCTCTATCTGTGGCATCTGTCGGTTTAAATGCATCTTCTGGAAATACATCAGGCTTAAAGGGATAAATCCCCGTCGCTTTGAAACCATTGATAGCATTTTGTGTTGTTGGGGCGCGTTTAAAAGCATTTCCAAAAAGCTCTCCGACTTAATACAAAGTTATTACCTTTCCAGGGTTACTAATAAGCCATTTTTTCGTTTCTTGTTGGTAGTATGGATTTAGTGGAAACATGAAGGCTACATCCAAGGGTTGTAGACGGAGAGATGTGTGTGGTGGTATCACAATAATGTGCACGTGATTTGCCCTTACTTTATCGATCAACGTTAGATTCTTTGTGTAGGTGGTATGCCCGTCTAAGACTAGTAAAACAGGATCAGTCTCGGTAGGTTTGGAATAGTTTAGAAAGTGTTCAAACCAAGCCTCTGAAAATATTTCACTTTGCATCCACCCTGGTGGATTATATTCCACGATTGATTCTTGAGAAAGTCCTTGCTCGAGTGGTGGACATTTTCTAACTCTTGGAAAGATAAGGAGGGGAGGGATGTAAAATCCAGTGGCGTTGAAACAAATTTCGGCAGTTGTTAGAGTGCTTCTTTCAGTGGAAGAAAGACTGCCCACTTGTCTTTTTCCTTTCATGGAGAATAATCTTGTGGGCCTATTTGGTACCGTAGAGATACCCGTCTCGTCGCAGTTGAAAATTCTACTGGCTGGGAATTTGTATTTTTGGAGCATTTCTCCCAATAGAGTAAAAAATGAATTAACGTTGTATTTATTAAATGACGAAGCCCTAGCTGCCGAGGTGTATTCTGGAAGCATCAAAGAAATATATTGGTTTCTTTTTAGAAATCGATTGATCCAATCACGCCCTGCAAGTCCTTTAGCTGTGTGCAATATGGTTTTTTTCCGCAAATTGGAAGGCAATGTGCCTTAACTCCCTCGTGCCAAGACCAAAAAGCCTACTTTCCATCTCTAAGATATAATCGGCCAGCTCCTTCTCTTGTTCTGCCGAAAAAACCGTTCTAAATCGACCTAACCATTTTCTAGCTGCTGCATTGGGTTCGTTGTTAGAACTTAATCGTATCCGAAGTATTGTTAAAGGAACGTGGTATTGTGCTGCTGCCTTTTTCGCGGAAAGTATCCCGTGTCTAACGTCTTGTATTGCTGCTGCCATACTTTCCTCTGACCAAGAGTGCTGCTGGCTCTTCCGTTTATAGTTACGCACCATTGCGCCATTTCTGTAAAAAAGGAAATTATTTTGATTATTTTTCTACTTTACTTACCTCTAGGCTTTACCTACCCGTAGCTAAATCAAGAATTTCTCTACTTTTATTCCCTACATCAAGTTCGTACAATGATTTCATGCGATGGGGCAAAGTGGCAACCGTGGCTACTTTGCCCCGCAGTTGGAAAACCACTTTACCCCAACATACATTGAACAATTTATCAACAATAAAAAATATTACCTTTGTTTTTTATTCCACTGCTCGTACAGACAGGCTTACTAAATACGAAATCTTATTAAAAAAATATGAAATATCAAACAAATCATATCAACTTTAATCGATGCCTCTAATTTACTTATCTCTGAATATTATAAACACGTGGCTCTAAATTTTTCACTCACTATATAAAACCGCGTGCGTGCTTGAGAGCAGTTCCAACTCGACTGATTGTACATTCAGAGAGGAAGGGCTGTACATAGGAGCACTCATAGATGTCAGTAGCATGTAGGAAATTTTGATGTAAGCCACTTTGCCCCCAGTGGCGACTTGGCCCCAAACTGCCTTACATGACTTCTAACTTTTCATTAAGAAATTAATGAAACAAATCGGTCAAATATATTTTGTCCAGCATATATTTTCAGAGCATCAAATACTGTTTTAGAGATGACAGTTATTAAATTGTATTAGCAAATTGAAAATGTTCTCATTTGGAACCTAATTTGTCCCTCTATTTATCGAAACTTCTCTATCATCGACCCGCTTACGGGACAATACAAACAAATACCGAACTAGCTATCAAGTCGAATCAACAGGTAGCCTGTTTGTCGTAGCAACCTGATGTCAAGAAGACAGTGAAGTTTTGTCAATTCCACTTTAACAACATATTATTTTAGTTGATTATATTCTGTGATCGAAGATATGGATGAAGAAGCGGATGTTCAAGATTTGAAGATAAAAAATATTATAGGATTCGATGGTAAGTTCATACTTTTGCTTTTTTACATGTAGGATATTTTCCACAATTTATAAAATGTCCCAAGCCTAATTCAAGTGCAACATAATAATTATGTGTTCATTGAACTCATGTACAATAAGCATTTCTTACTTACTAGTGTGTTGTAAAGAACCTAGCACCTTTTCCGAGCATTGCTTTGGTGAAATAACAGCATCAGCGTTGCTTAGTATGCGCCAATCAGTGACGAACATTAGTAAATTTTTGGAAGGCACTCTTTAAAATTGGGACCGTTAAGCCAGCGGTATCAAATCTGACAACCAAGTAAAAACTGCTGTCAAATTGACAAAGCTTTCCCATGGATAGTGCTACTGAGCATTAAAGCGCTGCACCGCTAGACCACTTTACCTTGGGTGAACGGTCCCAGTCTAGTGAGCTGGTGACACTGCCCCCTGTGGGCAGTTCCCGTAAATGGTACTACCAATCTTTACCAATCTTAAGACTGGTAGCAGTTAATACGCTTCCCGGCATCTCTGAATAACAATTCGCTTTGATGAAATGGACAAAAGTCGCTCACCATCAAAGATGTCTCTTCAATCAGCGGAACACTAAGTGCACATCATGGTAGCAAGTTTAACGCTCTAAGCAAAAGTTGCACAGGCTGAATAGGATCTGTTGCCTTCTGTCTCTCATGACCAACCGCATGCAACGTTGTTTCGTGATTTTCAGCAGTACCGCTTTGGAAAGTTCCACATATTTGCAGCCCATACGATACTGATCATTGCTGAAAAGCATGAAACAATGTTGTAACAGGTTGTACAGCGACAGAAAGCAAACAACTCCTATTCATTCATTGTACAGTGTTACCCTTGAAGGCGCTTGTAATGATTTTCTATTTCAGGTAGTACAAACAATAGTTTGAAGGTACATCCAAACGGAAAACACATAATCTACCCGATAGGGAATAAAGTAGCCATACAGGAATGGGCGACCAAAAAACAAATCTTTTTGAGTGGACATACAAACATCATCTCTTCGATAGCTGTATCAAAAACTGGGAAATACATAGCTAGCGGACAAATAAACCACATCGGCTTTAAGGTACTTAAGGGACATTCATTAATTACGTGACGTGTCTTTGACGATTTTCTGTATTCCTCTGATAAGATATAAGATTTGGCTCAATTCCCTTCCCACTTTCCCAGTCTGATTGAGATTTTCCCAAGTGTATATTTTTAGGGTGAATGAATAAAATCAGAGCAATAAGATACTTGTATACTTCAACTTTATAATAAAATTAATAGAATAATATTTATTCTAATTCAGTCCTGATGCTTTGAAGCGTTCGGATTTTGCCATATTTTCAGCAATAAAAATTTCAATTTAAGCTAGTTTTCTTGCAATTTTACATTGTTTCTTGTGAGAAAAAATACGTGGTATTTACCGGCATGGGTTTCATGTGAAAACCTATAAAACGTCAAAAAACCTATCAGACGTCATCTTGTAAACTAGGTAGTTTTTAGAGTGCAAACAGTCATTCCTCGTTTGCTCACTAGGATCATTGTGAACGTCCATCTAAGGAGGAATCACTCAACTAAACTAAATGCATTATTGGTTGCATATGTTTTCTGAGGCCAAATGGTCCTTGTCTGAAGTTTTCATCTCTGAGAAGAAAGTTGGTTGAATAGCAAGATCGCATCTGCATGATTTATGAGTATTGGTCTGAATGTATATGAAGTCAGTGATATTTGCTGTGTGAGAAAATCATTACTGAATATGCTGCCAATAAAGTATATCTGTTGGCTGTTCCCGATGGGTTATTTTTATGTTGTGCTTTCTGAAGAGAGGTTATGTTCAATGTTATACATTACGAAAAACTGAGGAGAATGATGGGAAATCATCACCGCGCCCGCGTTGTGTGCAATTACTGTATAGTCAACGCCAAACAAAGTGGCGTGCACGTCATCAAGGTGGGTGTGTTGAAAAATTTACATTGTTGCCAAACTTTTTGTAAAATAATAAAATTTATTATTTACATATCTAGGTTTATAAGCAATATTAACCTCAAATGAGAACAAAAATAATAGTATAATAAAATTATAGATCTGTACTTGCATAATCATTAAGTATGACAATTATTGATCAGATGACACTATGAAACTACCATATTTAATTGATAGCTTAAAGGTACTGAATAAAAATCCAAATGGGGTCCTCCAAATTTTATGCATGGTATTTATTTTACAGAATTCATACAGAAAAATGCATTCTAAAATTAGGTAAGCTACTGGTGTAAGCTTTTTCTGTACAATAAAGTTAGTCGGAGTTTCTTTCTTCAGCGCTGTCTGAATCTGAATCTTCATCACTCTCAAAGTTGATTATTAAAGGTTCGATGTCTGGTCGATCAAAAATTCGTTCTCTTTCATACCATTTAAAAATTTCTTGCTCAGTATGTCGAACACTATTTTTCCACATCTCTGGGGTAACCGTTTGTAGAGCCTCGTTCCACATATCCAAACAGTCTTTTTCACTGTTACCATCTCTACCAATATGTCTGTTATAGTAACCTTTTGCTATGCCCCAAATTAACTCAATAGGGTTAAACATACAATGGTAAGGAGGCAGACGAAGAACTTTGTGCCCATGTTGTTCCGCCAATTCATCAATCACGTATATTTTAGGTGGTTTGTTTCTAAAAAAGCAGTTATTTTAAGAATAGGAATAAACAAAAGAAATATAAACTGTCGACCAAAATATATATAATTAAGAAGCATTATGTACCGAGCAACAATACTCAATAGCTCTGTTTTAAACATTGTGTTTAAAAATGGTATGTTTTGATTTGTCAACCAGTCTTGGATATTTTTTTTTGTCCATGCATTGTTGGGCACTTTGTTCAATATCATGCTGTGATAAGGGGCGTTATCCAGTATAATCATAGATGGACTCTCCAATTTTTCTAATAACTGATGTTGAAACCATTTCAAAAAATTGCCCTGGTTCATCTCTCCATGGTAATCGCTCAATTTTGTTTTCGAAGAAAATATCGCTTCACTACCCTCAATAAACCCATTTTCATTTCCAGCATGTAATATAATGTATCTAAAATATATTAGTTTTAAATTTTATAGTGCAAATTGTGTAAAAGTACATACCTTTTACCATCTGTTTTAATAGCTTTCACGCTTTTTTGGTTTCCATTTTGCCAAGAGCGACCTATGGTCCCATTTTGAAATATCCAAGTTTCATCGAGGAAGACAAACTGGTATAAGGCCTCAACCTTGGCTTGATTGTATTGCCTTAGAAATTCCACCCTTTTCAAAGCTATACTTGGTAGTTCCATGAGCCCTCGTCGCGGATTGTCCTTAAGCCACTTAAATCCAAGATCTCTAAGCAACCGCCTTAAAGACGTGGCACTACCATCAAATAATGCCCTATCTCTTAATCGAGTTCATAAAGTTTGTATCGTAACTTGTTCTTCTGAAACCATGTGTAATATGACATTATAATTTAGTTAACAAATTAATGCAAATTTCTGATAAGTTATTATAATAAGATCTTACTTTTGTGATACATATTATAGATCACTTCTCGAATGGCACTTGTATCCAATGTCGCTGTGTTGGTTACACGTTTAATATAACTCCGCTTTTTCTTGGGCGATTCTAAATTTGCATCACTTTTCACACCCTCGGAAATACGACTAACTGTCCTTAAACTAATTTTTAAAGCAGCAGCAACACGCTACAAAAAATGAAATAAAATTTCACTATTATTAATATACATTACATATAATTATTAGTAACCTACCTCTTGAACAGCATTCAAAGGCAACAAAGGCCCGTTGTTGTCCCTTTCTTGCTCAAAGTAGTGCATTAACGAGGCCACGAGTTCCTTACACCGACTATTTAACTGTTTGGGCATCTTTATATACCAAAATTGCCTTTATCTACTCGTAAAATGAATAATTTTGTTTTGAAACAAACAGTTGTTGATTTACAGTATGCGGGGCCAAAGGATTTATAAAGATTTGAAATGCCACAAATTGATTCAGTGTCAAAATTAATACAAATGTCAGTTCCCAGTTTAAATAAGTTTCAAGGTGACAATGTGTCAACGCTGCGAAATCGGTTTAGTGCGTTTACATGTCGATAAGTGATTGGAGCGTTTGCAAAACATTTTATTTCGCATAATGCGTCTAAATTTATCAGAAAGCAACTTATGTGATATTTTAATAACAATGTTTATATGACTATTAACCATAATAACAGAGTAATGACCATTTTACAATTTATATATCACATTAATATGAAACTGCAATAGAGCAATTGTTTGTGATAGAAACCTAGGCATTAGGTCGGGGAATTTTTATCGTGATGACGTGCACGCCACTTTGTTTGGCGTTGACTATATGTATATGGCTTGTAATTCGACAGTATACAGTGAATATAATTATTTCTTATCTCTCTCATTTTTGAAAATCAGCAAATTTGTATATGTAATTTTTAGAACGGATAAGAAAAAGTGGATGCGCAATTAATTTCTAGCTTTGAATCTCAATTAAGTATATTTGAGACAAGAACCCAATGTAATTATCATAAATACATACAACTTACAGCTTAGACCTCCAGTAATGCCGTCTCAGAAGCAAATTTTACATCACATCAGAGCCAAAGGTTGATAAAAAGCCTCATGACGTTTAGCGAACTCGTACAACTAAGTGCTAAGATAACATCTTGTAGAAAAACCTACATAATGTCAAAAAAAATCGGCATAATGTCACTGTACAATATACGTGATACCCATACTGGACCCCCTCTCCCCCACCTCAGATTAGGTATTGAGCAACTTATGCATTTTTCCACGCCTTCATGAAATGTTTTCCAAAAAATTAATATAATGATAATAATAATAATAATGATAATAATAATAATACCTAATAATAATAATAATAATAATAACTGCAACAAAATTCCGTCGTCAGTTATCTATACCTTAGGGCCAGACTTTCAGAAAAGAAAGGTGACCTACAAAATATGTATCCAGTCGGCACTGAGGGAGAAATGGCAAGGGAAGGCCCTGCATGGACAATATGTTACCCGAGTACTTCAAAACCATAACCTCAGCAAAGAAGACACAGTGAGATGGCTCACAAGAGCAAACGTAAAGGGTGAAACAGAAAGTCTCATAACAGCGGCACAAGATCAAGCCTTAAATACCCTCTACCATTCAAACCGGATACTGGGAAGAAACAATGATCCCAAATGTAGGATATGCAAAGAGAACGATGAAACCATAACTCACGTAATGTCTTCATGCCCTATCCCCGCTCAGCGCGAATACGTTACACGACACGACAGAGTTGCCAAGATCTTGCACCACTCAATATGCAAAGATTTCGATATTGACGTTAAACAGCGTTGGTATGATCATGAACCACAGCAGGTTGTAACTGCAACAAATGTCACCATTCTTTGGAATCAGCCTATAATAACAGACCGAACAATTGCTGCCAACAAACCGGACATCGTTATCAAAGACCATAAAAGTAAGTTATGCACTATAATTGATGTTGCAGTACTATCAGATTACAACGTGAAAGACAAAGAGGCCGGGATTTGTCTATTGAGATAAACAGAATGTGGCAAATGCGTACGCACATAGTACCAATTATAATAGGTTCCACAGGTGCCGTGTCTAAGAATTTTGACGCACATGTAAAGGCAATCTCAGGTACCTTAAACTCTTACCAACTTCAAACTGTAGCCATATTCGGTACAGCCCACATTATTAGAAAGGTCATAAACGTAACGTCTAACCTAAGGGGTAAGGCATACCCCCGGTTTTGACGAAGAAAGTAATCCAACCACCAACAATCAAGAGCTGAGAAATATAAAAGAAATAATAATAATACCGATGATAATATCAGTGACAGGTATCACACCACAGTCATTTATAAACAATCTAGAACTGCTTGGATTGAATCCGCAAATACATTCCCAAACACAGAAAGCAGTTATACTCACCACCAGAACCATCGTAAGAAAATTTTCACAATAGAATTAGTTATATGAACTTAGTTCAACCCGTTCTTGCATCATATTTATCAGACATAAGTCGGTGCAAAACATCAAAAAAAATAATAACAATGTTTATTGTCCCAAAATACAGGAAAATGTTAAATATTGTGCACAATAAACACCCAAAAAAGTTTGTACTTGTGTTTGGGTTTGTTAAAAATAAAAACTAAAAGTACAGTCAGTAATATCCATACAATATCCAGACAATTATAACTAAAGAAAAATATGGATGTTAGTGTAAGTAAAATATTGTTGATTTTGATAATGATTTTTCATATTTACAATTTCGTGGATGGTTCATCTTGGTTGTTGCAAAATCCATTTTCTGAGTTCGTTTTTAAGTGATCTAATTGATTTGATTGCTTTTAATGGCTCTGGTATGAAGTTATAGAATTTTTATCCAAGAAAAATAGAGATTGTTGTGTAATGGTTTTTGATGTTAGTGGAATACATATTGAATTTTGATTGTAATGTATTAGACCACAATAAAAATAAATTTGTTTGCAATCCAATAATTGAGCCTCCATATATATAGAGAATGACTTGAATAAGTAATCTCCTTATGGAGGATCAATTTTAGAATTAATTTTTGGATTACAACAACCTGTTTGCACTTATTATTCAACTCCCCCAAGCCAAAATTCCGTAAAGTAATAGAGGATAAACAAGAGCATAATTAAGATTATGCTCTTGTGTATAGATATTTCTTATCCAGAATATCTCTGAAGTACCTGAATTTTGGAATAATACATCTCAGTCTCTTCACAAGGTACTCTCTATGGGTATTCCATTTTAAGTGTTTGATCAAAAATCACGGCCTAAGTACTTTATTTTATCGGCTGACTGAATATCTTGGAGACCACTGCTTGTATGAAATTCAAGTTATTTAAATTGTATTGAGAGCCTATCGTCTCAAGAAAATGCTAAGTAGTGTGTTTTGCTGTAATTAATTTTCACAGTTCTTTCCGAAAAGAAATTTGTAGCTACCGGAGCTGTATAACTGAAACCACATTATAGTTTATCTTTTCTATGAATGCTCAAAAAATAATGACCACCAACCAAAATAAGCAAATGCAGCAAAACTCATACGTAACCATAGTTTAGATTCAATCCTCCCAAAATCTGAATTCGTACCATCATGACATTAAGCATCTTTTATTTGTGGTTCTACATGATGGTTATAATATGATGGCAGTTTTTGTAGGTATTTTTGCGCAACCTGGGCAGCATCAGGGGCCTGAAATTGCCTACTTTTAACAAAATGAAGATTTAGCATGTCAAATGTAAGGCTTTTACCATTTACAATTAAAAGTTCCATTTCACACATCTAAAATTTTTCGAAAAATTATCGTTTTATCATGTTAATAGTGCCTTAAAATGTGCTTCTTTTGGAATAGGAAAGATTGAAGAGTATCACAAACAAAATGTTTCAATAATGTAATGTCACTGAAATTCAATATGGCAGCTGCTGAATTCCACAGTGTATGAAATTTCACGTAAATGATGTACGAGTATGCTTAGCGGTTTCAAGACAAATTTTTAATTAATAAAACACAAAATCACCGTAAATACACTAATTCAAAAAAATCTTCCAAGCCACATGGCTGTCCTTTTTGTGGTGTGTTAAGTTATTGAAAAAATTAAATCAGTTTTGAGACCAAAGAGACCCTTCAAAAATTCAAATACAATCTTAATATCACTGACAGTAACTGAAATAAACCAGCGGGTGCATCCCTAGTATGGAGTATGTACTAATAGAGTAATAAAAAAATCTTTTTGCGCATTAAATTCCGACCTTGAGAATAAACCTGAAAAGGTTTCCCAGACCTCAAATTATTCGTTATTCAAAATCAAAAAAGGCATTACTTTTTGAGTTTTGAAAATATTAAAAAATTACCACTACTTAATGGTTGAAACTGACGACTTAAATGCCTGAGAAACGTCTTTAGATTTATTCTCAAGGTAGGAATGCATTGCGCAAAAACAGGCGAATTTTGGGGTCACTTTTCTAAACTCAAACATTCTATCCATAGAGATTTTTTATCAAAATTGTATGAACGATATAATTCTAAAATATCAGTCAAGTTACCCGAAATTTATTTTCCATGAGAATTGTAATAATTTGATACTATCAAAATTGTGTAAAAGATGTAACTGAAAATTAGCAAACGTCCAGTGAATGGGTCAAATCGTCATTATAGGAGCTACTAATTGTCTGATAAATGACCAAAATCATGGTGGTGTCTGGTTTATGCTCATAACTTTTTCCGAACGTATTAAGCTTGAACACCGTGTAACTAGGACCATTGTAGAAACTTTTGATCAGATTGGTATGAAGAACAAGATACTAAAAATTTAGCCGCTATGACTTGGAGGCCTTCGTCCATAAGGAATGGGCCATCACTAATCTGTAAAAACCAAAGGCTTACAATTTTTCGCTAAACATAAAGACTTAGCGGCTGCATGATAATGGTAACTGGAAATTGTTTGCTCAGTTGTATGTAATTCAAAAGAAAGCATTTATTTTAAACTTTAACCTCTAGCTACCTTCATGTGAAAAATACTGTAATGTTTCCTCGCAGGCTATGGTTATAATATGGAGTTTTGACAAACAATGCAAGATATCACAATATGAGCACCACAAGGTCCGCGTTGAGGCTGTGACATTTTCTAATGATGAACAATATGTGTTCACTATAGGCGGAAGAGATTGCGGCTTTGTTGTTGTTTGGGACATACAGTTAGGACAGGTCATTTGTGGATCTCAGGTAAGTTATCGTTTTAATTTATTTGTATCTATTTTGTATCCGTTATGATAATAGTGATAATAATAATCTATTGCTGCTATTACACAGAAATGTGTTTGCACAAGTCAGTTAAGGTAGAACATAAAAAAGTGAACAACACACAATACGTAAATAAGACAAGTATGAATCACAAGTGGCAATAAAAGTAAAAAAGTTAATAAAACCAAAGTTAAAATTTAGATGGACAATAAACAGAGATGGTTAAAAAAATTATACAATAAAAATTACACCAGAATGAAAAAATTGGAGTTAAGGAAGTCTTCGACGTCAAAAGAACCTTCAGATAGTAGAAAGCATTTCATGGTTGTACCAAATTGTTCAACACAGAGAGATTTTATTTTTTTGGCAATACGTTGTAGAATTTTAACCCGTGGTAGTTAACACCATTTCCAGTTTTGGAAAGGCAATGGCGGTTTGGACATAAATGTTGTTTGTTTCGGGTTTTGTTGTTTTTATGAGTATTTTGATGAGTTTTATAATTGTGAGAATGACTTTTAACATGTAAGCATAGATGTATACACAAGGCAATGTCATTATGTCTAATTTTATGCATTCATTCCTGCAGGGATCCGTGTACCTCAAATTTGACACGTATCAAACACATCTTCTACGTGAGCCAAAAACTCTAGGCTTGTGTGGAGAATGACCCGCACGGGTATTATGTAAAAGATCTATAAAACTTCAAAAAATCCTATAAAATGTCATCTTGCAGATTAGGTAGTTCTTAGGGTGCAAACAGTCATTCCATGTTTGCTCACAAGGATCGTTGTGAGCATCAATCTATGGAGGAATGACTGAACTACACGCATTGTTGGTTGCATATGTTTTGTGGAGCCGAGCACTCTGTAGTTTTCATCTCTGGAATTATCATCAACACATGCATTGCCATTTCCTTCCAGCTATAGTATACAACTTACAGCTTAAGCCTCCAGTGATGCCATCTCTAAAGCAAATTTTACATCACATCAAAGCCAAACATTTATAACTGAAGCATCATGACGCTTGGGCATCACGTACAACTACAAAACGAATTCACAACCTGTCCATCATCTAGTGCTAAGTTACTATTTTGTCTAAAAACCTACATAATGTCACAAAAAACCAATACAATGTCAAAAAAATCGACATAATGTCACTTTCCAAGATACTTAATACCCGTGCCGATACCAGTATGGCGTAAGCCATTTTACTATCGAAATATGCATGATAACTGGTAAGCAGCGTTTTCTGAGACACTGAATTTCTCAGATTACGTATCAGATAAATAGCTTTTGTTAAAGATTTTGTGACGTGCGTCAAAATTTCGTGGAGAAATACTCATTGTCTGTGTTTTGTCTTCGTTTAAGGTCAGCCCGTTAAAAACGGGTATTACATATCTTAAAAAGTGACATTTTGTCGGTTTTTTGACATTTCATAGGTCTTTCTACAAGATGTTAACTTAGCACAAGCTGCTGTGAACTCGTTTCGTAGCTGTACGTGTTGCTTAAACGACATCGAACGGCGATCATAGGAAGCAAACGAGGAATGAGCTATTTGCATACTGAAAACTACCTAGTCTGCAAGATGACATTTTTTACGTTCTTCCTTTTTAGTTTTTTTACGTAATAGCCGAGCCGGCTTGGTTGTCCCCCTGCTTGCTGATGATTCTATGTCTAGGTTTTCTAAGGTGCTGTGCGTTGTTAGTATGCTCAGTAAGTCAAAATTACGAAGCAACTGCAATTTGATAGCACACACACTGATGAACTAAAGCTATTACGAGTATAATATCAAAACAGGAACAACGACGTGATTCTTTTCAAATGACTGGATGGATGAACTTGATCTAAAGATGTCACATGAGCTGGAAGATTTTCGCTTGGTTTCTGATAATTCTGATCTCAGATAAATCTGTTGCCAGTCGAGATATTTCATAAATGCTCAAGTTCCTTAGTAATATGTTTTCCGTCACTTCGTTTGGATAGCAAAGCTTGACTTTTAAAGACTTAGATTGATCCTCAATCATTCTCCAACTTCAGTAGATACTTCTTCAAACCAATGAAGCTTTATCAGTGTCTCATATCAGGAAGTTACTGCCATCATCATAGCCTATGGCCCATAGTGTCGATAAGCCCGAGTTCTCGACACTCAGGTAAAAAGTCATTTGACAAGCTTGGGAATTGGTAATTCTAAACTACTTACAGCTTAATTTGTTGATGCTGAACCGAGTTCCTTTGTTATAGTTAGCGAGAGGTGTGCAAGGTGATGCAACAGTGTTACACGCGATGAATAAACGTGGAGCCTGTTTTATAACTGGTGGAGATGGTCACTTAGCTGTATGGAAAGTGGACAAGGAAGCCAGGAACGTTACTTCCGTAGACGTTGCTACGTCAAAACTGAAAAGGAAGGTTCTCTGTATGGACGTCAACGAAAGAGATGAGGTATGGGTGTGTTTGTGACTGAATTTCTGAAGGTACCTACAACAGCTCGTCTTTCTATCCTTCATGCGTCAAACTTTATTTGTTGTGGAAAACAGATATGGTTTACTTATTACACTATAACAAAATTGAATACATTGCAGCTTTGCTATTGTGGAACGACCAGCGGAGATGTCCTAAAAATAAGATTAAATTTCCACCATGATCCAGAAATTTTGGAACCAGTCAAGCAGCCCAGCGTTATCGGTTGTTGGGCGAGATTGTCAAGAAAAAAACTGCCTCGTGGCGTTGTTGATCTATACGAATGTGGCAAGTGCTCCATCTTCGCATGTTGCTTTTATTTCATCGTTCTCATTTCCTTATTCCATCTTTCTGCTCGCCTCTTCTTTCTTATTTCTTTTTTCTTTCTTTCTCCTTTTTCTTCCTTTCTTGTTCTTCTTTCCTCTGTCTTCTTTTTTTTCCTTCTTCTTCCCTTCACCTTTCTTCGTTTTTATTATCTCTCTTTTATTTTTAGGTGTTCGTTCAATACGAGTACTCTTTACTGGAAAACTCCTCATTGGAGCAGGCAACGGAAAACTAGAGCTTGTAGAAGAATCTCAGCCAAAAGTACCGGACCCTTACGTGAAATATCCTTCGGTACCTGGCTTAAAAGTTCTCAAGTCTACCCATGTGAAAGAAGCAATCACTTCCATTCAACTTTTAAACGAAGACACGATACTGGCAGCCACAGAGCTCTGCGAGATTTTCCTCATTCCATTTGATAAGTTCGAAGCAGCTTTGGTGTTTACTGGTCATACAACCACCATTCATTGTATCGCCTTTCCACAGTAAGTACTAACCACCTTATACTTGAATTACGCCATGTTAGATTCAGTGATAGTGTCTCTACTAACAGTCAAAATTGATTTACAGCGATAATCTGGATGTATGCAGAAGTGAAGACACACTTTACCACTGACCTTTGACCGTTGATGTTCGACCGTTTACCTTAGACCATTCTGATTATACACCCGAGTATTATGCTGACGTCATTGAGCTTAGATCATCGAGTCTAGACAATTGACCTTAGACCATTGACCTTAATACATAACCTTAGACCATTTTTATTGGAGACCGTTTCGATTAGATTGGATCACTTTGGATTGTTGCCCTTAGCCTTAGACCATCATCTTTGATTGTTAACCTTTGACTTAGATCATTGAGCTTTTCCATTTGACTTTCAAATTTGCATCCGCAAACAAATCAGTTTTCTGTTTCAGCAACTTCAGCGAGGTGTTCGCTACAGCCAGCAAGAACAGCGTACGTATTTGGGAAAGCAGTTCTGTCCAAGAACTGTTGCGTATCTGTGTCCAGAATTTCTCCTGTTCTAGCGTGGCGTTCGCCAAGGACGGAAAGTCCATCCTGACTGGGTGGAGCGATGGAGTCATCCGTTCTTTCACACCCCTAACTGGACGTCTCATCTACGCAATTCTTAATGCTCACAATAAAGGGGTATCCGCTCTAGCTATCACATCACATGGAAGGAATCTCGTTACTGGTGGCTGCGAGGGACAAATAAGGTGAAACTTTCTACTTGATATTCGTTATGTGCGATGAAGCGAAGTATGAGTAAAATGTTTATATCGGACTTACCCCCTTATATATCCAACTACGAACAGTTTTAATCAGAGCTGGGTAGATTCTGAGCCAGTCGTTTCAAAGGAACGATGCCGCAGAGGGAATCGGTTCTTATCATCTCAAAACAGGGTTCGAACGTTGTGATACCAAAATTTCAAGTTGCTGGCTAGATACTTCATAGTGTGCGAAAGGTACATTCCGCGTTTGCTCGCTATGAGCGCAGTGAGGGCCACCAAAAGCGTCATCTATGGAGGAATAACTCAACGACACGACATGCTCAAGTCAGTTATCCAGCATGCTTTGTTGGTTGCAGAATGGCGAGATAGTCTGTTGAGTATATCTCTAAGGTGTGACAGAAAGAAAATTCAAAATTGGTATGGTGGTTGTGTGTATTGATCTGCATGTATATAAAATCAGTGATATTAGCTATGTGAGAAAATTATTACTGAATATGCTGCCTGTGAAGTATATCTATTAGCTTTGCCGAACCAGTTATTTGTGTTGTCCTTTTTGAAGGAAGATTATGTTCAAAGTTATAAGTGTATTTGAGACAAGAAAGGGAAACATCATCCACAAAGGTTATCCTCACTATGCTCCTTTGCACTGCCGTTTCCTTTCAGCTATATTTTTTTTTTTATGCTCCAACTACCACGAAGGCCTAAGGCCTAAGCACCCATTGGGTACCGTGGGGCTATGGGGGATACATGGGAAAGGGGGGACGCCACACGGACTCTGGCGAGGGAACACGTGTGCATGCAACATGCACACATTCTGGCTCCGCCTACGAGAACCGCCGGGTGGTACCTCCGCGTTCGACAGTCAGAGACCATCTACCACCTACGGACAATCACAACATCCATGGCCAAGAGAAACATTTCTCCTGGGTCGTGACTCGAACCCGCACAGCGCACGGCGGCTGATCAGGAGACCGAAGGGTCTACTACTGCGGCCACCGCTGCTGCCTAAAACAAACACACAACATCCATGGCGAAGGCGAGATTCGAACTCGCGGCCCGGCCGGCCGGCTGATCAGTAGCACGACACTCTGACCCACGCGGCCAACCGAGGTCCCAAAATATATAACTAACAGTTTAGACTTCCAATAATGCCATCTCTGAAGTAGGTGTTACATCTCGTCAGAGCCAAACACTGATAGCTGAAGCGTCATGATGTTTAGGCAACAATTACTGATACAGAACAAGTTCACATCATGTTCTAAGGTGACATCTTGTAGAAAAACCTGCCTAATGTCAAAAAACCGACATAATGTCACTTTTCAAAACACATAATACACCTGCGGTAAGTATTTGTACGAACTGTGTGAAAGGAAGTTGTCATTCTAAGGTTAAGCTTATCGCAGAAGATGAAAGCAAGAGGGTAAAAATAGTTTTAAATAAAGTTAAACAGTATGTGAAAAAAGGGTTAGTGATATAGAAGAAAGCATACTGTCACTACCATTTCAGGCAGCAAATCCGTCTCTAACACAAACAGTGGCAAGCGGAATTGTTAATTTCTCCTCGTTTCGCAAACACGACCGACATGTCACAAAATGTTTCAAGTTCAAGTCTTAATCCACTGTTTGCTCCAAATATGTGCATTTCCAACTTATACACAACTTCCAGCAGAACATCAGAAATTGTAAAAAGGCCCAGATCGACATGGCATTTTCGGACGGGTATCAGTTGATACCTCTCCTCTCACAGGCACTACAAATAAAGATCGTTCTTCATCTGGAGTCTTTAACAAGCAACGTTTAAGTTCTAACAGGAACATTTCACTCAAACAGTTTGTTAGATCAACTGGTACCCATATTACGTAACTTAAAAGAAGTGACATTATATCGATTTTCAATAACATTATATAGGTTTTTCCGAAAAATATCACCTTGGAACTAGCTGGTCATCCACTACGTGTTGACTAAACGTCATGACATGAACTATATGGTTTGACTCTAATGCATTGGCCATAGAAGGCATTATTGGAGGCCATTTATATCTTCTATAGCCTACGCTGTAATAAACTCTCGGCAGCTGGCAACCTACCAAGCATGCTGGCGTAATGTGAGTTGCCGTATCTTAGGCAACATGGTCGTTGAACCATTCCACTATAATTTGCGCTCACAGAGGGTGGGCGCGGAATGGGCTAGCAACTACTGAGAACACAAGTTGACATACCGATTGTTAATAACATTATATCGATTTCTTACGTAATACCCCTGACGATGGATTTTTGTAAGTGCTGGTATTGAAACCATCGAGTTTGGGTTCAGGAATCGAGACCCTTCAAATCGATAATCGATCCCCACTGCCATGTCATTCCTTTGATCAACAACGACGGTATATTTTGAAATTGTAGAGATCGGAATCGAAAGGAGTCGGATCTAAAAGGAATCATGAACAAATCAGTGGAATCGGTTCCGAGACCGGAGTCGAAATTATGAAATTGAATTACTAATCGTTGATCACAGCGTTTCTTGTAGACTATGGGAAGTGACTCCATTTCGTCAGACGTTGGTCTGTACGTTGAAAGAGCACAGAGGTCCCGTTTCTGCCATTGACATCAACAAGTGGGACAATGAAGCGGCCAGTGCCAGCACTGATGGCACTTGCATCATTTGGGATCTAGAGAGGAAATGTCGTAGGCAAATCTTGTTTGCCAAAACATTGTTCATGTGCGTTAAATACTATCCAACTGCTGTGCAAATTATTACAGGTTTGTAATTTCGTTTTGTTGTAATTGATCTTCTACCTGAATTGATACTGTTTGAAGATATATTAACCGACAAAAAGAAACAAAAACTAACGCGACGAAGTAGTAGACATACTTAAATCTAATGGGGCATATTAAAGTTAAAACGCATGGTATTGGTATTCTTCGAGTAAATATCGAAATGAAAAAGATGCAAAATATTTTAACAAGTGCCAGGAAGACTTGATAGCATTATACACATGTATCACTACAAACCATCACAAACATCTAACCATCAGAAACAGAAGAATGTCTTACCCAACACGTTACTAGCCATATCCATCTGTAGTTACTAGATTAGGATATTTACGTTACTTTTTTGAGGGTATATGACAAAGCCCTACTCCGCGAGTTACTAAAATTAGAAAAATCACTTTTCGCGTCCTTTCAAATAGTTTAGAATTTAAAGAGACATAAATAGTCCAAAAAAGTTGTGAGAGATAAAAATACTTACAGAATGAGACCTCATGCGGCCAATTTGCTGTAACAGTTAATTTATTACAAAAAAGTGTCAATAATCCTCGATTTGTATACTTATTTTTTACTGGAAAATGCATAATGGTAAATCTGAAATAATAGCCATAGGTTAACTTAAAAAATACCCAACGGTTTCTGCAAATGTCTGACTGCGTTTCTAATTTATCTGGGAAAAATGGCATTTTTTGGACGAGCTGTACAGTGACTTTAGATCAATCAAATTACTTCTACCTCATATTGGGCTCATTCTCTGGCTAGAGACTTAGTTTAACATCGTATCAAAAGAGATACCAGATTTTCTTATACAGGGTGGCCGATACGTAACTGACTGGTTTGTATCTTGAATATTTGTGAAATGAAATAAAATACGTCCATTTTTTTTTCGTCTTAATATTTTATTGAAACAAAATATATATGAAAAATAATATCAGACAAATGTCAGCCTCTAGAAGCCGCGCAAACCTGAGCCCTCTTGATTACAGTTTCATCACTTTTTGGTAGGTTTCCGTAATATTATTCTTCAGCTGCTCTACAGTATTTGGTTTGTTAGCATAAACCCTATTTTTCAAAAGTCCCCATAAAAATGTCCAAATGTTGTGCAGGTTAAATTATTGGATTTGAGAAGCCAGAAAGTTTTGCACCATATCACAGTAGCGCTCGCCAGTGACAGTATCAGAATTACCCAGCGTCTTCAAAGAAGTAAGGTCCAATTACACCTCCATACCAAACACTGCACAAAACTGTGACGATCGTGGTCGAAAAATCGTTATTTTGTGTATTAAGCTGCATATATTGCATGACTATAATGTCGGCGACTTTAATGGTCTTTAAGCTGTTGTTCTTGGGTTACCTGAATTGTGTAATGCCACAAATACAAGTCTTTTTTTAAAATAGTGCATAATGACATGCGACGAATACCAGGTTCTTGAGAACGATGTCTGGTAGACGTCTCAGGGCGCTCCACTACACTTTCACGAACTCTCTCGATATGTTCTGGAGTACGAACAGTTCGAACAGGGCCTGACCTTAGCAAGTCTTTCACTTCACCTGTTTGTTCAAATTTACGCACCAACTGACGAATGGTGTTGATACTGGGCACATTATTTCGATCGAAATCTTGTCGTAGCTTCCCAATCGTTGCAACAATCGGCTCTTTATTTAAGTAAAACGTTTTAATAATACGGACGCGTTGTGGGACCGTGATGAATTGGACACATTCATGTGCTTTAAACAACTACTACAGCGCCAACTACTGAAATGCGTGTATCAAAAATGCAATTTAAATCAGTCAGTTATATATTGGCCATCCTGTACTAACCGTATAAAGAAGTGTCGCGTCATAAACAAGTAGAATATGTCCTTTATCTTGACAGTTGGGATTATGGTGCTCACCACTGAAGAGCTGGTTCCCACTATACTCAAAGACATATCGCGGTAACAGCGGCATAAAATGCGCTCTTCCATTTTGATACTTGGTTTTAGTTAACTTATCCTGATTTTAGGCGGATCTGACAGAAAAATAGCTTACTGGGAGGTTCTCGATGGAAGTCTTGTCAGAGAACTGGAAGGATCTCCTTCTGGAACCATTAACTGCTTGGACATATCCCATGATGGAGACAGAATACTTTCAGGAGGAAATGATCAGATAGTAAAGCTATGGAAATACCAAGAAGGTATGGCTATAGCCTTAAGCAGTTACTTTTCACTATTCGAAAGTCGATTAAGATACAGCATTCTCTTTTGGTATGTCTGTTCTTAAAATTACTTGAACATAGTGCTTATATTTCTAACCTGAACTTTTAGATGTATAGTATAACTAAAAGCAATCCTACAACTACATTCAGACCCCTATTTCCGAGTAAATAAAAAATAATTGAAGCGTTTGGTGCAAAAAGGTGTTAACTCAAATTTTATAGTTTGGAGATAATTGGCCTCAAAGTTTGAATCCCGACATTTTTTATTGAATAGTGTTAGGGTTGCTTTTATTATTGAAGGTTATATAAAAGTATCTCGAATAGACAGTTTTGTTAAAAAAAAATGGTTTTATTAACAGAAATTTAATAAAGATTGTTGAAAATCTGACTTAACACCTTTTTAAAGAACTGTTATTTGCTTGGCTCGGAAAATGAAAGTAGCAGAAACGTGTTGATTCAATGATGTTATTTATTAAAAGTAAACATTGTTCTTTTTTCTTGTCACAAACTCACAAAAGTAATAACACGTAATCCACACACTCCAACTAATCGCCTAATCTTCTTAAATTTTGATAAAAGCCTCTAAAACTTGCTGGTATTAAAAGAATTTGTTCCTGAATATTATCCAACTTTTTGGTTCCAATAGATCGGCTTCTATGGAAATTCAATAATAACGGTTCATTTCCTACTGCTCTATCGACATTTCGCTGTTTTCTTATATTAACAGTAGCCCAGTTTTCCGTTTCATCAAAATAGTATCAGTGCTTGGTTACACCATATTCTTCAATCTGGATCCATCTTACATTTCTAAAATGAATATTTCTCATTAGTTGTAGTTTTTTTTTCTATCGACCAGTTCAAGTTTTCTTGGAACTTATTTAATATCAACAAATTTGTCCGCCATTCTTTGTAATATTATAAGGTGTTTTTTCCTGGCTTCTGTCATGATTGAAATATATTGATCCACCGTATAAATTAGTTGGTGCTGATAGACTTCTCTACAGCTGCAAAATCTCTCTCAGAGTATATGAAGGTATGTCCTACTTCAAGGAACTTATGGTTAATTTTTTTGAACACTCCAGCAATTATTAGGTAGTGCCATAGACAGACTATATTTTTTTTTTCATTTTGGCCACCTGCTAAATCACTTCATGCAATTAGATGATCGGAAGCCATGCGTTGGTCCTTAATATTTTCTAAAAAGGCCATAATCTCTGCAGGACCGCGATTTCCTTGCTTTTCGGTCCAGACGTGGAAAAACCTTTACCATTTGGTTGTTGTGTTAATATAAAATGTATTACTACATTGTAGAGCCATACTTGTAAATATAAGGCTTTACTTGTAGAAATTTTCGATAAGGCAAGCTTTTTTTTGTAAATCAAATGTAAGATATATGATGTTTTCGTTTATTTTGCTATTCCTTGATCAGATGTTTGTTCGACAAAAGTTTTTTTATACTTTGCAACATGTTCCTCGCAAACATTTTTACATTTTAAACGAAAACTGAATTAACTCTTGAGTTAACACCTCTCTACCTATAATGCAAGAGTCAACACCTTTTAAAGTTTACAGATTGAAGTTGATATAGTTAACACTTTTATGAATTTCTGTATCTAAGAACTTTGGCCGGATGGATCCACCAAAAAAAGCACCCTTTTAACTCCTTTTTGCATTACAAGTCTTAACATCCGGAAACACCTTTTTGCACCAAAGTCTTCAATTACTCGCCTATCATTGTTCACTAGTTACGATATTAGACGGAAACAAGATCTTAAAATAATAATAGTACCTAAATCAACACTTCAAAATTCAACAATTTATAATGGTCTGAAAATTTACGTGCCTCCTTGACGCTGTCAAAAAAAGTCAACAATTTAAAGATATTCCGCTTTAAAGTCAAAAACATCCTAAAAAATAAATGTATCTATACTATGCCCAATTGCACTGCATTTTTCAAATCTTCCACTTAGCAAAGGTGATATGAATGCTGAAGTTACGTCTGACAACTTCTGTTGTAGCTTTCAAGGGTAACTACGTCTACAAGAACAAATTAGTTGGTTGAATTGATTGTTCTCTTTTCTTAATAATGAAAAGGCAAATGATAGTATGATTTATTTATAAGTACAAAGCATGAGGATGAGAATTACACAGTTGCACTAAAATATTAATGCAGCTGTTTTTATTTCTATCTAGATTGATTGGATCTAATGTCTTCCCTGTACCATCATTATAAACTGGTGGACAGTTGCTTTGCAACATGGAAAATGCTACCCAAATCCAAATCATGATATTTTTGGAACTGAAAGATATATCGAGTTACGATATACAGGAGGTTCTTGACCAACTCTTTGAGAACACGTACTTTTGAAAAATTTAAGAAATTTCTTTTTTAGAATAGTTCCTTTGCTCACCCTGTATGAGTGGATAAATAAAAGAAATATAACGTACGAACCCTGTACATGTTCTCAAAGAGTTGGCCAAGAACCTTCCGAATAATGCAGCTCGATATCTCTTTCCGTTCTGAAAATATCGAGATTTGAATTTGGGTAAAATTTTCCATGTTGCAAAGCTGCACCAGTATATTGTAGCGTTTTTCTGGGTTCTTTTGGGTGCGGATTAAAACACTGGATTCCACAAAATGAAATGCACTAATTTATTTACCTTGACTAGATAGAATATTTATGTACACCACTATTTATGTCTGACTAATTCTTATGTCGCGCCATTGATTGGACTATACTCCACTCCGCTCTGCTACTCTAACTCTACCGTACACTGTACTCTCCTCCATCTCCCGGCCGTCGAGTTATAGTCCCCATCGCTGCTTCGAGCAAGGTCTGGCGAGTCACAAAGCGGCATCTAGCGGCTTGTGCGGACGTGGTCCGCGTAAAACCAAAGATCGGCCATGAAGCTCTCGCGAATAGGAGAGTCTCCCAACAGATGGCGCCAACAGTACTATTTGTTGTCATCGCAATATGTATTTGTTTCATCAGTTTAAAAACATTCGCATCCTCAAAACATGGTTCATCGCCTAACTTGGCTATTGCTTTTGATAAGTAACTACAAAATATCTCGCAAGCTTTTTAGAACTTAATGACTGATTAGAAAAATGAGTCTTTGAAAAAATCTGAAAGTTATCCTTGGAAAAATATCCTGTTATCAAAGCTATCAAAATATTCCGCTCTATTACGGATTTGGCGAGGAATCCCATAAACTAGCACATATGTATTACGTCATTTCGTCACTATCTGCGATATATACATCCATATTTGACATTTTTGAAGGTCATTATTGCAGCCCTAATTTTAGACCATTCGACAGCCAAGGTTTGAAAATCCACCTTAAACAGGTAAATTCTTGGACATCGCTGAGCTGTCTATTTAAGTTTCTTAGCAAGACCATGCAACTGGGCATAAGGATTTACAGTACTGAAGAGTTTTACGTTAACAAAACATGCATCCATGTGTATCGATGGAATGTTCGGTTAATTTTTCTTTCTCAAAAATTGAAAATCTTATGTTTTTTGATTTGGTATGTAGGGGAGAGTCTGGAACAGTGGCCATACTTTGAAAGAATTTTCGCTCTCTAGGAGATTTAATTGTTTTCGGCAAATTTATAGTTCTTACATGAACGATACACTATTTGGCTTTATTTCTATATACTTAAAAAATAACACAAACACCTATTAGTATTTTATTTTTAATTATAAAAAAAGTGCTGTAAAGTGGCCAGTGTACCTTCATTGCAGGTACAGTGGTCACCCACCTATGGTACTGTGGCCACTCCTCTGTAAACAATTAGATTTAAGTAAACCAAATCTGAAAAGAGTGGATTTATTTATTCCAAAAATTATGTTATATAAAACTTCTAAAAGCTACAACAGAAAAATGTATCAAAACCTCGACTTACTTAAAATACGTTATACATTGACAGGTTAATCGAAAATGAGAATACATTTGCACTTCTTGCCGTACATCCGATTGCACTGGGATACGGTAAATGGAGTATAATATCATCCATTGAAACTACACCAGTGTCTGGAATATTCGGATAAACAAAATTATTGCCACGTCGACGTAGAAATGTTATATTACATTCGTCAGTGCTCTCCATCACTTCTATGACGGAGCCAACATAGTAACGGATTGTCTTTTTTGACTCAAATCTAACCAGAACAAAGGAACCCACACCGATGTCCCCAATATCGTTAAGGGTGACTTCTTTATCTGACTCTTGTACAAAGCTCACATCATCTGAGTCAGTTAAGCTCAAATCTAGGTCGCTTTCGCTAGATGTGTCATCTTTTTTATGCAACTTCCTTTGTTTTGCTGCTGGTACAACAATCTCTTCACTTACAATTTTTTTCTTTACAAGCGGCTGCCTCTCAAGGTTGGACATTCGACTTTGTTTTAATTGTTGTTCTTCTTCTAGTTTTTGCAGAATAGGGGTGCTTGTTAAAATTTCGGTTTTCTTTTTTTTCGAATGTTTTTTAAGCGGAGCTGCGGGGAGAGCTGTGGGAAGTGGCTTCACATTATATGGACTAACAAATTTCTTTTCCGGAGTCCTATTTTCCTTGATTTGGGATGTTGATGGTCTATTGTTGTCTTCTAGAACAGCCATTGGAGGGACTTCAGCTTGTTGCTCTACATTTAAATCTGTTACAGATGCTGCCATGAAATCTTGCTCATTAAATATGTTATTATTAAATGGATATATTCCGGTTGCCCTAAATCCTGATATGCAATTTTTTGGTGTAAAAGCTAATGGGTAAGATTCACCTAGGATTTCGGCAACTTCGTAAATAGTTATTCTTTTGCCAGGGTTGTTCAGTAACCAATTTTGACAGTTCCGATTATAATAATTTTTCAATGCGAAACAAATACTTTTGTCTAGCGGCTGCAGTTTGTGGCTGCAGTGTGGTGGTAAGGTCAAAAGTATAACATTATTTTGTTTCGCCATCTTTATAGTATCCAAACATATATGGGTCTCATGGTTATCCATAATTAATAAGACGGGTGAATCAGCGGTTGGTTTCACATGTTTGATGAAATGCTGCAGCCACTGGACAAATATGTGTGATGTCATCCAACCGGTTGGAGAAGCCGTTCCCACACTTCCCGGCGGCGCGTTCTTTAACATGTAATCCTTATAATTTTTTCTGGGGAAGATTAACAAAGGTGGTACAGAATTTCCCATTGCATTAATGCAACCACACATGGTTACCAGTGTCCCCCTTTCACTAGATACGATGTGTCCCACTTGTTTTTAGCCTTTTTTGGCAATAACCTTTTGTGTTTCTTGGACAGTGGTAAGTGCTGTCTCATCGACGTTAAAAATTTGGTTGGGCCCAAATTCATGGTTTTTAAGGACTTCCTGAAGATTTTTAAAAAATCGTTCTACAACTGGTTTATTAAAGCCCATGGCTCTACCTAATGACGTAGCCTCAGCTAATCTTAGTGACAATTCTTTGCGACGTTTCATAAATGCATTGAACCATAATCTTCCTGCCATACCATTGTCTTCCCAAGATTTCGGAAATTTCTTCTTATTAGCAACTGCTAATTCATATGCCAACCTTCGTGCCGCTTTTGGAGGTAAGCCATGATGTAGTTGAGCCATTGTTTGAAGATATTCGCTTAATTCGCCTTCTTCGTCTGGAGAAAATACTTGATTAACCCAGTAATTTGGCGTTAATCTTGGAGCTCCTTCCAATACTGGTGAATTCCAATCAATTTCCTCTTGGTGCTCATCACACTTCTTAATATAGCGCCTCAGTGTAGTTCGAGGTATCTTGTATTTTAGTGCTGACGCTTTGACAGATAGTCCACTAATCTTGATATCTTTAAGGGCATCTACCATAGTGCTCCTCGGTATCTTGCCTATTTCAACGTTAGTTTTCTTACGACGAGGCATTTTGATCTGAAAAAATATGGTTGCAATCAGCGGAAAGGTATTTAGAAAGGTAGGTACAGTGGCCACTGTTATTTATAGAATAAAGCGGTGACCACTGTACCTGCATTGCCTTGTGGCCACTGTTCTAACAACCACATATTTTAAATATATAAATATTTTGAGATAATTTTCAAATGCTTTTAAAAACTTATTGGCAAAATAATTACTTACATGGACTGAGTATTCATTCACCACCAGCAATTATTCAAGAAACAAGTTGTTTGGACAAAAATAAAAATCTCGTGCATGCGTTGAAATTCACTTTTGCTATGAATTTTCAGGTTAGGTTCACTATACCGTTAAACACCAAAGGTGAAGTTTCCTGCTTTGTGCCCAGTTCTAGTACTTAATTTGCTAGTTTGTTCCTAGATGGCAGATATATAACTTGAAATATAACAAAGTTAGGGAAAGGTGGCCACTGTACCTATATGGCCACTGTTCCAGACTCTCCCCTACATGTGATTCAAATCTTATGCATTATGTTACAGTGGCTCAAGAACAAAATTAGATTTCGGACGTTACAGGTGGCTCCAATTATATCTTTTAGTGTTCTACCGCTCAGATTAAGGTGATGCCTTTGGTGTTCGAACATTAGACACTCCACTAGAATGTGTTTCACCGATAAAACATTTTCGCACAAAACAAACATTGGTTCAGGCTCACGGGTCATGAGGTAGCTGTGGGTGATTCTGCTGTGGCCTTGCCGGAGTTATTATTTCTTGCAGTATTTTCTTTTCTGTTACCGTCTGCAATTCATTGAGGCTAGGTTTCACTTCTTGAAGCGTAGATGGGTTATTCTTGCACACACTATTCCATAGGTCTATTGTTTTGCTTTTTACATATACCTTCAGGTCTGATGCTGGAACTGGGAGGTTGCTTATGCTGTTGTTCATTACCGCCCTTTTTGCGTTTGTATCTACTGCTTCGTTCCATGCTATTCCTTTGAGAGATGGAGCCCAAAAAAGTATCTACTGTAATCTGGTTATTGTTGGTGAGGTGAGTTATTGTATATTGTATTATCTTGACTATCGGATTTTTGGTGATCCTATAACTTATTGATGTAGTCTACTGAGCTTAGTGAGTCTGTAATGAATATCCATTTTTGGGAAATGCTGGTTTTTCTACAGTTTCCGGAATCGCGTAAAGCTCTCGAGTTAAGGTGTGTAAGCTTACGAAATATCTCAAACACATTTTTGCATGCGAGTCCGACCCTGTAGCACACAAAACCTTTCCAGAAGGTTCACAAGGCTGCTTAGTGTCACTCAGCGCTACGGCCCTTACGCCTGTTTATACTCGTATTATACATTCCATTCCTTCTCTGGGTACTTGTTCCCAGGATAAACTTTCTTAAAGATACGGACGTGACTGGCGATATGCAGTTCAATTATTGCGTGGAGGAGATCGCTTCTCAAACCAAGTAGTACGTAGTAGACTTGATTTGATTTTGATGTGCTATTGGATGTAGTGTTTGGTTACCTGAAAGGTGGGCAATCACTGAGTGTTTCCTTTATTCTACTGTACTGCCTGGATTGATAGCCATAATAATTTTACATTCATGATCATGAATGTAAAGATGCTATACTTTTTACCGTCATAATTTAATTTATGGCTTACGACTTGTTATTGAGTATCCGCAGGTGGGACGCCTCCAGGTTCTGGGGGTTGTTATGGGACTTTTGGAGCCCGTTTGCTGGGTTGAGGTAGTTATGTTAATTACTACTTTAATGATAGTCATATTGCTCGGTTATCTCTGATTCAGGAGTAACGTCGGAGCTTTGGGGTATTGACACAACGGCCCTTGGCCAACGTGATATCCCGGTTCCTGGACTGTCTTCATTGTGACAATCGTTAAACTCGGCACGTCTGACCATACACCTAGCGACCAAAGAGTTGGAGTTAGTCTGTGTAACAACTCCTAGTCAGTCTGTGTGACGTCTTCTAGACAGTCTGTGTGACGTCTCCTAGACAGTCTGTGTGACGACTTAAAGAGCAGTCTGTGTGACGGTCAGGATTAGTCTGTGTGACGATCCCGTGATTCAGTCGATGACGAATCCGTAGTAGTAGTTGGGGTACATTAATGTAATTGTAAATAGTAGATTTGTGCATGTGATGTCATGAGTCAGTTGATTACGGCAGATACTCATAAGTCTTTTTCTAAAAATAGATGTTGGCCCCGACAATCCGATCATATCGCCCTTATCGCTTGCCAAAGGAGGATAACTCGTTGTCGTTTCGTCACCAAGTAAGTGACATTAATAATACCTGATATTGTTGCCCATATCGAATTGTTTACGTACTGCCCATGTAGTAAAAATGAAATGGTACGGGGCGGTACTTCGAATGCTTCTAAGATGAGATGGTTTCACGTTTATCGTTATATTGCATTATCATATCTCGTTCGTATCCTACAGGTGGTGGCTGCATCCGGAATCTTCAAGGTCTTGATGGTTGTTGGTGTAACTATTGCTGCTCCGCAACTTGATCCTTGTTTCGAGGCGTCGGTAAATATGTGCTTTTGCCAAGAATCTCGTAGAAATATCTCCTTATTATTTATTTAGGAGTGCTATACTTATCTAGTTTTGTTAGATGGGTATTTACATGAGGGAGCTGAACAGCCCAAGGTGGTGTATTTGAGACTTTGACTGGATATGGTTGAGGAATTTGGTTTATATTTAACTGAAGTAGGTGGGATCTAACTCTTCTGTGTAGTGGTGGAGTGTGCAATGGATTTATGTTGTCTTCTATGAGGGTGCGTAGGTTCTTATAAGCGGAAGCATATGGGTTTGATGCTATGATAATGATGTATGATGAACTCAGAATGTCCGTCGCAGTTACAGTGGGGATTCTCCTGTCTCGCAGTATAAGCTTTCCAGGGGTGTTGTTCGATAGGCTGCCAGAATGATACGTCTGCCAAATGTTATTCCTAAAAACTTGACTTCATCAGTGTACTCCAGCGATGTGTGATATAGTTGTAGTGTTGGATTGTTCTGTCACTTTTTTTGCTAAAAATGATGCATTTTGTTTTACTGCCAAAAAGCCTGTTTGATTGGACCAGTATTCTAATTTGGATAACTATGTTTTTGCGAGTTGGGCACTGGTTTCAATATTTTTGCCTCTTACTTAGATTATCATGTCATCTCCGTAGAGCCTGGCTTGGATGTGTTAGCCTATATCATCCAAGATGTCATTCATTGCGATAAGAAAAAAGGTTGGACTGATAATAATTGATCCCTGCGGTACACCGTTCTCTTGTGTTTTCAGTTTGGGTAATGATCAATTCACTCGAACCTGGAAGTTTCTTTCACCCAAAAAGTTGGCGAAGGAAGCTAATATGTTTCCATTGTAGCCGCAGTCTTTAAGCTTCGCAATTATTTTATATCTCCATGCCGTGTCGTGATATGGAATTTGCGGTAGTGATTTTGTGCATTTTTTCAGGTACTGCAACCCACATAGGAGTTGGGCATGCAGCAGTGATAACAGCAGCAAGATTCAGCTCTGATGATAAATTTCTGGTAACTTGCGATGCAGCCGGAGGAATATTCGTATGGGAATGCCCCAGGGATGAGCAGAAGGTTGGGAAGAAGCAAAAAGATGAAAAATTTGTAGGAGAGAAGCCCCCGTCTACAAGAGACGAGGAAGATATTAGAGACTTACCTAGCGTACGAAGCCAGAAGAGTAGTAAGTTTGGGTTTGAATTGTTATATTTTTACATTTCGGTTAAGTAGAAAATAAATAGAGGTCCACCGAGGAGCAGAAGCCTGACGGGCTCTCCTGTCAGATAAAACATGCGGCGGCTTCGTCTACTCCGGCTTTATCCTATAGGCATACGGAGCTCTGGCCCAGGGCCCCCGCTTGATGTAGAGCCCTCAACATGGACGGATCTAGATATTTTTTGACGGTCCATAGCATGGCAAAAAAGAGCTAAGGGGCGTGAAAAGAGCTCAAGATTCATGTTCAGGAAGATGTTCGTCTCGAAAATTTAAGAGCTGGGGTGCGTTTGTAAATCACTTGGTGGTGTAATACCGTTCACAGTAATGGAATGACAGATGAAATTTTACTCTGGAAAACTATGACATTTTATTTTTAAAACGCCTCAATGTAATGGCACTTGATGACATCCGACTGATTACTAACGTTTTCTGCGACCATTGTATTTAGTATAAGAAACATCATGTTGCCCATTTATCGTGAAAAATATAAATTCTGCCAATTTTGAGCACTATTTGATAACCAAATAAGGTAAACAAACAACAAACCATCAGCATGGCAAGTGCAACTCTCTTATTCCGCAGGTTTTCAGCGCGGAAAGAACAGCGCACTTTTGACGTTCCAGAAGGATTACTGAGTTCTATTTCCGAACGCATGCAACAGTTACGACAAGCAATAAAAAAAACGCTAAAAATGTTACAGAATAGTACAAAGTACACTCTGCAACAATTTACGAACAGAACGGGTCATCTGCAATTTGGAAAGCACGCTCGATTTTTTTAAGCTCGGATATTTAGGAGGGGGGATTCTGCCTCCCTCAAATAGCCAAAAATCAAACGAAACTCCCAAAAATATCGTGTGAAATCATATCCTCAATCACCAGTGATGATTTAGCTTCAATAACTTCACTGAAAAATGACTAATTTTTACATTTTTTAAATTTTCTGTAGACAAATAATAGAGTTAGATGTTTATCGTTTTACAGACATATCACATACATTGGTTTAAAACATATTTATATAATCTATTCAAAATTGTAATAGTACTAAAATATTATATTTCAAACTAGCTGACTCGACAGACATTGTCCTAGCTATGAACTGGATTGAATAGTGCATAATAAAAGGGTAAATTTATGGAATATAGGCAATTGTATAGAGAAGTGTTTGTATCGCCATGTGGCTAGCAAAATACGTTGGCAGCACTGTCATTCCCTCATTAACTTACCTTTAAGTAGGCATAAAATTATGTGGAATGAACTTTGTTCCGCCAAATGACGTCATTTGAAAGCAATTATTGTATTGCTGGATATGGGTCAAAAGGTGTATAGAATATGGCCCATTTCTGGAAACCCATGATTGTAGTGAGTCTGGTGGTAGTACCAATGGAGTCAATTTGATATTTCCACTGTAGCAACATAATCCAGGGGCTTTATTTTTAAACTTGAAAGCCTTGCAATGTAGACTCACAACTTCCATTGATCCAATAGCAACGATTTCGCGTAGCTTGAATAATCATTAGCTTTTCAATGATTTCTCAATTTTCTGGGAAATTTTCCTGATTTTTCTTTCCGTACGAACCTTCTATACAGCATACAGAATCTTAAAAAAAGATGAATGCAATCGGTAATGTCGTGCACAAGTTATATCGTGACCACGCGAAATATGGATTATACATATATATATATATATATATATATATATATATATATATATATAACTTGAGACGTGGTCATTGTCGTCTAGACCAGTTAGGTCAAAAATTAAAGCTTCCGCCTTTTGTTGGGTACTTCGACAAAATTTAAGCAAAGATGACTCTTTATACTTTTTTAATTCTCTCTAGCTTTCAATGGACTTTGCCATCATCATCAGGAGCTGCAATTACAATGATAACAGTAGCAACAAAAGTGTAAAATGAATATAAATTGACTCAACTTACAGTAGTATGTGAGGATGTTGCTAATTGTTGTTTACGTATAGGATGAGGGAAACGTCCAGTAACATGGCGAGAGCTGGATACATGGTACAATGGTTAAAATTATATTGAGATATAGCATTCGCTTTGGGTGTGTCTGTTCACAAAATTGCTTAAAAAAGTGCTTATTCTATAAAAACGAACTATTAAATATACCTATAACTAAAGGCAATCCTAGACCTACATGCATGACTTTACTTTTAAATCTTAAAATAATGAATACCGTCTCATTGTTCATTTTAGAACCAGATATTTTTATTTTCTAAAATAAATGTAAACTGGATACATCAAATATAAGTTGCCGTATTCTCTATCTCTATCTAATTTATAATTGTCTAAAAATTTACGCTTGCCTCCCCGATGGTATCAAAAGCATCAACAATTTAAAGACATTCTGCGGTCAACTTAAAAACTACTCTAATTTGTAAGCCATATTGTACCATGTGTTAAAGTTGATTTACCTGAGGTTCACATATGTAACATTATTTAGTTTTAAATTAGCTTTGTCGTTAAGAATGATACTACGATTCAGACAATAATGCCAGTGGCGTAGCTAGAGCCTCGGGGGCCCTGGGGAAGCAAGGAAATTTGGGGCCCCCCTATACGAATTTTTTTTTCAACTCTACCATTAGGCCGGTATCGTCAGTCGCCCCTACAATTGTAGGGCGCCTTTATGGCCTCCTTGATTGTCATAGTTTTCTACTTCTCCGTGTCAACGCTCTATTTTGAGGTTATGTCACAAACATCTATTTGCATCAAATTGTGCTTGCTTTTGAGTTATATCATGTTTTATCAGCCTGAAATTTCCTACAATTTATAAAGAAAACATATCTTCACAATAGGAGAGCGCTAACGCTGACACGGGACAAGTGTAATCTAGAAATTTTTGAAGGAGAGAAAGAAGTATGACAATCAAGGAGGCCATAAACGCGCCCTACAATTTTAGGGACGACTGACGATACGGGCCTTAGAATTGCCTAATTAACGTTTGAATTTCCCGCGCATATACGGATATCCAGCACTGTTCGACGCGATCAGCTGCTGATGTCTGTGTCAGACTCAGCAGTGTTTCCAACAGTCAAAATGGACAGAAAAATTTCGAGACGGTGGGTGTGGCTTAGCGAGTGTGTAAATACGTAAGCGAGGTCGGTGAGAGAGGATATTTACCTATCTGTCATTTAAATTGATATCAACTGAAGTGCTTTACTGCTCATCAAAACATGGAAATCATCAGCGCACAGTATCAGCGCCACGTAGAGAAGCTCAGTTCATAATATAAATCAATGATACGATAGAATGATCGTTTTCACTGTAGATACCGAAGTTACTTAAATTTTGATATGGCTCTCATTTGTCTTGTTCCAGCAGAACGTTCATTTCATATTAATAATAAATATTTCTTTTTCGGAACGTCCAGTGATATGATTCGAACAAAAACTGGTACCGATTCTGCTGGAACAATTTTCCTAGATTTGTCAGTTTATAACCTACAAAATGCTAATTTTGGCACACGGTTTTCTTTTGGACAATTTGATTTGGTTTCTACCAATTCTGACAAATTACGAGGTTCTTGATGGTACGTTTTGTTAAATGGAAAAAGTAAAATGCAAATGCACGCTTTGTGATTCAGGATTTTTCGTTTTGAACGTAAGTCACAAAGCAATGTCGTTAACAAAACAGGCATGAACAGATACAAAAAATAGGTCATCCAAAACGTTCCCTCTAACCGTTTACTCGACGCTTGACTTTCAACTGCTCATGCCTCAGCTTCTGTACACCGTAAGTGTTCCTAATTTAACTTAGAATATATTTTTCAATGAATTAGTTTTCAACAAACACCAAAGATGCTGGAACAACGAACATCTATAAAATAAACCGGACCAAGGACTGCTGGACCGGATATTTTGGAATGCGCATGCTGGTTTCGTTTTAAATGTGTTCCATGCCTGTGCTGGAATAAAGCTTGTAATCACAAAATCCAGTTAAGGGTTATGTTCTAGAAACCGATATTTTCGTCGGGAAAAATATGAATTTCAAACTGACAATTCTCAATTGGGACTGAACTAAATCACATAATCCCCCGCGTAGGGCTCTAATAACTCACATCTTTTGCGGGCACTATTTAGTCGCTCGTGTATAGGCTGCAATTCACATATTTTGGCTGCTATCTCCATTATTAATTATAAAAAAATGTCTGTTCATTTCCAGTACTTCCAGTAATTTCGAGTCTCTTGTGGATCAAATCTCCAGGGTACTTCCCACTCGTTTAATGCGTTACCAGCCCAAGAACTGTCATCGAATTTGCTCGAAAAAATATTCTGATAAAATGACCCCTTTTATCTAATTTAGTTCTCTGATCAGATTCCAAAAATTTTCTTCGCTCCGTACAAACTTCTTTCATGCATTTTGAGTCATTATGAACTTGATTTCATATTTAAAAAAGTGCAAGATATGCAAATTTCAACCTCGAAAAACAATATGAAAAAACGAAGAATTTTGTGCTGTCAAAATTCTTGAATGTTCTTCAAACACCCATTAATAAAATCCCAAAGCATTCTAGGGGATACGGTTATTTTTAACCTGTTTTTTGTCATTGTTAATTAAGCGCACAATAAATTTATATTTTGCGTGAAACCTAGACAGTTAGGGGCAGCCTCCACCTGTATCCGTTCAAGGGCTCACGTACAATAAAGCGCTTGACTGAAAATTGAAAAAGTCAGTTCATAAAGGATTAATATCATATGTTAAGTCCTCTGAGAAAAAATCAGTTGTGACCTTGTTCAATGAAAAATCAAATGGATCAAGTCAGTCAAACAGGCCTATAGAATTAACCCATAGACATTCTTTGCCTGCCCTATCGATAGTTATCGTCCATCTGGCAACGTTGCCCTTATCGTCGGACGCGGCAGCACCCACCGAAGCACCGCCACAATACGAGCAAAAGAGTCAAGCAGACCGTTACGCCCGTTTAAAGATAAATGTAATAAAAATAGAGATATACACTTCCCATCCCCTAGAACTCCCACCCCCAAATTTGTTACCTTTAATTTTTCTTTCAAAAATGATCAGGGTCTTCTGATTCGGCAAAAAAAGTTTGAATGATTTTTGTTTATATTTTTTGTTTTTTTTTGCCTTTTTCTCGGCCGCCTCTGGACCGAGTTTCAAACCTTTTCCGTCCTTGACGTAGTAGTAACCTTGTGTAAAGATTTATTTCACATCCGAGCAGTACTTTCCAAGTTATAGAGGGTACAATGGTTACCGCACACACCGACAGACAGACAGACCGACGGAAGTGAGTGACACTGTTTTTCGTGATGTACAGGGTCCGGCAATAAATTAAACCCTCCTCTAACTTTTTTATATGACTTTCCAGAAGAAAAAGGTGTATATGAAATATATAGGTTCTGATATGGAGTTTTTTGTGTAATATTTTTTGTATAATCAGGGAACTGCTTTCGAATAAAGTCATATTTTTTAAAATGGAATAGTATATTTTCAGGGAAAATCATAGTTTCTATTTTTCTGTTTCAAAACATGAATGTATGGACCCTCATACTTATTTCAATCAGTTTGACCAGAAATTTAAAGTTGGCGTGTCATTATGAGTATCCGAGTTCGAACCAGTTTGCATCTATCCGCCTATGCAATGTGACATAGGGCTGGAAGACATACAAACTTCAAGTTTTTGACTAAAATAATAGAAATAGGTTGAACATACCATACATGTTTGGAAAAAGAAGAAAATGATTATCATTTCCACTGAAAATATACAGGGTGTTCTATTTAAAAAAATACAACTTTATTCCATAGAACTATACAAAAAAATATTGCATGACAGACTATATACGTATATTAGATTCGATAACTTGTATACAGGGTGTTCGGAAGGTCGATACAAAGTCTTGGGGAGATGATAGGGCAGATCATTTAGAATCTTTTAAGCCAAAAATACCTTAGTTCACAGTCTTACGGTTTTCGAGTTATTCGAGATTATTGAAAAAAATATGCCTTTTGTTCCTGTTATCACTGAAAGAACATCAGGCTATATGAAATAATTTTTAAATACCTGACAGTGTGGTTTTTTCTCCGAAGGTAAAGAAAAGAAAAACAAATTGACTGTAAACAAATAATAAACACATGTTATTCTATTTTTGTGATACTGATAGAAGGAACATGTTTGCGTGCATGATAAAACTAAATTCCACGCATTCTTGCTTTATTCCTTTCCAAACAAGTCATTAGTAATTCATGAAATTAAGTCCAAAAACCCTGAATTAATAACTTTGTAGAAGGGCCGCTTTCACTAACGAAGAATACGCAGATATCGTTTACATGTATGGCAGAGCAGAAGGCGATGGACTAGAAGCACGACGATTGTACCAAAAGCGATATCCTGGGAGAAGATTGCCTAATGTCAGAGTGTTTTACAATACTTACCAACGTCTTTACGAGACTGGAGGTGTAACACGTAATGAACCTGCTGTTAATCCAGGTCGATATCCTCCTAAAGCCGAAGATCTGGTCCTCCAAGCGTTTGAAGATGATCCTTCTACAATTACCAGGAAAGTTGCTGCTGATCTTTGTTTGTCGCCATGGAAGGTTTGGAGTATCATGCACCGTGAACGAAAATATCCTTTTCATGGTATCGGCGTACAAGGACTTTAAGATCGTGATCCTATTCGCAGAAGCTAATTTTGTCGTTTTCTCTCACATAGTGACATTGAAAATGAACGGTTCCTGGAAAGCATTCTATGGACGGACGAATCCAATTTTTCAAAGGAGGGCATTACAAATTTTGACAATTTGCATCAATGGGCTGATAAGCAGGAAAATCCACAGGTGTCTGTCCAGCACAAATTTTCCGTTAATGTATGGGCCGCCGTCATGGGACAAAGATTAATCGGTCCTCATTTTTTGCCGGAAAGATTAAACGGCGACAGTTATGTACACTTTTTGCAAAATGATCTTCCCGAATTACTTGTAGGAGTAGAAATTCCAGATGACATGCAAATTTTTTTCCAACATGACTGATGTCCAGCTCATATCCGTTTAGACGTAAGACAATATTTGGACGATACTTTTCCAAATAGCTGGATAGGCAGAGGTGGAAAAATTCCGTGGCCTGCTAGATTCCCGCACTTGACACCATTGGATTTCTAAGTCTGGGAGCAGGCTAAACAGTTAGTTTACACTGAAGAAATCGCATCAAGAGACCATTTAATAAGAAAAATTCCAGAAGCTTTTTATTTAATGCAGCAAGACAGGTTATTAAATACAACAGCTAACGAAGTAACACGTAGAGCTCGAGCATGTATTAGAAACAATGGTTCTCACTTTGAACACCAATAAAGCATGTTTCAATAGTTTATTTTGTTTCGATTACTCATTTATGATTTAAATTTGAAAATCCGAATATCTCGAAAACCGTAAGACTTTGTACCGAGGTATGTTTGGCTTAAAATACTCTAAATGGCCTACCCTATCCCCTCGCCAAAGCTTTTTATCGACCTTCCAAACACCCTGTTTACAACTTTTTCTTCTTTGTCATATAAAAAAGTTTGAGGAGGTGAATTCATAACATTCAAAAAATATAATATCTACTTTCGCTCAGTTTCCTAGACAGTAAAACAAAGTTTTAGAAAAAAGTTCGTACGAACCTTTTTATTCAGGATGTCCCGAAAAACCTTTGGGGCAAAACATCTTTCGAATTTGTTGGAGAAAATTATTTAAACCAATTTTCGAATTTGTTGGGCAAAATTATTTAAACAGTTTTTGAAGTAATTTTGAGCCAAGCAAAATGCAGTTTCATTGAGAGCGTCCCTTTTTAAATAAAATTAAGCAAAAAAACGAATCGTTATATTTTTCCTGGACTATACGAACCTTACCCGTTAATTTAAATTTCAGTTGACGGTGTGCCACAAGCAAAACACCCTGCAGGATGTGAATGCTGCAGGTGCTCAGCAGAATCCGCAAGATCAATTGGAAGTGGGGAAGATTGCTGTGAATCTGTCAGATCGAATAGCTCACAAAAATCAAAAAAATCCCATATCAGCCAGAAATCAAATCAAAGCCAAAAGTCTAAACAGACCCAAAAGTCGAATCAAAGCCAAACATCGAACCCAAGCCTAAAGAGTCTTCCTAGGTCACAGCACAGCAAGGATTCCGTCTCTTTCAAGGACAAGGAGTGAGTCGTTTAAGTAAAATGATTTTGATACAGGAACATTTTTATAATTATAATTTTATATCTTTTTTAATATACGAATTTATCAAGACTTCTGTCTAAATTTCAAACCAGTTTTAAGTTTATAGTATGACCAAGAAAATACAGAGTACTCAAACATTTGTTCCATTTCTCAATATGTTTGAGGCCCAGCTTCTCTGGATTGCGTTTGAATGCATTTTTTTACTTATTTTGTATTCTGCTAAATTTAAAGTAACTTTATATCTACCTTGATCTGAACTGAGTTTGTGAGAAACTGCTGAGGATACCCAGATATCCCTATCATTTGATCCACAAAACGCAGACAAATTTCAAGTTATTTTATTCAACCCAAAACACAGCAGTGATTCTCTGAAAGCACATTCTCGATTGAAATTCACCGAAAGTGAGGAAAATCTGAGTGTATTATTTGATGAAAAGCTGAAATTTCGATGGTACATTACTATACCATCGTTAAACAGTTTGTTTTTTTTAATTAAAGCTCCTCCTACTTGTGAACAAAGATATAATGGCAAGGTTTATCAAAAAAAATCTATGTGAAAGATTAGTGATTTTGAGAATTGTTTCTTTATGCCACAGCTATGCTGCCGTGTTTAGTACAAAGGGGTATTTGCAATTTTTGGGTATATTTGGTTATTACCTAGCAAATCCGCGTCATTTTCTCTACTCATTGGCACAGTTTTTTGGCCATAACACAGCAGTTTTCTTCGAATCCTACATTTTTGTTTGTGGTATCTGTACAAATGAACCAGAGGTTCAAACTGTGAACATCTTTTTCTCGATTTTATGGTAGGTGCCCCTTGCGCTTAGTACGGCAGTATGCTTGTTTAGATGAGAACACTGTCAAGCGCTTGCAAAAAGTAAAAAATTACTATTGTCGTCTTGTGAGTAGCTTAACTTAATATGACACACTAATGGTATGTGTTGGTTGAACATTAATAGTATATTTAAACAAAATGACTGAGAAACCTTTATATTTACACAAAAAACTCACACTTACACATCCAGAACTATACGTTTTACTCATTTATCAATTTATTTAAACATCAGTATCTACTAGGCCTTCCACGTTGAATGCAATATCCTCGTATAATTCATTGCGAGACCAATTTCATTAAATTTAAAATGTAACCGCCTGCGCATATCAACAAGAGCGCCGGATTTGAATTTGCCGCCATTTTTTTTTTTGTACAAATGGTTGAAGACAGCTGCCATGACCAAACCACGCGATTAGACGTCATGGAGCAGTATTCAAACGAGCAACGTTTAATTATTGTGAAAACTCACAACAAAAATGAAGAAAATTACGCGGAAACAGTTCGCAAATTACGTACAATTTTCGTTCGCAATAATGCGCCAAACAAGTCTATAGTTCGCCGTTTAATTACAAAATTTGAGACAAAATTCACGTTGCTGAATATGAAGACCACTGTTCGTTGCCGTCCTGGTCGGTCCCTCGAAAATATAGTCGCAGTGCGGGAAAGTGTGGCCGAGAATCCAGGCACCTGCATTCGGCATCGTGGCCAAGAATTGAACCTTACCAGACCCACCCTGCAAAGAATTTTGACAGAAGATTTATGCTTGCATGCGTACAAACTTCAACTGACGCAAGAACTTGTGGATTGGGCGCTGGAGCACCACCAAATTGTTGCGGATTTCTCGAAGAAAATCATTTTCTCTGATGAGGCACATTTTCAACTGAACGGGTACGTCAATAATCAGAACTGCCGAATTTGGGGTTCTGAAAACCTCCGTAATCGAACAACCAATGCATCCGCCGCGAGTTACCGTTTGGTGCGCATTGTGAAGTGGCGGAATGATTGGACCGTATTTTTTCGAAAGCAGCTGGAACTGCGGTAACTGTTAATGGTGTGCGGTATTACGAAATGTTAACCGAGTTTTTGTGGCCCCAGTTCGATCCCATCGATGTGGAGACGGTGCGACCTGCCATACAGCACGCGAAACAATGATGTTACTGCGGACCAAGTTTCTAGACCGTGTCATCTCGCGTTAACAAGCAGTTGAACGCCTTAAGGAAGAGATGCGTTATCGACGAAATTGAGCCACCGTTGTACGAAAACGTTATCCAGAATTTTAAGAAAAGACTGACACTGCCAGCGGTTTCGTGGTGGCCATTTACCGGATGAACTATTTCATGTTTAATCGCAACTATTCCTCTTCATGTTGATATATAAATACTCGCTTAATTCGAAAAGAAATTGTGTTTTTCTTGAAAATCATATCCAGCGCTCTTATTATTTTTCAAAACCTTTATTGTTGTTGTATTAGTTTTTTGCTAATCTGAATGTATAGTTGCTCTATCTAGTTACCATTAGTTGAGGATCGACACCCACCAAGCATCCATTGTCTGGCTGAATCAACATTGTAAATATGTTTACATTTCTGTTGACGTTTTGACTACTAATGTGGTCTTTTTCAAAAACAATTGATAAGTCTATGGCAGTATATTTTGTTTTCTGCCTTCCAGGTGGCATTTCGTTTCTTTTTCCTTTTTCACGAAATGTCACATGGAAGACGGAATCCAAATATATTGTCACAGTATTGTCAATTGCACTTCAAAAAAAACACAGTAGTGGTCGAAACGTCGTACAAAACAGCTGTCTAAACATATATGTGTGTTTGATTCGGCGTGATAATGAACATGAAAACCACAGGATCCCATAATTCTGAAACACCCTGTATTAACAACAAATATTGTCAGCTCTTTCACTCTGTATAAACCACCGACGATATACAGGGTGGCGCATCGAAAACGAAACAGACGCATTTACTGGTAGCTCAGTTTTATTTTTTTTGAAAAACGCTCAGACCTGTCGATTTTGTTTTCGAGGGGGACACAAGCTTGCAAAAAATCACGTTAGCACGTGCAGCCCCCTAAGCGGGGGTGACACCACCCCCAAAATATTAAATGGAAAGGGGGGTCGAGTGATACCTTATTTTAAAGGTCTTTCAATTCCTTTTCTTTTTTTTATACTCCAACTACCACGAAGGCCTAAGGCCTAAGCACCCATTGGGTACCGTGGGGCTATAGGGGGATACATGGGAAAGGGGGAACGCCACACGGACTCTGGCGAGGGAACACGTGTGCATGCAACATGCACACATTCTGGCTCCGCCTACGAGATCCGCCGGGTGGTACCTCCGCGTTCGACAGTCAGAGACCATCTACCACCTACGGACAATCACAACATCTATAGCCAAGAGAAAAATGTCTCCTGGGACGGGACTCGAACCCGCACAGCGCACGGCAACTGATCAGGAGACCGAAGGGTCTACTACTGCGGCCACCGCTGCTGCCTGATAATGATATAAAACTAATGTACTTCAGTTCAGTAGTTTTGAAGATTTATTGATTTAAACCTTAAATTAAACTAATACATCATCATTAGTGGAGATCAATACATATGGCAGCAAAGTAATTTAAAAATGAAGAATGAACTGACCCGTTAGGCAAGTAAATGTTGAAAATGGCCACCATGACTCTCCATGCAATAATAAAGATATTGCTCAAAACGTTGCCGCATATTTTGCAATATTTGAGAAGTAATTTGGAGGCACCCATTCACAATTCTTTGTCGCAGGTCTTCTAATGATGTTGGCTTAGTAGCATAGATTTTGCTTTTTAAATGACCCTACCTAAAGAAATCCAAAGGTGATAAATCTGACCATCTTGGGGGCCATTCAATACCAATCCATCGATCTAGAAACGTCAGATCTAAATATTGTCGAACACGTAATGCGTAATGTGGTGGGTCACCATCCTGCTGGAACATCAACCTATTCGCAATGTACCGCCCATCATTCTGATTTTCAATTATGGCTGTTAATGCAGGATCTATGGCGCCTTCCAGTATTTCCAAATACATTTCACCGGTCAAATTTCCGGGTAAGAAAAAAGGACCAACTAAATGATCGCCAAAAATACCAGCCCAAACATTTAATTTTTGGGGCTGCTGTGTATGAACCTCATGATAAATTCTGAGATTAGAATCGGACCAATATCGGCAGTTATGACGATTTACTACGCCAGTTAAGAAAAAGGAACATTCGTCTGAAAAGCAAGTGTTGAATAGAAAATGTTCATCGTTTATAATTCGTTCACTCATATCTTCACAAAATTGTAATCGCCGATCAAAATCGTCTTCATTAAGTTCTTGTACCAGGTGAATTTTATACGGATGAAAACTATGGGCCTTTAGAATCCTTTGGACAATACGTCGACTAACACCAGACACAGTCTCCAATTTGCGGGTACTTAACGTAGGATCTACATAAACTTGCCCTAAAACCCCCACTTCTATTGCTTCGTTCCTTATGGGATTTTCAATGTTGCGTTTTTTATTGGCAACTGACCCAGTTTCCCGAAATTTAGCTACAAGTTATAGAACATATTTTCGATGCACATTACTGTTCTCATGTCGCTCATTAAATATTTCTGCTGTTCTATTAGCTCACTGATTATTTCCGAAAAATATTTCGATAATTTCAACTCTTTCTGCTGTGGAATATACCATGGTAAATTTATGTAATAAAGCGCTACAAGTTATTTTAGCAACAAAGTTTGGTCGAATCAATCGTAAACTATGTACTAAATTCCCATTTAAAATAAGTACCAGATATTTCCTTATCTTTGTTCAAGAAATAACATTTTTGCCACAAAAAATGCTCGAATAGCTATTTTCAACAACAAAATGATAAACAAACCATGGGCGTAGTGAATAAAAGCATTTACTTATTAAGTAAATTCTTTTACTCAAATTTCTTCTGAAAGTAGTACAAACTAATCTGATGTACCTATTAAAGTCTACTTTAAGCTTTAAATCAATAAATCTTCAAAACTACTGAACTGAAGCTCATGTATTTTACATCATTATAAAGGGAATTGAAAGACGTTTAAAATAAGGTATCACTCAACCCCCCTTTCCATTTAAGATTTTAGGATTGGTGTCACCCCCGCCCAGGGGACTGCACGTTAACGTGATTTTTTGCCAAACTTGTGTCCCCCTCGAAAACCAAATCGACGGGTCTCAGCGTTTATCCAAAAAAAAAACGAGCTGCCAGTAAATGCGTCGGTTTCGTTTTCGATGCGCCACCCTGTATATCGTCGTTGTATACACCAAATACCTAGCAAATAAGTATCAACGATCTCTACCAGACCGCCAAAATTAACATACTTCTTGCTAGTCATATACTCGTAATAGGCGTGTCTGAGTACCAGCATATATTGTATGGTAGAACAAATGTCAAGGTCAGACTCGTTAATTGTTACTGAATCATCAATAGAGTAAATAACAGTGGCGGATCCAAGATCTCCGGTGCTCAAAGCACCAAGTGAGTATTAGCTTCCTCCGCTGGTGACAGATAGTTGAAGAGCGAGGGAGGTGCGCTGCCTAATGGAACATCATAATTTTGGGTACATGAAATTTGTCTAATCTGGGGCCTCCATAAATGAGCTAGGGCTCCATAAGAGGCCAAGAAATAAATGTATTTGATCGAAAATCTCGAAAACCATAGTCCTATGTAAAAAAGTAAAAGAAACAATGTTCAGGAATTGAATCCTTCATCATTGTTGCTTCTATAAAAGTTTGTCAAATAGTCAACAGATTACGTAAAATTGAAGGGTAAAGGTACATGAAATGATATTTCGGCTTATAATGGCTAAACTAAGAAGAGTATGACGTACTAATATTTTTTTAGAAAATAAGATTTGCTGTAGAAAAGGTCTTTTACGCATTTTCGATGCCTTGATGGTTGGAGGGAAAGTTGAAAATTCGTATCAAAACAGTCGCGCCACACGTTATCCGTATTATTTCCGGTAGATAAACCTTCACAATCATTATCTAGGATCATGAATGCCATATGGAAGTGAACCCATTTTTTAATGCCACGTGCAAGTATGGAAAATGTAATATTTTATGATAATTTGTTTTGATTGATCCATGCTGTATCCATTTACTGATGAAATATTTGACTTAGTTAATGAAAAGCTAAACATTCATCTGATGAGATTCCAAATTTTATCACAAAAAGTACTGAATTACATTCTAAAGCCACTGGTCTTCATGTTCAATATATCATTCTCCACAGGGAAATTTCCTTGTCTGCTAAATACCGGAAAAGTGATTCCAGCATTCAAAAAAAGGTATCCCTCTGAGCTGAGTAATTACAGAAGATACCACAAACTTTTTTCAAAAGTCCTACTATCTGGATAGATTGTTTTTGTTTTTGGAAAATGATAATATGTTGACAGAGAATCAACCCGGTTTTCGAAATGGAAAATCTACGACAACAGCAATTCACAGCTTATACGGAACACTTGTTAAAATGGGTCAAGGAGGGCGAGTGCCCTGTTGGGACCTTTTATGATCTCAGCAGTGCATTTGACTGCGTCAATCATGAAGTGCTGTTGCAGAAAATGTCAAAGTATGGCATAAATGGTCCACCATATAATTGGATAAGGTCTTTTTTAGAGAATAGGTCTCAATTTGTGAGTATCGTCTAGTGGTCCGAATGCGCCTATTAAGTCCGACATGGCTCACATCTCCATAGGCGTCCCTCAGGGCTCTATTCTAGGGCCTGTGCTATTTAGTCTATACTTAAATGACCTTGAGTCTTGTTCCTCTGAAGATAGATTTATTTTACACATATGCAGATGATACTTCAGTGCTGTTATCTAATAAGTGCGAGGCTACCTTCGGGAGAGATTGTGGAATTTTACTGCAAAATAATCACAGGTGGTTTAGCAGTACCTACTCAGCTCTATTTAAATTCTGAAAAAAACATCAGTTGTCTAATTTCACAGCATCCAGAAGAAGCCTATGGCATTAAATATCACTTAATGGCCCAAGAATGTCCCTTGACGCACAAGTAAAATTATTGGGCTTGTATCTAGATACAGGTTTGAATTTTAAAGCCCACTGCGTATATATTGTTTCAAAGAATTGTGAGAAAAAAATTACCTGTTTCCAGGCCTATAAAGGCTCAACGCACAGTGCGTCGTCTGCGTCATCTTAAGTCTGCGAAAGGTTGGGAAATCTCGAAACTGGATATACTACATACCAAAATATGTGAATTGACCTGAACGCACTCCAGTCCAAAAGTTGATAGTTTGCGAGATACAGGGTGTCAATGTTACAATTTTATTTTCTATTTTTCCTTATTGCTTGAGGCTTATTTCAGATTTTGGAGGTTTTATAGTACGAGAAATGAGAATCCGTTCTTTTTTATGGCCAGACTCCTAGAAGGCATCACTTGCAGCTCTATTTCGGTCTTATCATAACTTTTTGTGCTACCATGTATACAACAAAAATCTTTTTTTCTCGTATTTCTACAACAAAAAAGGTTTACTTGTTAGAAGTGTCTAAAGCTAATAGTTTTCGAGATATTTGTTTTTAAAAGTTCCAATGCATTATTTGTACCATGATGATAAAACATTTTTATAACATAATAATAAAGTTGCTTTGGATAATATATGAGTAGCGTTGCTATGGATTCTAATGTTTGTCATAATATTGCTTTAAGCGTCATGAACAATTTTAAGTTGACAATAAGTTATTAAACATCATGGAGTATACTGTAGCGTTTTTTCTGGGTTCTTTTGGATGTGGACTAAAAAACTGGATTCGCCAAAGAGAAATGCACTAATTTATTTATCTTGACTAGATAGAACATTTATGTACACCACTATTTATGTCTGACTAATCCTTATGTCGCGCCATTGACTGGACTATACTCCGCTCCGCTCTGCTACTCTACCGTACCGTACTCTCCTTCCATCTCCCGGCCGCCGAGTTATACCTATAGTCCGCATCGTTGAGTCGAGAAGAATCGGGAGCCACATAGCGGCCTTCCAGAATATTCAAGCTCACTTCGCGTCGATCTAGAAGGCCAGTCAATGCCACGGTCCTCACATACGCCGCCAAGCGGCTTGTGCGGTCGTGGTCCGCGTAAAAGCAGAGATCGGCCATGAAGCTCTGGCGAGTAGGACACTCTCGCAATAGATTACGTTTGATGAATATTCTGATATGCACTTAATGTACGGATTGGCAAGATGAAATGTCTTAAAAGCACGAAGATTGTACGCTGACAGATTCCCTAATAGACACCTGCCTAATTCAAAGACTTTCCAACGAATCGGTCAGCGGTTACGAGAAACTGGTAAGAAATGATTATAGCCATTTTTGAGTAGTAAAAACCATTTGGATTTTAGGTAGTTTTTTCTCCAAATATGGGTCGATACAGTGGAGCTCTCAGAACTGTACGTACAGCTGAAGTTCAAGAAAATGTTACAGATGCGGTCTTTGAAAACCCTACATTTGGGGTTATGAATGTAACTCGAGAATTTCAAGTTTCCAAATGTACAGTAAATACCATTTTTCAAGAGCAACTGCTCCATCCATACCACCTGTAAAAAGTACATGGTTTAAGCGCGGATGATGACCCCGCAAAGGTAGAATTTTGTACATGGCTCTTAAGGAAGTTTAACCAGGACAATGGTTTTACTTCGTTAATATTATTTACGGACGAAGCAGGATTTGGAAGGGATGGGCCCAATAACTCGCATAATCTTCACATTTATGCAGACGAAACTCCTCATGCAAACCCGCCACCAAGTACAATTTCAAATTAATTTATGGGCAGCAATAATTGGACAATATTTAATAGGACCACCTAGACTAAATGATCAAAGGTATTTACAATTCCTTGAAGAACAATTGCCAACTCTGCTGGAAGATGTTCCATTACAAACACGTGGTTTAAGCATGACGGCTCTTAAGGAAGTTTAACCAGGACAATGGTTTTACTTCGTTAATATTATTTACGGACGAAGCAGGATTTGGAAGGGATGGGCCCAATAACTCGCATAATCTTCACATTTATGCAGACGAAACTCCTCATGCAAACCCGCCACCAAGTACAATTTCAAATTAATTTATGGGCAGCAATAATTGGACAATATTTAATAGGACCACCTAGACTAAATGATCAAAGGTATTTACAATTCCTTGAAGAACAATTGCCAACTCTGCTGGAAGATGTTCCATTACAAACACGTGGTTTAAGCATGACGGCGTTCCACCTCATTTTAGTATATTAGTTAGAGAGCACCTAAATAGAGTTTATCCAGACCAGTGGATAGGCTGATCAGGACCTGTATCGTGGCCGGCTAGATCACCAGATTTAAATCCTATGGATTTCTTCTTCTTGGGTGTTTTAAAAGGACGCATTTACAATACGCCAGTAGAGACTGTAGATGAACTTCGACAAAGAATTTTCCACCATAGCCAGGAAATGAAAAATAACATCCAAATGCTTTGGAGAGTGCAGCAAGGATTAGTTCGTCGAGCTCGAGAGTGAACAATTTATGTAGTTATTATTTCCGTTTATTAGTTTTGTTCCCATCCTCATTGGTTATTGTTAAAAACCATATAAACGCTACTCGGATATTAACCAAAGCAACTTGATTATTATGTTATAAGAATGTTTTATCATGGTACAAATAATGCATCGGAACTTCTAAAAACAAATATCTCGAAAACTATTAGCTTTAGACACAGTGAACCTCTTTGTTGTGGAGATACTAGAAAATGAGATTTTTTGGTCAGTTGTATTTAGGGTAGCACAAAAAAGTTATTTACCGAAATAGCGCTGTAAGTGGCGCCCTCTAGACGTTTGGCTATAAAAAATAACGGATACTAGAAAAGCTCCATACACCGAGTTTTATGTCAAAACCTGAAATACTTCTCAAGCAATAAGGAAAAATAGAAAGTAAAATTCTAACTTTGACACCCTGTATCTCGCAATCAACTTTTGGATTAAGGTATGTTTAGGTCAATTCACATGTTTTGGTCTGTAGTATCGCTGGTTTCCAGATTTCCCAACCTTTCGGAGACATCCCACCCTGTATACACCTCTGGAAATTACACCAAACATCTTTTTATTTATTGATTGCAGAAACAAATTTAAGAATGATACCAGCTACTACTTATTGATGAAATAAGGTTTTACAGAGATGCGTACCAATGTTTTATCTTTGGGTTGATCCACATGTGAATATAACAATATCAAGCCAGATATGGTATTCTGTTATACGTAGAACATGTGGAAAATTGGTACCCATACAAATATCTCTGACGTGATGGTAACAGAATATCGTTTGTAATGCGACACTGGTATGAAACACTGAACAAATACAACTAACTGTAGACAAAATATAAATTTTACAGAGGTATGTGTGGCAAATATAAATAATAAAGTATGACTTCACTCAGTTTAGCTTATCAAAGTAACTATAACAACAGTGAAAATGTACACTGCAAATATTTTGTTAAGCAACTATACACTCACAATATTGGTAATAGAATAGAGGCACTTATAGTGATGTAAAAGCCAAACTTCAATAAGGCACAAAACCTAGTTGAACAAAGTTATGCAAATCCTTTTTGTCGTTATCCTACTAGAACAGAGAGGTGATGAGATAAAGTGCAATCTAAAAAAATGAGAAACAATAAGTGCAACATAAAATAATAAATAAATCAGCTTATATTTGCTTCATCATACATAAATAAAAAATGGAATGTTGTACCGTCTTTGTACATCAAACATAATACTATAGAACTCTTAAAAAACTAAAATCCACTTTGATATGTTTTCGTTATCCCTAATGAAGAAAATGTGATTTTACAGTTATTGTTATAACAACGAATAAAGATACATTGTTTAGTTTTTTAGTCGCATTACAAGAAAGCTGAATATGTTGATTTTTTGGTTGGATGAGTAATTGTTTGAACCAATTGCACAAAGGCCAGTAGAATAGCATTAAATAAAAGAAAAATAAGGCTGTCCGTATAATAGCTTGGCTCGGACACAAAAGAAAGAAAAAAACCTATTTTCCTTTTTCTTCATTTGGGTTAACGTACATATTCTCTTTCATCAACAATCACTTCTTGTAAACGTAGCTCTCAGCACCACCTCTACCATAACCCCCAGGGCCAAACATGGCTGAGTAGCAAGGTTGGTGACAGTAGGGCTTGCCTTCGTGCTCTGCGTGAGAACCTGGAGCAAGAGTTTTGTTGCATTTTTCGCAGCGGAGACAAGCTGAGTGCCAGTCTTTGCCCAGGGAGAATTTGCGCTCAGCTGTAAGGAGAAAAATAGTTATCTATATGTCTAGGGTGCTAATCGGACGTTTATGGCCAGCGATATGAAAGTAGAGCCCAATGTGCAAAGCGCCGTATGGTCTAACACTCAAACGGACATTCACGATTATTACATCCCAAATACATTTATGAAATTTTATCAATGACCGAAAATCAAAAATTTAGTGTAGCTTCTAAGTAGAATTGAATATAAAAATAAATTGATCATACTACCTTCAGTGGTAGTGTCGCCCAGCAACAAATAAATAGGACCGTCATATTCTGTTCGACATAAGTCAACTTATACATAGCGGGCGGTAAAGTTACTTATGGTGTCTGTGGGCCGAAAAGTAAACGTAGCGAACGAAAAAACTATTGATATGCTTTTCCGTAAGGTCATAGATAAAAATAAAAACAATTAGGAATGATAGTCCTACCTGGATCCATCAGCCACATGATGTTCATGCAAGAGCTCAAGGGAGCTTCCATAATACTTTAAAACATACTTTGTAAGAAATGTATACTTACAAAATTGATGAAATCAGAACAGCGCACTGTTAAGCATTTTTACGTGCATATACTGTATTTTAAAAATTTTCAATAATCCAGAATGAGTAAGCTGTGCTATAACGCACTATAAAACTATTTGATGGAAAACGTATAATCTCCGCCAAACCAAGACTTTGTTTATTTTTATTTCAATCCTCCAAGCATTGAATGCGTTCAGCCAACATAAAGCGATTCTGCGATACATCACTTTATGTTGAATAGCAGTAGCCGTGGCATATCTTTGTCAGTTTGCGAGATTAATCAACAAACGCGAATACTAGAGATACGAGGTTAAACACATAGAGTGGGGGTGAAGTCAAAAATGTCGACCATGAAGTAAATTAGTTCACTGCACAGGAAATGAGTTTCAGGTGCTGCGCATAGGGCATATCTTACCTGTGTACACTGCGCAGAAAATTAATTGAATATGGCATCTCTCTCTGTTGCTATCACCATGACTGTAAACAACACGAATTTTGACAGTTCGGATGAGTTGCAACCAGAAATATTGGATAATATTAATAAACCACGAAGTAATATACCTACAAAGCATGGCGAAACATGAGTGAAATGCACATAAAGATTGCGGGGCTATGTTGACACTTTTCAATGCGCAGATGCTCTACGCCCACTAGATTTCCGAGAGCCACACTATCCTTTTCGACAGGATTGGCTTCATTTGAAACAATGTATCCCTTACCTAGTTTAACCCCCTCTATCTCTAGTCTTCGTGTCAACAGACTAGCAACACTGGACAGCCAAGTGAAAACCGGTGTCAAAGCTCAATAGTCTTATCATATTAGCAAATTTCCCCGAAATAATTGTAAAATCTGGTTTTATTGGTGCAAGTTGTTCAAGGGGGTATTTAAAACATGGACGCATAAAATGGGTACACCAATTTTTGTGGGCAATCTTTTTATTTGATAACAAATAGTGAAAAAACATGTTTTTTGGGACTCAATCGAAAGTGTTGGCAGGAACCAAAAAGCTCTTCATATAAGATTTTCAGGTAAGACCTATAAAATGAGAGCATCATGTTTGTTTAGATTATAATGAAAGCTATTAAAGACGGACAAGTCAAAACATCCAAATTATAGAAACGGATATTTCCAAGCTTATACTCATATGAATTTGTTTTATATTTTATCGTGGTGAATCAGCCCTAAGTTTTGCTGGAAACATTATTATCATTCAAGAGTTAAACGTGCTTGGTTCTGCTACTATCCCATAGACGGCGCCATGATCTTTCAGATCTTTCACATGTGTGGAGTAATATTCCGTCCACACATGGATGGGCCACCCAGTATATGGTCAAAGCATATAGTGACGAAACTAAAGAATGTGTATGGTTTAGCAAGAAAAAATCAAGTGGGATGACAACAGTAAAGATGATTTATCGTGGTTAGATGTCTGTTGAATGCTAAACTTTTCCACCGCAATTACAAATTCAACGTAAAAAATTACCTCGTTCCGTGTTTCCTGCTAGCAGTCACCTTGCGCATACTGATAAGGTGCTCTTGTTTAACGGACTTTTGAAGGGGCAGTACCGGTACTGTTCGTCCAAATTGTGTAGATACCTTAAGTCACACGGAAATGCCATTCGTTGTATGCCTAATTTGAGTTCTTTAGTTCTTCAAACCAGTGACAGTTACAATTCACTATTCACTAACTTATTGTTTTGATTTCAATGGCAACATTTACTAAGAACTGTTCTTGTCAAGTTCTACTCCTAAAATCACCAGATTTGAAACTAATCATATTTTTTCTTGATTCCTATCTCTGGATAATATATTTGGACGCGTCATCTGAGTAAAATGAATCAAGTTATAATCAACACCTCCTACCAGTTCCTCTTTGTCTCGCCTTCCTTATTCCTTTCACTCGTCATTCAAAATTTTGTACAAAATGTTTGAACAATTCCAAAAATGTGTTCGCTCCTGACGTCGTAATGTATACGAGATAGAACCGCGAGAAGCGTGCAATACATGTCTTAGAAAGAAATAGAAGCACCTCGTTGCCTAATAACCCGACTGACGAAGCTACGGACCCCATCGGCGCATTCTGTGTAACATACATATTGGGAGCTTCTCACTCGTACACATTACGACGTCAGCCAAATTTGAACCTCACCTTATGCCATTTTTAACCCCAAAAAACAATAAGCAAAAAGGAAAATTTTAGGAGGTATTGCTATTGTAAAACCTTTGTTGTTGTGACGCAAACAATTAATATTGTATAGTGGTACCAGCACCACATTTTGAATGGATGTTTATGATTCACACTAGGATGACCTCAACCCACTTGATTTTATCATCAGCAAAATTAGACAATCATTGTGAGATCCTATTAGGTAGAAATATAACCATCAATTTACAATGAGAGAGCTCAACAATCTGATCAAAACACCATTTGTAAACATTTCTAACAAAGGAAGTACAGTACAAAATAAAATGAAACAGGATGATCGAACTCATAAAATGTTAGGCACCCGATTGACCTGTATAAAATTCCTTTGAATACTTGGTTGTAACGGAAATGTACGAAAGTATCCTCGTATCTTCTTTATTACATGTCATAAAGCCGTATTATACTCGTATATTTCACCTTCTTTCAATATGAGTGGGTTTATTACAGATAAACTTATCACAGAATATTTGTTACGACTTATTGATAACGTGAGTAACCTTTGAGCCAAGCCGAGGAAAATGGCAATGAATCTTATCTCTTATTGTGCTTTTACCTAGAATGCGTGAAATTGTAAAAATATGTTTGTTAGCACGTATCAAAATACATAAAATCATAAATGAAATATGTAGTGCAGTTTAAGCATTTCGAAGATTGCTTGAATAGATGAAGTTAACAAATTGTTCGTGTTTCAAAAGTTATGAATCGGAAACAAGATGTTTACCATATTTTGAACTTTTGCCGGATCCCCTAAGACTTAACTAAAAATTGTTGATGTGAAAAAATGCCCTGAATTTAAGAAGCTTTTTCAGTTTAAAATACATACTCCCAAAAAAGTTAAAAAAATGAGATGTGCCTTCCCCCACTCACTACAACTTCCAACCCCCGATTTTCAACCCCCATAAAAAAATTACTGAAAAAGATCGGGATCCTTTGAAACGCCAAAAAAATAAGTTTGATCGATTTCCATTTTATCGTGCGCTTACGCCTAGTTTCGCCTCCCCAGCACCGATTTTCAAAAACTACAAAGCTTTTTCGTCCTTGGTATTGTAGTAACCTTATGTCAAAATGTCATCCATATCTGAGCAGTACTTTTCAAGATACAGGCGGTGCAAAGATTAGGGGTCAGACCGACAGACAGACAGACGTGATGTACATGTCATATAACATCCAAAAAAACATAATATCTCAATTTCGATTTTTTTTGCGCATACAGTAGACGTCGGAAGTAAAAAGCATTTAGTAATGGCAAATGTTTACTTTTCTATGAAAACACTAACACCTTTGGTCGATCATTGAATTTTGAGTAACAAAATATCTAGACGAGCAGAATGAATAAAATAATTCACACTAATGTAATCTGGTTTCTACGGTTAAATTAAGATTTAAAGCCTTGAAAGGCTTCCACTAACACGTTTTTAATAGGGTATTAGCTTTTCGATTATTCTAGATTTACATCGATTTTGATTTCATTTCAAACATGAAACTGATCACTGAATATGTCTGTTCCTGGCATTGTTTTCTCAACTGCCGAACTTTATAGACAAATAAAAACTTCCAAAAAATTGCAAACTCAAATTTTCTGTTTCTTTCAAGACTGGTCAAATAGTTTAATACTTCAAAATTCCTAAAATTCTTCAACCTTCATTGTTTTATTCATACAGGGTGTTTTCAAAGATGAGTCATTTATTTTAACAGCTTGTAGAACTCGTCAAAAAAAGTTGATATACCAAAAATCAACTATATAAAAATTGCATAATAGGATAGTTTACATTATTAAAAATTACATAAAAAATCATTATCAAGTTAAATGGATACCGTTTTTACAAAAACTGTCCCTATTTGTTCGACTAACGCAAAATATTGCTCGGTGTTAAAGCCGTGGAGCGAGTAGGCCAAGAAATGGGTCCATTACGCCCTATCCATCTATTCGGAAACTCATTATTTAGATGTTCATGAACTTCTCTTCTGACTAACATTTAGAGGAACATCTAATAATTGTTGCAGATTGTGTCGAAGAAAATTTAAATACATTTCACCGATCAATCGAGGTGGAAAACAGTAGGCTCCAATAAGCATGCTATTTACCACGCCAGCCCAAATAGTTAATGAAAATCTATGTTGAAAATGAGCTCTTTTTACAGCATACGGATTTTCTACTGCACAAACATGATTGTTGTAGAAATTGTGCACTCCATGTAAATGTGGCCTTGTCTGTACACCAAATTAATTTCGTAAGATCTTCATTTCTGCCGAACTGTTCTAAAAGCTACAGGTAAAATATAATTTATATAGGTAATTTTTGGTATATCAACTCCTTTTGACGAGTCCTACAAGCAGTAAAAATAAATGAATCAACTTTGAAAACACCCTGCAGATTTTCAAAACATTAAGTTATAGCTTCTGTTTTTCAGTATATTCAAACTGTTTTCAAATTTTGAAGCCATGAAGGGGATGTTAAGCATCTCCAGACAGGTAAAACAAAAAAAACTACGAAGCTCTTTGACCCTTTTTAAGAGAAAACTCTCGCTAAGTAGAATTATGTAAACAACTACATATAACCCGAAATCCAGTTCAAGGCTTGCACCGATCAGGCTTCACTTTAATATCAATAATACCGGTTTTTAAATGTCATACATAGCAACTGAGAGAACACAAATGATATTCCCTACACTTATCAAGAAAACAACAGACATACCAAAATACACAGGTTTTTCGCACTTGGGACAGTTCGGCATCTTGCTGCTTTTCTGCTAGCCTGGTACAAATTTCCTGCAAGGAGATCCTGCGATCCGTTACGAAACAATTCCGAAGAACGGTGAATCAAAATCGACTGACGAGTGGTTTCAGTGAATGTTCGTAGCAGGTTTTCGGCACTGGACGAGTTCCTACGCATACCGCCAGGCGACGCTCCGGTCGAACGCGCGTGTTGTCTCGTAAAGCGCGCGAAGTAACCTTGATGACAGCTACAGAGTCTTCCAAAATTACGTCAGCAGGATAAATCATCCTACTTTTTTAGTTTACAAATTGTCAGCGAAAACAATGTCTTGTTTGCAAATAAAGGATCAGGGCCTATAAGCGGGTTTTTCGGTTATGCATATAAATCATTTTTAAGTTAAACGCATATATAAAATTCCCTGGCGACACCCTCCAGTAACAAATATAACGGAACGGTTCGCAATGCCAAAAACCAGCACGATATAAAAGTTAGGCACAGGGTAATGTCGCAGCGCAATGGCAGTCGGTCTTTCTGGAGGTTGGCCAAGCAGATTGAAAAGAACTTCTCACACAGTAGCCTTCCACCACTTACGTGTCAGGATGGAACGATTGTATCCGACTTAAAAGAAAAGGCGGAAGTGCTTGCCAAGATCTTTGCGGCCAACTCCACCATGGACGTTCCCCCCAACGCCCAAGTGCCGTCAATTCAAAGGGTTCCCTACACTATGCGGGAGGTAACATTCAGGCATAAGACCGTACGACGAGCGCTCTTGTCGCTCGACATCAACAAAGCTTCTGATCCGGACTTGATTCCTGCTATTGTACTGAAGAGGTGTGCAGCGGAGCTTACTCCAGTTCTTTCGCGTCTCTTCCAGATTTCTTATGAATCCGGCACCTTTCCAGAAAACTGGAAATTTCATGTCCAGCCAATCCCAAAAAAAGGATCTAAGACCGACCCTTACAACTACAGGCCTATAGCTCTGCTTTCTGTTATAAGTAAGGTGATGGAGAGGTGCATAAATCGCGAGCTTCTGGACCACCTCGAAAGTCACAGCTTGATTAGCGACAGGCAGTATGGTTTCCGGCACCAACGATCCACAGGGGACCTCCTAGCCTACGTCACGCAATTGTGGAGTAAACTCATCCAGTCTTATGGTGAGGCTAATGTCGTTGCTCTTGACATCACGAAAGCGTTCGATCAGCTGTGGCACGCTGCCCTCTTAAGCAAACTTCCATCCTATCGCTTTCCAGAAAAGTTTTGCAGATGGGTGGCTGACTTTATCTCTGACCGCAAGATATCCGTCGTAATTGACGGGTTCTCCTCTTCACCCCACAACGTCAACGCGGGTGTTCCCCAAGGATCGGTCTTGGCTCCGACACTGTTTAACTCTTACATATCAACGACCTCCTTTCCTGCACGATCAACCCAATCCACAGCTTCGCTGATGACAGCACTCTACATGCAGGAATTCAGAGTGACAAGCCGATCTCTGCCGCTGAGCTGGAAAAAAGAAGACTAGCGACGACTTCCTCTCTGACAAGAGACCTGGAGACTATCACTGCTTGGGGACGCAACAAACTTGTACAGTTCAATGCTTCCAAAACACAGTACTGTACTTTGACGAACAAAAAGCGACCTAGAGCTCATCCGGTTTCGATGAATGGCCGAGTTCTGCCAAAGAGCCATTACTTTCGGCTGGTCGGAGTCCAGATCACCGAGGACCTGATCTGGCACGAACACATCTCGTCCATAGCAGCAGCTGCTGGGAAAAAGCTAGGCTATTTGTTTAGGGCTAAGTAGTACTTTTCTCCGCATGACCTTCTCACTCTATACAAGGCCCAGATAAGGCCTAAACTCGAGTATTGCTCACACGTTTGGGGTGCTGCCACGCCGACTATATTGTCCATGCTCGATGCTGCTCATAGGAGGCCGGTCCGACTGATCGATGACTCTTCTCTAACAGACAGTCTCGGGACCCTTTCGCACCGGCGGGCAATCGGCGATCTAGCTCTTTTGTACCGCTACACCAACAGGCTTTGCTCCTCAGAGCTCTCTTCCATGATGCCGCCGCGCGATGTGTCTGCCAGGCAGACCCGCCTCACTTTGGCCTCCCAACCTAACCGTGTCGAACTCCGTACATCCATAACTGGCCGATACGACCGCTCCTTTGTGCCGAGGGTGTCGAGATTGTGGAACAATCTACAAGAGGAAGCTTTTCCTAGTTCTACTAACCTTAGACAGTTCAAAAATCGTATTAACAAATTTTCTTTGGGATCATCATAGCAGCCGCTGTGTCCCGGCATTTAGGCTTTTGCCTGTGCGGCTGCTTCGGTATAAAAAAAATACGCGTCTTCTTCTGCTACCTGGGCTTAGCGCCCGATATAACGATCTGCTTGATCGTTCTGTTCGTACTGCGGCGGTGGGCGCTGCCGCGTCTGGCTATAAGGAAAAGGGCAACGTCACCAGATGGACGGTAACTACCGGTAGTGAAGGAAAATGATGTCCAGAGGCTAATTGTATGGGTCTATTGGACTGACTTGGTCCGTTTAACTTCTCTATTATACATGTTTGTGACTGATTTTTTCTCAGAGGTTTCAACTTTTGATGGATCTAACCTTGCGTAGGAAGTGCAGAATCAACCTTCTTGATGACATTTTTTAATTTTCACATATAGTTGCCGGAGATTTTGGAATATATGATGCAGCTATGTAGCTGTTTGAGGCATTGAATTAAGAGAACCCCTGTATCATTCTTATTCATATTTGTTTAAATACTTGATCTTGTCAAACGGCTGCTTCTGAAAAGCCGCGTCTGAGTTAGCGATATGCAACATGTACTGTGTTATGATTTAATCAGTGATTAGGTAATGCTTATTTATAAAAAATGTCATCGGTGCCTTGTGAACATTATTATTTTAAAAAAATACATTTCAGTGCGCTCCTTGGGATATATCAGGCAAGCTATTAATAAATAAATTTGTCGCAAAAAAACATGAAATGAATTTTTGAATAGGAAGGACAGGACTTCTTCTCTACTTTTCCTTGGAAAGATGTCTGTCTGTTCTTCGATAACCGAAATTATCCACGTCTGGATGGAGGAATACATCCCTCATATAGTGAAAGTGCCTGAACCAGCAGAAGATCAAGGCACACAGAACCTTACAAAACCCCACTGTAGAGAACAGACAAGCCGTTCGCATTGCATGCCAAATGTCAGCACGATATAAAAGTTAGGCACAGGATAATGTCGCTGCGCAATGGCAGTCGGTCTTTCTGGACGCTGGCCAAGCAGATTGAAAGGAACTTCTCGCAGGGTAGCCTCCCACTACTTACGTTTCAGTATGGAATGACTGTAACTGACTCAAAGGCTAAGGCGGATGTGCTTGCCAAGATCTTTGCTGCCAACTCCATAAGACCGTAAGACGGGTTGCTCTTGTCACTCGATATCAAGAAAGTGTCAGGTCCGAACTTGATTCCTGCCATTGTACTGAAGAGGTGCGCAGCGCAGAACACTGAAAATTTGCTCATGTCCAACCCATCCTAAAAAAGGATCTACAATTACAGGCCTATAGCTATATTTTCTTTTATAACTAAGGTGATGGAGAGGCGCATAAATCGCAAGCTTCTGGGCTATCTTGAACGTCACGGCTTAATTAGTGACAGGCAGTATGGTTTTCGGCACCAGCGATCCATAGGGAATCTCCTAGCTTCTGTCACGCAATTGTGGATTAAGCTCATGTCGTTGCTCTTGATATATTGAAAGCGTTCGATCAGTTGTGGCACGCTACCCTCTTATGCAAACATCCATCCTATGGCCTCCCAGAGAAACTTTGTAGATGGGTGGCTTTCTCTCTGGCCATCGTGATTGACGGGTTCTCCTCTTCATCTCACAATGTCTACCCGGGTGTTCCCCAGTAATGAGATTCGCTGTTTCATTTCAACAAACATATTGTTAGTATTTGAAATAATTTTTTTAAATTTATTGGCTGCCACTGTTACCTTGAGAGTGATGAACCTTTTGGCGCAACAGCGTTTCCATTTTACTTACCTTTACACAGCGAATAGTTCATGTCACAACTACCATGTTTCCCAGTAACACATACACTGAGAACCAAATTCGTCTGACGGCTTGAGTTCAATGTGTACGAGAGAGAAATGAGTATATAGATACATGTGTTAGAAAGAGATAGAAGCCGGCTGATAGCGAAGCTCATCACCGCGTTGCCTAGCAATGCTGACGCGGCAATCCGCCATGTTGCCAATATGTTACACCAATTCCCTGTATTAAGGTGCATGTTGAAAATATTCGTTAGTTTATTCTCTACGCTCAAATAATGGTTTTATTTTGAGCGTAAACATTGAATTGTGTCGAATCTGTTTAGGATAGATCCCGGATCGGTCCTAACGACGCTCCATTTTAGGTCGAAATGAATGGTCATCAGGACGGCCACAAATCCTGCTACATTACATCATTGGTTCGCTTGGCATATCGTATCTCGTACAAGGTTTCCACCACCATTATCATAGACGAGTGATTTTGACAGCAACCATCTATTGCTTATTAGGGAGTGTCGTCCTGCTTCAAAGTGGTTTTCACGTACACGCAGGCAGTGATAATGGTATTTGTTACATTTTCCGGCCTCTCAATGTAGCAACGTGTAACAATAACTCAGGATGTGTTAATTTTATCACCATCAGTGAAAATCAAAGGTAATTGTAAAATAAATTAAAACACTAAGTCGCATCAGAATTGAAATAATTCTAATCAAAATGAAAACAAAATATTAAATTAAATGTTCGAACGGACCTCTTTCTTGGGTTTGGCAGTAACCAAACCTATTGAAGAAACCTGTGCGAATATTTTCTGGTGTAACACATTGGCAACGCGGAAGATTGCACGACCTTCTGCGTCACCGTCGCTAGGCAATGTGGTACACATTGAACTCAAGCCTTCAGACAAATTTGGTTTTCCCTGTATACCGAGCAAAGTTCCAAAAAAATCTGAATGAGCGAGCTCGTCCCTGCATCCAATTCAAGTGCCGCGCGTAGGTAGTGTAGATTATTTACAAGTGGATTTGGAAAAAACGAAATTGTCACATTCCTATAGCAATACCGAAGTTATCCATTTGACGCTAGTTTACGGTAACTGATACTGTGAGAGCGTATTTAGATAATTCGCTTGGATACTTCCGTCTCGGGCTGCGTAGGTTTGTTTATATCATGCAAAGGCAGTCGAGGTGGACACATAACAAACTTGTGTCTATGAATCCAACGGCGACAACTAGTATTTATGAGCTTAACATGTGACAGGGCAGTGCTTGAAATTTGAATGTTGGGTACTTTTCTTCAATTTCATTTTTACATAGCGCAAATTAGCTTTGTTATTTCAAACTTAATTGTTTCCAAAAAAGAAAGTAGTATTGCTAAACCAACAATAAAAATTTAAATAATGTATCGCACGCCTCTACTTCCTATTTAAAAATTGTATTGTTACTTCCTCTCGCAGGATGTTATTTTGAATAAAATTACCCGCTTTGGTTGTTAATGCATTTGTATCTTCTTTAGGGTTACCCTGTAGTTAAGTAAAAGAGCTCCATCAACGAATTTTGATAGATGGTTTATTGTCTTCGGATCATGATATGAGACTTGTCCGATATATCTATAAGTACATTATTATCTCCAAAATTCAAAAGTATATTCAAGCATGAATACATAAATTTGTCGAAAAAGCAGCGGTTTGAATGGAAAGAATCACATTTAGTGGAAAAAGGACAAAGGTCACATGTGCGCACGCACGAACATGCACACAAGCTGACATAAATAATAAACGGAACAAGGTGTATAAGGAATAAGTAGAATAACAATAGAAAAATAAAAGGGACGCAGATATAAGTATCAGACCGCTAAGAAATATACAAGGTGGGCCATTCAGGTGTTGGTAATTTCAATATTCAATTGAAAAATAACTACGCAATATAAAAGAAAAATAAATGTATTTTTAAAAAGTAGAAAGATAGGAATTTTCAAGACTTAAAAATAATGTTGTTCAAATGACTTTCTTGGGCTGCTTGGCACTCTTGCAACCGAAGCTTCAGATTTTGGAAAACTCGTTGAAAAGTTGTTCTCGGTATTTTGTTACCTTCCTGAACAATATTCTTCTTCAGCTGCTCTAAATTTGTTGGATTATTCTCGTAGACCAGCGATTTGAGGTAGCCCCATAGGAAATAATCGCATGGAGAAAGATCGGCGCTACGTGGAGGCCATTCAATATCCCCCTTTTCGATATGAGTTTTCCGGGAAAGACATTTTTAAGCAGCTCTATAGATACCCTAGTTGTATGTCATGTGGTCTCATCTAGTTGAAACCACATTCTAGAGGTATTGCTTTGGAGTTCTTGCAAAGCCTGCACCAAAAAGTCTGTTATCATATTGCAATAATTGTTAGATTTAACTGTGATCGCTTGCCCTCTTTCGTCCTCAAAAAAGTACGGTCCAATAATACCGGTTGACGTAATTCCAGCCCATATGACTAGTTTAGGGCTGTGAAGTGGACGTTCATGGAAGCGTCGGGGATTAGTTTCGAACCAGAACCGACAATTTTGTTTGTTAACATGGCCATTGAGGTGAAAATTGGCCTCATCACTACACATCACGTTGTTAAAACTGTTGAATCGGTCGAGCATCAAATTGACAAAGTTAAGTCGAATGGTTTTAATTCTTGGACTAGTTGAATCTTATAAACCTTCAAATGCAAATCACGCTTCAAAATTCGCCGCAAGTTCGTTCTTTTGATGTCTAAAGCCTGACTTCTCTTACGTGTTGACTGTTGCGGATTTCGGTGAACTGACACACGAACACGCTCTACATTGTCGGCTGATCTTGCAGAAATTGGACTACCACGAACTGTTATTGCTTATTTCCGTTTAACGTTGGCGCTTGGAACTTCTCTTAAATCGCGTAAACCGTGTTCATGTCGATACAAACGTCGTACAGTAATAACCGATTTATTGTTTTCATAATAAGCTCGGAAACAAAATGCACGCTGCGCTCCTGTGTACGGCTCCATGGCGACTAAATTTTCAGGCAACTGCGAGGCGAACAGCTTACCCCCCCTCCCCCCAACCCGCGTCCCGCGTTTCCGAGAAATTTAAGATTTAAATCTTATGGCCTACCCTGTATATACAGCTTTAGTTTCTTATTTAATTTTAGGTGCATCACTCTTACGGTGAAAGAAACTCAGCTACTGAATAGTAGCATTTTTCTTTTAACAGATTCCTCAGCTATTTCTTGAAACTATTTGGGCATCTAATATATTCTAGTATTGATCACAACTTATTGAACACTTTGGTGCAGGCGTAGGCTGGTGATTTTTTCGAACATTGACAGTGTATGCGAAGGTATACCCAAGTCCTGTTTTGCTTTAGTGTTGTAGTTCGTATTTAAGTCATTGTTCTGCAGAAACTGGCCCCTGTGTTTGAAGGTGTAGGGGCGCATTTATAAATATAGGGCCACTCTAAGACAAGCTAACGCCTCTGTCCAAGGACGGATTTAGGAAGTTGTCTAGGGGAGGCAGCATTCATGTTCTCAGGAAGATGTTCGTCTCCGGGAGGAGGGGATATCGTCGATTAATCATTGAAGAGCGGGGGGTTGCGGCTGCACGCCTAATCGCTTCCAAAAGCAAATGCCCTTGTATAAATTAAAAAATGGGGGAGGGGGTTATCTGCAGATTGAGAAACACCTTTGACATTTTTTTAAGCTCGCATCTATCCACTTTCATGTCAAATATACTAAGTGACATATAAATCCGAACACCCAGTTTAAATGGTTTTATTTTAATAAAATTTTGTATAAGTACTTAATGAAGCATAATAAGTAAATGATAAAAATTTCAAAATGATTGCACTGCTTTAAAGCCCTTTGACCTTTAATAATGTGTGGATGCACCCTGATGTGCTACGCATTCTCCAACGCGCCTAGGCATGCTTCTGATCAGGTGGTCAATGTCCTCCTGTGGTATCTCATTCCAGGCAACCACCAACTCCTCTCGAAGTGCTTCTAGAGTCTGAGGAGGACATTGCAAATTGAGCAATCTCCTACCCATCATATCCCACACGTGCTCAATTGGGGATAAGTCGGGAGATCTTGGTGGCCATGGTAACAATGTGACATCATTATTTTGAAAGAAGTCTATTGTGACTCTTGCAACATGTGGTCGGGCATTATCTTGTTGGAAAGTTGGATCTGCCAGGGTGTCAAGATAGGGTAAAAGATGGGGTTCTAGAACTTCGTGGATATAAGGCTGCGCGTATTGTTACCTCTGATGAAGATTAAAGGTGACCTGGAACCATAAGCTATAGCACCCCAAACCATAACTCCAACAGTGTGATGAACATGTCTTTCAACAAAAAACTGTGGATTCCTCCTTTCACCACGTCGCCTTCTAATCCTGGCACGACCATCGTGCATGCATAAACAAAATCGAGACTCGTCACTAAAGACCATACTGTTCCATTCCTGATCCCAGAGTGACCGTTGTCTGCACCACTCAAGGCGATTACGTCGGTGTTCTCGAGTTAAAGGGAGGACCCAGTGTGGCCGGTATGAAAACAAGCCAAAACTTCTCATTCGTCGGTAAACACTTCGCATGCCAATAGGTCTTCCGTGTTCTGCAAACCATTCATTTGCAATGGACCTGGTAGTGGAGAAACGGTCCCTTAAGGCCAATAATCTTAGACGGCGATCTTCATGGTCTGTTGTTCTACGGCGGCGTCCAGTGCCCCTTGCTCTTTGCGTACGGCCTTCTCGAAGCCATGCCTGACAACACCTAACCACAGTGTCTACACTTCTTTGCACTCTAGCTGCAATTGCCCGAAAAGAAAGTCCAGCTTCCCGAAGTCCCACTATACGGCCCCTATCAAACTCACTAAGTTGACGAAATCGTACAGGTCTCCGTACTCTAGGCATCGTAACCGATCGTAAAGGATGTCAAGAACCAAAATCCGCCAACGTTGATTCTTTACTGCGGCTGAAATATTCATTTTTAGAGCGTTAGTGAATTAAAAAAAAGCAGTATAAAAACCGGAATGTCCAACTGATAAGGCTGAAAATTTTTTCACTTGTTATTTACAGTAAGATAAATACATTCCCCAACTTTTATTAAAATAAAACCATTTAAACTGGGTGTTCGGATTTATATGTCACTATACATGGAAAAAGCTCATTTTGTTCACAGTACCGAGTTGCTATCAGTTATGATTATATTGATTGGATATCTAGGCTTAAGTTTGCGATAATCGTCTAAACCGAAACGTATTATCAGTTTACGATGTTTGTATTATTTCTGTAAAACAATCATTCGCATGGTGCAATAAAGATGAATTTAGTTATATTAATTTGTTTCTTAGTTTTCACTAGACAAGCACAAGGTAAGTGAAATTATTATATCTACTTTAAAGTATTATTTGTGTCATATCATAATTTGAAAAAATGTCCGGATTACTTATACAGTGTTTATGAGAATCCTACCTCAAGTTAGGAAAATAAAAACGCTCTTGAGGAAAATTCGGTTATCTTCGTCTCTCCTCGGAAATACTCTGAACCGAAACGTTCTAAGTTCAGGGTGCGGCAGAGAGGATGGACGGTTTTAAAAGTCATAAAATAGTTAATTTTTACTCGAAAACAAATTTATTGATGGAATCAGGTTCACAAGGAAATTGCATTTGAGACAGTCAAGTGTGGCAAATCACATCAGGCATGTGGTGGCCGAAATCGTTGATGCAGTGCTGGAGGCGTTCTTGGAAGTTCGCGTAGACTCTCTCCAACATCGTTCTCTCAACTTGGGCGACTTCCACGCGAATTTCGCCCTTCAATTCGTCCAGAGTTTCGGGGCTTGTTCGCGTATGGATAAATCTGGGGACCGAAAAGGCCAATGAACATCGCCAAACCTGGAAATAAGGCGACCAGGGAAGAGAGGGCGAATAACGTCCATGGATGCTCGGGCTGTGTGGGCGGTCGCCCCATCCTGCTGGAACCACACACGTCGGATTGGAACACGTCGCCGTCATAATTCAGGGAGAAAGAAGTTGGTGATCATGTCGAAGTAGCTCTCTGAGTTCACGGTAACATCACAGCCATTACCGTCTTGGAAGAAGTAAGGGCCAATGATGCAAGTTTGCGATACAGCGCACCAAGCCGTTACTTTTGGGCTGTGCAGTGGTCTTTCGTGTAACTGTTGCGGATTTTCATTAGCCCAATAACGACAATTCTGCTGGTTAACCATGCTGTTTAGGTGAAAGTGGGCTTCGTCACTCATAAACAAAATGAGGTTCTCATTTTGATCGATCAGTGCTTCCACGTGCGAAGTTCATTCGTTGTGCATAATCTCCGGGCTGTAACTGTTGCACAATGGCCAATTTGTAGGGGTGAAAGCGGAGATCCATATGCAAAAATTCGCCTTACCGAACTATCACTAAGGGAAAGTGCAGCAGCATGTTTTCGGGCAGATCGAGTCGGACTGCGAAGAAAGACCTGTCGAACGCGTTCAACATTTTCAGGAGTTCGAACTGTTCGCGGCGCTCCTCTTGGTCTTCTGTTGATCAGTTCACCACGCCTGCGAAGTGATTCAACCCAACGAAGGATGGTGTTTCGAGAGTGAACAGCTCTATTCCGATGAATGTTGAAGTGGCGACGAAACTCACGCTGTACGACGATGACTGACTCATTATTTCGGACGAAACAATCATAGGCGAAAACGCGGTGCTCCACCATCCAAGGCTCCATAACGACAACTGGTAAAATAATGCTAGGATCTCACGAGTCAAACGGCACCCTCCCCACCTCTCTCGTAGATGGAGGCGGAGAGTACTACCCATCCCAAAAACGTCCGTCCTCTCTGCCGCACCCTGTACCATACCTAAATGCGTAACTATACCCCTTTTACCGTTTCCAAATTTCAATAGTAAGAATCGAACTGAAACACCCGGGATTTTCAATGTGTGTTGATACAAGTTTCTGCCAAGTCTGAACGAAATCTGCCATTTAGTTCCTGATATAATACATATAACATTTACAGGGGCTCTTGCGCCGACACGACACCATATGTTTTCATATCATTTCAATTTTCATCTGAATAGAAATGCAAGTAGAAGTATATACTGAGTGACAAAAAAAGGTAAACGCATGTTTATTAAAATTCAAGAATTTTTTACATATTATAGATTTATCTTGCCATGAACAACAAGTGATGAAGTGGTCAGGTTTTTCTGTTAAGTTTTTGTGGTGGCTGCGCGTATTGTTTGGTGATCAGTGTTCGTACATTTCCGGAGTCAGTTAAACGGTAAATTTCGTGTAGCCTATTGAGAAGCCTTTTTGTTATTGTTCAAAATGAATAGCAAGGTAATTTTCGCGGATGTTTTGAAGATCAAACAAAAAAATACACGCCTTTTTTCTTTTACTTAAGAAATGGGTACCCTATTAGGTATATTTTAATTATCAGTCGGAAGTCAAGGGTGGCACATGCCCTCCCCCACCCTATAATGGGCTCCCATAATTAGAGGTATGGAGTTCAATATTGATGGTTATCATGTTACTGCAAAGTATGTTGGATCGGGCATGTGCACGAAAGCAATTACCTGCTTCATGTTGTAAAATGTAACAAAATGTTGAAGTAAGCATGGGAAGGGGGTGAAGGATTTACTTGCTTTTACTGACAAGAGGAAGGGGGTTCATAATTGTAAAAAATCTCCCTACATAATACTTGAACGGCCCCAATGACAATTTTGTTTCCTGAAAAATTTAGGTGGTTTAACCTATGAGGTTTTTCAAATGATCGGCCGACCAATTTTACCTCCGATTACGCTGGTAACGTCTTAAAGCGAATACTGTAAAATTGTCCCTTTTAGTGAATGTAGTTCTAAAAGTTGATTGAATTGTACAGGACTGTTGAGATGCTACATATGCTCTATGTCGGAAAACGATGTTGATACCGGTTGCTTGGACAACCCCGCAAAGGCAGAATCCGGAAAAATTTTAGACTGTGATAAGAAGTTTTGCTATTCTGTAAGGCAAGATTACAAAGTAAGTGGGACAAATGCAATTTTCTGTAATTTTACAGCGGGATATAATGTGCTCCGTAATTGAGTGAAATTAGACTGTAAGAATTTCTACCTAACAAAGGGACACATAGTTGGTCCAACACGTGTTTTAAGAATATCCTCTACATATTTACTTTTGATCCTTATGAGGTACTATGTAGGAATGATAATTATGAAAAAAGAATGTTCCAGGAAATGCTGGAAACCAAAAAACACTATAATGCTGTTAATAAAAGAACGCACATTTAAGTATCATGTAGTATAACATCAATTTCATGAAAACAAAGTAACAATCAACACATAATATTTATGAGCAACAAAAAGGCCAATCATCAGATATAATAGCATATGATTTTTACTAGTAGAAATACCTCCTTCTTTCCATCAGTTTGTATCTAGTTATATCAGTTTTTCATTGCCTTGTTAAAAAGTTGCAGTCTAAATCTTAATATCTCAGATGTGCATAACGTTGAATTACTATTTGACCACCACGATTTCTAACTAAAAGGGTGAGTTTGTTATAATTTCACTTTTCTGGTAATAAAACAAAAAACACTTTCATTCGTTTGAATAACTACCTGAACTACGAATCATTTCACCTTTGTTTTGTTTTTTATGTGTATGAGTTGGGTAGTTAATAAAATTAATGGATATGTTTTAATGGTTCAAATTATACAGGGTGACTTCGAAGTTGAGCCATTTATTTTAACAGTGAGTAGATCTGATCAAAAGAAATGTTTTTTTCCTATAACATTTTTCTGGTAAAATTAAAGTAACAAAGTTATAGCCCTTTAGAAGTTTGAGTACCGTCCTGTCTCAATAATAATATATCGTGTTTGGCAACAACGGATATAATCCGCCTTATCGGTTCATCGCATCGGAAACAAAAAAGCAAAAGAATTTGAAACGCTTGTCACGATGTTTTTACTACAATTTTATTCAATTGTATTCAGTCAATGTGTCAGTCGGTAACGCGTGAGTGAATAGTGGTGTTTGTTGCGTGGCTCAAACGAAATAAAAAATGGCACATGTTTACAAAAATGCTGAACTTGTGGACATGATTCTTACAAAATGCTGCCGCGGCATCACGGATTTATGCGGATCGGTTTCCCAATAGAGTGCAACCAACCCCTCGTGCCTTTGTTAATGTAGTACAAAGGGCTCGTGAATCAGGTGACTTAAGACCTCACAGGGGAGAGCATGCCGGTGCTCCAAGACCGCACGATCAAATAGAACTAGAAGAACAAATTTTAGAATTAGTAAATGATGATCCAACAGTAAGCACCCGACAAATTTCAACTCAATTGGCGATTAGTCAATATAAAACTTGGAAAACTCTACGTGAAAATCAGGTCTATCCGTTTCACATACAAAAAGTGCAGGCCTTACAACCGGAAGATCATGGAGGGTTGACTTTTGCAATTAGCTTTTAAATAAACACCAAAATGATGACAATTTTTTAAATCAAATTTTAGTGAGTGATGAAGCCCTGTTTACTAGAAACGGAATTATTAATTCACGTAATTCTCACGTTTGGGCTATTGAAAATCCTCATGAAATAAGGGAAACCAATTTTAAACAGCGATTTGAACCAATCAACCTGTGGGCTGGAATTGTTAATGGAATTTTAGTAGGGCCTTTTGAATTACCAAATCGCTTAACTGGTGAAAATTATCTTGATTTCTTGCAACACAATTTTCCTGGAAGATGTGCCCTTAAATATTAGACAAAACATGTGGTTTTTACAAGATGGGGCACCCCCCATTATGCAAGAAATGTGCGTGAATTTTTAAATAGACGATTTAATAATCGTTGGATTGGCCGTGGCGGTTTTGTACTTTGGCCGCCAAGGTCTCCGGACTTAAATCCTTTAGACTTTTGTTTGTGGGGTTGGCTAAAATATCTAGTGTATAAAACACCGGTTAATACACGCGAAGAATTACGTGCTCGAATTGAGGAAATGAGTACAGTGATCAGAAATCAACCAGTGTTTTTATTGCGTGCTTGTAAAGAGACATGGCTAAGACGCGCCAGCTCTGCGTCGAGCAAAGCGGAAATCATTTCGAACAGTTTTTGTGACATGCTTTTGGGCGCATAGGCCCGCAGTGAAATACTTGTCGGAAGGATACTTTATAAAACAAGGTAACTTTTATTTTTTTTTTATTTTTACACACACATATTTTGGTTTATCTTCCTTCTACAATTATTATCTGCAAAAATAATTACTCAACTTCAAAGTCTAAAGTATAATGTCTAAACTAAAATAAGTATCTTCTAGTATCTAAAGAACGAAATAACGTCGGCAACTGTGTAACTAGGAGCTGTGTTTCTTTGGACCCCAAATCCAATTAAATACAAGAAATTAATATAAATAAAAGCCATTAGAAGACTAGTATTCTAAAATAATAATAACGCATTTATTTCGTTGCTGACTTGAAAAGCAAATTATACAGGGTGGCCAATATATAACTGACTGATTTAAATTGCGCGCCATTTTTTATACACGCAATTCAGTAGATGGTGCCGTAGTAGTTGTTTAAAGCACATGTGTCCAATTCATCATGGAGCGCTACACGATCCCACAACCCGTCCGTATTGTTAAAACGTTTTACTTAAATAATAAAGATTTCGGTCGAAATAATGTGCCCAATGTCGAGAGAAGTTCGTGAAAGTGTAGTGTCTACCAGACATCGTTCTCAAGAAGAGGGTGTTCGTCGCACGACATTATGCACTATTTAAAAAAAGACTAGCATTTGCGGCCATACAAAGTTCAGTTAACCCAAGAACTACAGCCTAGTGACCATGAAAGTCGCCGACAATAGTCTCTTACTTTCACTGGAGAGCGCTACCGTGATATGAAACAAAACTTTCTGGCTCATCAAATCCAACAATTTAACGGAAGGCAGGACGGAGCAACTTGTCACACGGCTAGGGAAACAATGAATATTTTGCGAACAATATTTCTGGGACGTTTAAATTCTCGATTTGGTGATGTCAACTGGCTGCCAAGGTCACCGGGGCTAATTTGCTATTTACTGAATTACTATTACATATCGCTATTGGTAAACAAATAAATGAAATTATTTCACAGTACTTAGTCACAAAATATTTATTTTTAAGATTTTTAACTGTTACCAATGGTAACAATGGTTACATGGACGCTTCGCTTATTTAAAAAAGACACAGCCAACCATAAATGTAAATACAGTAATTATCTTCAGTGTTCTGGAATATTATTTGCAGGATTATCGCCACCCAAGGTTATTCATAGTTCTAATTGCATATTTTTGTCCCAGAATTGAACCATGTGGTATACCGATGTTTATTTATGTTGTTTTACTTTTATTGCCAAACACAAATACATTGTCTTCTTTGTGCAATATACGAGAGAAAGAGCTGTAATAAGTATTAAATACTTGTGTAGTTCGAGAAGTACCCAAGAGAAAAATATATCAATAAACCACAAATGATTTTTTGTTCTATACAAAGCACTTTCAGTGCTTCTTTTACTAAACAACCCATGCTCACTATCCGACATGACATTATTGTATTATTATTTGAAATTGAGCCAGAACCACTCGAGTTGCAGTTTTGCAATTTTCACAAGTGAGCATTTTTCTATAAATCTAACCGAATTTTATTATAAACCTCCATGTTTGTCTAGCCACTAAATGAATCCACATACTATGATTGAATCAAAGTTTACTGACACGAAGTTTCTGCCAGCACGGAGACCTTTTGAAGTAATAATGACAATCTGATGTCAATATGTTTTGTTTATCTGTCTTCCAGGTGACCGTTCGTTATATGAATGTGGAAAGGAAAAAGGCAACCGTGGTGGCCGAAACGTCGAATCAGTAGACAGTAATTCAAACATATGTGATTTAACTTAGCGCCCAGACAAACATGGAGTATTATGATACATCCAGTTATATTTATAGAAAAATGCTTACTTGTTAAAAATGAAAAAGCATAAAAACGACAGGACAAGTTTCAGGTGTTACATTAGAATCTATCATCTTTCAGGATCCTAAAGGAAAACTAAAATCGCTGACACGAACATGTCTTGATGTGCCACTGTTCATCAATGACGTGATAGAAGATGACACCTACAGGTACTAAAAGTACTACCTTTTCCTGACTGTTTTAGATGTTTCGTATTTGAATGTTTCAATATACGGTAGGGCAAAACTCACCTTGGAAATGAAAAATTGATTTATATCACGAATAGTCAATGTCTAATCTATATTCGATACCGAAACGGAAAAAAATAGCATAACACATCGTATGCCACTGCTGGCGCGGCAAACGCTTTTTATAAACCAAGTCGGTGATCGGAGGCGCATCAATAATACTGAGCCTCCAGCTTACAGGGGCCTCGATGTGCGAAAAAAAGTATTATCCACAATCGGAAGCAAGTATTTAGGTCGCACGCTAAACTATTCTAAATTCTCAAGTGATACATCCTTAGCTTGTATGTCTAGATGATGCTACCTATTTTTGACCCACCAGATTACAACTGCAATAACTGAAAGAAGCTGTCTTCATAGACAGAAAGTCTCGAATACACTAAAATCGTTTTCAGCTATGGATGATTTAATACAAAAAGGTTTTCTGAAAAAAATAGTCTGGTACATTGACTCGGTACTTTTTCGTCAAGTAGGTTAACCCTGCATTTTCTTCGCAGTCCTGTCATCAATTCATAAGAGATTCGGCATAAGTTAGCCCCCCTCTTAGACAAAATTTAGCTACGAACGTGTATAACAACCGTAAAACGATAGTACCGACCACCCAACAACGTGGCAAACCAGCACGGGGTTTCATGCACCATACTCGCGTCACTGTTTAGTAAGCAGACGGACGTAACCTGGCTGAGTCCGGCACGCGTATACCCAAAACATATTTCTATCGTTCAAGTATTAAGTGCAAATGTACGAGAAAATCTATGATGTATGAAATATGTCTATGGAGGTGCGTTTAATTACCGGGGTTAGAAACATAAATTGTAAGTAACAAAAAATTGGCATACTCTCCCCACCCTCAACATCCAATGTTTAACCCCCATATATTTTTCCTGAAATTATCAGCATCCTCTGAAACGTCAAAAGAAGTTTTAGACGATTATTATTTTTTCATTTTTCACCTTTTTTAAAACCGCCACTAGATCGATTTTCAAAAATTACAAAGCTTTTACCTCCTTGGCATAGTAGTACCTTGTGTGAACGTTTCATCAAAATCGGAGCGGTACTTCCCAACCTTTAGATGGGCCACAGATTAGCGGACAGACACACACAGATAGACCGACAGACAGGCAGCCAGCCAGACAGAGCGACGGAAATGAGTGAGATGGTTTTTCGTGATGTAGGTATGTGTCATATAACATCCAACAGACATAATATGTCATTCTCGAAATTTTTGGGATGACAACACTTCCAAGCCAGTGGCGTGGGAAGTAAAACACCGATGAGTTAGTGTTTGTATGTGCCTTCGTAGAAATTCTTCCCAGGAGGAGTCGACTAGATATCGGCATTTATACATTGTAAAGGGTTTCCCAATAAGAACGATAGGATTTGAAATTGAAATAAAACAACTAAAATATGATCCATTTGCATACTCTTTGGCTTTATTTGATAGGATATTTTATGCCATTTATGATTCAAACAATACATCGTTCAAATGGCTCTGTTTGCACTGGTTGATGCGGACACACCAACATTCGATGACTCTGTGCAGCATTTTGGCTGGTATGGCCGCTATGATGAATTGAATGTTGCGTTCAAGATATTGAACTGTTGCTGGGTTATTGTATTTTAGACTAATCATACCTGCACAAAAAATAGTCTAAAGGTGACAAATCGCACGATCTTGGCGGCCAATTGTGAGGTCCGTTTCGTGAAATAACTGACTCGCCGCACTTATCACGCAGTGAATCCATTCGGTTGCAGTATGGCCATGTTGCATCATTCTGTTGAAAATAAATATGATCAGTATCAATTTCTTCAACTTCAGGAAAAACAAATTCGTTCAACATGTAACGGTAACGCTCGCCATTGACCGTAACCGTACGGCCTTCGTCGTTTCTAAAGAAGTACGGGCCAATGCTGCCACCGTACCATCATCCGCACCAAACCGTCGATTTTTCTGGATGTAATGGTGTTTCATGGACCACTCTTGGTTTTTCCTCACTAAAAAAACGACAATTTTGTCTTTGTTCTGAATTGTTGTGAACGGCCTGGAACAGACATTTTTTCATTTTCGGCGACACTGGTTGATACGGCCGCTATTTCACTTCACTACGGTCAGATCGCATTCTTTTTGGTGGTCTGCTATCGTGCAAACAATATTCACTTTCCAGTTTTTGAATTATGCAACGTATAGCGAGTTGAGACAATGCACGAACTTTGATAGAATATTTGGACGATTTCCAAACATTGAGGTAACGTTAACTTGTTCATGGTTAAATGGCAAGCCTTACTGAACACAAAATAACTCAGCTATCAGAAAATTGACAACTAAGTGAGCTGTCAAAATCCTATCAACCCTATTAGGAAACCCTGTATTAGCCTCCGAAATGAAGCACATGGAATTCTAGGGGGCAGATCTTGTACGTGAAAGCATGCTCAATATAAAAATTTTAGAAAGCAACCGGCCCGAATCACTTGCCATGTACTATTTGACTCTAATTCTTTCTCGTATATTCACAGATACTACTACAAAGCATGTAAAAAAGATCTGTGCAACGGTGGCACTGGCAGGAAGGAGACAAACAGTTCCGAGGGTGCATTTGGTGATAAATCTACAATCTATTGTCCTGGAATAGGATCACGAAATAATGCATTCACTATTAAATCGTCTTTCTTTTTTATAATTACTATGATGATGATGTTACTTCAGAATGTGTAATGAAGAAATAAACAGATATCTAATGTATTTGATCTCAGATCATCAATCTAAATGCCAGTTTTTGCGAACACGGCTCTGCGATACTCAGGATTTTTTTTACGCCAATAATCGAAATCAGCTCCGCAAATCATCGTTCGCTTATTATCCACAGAGACAAAAATGGATTTTTTTTATGACAAACCTTTGCAGTGACCCTCAGAATTACACTCTGAGGGTGAAGCGAAGCCACATCAAATAGTCCAGCTAAGAAAGGTCATATTCGCCCATAATTTGATCAGTATTTTGTACTTTTAGACAATGCTTTTCAAATCTGAGAGAATATTCCCTTGTGATAAATGATGACACTTATGGCGTACTTCTGGAGGGCGGATGACATTCACACATGGCTATAATATTTCATCATCATTAAAACTCTATATATCAATATTCTGTTGGAACGATCTACCCGAGTGTGTAATAAAACCTGGAATAATTCATTAAAAAATGTCAAATTGTGACATTTTTGAAGAGAATATCCCATATTTTATTGCACATTCACATAGGCCCTTTCAAAGAAAGCAGATTGGTATACTATGAACGTTTGGTGTTAGGTTAGTCGAGTTATATGCGATTCCGTAAACAAAATCGCTCGACTTTTACCGGCCGCCATTAGTCTAATCATATTAGCAAATTTCCCCGTAATAATTGTAAAGTCTGGTTTTATTGGTACAAGTTGTTCCAGGGGGTATTTAAAACATGGACGCATGGAATGGGTACACGAATTTTTGTGGGAAAACTTTTTATTTGACAAGGATGAGAAAATGGGTTTTTTGGGATTAAATCGAAAGTGTTGAAAGAAACGAAAAAACTTTCCATGCAAGATTTTTAGGTATTTATCAGACCTACAAAATGAGACCACTCGTAAAAAGATCCGACTAATAGCAAGAATGTTATGGTCGAAAAACGAGCCAAAATGCAGGTTTTGGCACTTGGTAATGCGACGATAATTTCACGCAACTACTTGAAATTCTTCAAATCCGTAGGATTCATTCAACTAAATAACAGCAACAAAATTGGAGTATATTGGTTAAGTAGTTTTTTGAGAATTTCTAATTGTTTATCCCAAAACACTTGTTTTCCGGCCATCACTACTACTTTATTGAGCAATATACAGGGTTAGTTCAAAGGGCATTTTATAGCTATATACACGCGTTTACCTTGCCGATATGAATCGCAAACCATTCCGAAAGATAAATGTTATTTTTATGCGAAAAACAAAGGTTACGTTTTTTTTTTCTTCTAATCAAATTCAAACATTTCGTATTTGTGAGTAATTGAACAAATGCGATACGATATTCGAAAAACATACGTTACTATACACATTTTAAGACAAAACGGATGTGTCTATCATCTGTTGTTGCGAATTACTCACAAACACGAAATGTTTTGTTTAGAAGAAAAAACGCAACCCATCCTTTTTTGCATAAAAATAACATTTATCTTCCCGAATGGTTTGCGATTCATATTGGCAAGGTAAACTAGTGTATATAGCTATAAAATGCCCTTTGAACTAACCCTGTATATTGCTCAATAAAGTAGTAGTGATGGCCGGAAAACAAGTGTTTTGGGATAAACAATTAGAAATTCTCCAAAAACCACTTAACCAATATACTCCAATTTTGTTGCTGTTATTTAGAAGAATGAATCCTACGGATTTGAATAATTTCAAATATCTGCGAGAAACCAACGTACCATTACCAACAAGTTCCAAAACCTGCAGTTTGCCTCGGTTTTCGGCCTTAACTTTTTTGATATTAGTCGGATCTTTGAACGTGTGGTCTCATTTTGTAGGTCTCATAAATACCTAAAAATATTGTATGAAGAGTTTTTTCGTTCCTGCCGGCACTTTCAGTTGAATCCCAAAAGACACGTTTTCTCATTCTTTGTTGTTGAATAAAAAGTTTTCCCACAAAAATTGGTGTACCCATTTTATGCGTCCATGTTTTGAATACCCCCATGAACAACTTACAGCAATAAAACAAGACTTTACAATTACTTCGTTTAATATGATTAGACTATATCGCATGACCTTCAACTCGATTTTGAAATATGTCCCAGATGAGCCCTAACCACCCACAAATTTTCAACTGTCACTTTTACTTTTGACATAAAATATAATACATATTCGTGCATCAATTTCGTCAAAATGGATTTAGGCTTGTCAACTTGTCCCGCCCAAAAACTCGACTACCCAGCATCTGCGATGGTTCTTGTTATAAATAATACACGATTATTACCAAATTAATACATTACGTTAATATTAAATAATAAAATACAGCAAACTCTATTTGATAAATCCGACGTCGCCTCCTCTCAGTGACTCCTTCAAAACTTCTTTGACAGCTTCATCCAACTTCTGGCCCACTTTGTGTCCCATTTTGAGGCAATCCACCAGCGTCAATGGATGTAAGGACCCCATTCCTGTCTGTAGAACTGTGCTAAATCTGTTTCCCGAAACTGCTACAACCACGGAGCCCACAGAACATTGTTCTTCGGCCACGTCAGGGTCTACAATGCATTTGTCGCCTATTTTGCAAACAGTTACCTGAATGACAGATACTTGAATGGTTAGGTGTCTCAGTGTATTCTGAATTATTAATTATATTATAATACATAGGCACAGCTTTGTGAGAAATTAATATCTTGACGAAGTTTTGACGTATGATTACTCAGGTTGTGCAAAAATTGAGAAGAATCCGTGTTTCTCACTTTATGGATTAGAATCTTTAGTCACCCTTAGCTACCAGATTTACCTATCTTTTTATTATGGAATCGTTCATTTCACGATATATTGCATTCATTAACATATTCTACCCGAAGTTAGCCAACCTAATGCTATATTCCCATGTCCAAAAAATTATCCGAGATGAAACGTAGCATTATCTATGAGAATTTGTGACAGGTCTATATCTTCTCTCCGCACTAATTAGAAATCTAATTTGAAAAGGTATTATAGATCGCACTGTAGTCAAATATACACCATACACTAATATAGTAGCGCCATCTATAAAACACCACCCATAAATAATCATAGATAACGCTATACTGTATCTCAATTCATCTCGGATAATTTTTTAGACCCTGTAATATAGTACTAGATTGGCTATCTACATTTAGAATACACTAATCAATGATTATAGATATAATGAATTGGTATTAGTGAATATTAAATGGCACTTCAACTGTCATACAATATTACAGAGCCAGTCATCGTAGTACGAGTATATATGACAGCACCGGCTTGATGATGTCTATGATTAGGCGACCTGTAAACCTGACTCCATATCCTCTGATTTGTTACATTGCACAAACCAGACAGCATCATATGGACTGGTTACACCATAGCCAATGCCATATGCCAATGATTTAGGGCCAGATCGTCAGTCGTTCCTACAATTGTAGAAAATTTCAGGCTATATAACAGATGATATAAATCAAAAGTTTACTCAATTTGACGCAAATAGGTATTTGCAACATAACATCAAAATAGAGTTCTGACACGGAAGAGTAAAAAACTATGGAAATTAAGGAGGCCATAAAGGCGTAATCGAATTGTGGGAACGACTGACGATACGGCCCTAAGGTATCAACCCTTACTGAGCGGGGCCGTGGCGAATGCTTTTGAAAACACAAAAAAAGTAAAAAATCTATATATATATATATATATACATATATAATAACTTTGAACGTAACCTGTATTCAGAAAGGATAACATCTAAATAACCCGTCGGGCACAGCTAATAGATATACTTCATCGGAAGCACATTTAGTAATGATTTTCGCACACATCGAATATCACTGATTTTATACACATGAAGACCAATCATCCAGGATGCGATCTTGCTATTCAACCAATGTTCTTCTCAGAGATGAAAACTATAGACTACTCGGCTTCACAAAACGCATGCAACCAACAATGCGAGCTATTCCTCTAGACTACCTAGTCTGCAAGATGACTTTTTATTGTTTTTTTTCGAGGTTTTTCACATAATACTCGTGCCGGACGTAAAGTCACTCCACTCTCGGAATCTCCGGGTGGACGTTGGACTCGGGGACACAACATCGAAGATAAAGACATCTGCGGGATTAATAGCAACACTGATGCTGTGAACTACTTGAAATCCAATCATCCCGCCATGCTTTTTTTTGGCGGAGATAAAATCTGCACCGATTAACCATCTTTTATTGTGGTTGAGGCTTTTGTACGCAGGAGTCTTTCCTGCTCCACAGATGTTTCTTTGGAATCAGTCCAGAACGACATTCTGTGCCTTCTCCTCAACTCCAAAACATTCCCAAATTTATTTGCTGCCTTTATCGCTCTCCGTCGGACCATAACTGGGATGACCTATTTGAATACATCGCCGTCAAGATGGACTGCCTGAACATCAATCACCCCCCTTCAGAGGTAGTTCTCCTTGGTGATTTCTATGCCCATAATGATCTTTGGTTTTGCTCAAACAAGACTGATGCAGCAGGTCGCGTAGTTGAAGCTCTTACTCGAGGGCTGACCCAGCTGGTGACAAGCCCCACTTTTTTCCCTCGCGTCTCGTCTCATGCGAGTAGCCTGCTGGAACTCTTTCTGACCACTCATCCTGTCCCTTACAGCACTGCTGTCCTGTCCCCCCTGGATAACTCAGACCACGGTGCTCTGGAGGTTAGGTTTCGGTCAGAACCCGCTGTGGCAGCAGAAACTCGCCCAGGCCGCAAAATTTGGCAATACGGACATGCCGACTGGGAGGGCCTCAGAACTTCTCTAGATTTCCCTGGAGAGATGTAGGTTTCGCTGACGAGTATGCGTCGGCTGTCTGTTCTTCGATAACCGAAGTTATCCAAATCGGGATGGAGGAATACATCTCTCATACAGTAAAAGTGCCTAAACCAGGATTCAACGAATTGATCCACAAAATCATGCGACACTGCTCGCCAGCAAAAGATCAAGGCTCACAGAACCTTCTTACAAAACCCCACTTTACAGAACAGACAAGGCGACAAATATAACGGAGCGGTTCGCAATGGCAAATATCAGCACGATATAAAAGTTAGGCACAGGGTAATGTCGCTGCGCAATGGCAGTCAGTCTTTCTGGACGCTGGCCAAGCAGATTGAAAAGAACTTCTCACACACTAGCCTTCCACTACTTACGTGTCAGGATGGCACGATTCTAACCGACTCAAATGCTACTGCGGAAGTGATTGCCAACTCCACCATCGACGTCCACAGCTTGATTAGCGACAGGCAGTATGGTTTCCGGCACCAACGATCCACAGGGCTTACGTCACGCAATTGTGGTGTGAACTCATCCAGTCTTATGGTGAGGTTGTTGCTCTTGATATCACGAAAGCGTTCGATCAACTGCGCGGCACGCTGCCGTCTTATGCAAACTTCCATCCTATGGCATTCCAGAAAAGCTTTGCAGATGGATAGCTGACTTTCTCTCTGGCCGCATGATATCCGTCGTAATTGATGGGTTCTCCTCTTCATCCCACAACATCAACGCGGGTGTCCCCAGGGATAGTCTTGGCCCCGACACTGTTCCTTTTACATATCAACGACCTCCTTTGCTGCGGGGTCAACCCAATCCACAGCTTCGCTTGTGACAGCACTCTACATGCAGGGATTCAGAGTAACAAGCGGATCTCTACCGCTTAGCTGGAAAAAAAGAAGACCAACGACGACTTCCTCTCTGACGAGAGACCTGAAGGCTATCACTGATTGGAGATTCAACAAACTTGTACAGCTTAATGCTTCCAAAACACAGTACCGTACCTTGACGAACAAAAAGCGCCCTAGCGCTTATCCGGTTTCTATGGATGGCCGACTTCTGAGAGAGAGCAGTTCATTTGGGCTTGTCGGGATCCAGATCACCGAGGACCTGATCTGGCACAAACACATCTCGTCAATAGCGGCAGCTGCTGGGGAAAAGCTAGGCTATTTGTTTAGAGCTAAGAAGTACTTTTCTCCGCACGACCTTCTCACTCTATACAAGCCCCGGATAAGGCCTGCCGCCCCTACTACATTATTTATGGCAGGGCTGTCCGACTGATCGATGACCCTTCTCTAACAGACAGTCTCGGGACCCTTACGCACCGGCGGGTCGTCGGGGATCTAGCGGTCTTCTATCGCTACACCATCGGGCTTTGCTACTCAGAGCTCTCTTCCACGATGCCGCCGCACGATGTGCCTGCCAGACACACCCGCCTGACTTTGGCCTCCCATCCTAACCGTGTCGAACTTCGTACATCTAGAACTGGCCGATACGACCGCTCCTTAGTCCCGAGTGTGTCGAGATTGTGGAACAATCTACAAGAGGAAGCTTTTCCCAGTTCTAATAACCTTTGACAGTTCAAAAATCGGATTAAAAAAATTTCTTTGGGATCCTCATAGCAGCCGCAGTGTGCCGGCATTTAGGCTTCTGCCTGCGCGGCTGCTGCGGTATATATAAAAAAATTCACACCAGGTGAAATAAGCTACCCCTGACTATAAACTGGTGGACATTCCAAAAGACCAGTAGGTCCCAAGGAGTTTAATAATGAAAACGGTGACTCGGCAGATAAGCCCCAACAAATACACATTTGCTGCCTTGAAACATACATCTTACATGTAAAAATTCTTACCATGACAGGTGCATTTTCAACGTTCAATCTTTGGCAGTCAAACATATCGTGACATACACTGATTTCTACATTATTCCCATCCATATCTATGCATTTCACTCTAGGTACTTGTGTGTTCCTCAGGGCTACTTTTACAGCTATGGAAATTGCATCAAATAGGTTGCCTCCACATTCTAAAATCTGAAAAATGAAGAATTATACTATTATATCTAAATACTTACACTAGAGAAATATTTAAGGCAAGTCAAAATAATATCAACTCTGATTTTTGTGCCATTTGAAAAAAACAATAATTTATTCTAGTCTAACGGAAAAATGTTGGAGAATAGTGTACTTAAAAATATTGCCAAAGGCTTGTATACTAACCAGAATGTCAACATAAAGCTTCCAACATTTCTTTCCTTGCAATATGCATAATTTGGTGAGATCAAAGCTTAAGGATGAACAATAAGCTGATGATAAGCAGTTTGAAATTTCTGCTGCCAAGACTTCACCACCTCGTCCTTCAAAATTGGGAGTGGCATTTGCGGAACTAAAAAAAGCAAATTATAGTCGCGAAAAACTTCAGTTTGGAATTCAATTTATTTTTCTTATGCTTCTATCAGTCAACCTGTCTGTAATCTGTTACTACTGTCCCAAAATCAAGAAACTTCTAAGGAATACGCAAAACTCGTTTAGTGTTAGAACAAACTAACCAAAAAATGCCGAGTTTTGCTGGGGCTTCTGGCAATTTATAGTTCAATACGAGTAAAAAGTGGGTGTTGCACAAGGTATGAGCATTGATTAACATATTGTATCAGAAAATACTGAATTCAACTGAAAGCCTTATCTGCAGAAGCAACAGGTCTTTGGGTGCCAATGTTGCCACTCTCAGTCTCTTCCTGCAGTGCTGCAGGTCATAGGATTTGCTTCTCTATCATTGGGAAATTCAAAAATATGAAATCTTAGGAAAACTGTGAGGGAGATTGGGGGGTGATCTTTCCTTTGTTCAGGTCATGTTTAAGAAGAAACAGCTTTCTGTAAAAGTAAAATGGAGTCTGCTTTAATACGATTCTACCTGGTAAAACGGCTGTTATGATATTGTAGGTGAAATATCCAAATATAACTTAGAGCTGAGCATCTTTTGGGAGAATATGTTAATCAATGAAATGGCCGATTGTGCAAATATTTCCTCATGGGTAGAATAATAAAGGAGACATTCGAAATTTAGGAACATTAAGATGTTTAGGTTGCACAAACACTTTTTGGGTTTCCTTAACTTAGGCCCGTATCGTCAGTCGTCCCTACAATTGTAGGGCGCCTTTATGGCCTCCTTGATTGTCATAGTTTTCTACTTCTCCGTGTCAGAACTCTATTTTGAGGTTATGTCTCAAACATCTATTTGCATCAAATTGTGCTTGCTTTTGAGTTATATCATGTTTTATCAGCCTGAAATTTCCTACAATTTAAAAAGAAAACATATCTTCACAATAGGAGAGCGCTGGCGCTGACACGGTAATCTAGAAATTTTTGAAGGAGAGAAAGGAGTATGACAATCAAGGTGACCATAAACGCGCCCTACAATTGTAGGGACGACTGACGATACGGGCCTAAGCTAAGCTTGACTACCCAGGAAGCTAGTGATTTTGTGATGTTATGATGCACTTGCCCTGCCTGAAGATACTGCAAGGACTGTAAATTAAGTAATTATTTTTTTTATTCAAATATAATAACAATTTTACATGGTCACCCTCAAAATAACTTCCTTCTGAAGCCACACAGTGCTGGCAACAGTTCTTCCACTCCTCATAGCATGAACTCCGATACTGGAATAGCCTTCAGTTGGTCGGTTACAGTCGTTTGAATATTTTCTACTATCCCAGAATGAGTTCCCTTGAGATGATTTTTCAACTTTAAGAAGAGAAAAAATTGGCACGGACTCCAAGTCATGCGAATAAGGAGGCTGAGGAGCCACGGAAATGTTTTTACTGGCCCAAAACTCGTTTATTGACATTTTTGTGAGACAAAAGTTGTGTTCGTACAGCTGTCGTCAATCTGTCAGTAATCATGTCCAAGATCCCGCCACATAAGTTCCGTTCATTCTGCTACGCTATACAGGGTGGCCCATCCATGTTTGGACGGAATATGACTCATAAACGAATACATTTTGGGAAAATCTATTTATGGCATGTTAAACATGACATTTGAGGGTGCATTTCTAAAATATTGGCTATTATACAGGGTGTCCCAATTTTGACCTATATATCAAAGTTGTGATTTTTTAAATGGAATGCCTCAAATTTTATTACATATTTGGATAAACCAATTCAATAGAAGAAGATTGATATAACATACTATGGGGTTGGGGTTGGTAATTAGCTAATGAGATGTAAGGTGTTTTGTCCGGAAAAACCGCCTACTTCGGCAACCCCTCAATCCGCCATTTTGAAATTTGGAGTGCTGAATTTTGTATCAAAAAAACTTACACACCTCAGCTTTTATCTTGTTTGTTACTTTTTCAAATTTTCATTTTTGCTCATACAAGGTGGTCAAAAACGCGAATTGTACTTTTTCTCAAAAATTTCAAATGCATCACCTTGTATATTTGTGCAAGATTGGATTCAATTATTTAAAAGCTTTTTTTGGTATAAGGTTTGATTCAGATAAAATCACTAGATTTTGAGTTATTAAGCTTTTAATAGAACAACACACCAAAATTAAGGGAGAAAATTACATCATCCTTATAAACAAAAGGCAAACAATAGGCTAGTTCCATATTGCCACTAAGAATACAGATTTGACGTAAAAACTATTAACAATCAGAACAGTATAAATCAGCTTCAAGCGTAATATAGAAAAACAACTATAACAACAACATAAACAAACAACTATCACTACTCAAGACCTAATCTACAACAACTGCTCGAAAATATCTCCAGCATGTTGAATACACAGCCGTAGTCGTTGGATAAATTACCGTTGTACATCCCTCAGCGTGTGTTCCCTTAGGTTCAGAAAAGCATCCTCAATTCTTTCGTTCATATATTCCGGGGTAGATGGTGGATATCTATAAACCTCTTGCTTACCGTAGCCCCATAGAAAGAAGTCAATCGGTGTCATATCTGGTGATCTAGGAGGCCAACATATACAGGGTTTGTCCGGAAAGTAATAGGACTCATTTTCTTCCGCCATGACTGTACTTCGGAGCGTCCGTGCACCGACTTCATTCGGTAGAGGGCGTTCCTAGCTAACGAATGAGCGGCTGGTCAGTTGTCTCCGTGCACTTGGAGAGTCAGGACAGGCATTTTCGCGAGACGTGTTTCTGTGAGTGGTGCAAGCCGAAAATGCAACGTTCGTTAGGGCAGAGGTACGCGACTAAATTCTGTGTGAAACTCTGTAAATCTGCGACAGAGACGATCAAGCAGGCTTACCCAGGTGTTGCTTTAGCAAAAAGTGGTGTGTTTCGGTGGTACCAGGCCTTTTTGGAGGGCCGGGAAGAGGTCGCTGATGAAGACTGTGCTGGAAGACCTTCGACTTCGACAAACACCGATAATGTGACTCGTGTGCGCAAAGTTTTGAACTCAGACCGTCGAATAAGTATTCGTTTAATTGCCCAGATGTTAAATTTACCAAAATCTGTGGTTCATGACATTGTGACACAGCATTTGAACATGTGCGAAGATGGTCCCAAAAGTGCTCACTGACGAACAGAAATTGCGGCGAGTGGAAGTGTGCCAAGAAAATTTGAACATGTGTGAAAGTGACCCCCAATTTTTGAATAACGTAATCACAGGTGACGAGTCGTGGATCTTTGAGTATGATCCCGAGACAAAGAGGCAATCTACCGAGTGGCCCACGACGGCGTCTCCTCGCCCAAAAAAGGGAAGAATGAGCAAATCCAAAGTGAAAACGATGCTCATTGTCTTTTTTGACATCAAAGGCATCGTCCACGATGAATTTGTTCCTCCTGGACAAACCGTCGACGCCAAGTTTTACGTGGAAGTGCTGAGGAGACTCAAATGAAGGGTCAGTCGGGTCCGACAAGACATTCAATTCAATTCAATTCAATTCAAAATATTTATTTCGTCATGAATAAACATCATAAACAAAAGAAATTCTATATATAGAGTAATGACGAAAAAGGACAGTCTCTCGATTATAAAACCGATACATTGGACCCTTTAATACAAAGAGTCCATGCGAGAAAGCCCTGAATACCCTAAAAGTTCTTAAACAAAATAAAAAATACAATAAAGAGGCAAATGAAGAGGCGGTGAAGCACAAAAAAGGCAAAAACGAAGAGAGAACCCCCGGGAGCTGGCAACGGACGCGAAAAACAAATCTATACAACCTGTCAGCGAGTAGGAATGTAAAAACGATATTTTTGCTCACACAAACGCTGCTAAAGTAGCTGGTGATTCTGTAACAACGTTTTTGTCAGTTTTGAGAATGTTTTTGACGATGAGCTTTTAACTGAAGTTGGTAAATTATTCCATAAGTGAACCGCCACATAGGCAAACGATTGTCGGAAGGAACGCGTTCTATGCCTAGGTACGATAAAATTGAGATTATTTCTACTTCTCTGGGCACTAGGCAAAGGCACAAATCTTTCTCTTAAATAGGGCGGTTGACCTGTTTTTATAACCCTATAGATAAAAGAATACATGTGATATTTTCTGCGATTCGTCATGTTTAATATGTTGTAGTTATTCAGATAAGGAGTGATATGGTTTCGATATGGAATTCCAAATGCAAATCTCATGCAACTATTTTGAACTTTTTGTATGCATTTTTTGGTTCGCGACGATAGCGAATCACCATAGACGACATCTCCATAGTCAAAAAGTGATAAAATTAAGGTATTACACAAATAATATTTTTGTTTGGCTGATAAATGTTTTTTTAATTTGTTTATAATTTTTAGTCGCATGTAAGCTAAATTTGTTCTGTTTTTTATATGACTGCCGAAGCCAAGCGAGCTATCAAAAATAATGCCTAGATTTTTTGTCTCCTGAACTATGGGGATTCTGTCATTGTTAATAGAAATTACTAAATTTTGTTCAAAATGTTCTCTTTCAGTACTGTTTTTATTCATAACCATTACTTGCGATTTTGAGGGGTTTAGTTTAAGATTGTGATGCTTTGCAAATCTGTCAATTCTTTGGAGATCTGAATTTAGTTGTTGTTGTGCAATATGGATTGTGGTTTTATTGACAGGGAGATATATTTGTGAGTCATCTGCATATTGTTTTATCTTTGCGAATTTTACCGATTTGACCATGTCAGATATGTAGATTGAAAATAGCAAAGGAGATAAAATTGAACCTTGAGGAACTCCTCTTTTTATAGGTTTAAAATCGGTTTTGTAAATAGCAGAATCATTTGCTAACATAACACAGTTTGAACGGTTGCTTAAGTATGTTTTTATTAGATTTACGGAGTTCTGCGAAAACCCCTGGTAATGTAACTTAGCTAGTAACATTTCATGATTCAGAGTGTCGAACGCTTTACTAAAGTCGAGAAGAACCATGCACGTACTATTTTTTTGTTCTTGATGATGTCTGATATCATCCAAGATATTAACTAATGATGTACTTGTGCTAAAGTTTTTTCTAAAACCGGATTGACTATCTGGTATGATATCGTTTGTGTCACAAAAAAATCTAATTTGATTATAAATATGCCTTTCTAAAATTTTGGATGTAGCGGGTAATATGCTAATAGGCCTCAAGTCTGTAAATTCTTTAGGTTCTGCTATTTTTGGTAAGGGTTTAACAATAGCTTTCTTCCATATTTCTGGAAATAATCCCCCCAAAATACATGTGTTGATTATATTCAGCAAGGCATTGGTACAAAATGGGATACATAACTTTAGGTCTCTCATAGAGAAAACCATCCTCTCCAATGGCATTTGATGAGATATTAGTTACAATTTTGATTAGACTGGCCCTGTCTAACAGTTGGAAGCTAAGAGAATCGTTAATGTTTACATTGTTTTTGTAAAAATTGATTAATTCTTGGGAAGCAGTGTCTGGTAAATTGTCGGTCTGCTGGAAGTAATTGTGTATGTCATTTACATTTTGTAAGTGTTTGGGTATAGTTGAGTGAGTTTTCTTGCATGTTATGTTGAGCTTTTTGGTAGTGTCCCAAAATTCCTTACCTTTCTTTGTTGAGAGTAAGTTAAAGAATGTATTTTTTTCTCGGATAATTGCATGCTTTGTATAGTTCCTTAGTTGTTTATAATATTCAAAATGAGCCTGTGATTTTGATTTTTGAAATTTTTTATGAGCTTTATCTCTTAGTTTGATTAAAATTCTTATATTTTGAGTTATCCAGGGTACATAAGGTTTTTCGGTTATTTGTTTTGTTTTTATTGGAGCATGTTTATTCAGAACAGTTACTATATTTTTATTAAAGACTTCTATTTTCCGGTCGATTTGGTTTATATAGTAAATATCCTCCCACCCAAGTAGAAACCCTTCATTTAAGAAGGATTCTCTATCTATATTATTGTAGTCTCTATATTTAATAGTCTTTTTTGATTTATTTATTTTTGACTTTCGAAAGGCTGAGTAAATTAAGTTATGATCTGAGAGATTTTGAGAAACTGCCAATGATTTAGAATCGATAGAGATAAGATCCTCGCTAGCACAGATTATATCAATGAGGCTAGCCTCTCTTGTGGCAAAATTGAATCTTGTTGGCTCACTGATCCTTTGTGATAAGTTAAAACTATGAATTATATTTTTGAGGCGATTTGTGTATGCAGAATTATTTAAAATGTTAATATTTAGATCTCCTATCAGTAATAAATAATCATATTTGACACTGACATCGCAGCCGACAACGCCCCGGCCTTTCTTGTGAACAGCTACATGACCAAGGCCGGCATCCCAACGCTTCCGCAGCCGCCCTACAGCCCAGATGTGCCCCCCCGGACTTTTTTTTGTTTCCTCGCCTGAAAAGGCCGATGAAAGGCAAGCATTTTGAGACGACAGAGGGGATCCAAGCGGCATGCACCGCGGCTCTCAAGGCTATTCCGGAGAGTGCCTTCCGTGACGCCTTCAATGCTAGGCAATCGCGCTGGCAGCGCTGCATCGACGCAGAAGGAGCCTATTTTGAAAGTTTTTAAAGAATTGTAACGATTGGCTCAATAATTTTTTTAAATCGCCTTAGTCCTATTAGTTTCCGGACAAACCCTGTAGGCCCATCACGACCGATCCAACGTATGTTACTCCAGGTGTCCAAATAGTTACGCACACGATTATGATAATGCGCAATTGCGCCGTCATGTTGGAAGTACATATGCATCCGGGTTTGCAGGATGACATCCTCCAAAAGCAAAGGCAAATGCTCGATCAAAAAAATCAAGTATTCTGTACCTGTTAATCTGTTGTCGAAAAAGAAAGGCCCGATAACTTGTCTGAAAATAACTCCTCCCCAATCATGCAAGCTCCATTTATTTTGGAAATCTGTTTGCCTAACCCAGGAAGGGTTTTCCGTCGCATAATAGTGCATGCTATGCCTGTTGACAACACCTATGCAGTTAAAAGTTGCCTCATCGCTAAAAAGAACCTTATCCAGGAAAGTAGTGTTTTCACTCACTTTATTTGGCATTATTTCTACTGAACTCCATTTGAGCTCCGAAATCCTGAGGGCGAAGGCCTTGATGGTGATATGGTTGGTACCTATGCTTGTGAATAATCCTTTGGACAGAAGTTTTGCATATATCAGAATCTGCTCCAATTTGCCGTGCACTTAAATGGGGATATTCCTGCAACTTTAATAGAACCTCCAACTGATTCACCTCATTGGTGACACTTGGATTATTTATACATTTCTTACTATATTCCACTGCTCCACGTGATTCAAAACGTTCTCGTAGTGTGCAAAATGTTTCCAGCCTTGGATGTCGCATATTATGGTACCGTTGCTTATAAATGCGAGATGCTAGGAAACTATTTCTTTGGGCTTCGACCAAAACGAACACCATATTCACCATTTCTTCATTAGAAAAAATCATTTTCAAACACGTTTTTATTATAATGCTCACAAAGCTAAATTTGACAGGTTGTAACTAATCAACAATTTATTTGTTTCCATAATGATGCGATAAATTAGGGAATTAAGCCGTTCCATGAAAGACGTGCTAATAACCGAAAAAATAGCCGCAAAAACCCTTGTGTTTAATAACAAAAAAAAGCTTATAAAAAACTGAATCCAAACTTGCACAAATATACAGGGTGATGCATTTGAAATTTTTGAGAAAAACTACAACTTGCGTTTTGACCACCCTGTATGAGCAAAAATGAGGATTCGAAAAAGTAACAAACAAGATAAAAGCTGAGGTGTGTAAGTGTTTTTGGTACAAAATTCAGCACTCCAAATTTCAAAATGGCGGACTGAGGGGTTGCCGAATTACTGAAACCTTAGAGTATTTTATATCAATTTTCTTCTTTTGAATTGGTTTATCCAAATATGCAATAAATTTTGAGGCATTCCTTTGAAAAATCACAACTTTGATTTGTAGGTTGAAATTGGGACACCCTGTATAATGGCCAATATTTTAGAAATGTGCCCTCAAATGCCATGTATAACATCCCATAAATAGATTTTTCTAAAATGTATGTGTTGATGAGTAATATTCCGTCCACACATGGATGGGCCACCCTGTATAAAGCCGGATCCCAGATACTGTCACTGACAAGTCACCGACCACTGTACGAACAAACCGAAGCAGTATTATCGTGATGTAACATCCAGTTGTTCTTGATCTGATGAATGATGGTGTGACTCAAATTTAACTCTTCCTCTATCATTCTGATTGTCAACAGACGATCTGAACGCACAAGATCCCGGATTTTGTCGATGTTTTCATTGGTTGTTGAAGATGAAGGCATTCCGTTACATATTATATGTCACTCCCAGAATTATTCATTTAATTTTGATAAAAACTTGTGGACATATTTGCTATCATGGAAACATACGCTAATAAAATGTTGAACGCATTCCGAGCCGTACTTTTTTGTGTTATCAGGATCCGATATGAACATGTTTATTTAATATTCAGTGTTCGTTCCATTTGTTTCATTGTTGTTTTTCCACTCAACTTTCCGTGTGGCGTCCCCCTTTCCCCTGTCTCCCCCTATAGCCCCACAGTACCCCATGGGTGTTGAGGCATTAGGTCTTCGTGGCAATAAAGCATAAACAAATGAATGTGTAGCAAACAGAGGAGCTTCAACACATTATTAACATTAAGGTGGGATATCTCAACTATTTTGCGAAATTTCGAGTTAAAATTTTAATCACCTTTTATTTATCAGTAGACCAAAACTTGTAAAAGTATGCTAAAATTACAGCACTCCTAGTCGGTGTTGCATTTTCTATGTCATTTAGTATAATTGGGTTGGCAGGGGCAGGGCAGTCTCATATCTCTCAACAGCTTTCCTGGTCTCCTCCACAGTCTTTGTTGTGCTTCTCAGTCTACTTAGTCTGAACATGGCACATGGTTATACCTTGACGGCAGCCCTATGTCCATGCTTATCATCTTGATGGTTCTTTCCTTGGCCAACATCTTCTTTGATGCCATGTGGCTGTTCATTGGACTGCTTGCCATTTGAGGTTTCATCTTGTTTAACACCCAGGTGATCATTGAGGAGAATGAGCTGCAAGGACTTTGTTGCTCACTCACTAGATCTCTTCATTGACTGTGTTGAGTGTAGGTTAAGTGTGTGACTATCTTTTCAACAACATATGCCATGTCCAAGTCAACTTCCAGAAGACCATGTTAACTACCCAAATAGACCATTGTGTGCACATGCATACACTATTCAGTAATCCTAATGATAAACTACACTAAGCAATGTTCAAGTGATTGCTAGCTTCCACTTAACAAGGCACAGTTTAATTAAAGAATAATTACTTTTTGTTAGTGCAACCAAAATTGTATACTTAACATTGAGAAAATAATAAGGTATCCATGAAGTCATTGGTTCAATTGTGTATACGTGAAAAAACTGGGACCGTTGGAGAGCTATGTAATTCAATCACATTTTATGTACAGTAATGAACAAAAGTATACAGACGAATTAATATTGTGCTGTATTTCTTTTTTAACTTGTTTTATTAATACACCAACCTGTATACATAATTCGTTATAGCATGATACTTATACATAAATAAATTCATTAGACACCCTTCAATAAAAAATTAATTGAAAAAACTGGAACCATGAAGGACAAAAATATATAGAAAAAGCAAAACAATTATAGAAAAAAGAAGCAAAGTTGATTAAATTATAGAAAATCAACCATGTGTGTGTTAATACTTTGTAGCATAACAATTATTATCAATCACCGCCTGGCATCGTCTCCGTATAGATTGTAAAAGTTTTTTGATATAAGATTCATCAATCTGACTCCACTTTTGCTCTAAAGCAGCAAAAAGTTCATCCTTGTTTGAATAATTTTTATCTCGTATTTGCTTATCTAAGTATTCCCATAGATTTTCCATGGGGTTTGTTTCAGGAGACTGTGACGGTCATTTGAGAACTGGTATTTTTTCATCCAGAAAGAATTTCTTTGCGAGATTTGAAGTGTGCTTCGAGTCATTACCTTGCTGGAAGACTGATCTTAAGGGCATATTGTCTTCCATATAGGGTAACATGACATGCTTTAGTATGTCTGTGTATACAAACTTATCCATAATGCCATCTATTCTATATAAAGGTCCCATCCCAAACCCTAAAAAGCACCCCCAAACCATAACAGACCTGCCTCCATGTTTGACAGTGGGCAAAGTGTACTTGAGGTTCAATCTTTGTCCACTAGGACGTCTAACGTAATGAACACGATCTGATCCAAACATATTGAACTTGGATTCATCACTGAATCATACCCTCTTCCAGTCACAGATGCTCCAATCAAGATGCAACCATGCAAATTGTAACCGGTCCTTACAGTTTTTCCTCGAGATTAGCGGCTTCTTACTCGGGCGACGTGCAAATAACTTTAAATCATTTAATCTTCTACTTATAGTTTTCGTAGAAACACTCACAATTCCTTTTGTCTCGATTTCGGCTTTTGTTTATCTTGGGGTTTTAAACAGATCTTTGGACAAAATTACTTTTATTCATCTAACTGATCTAGCATTTAGTTTTCTAAGCCGACCACTTCTCTTAGATTCTTCCAAGATACCTTTTTGTTTAAATTTGTTCAATATTGCTTTACGCTTCAGCTTAAAATTTTTGGCAATTTCGACTTGACGTTGACCATCTTTGTACAACTCAATGATCTCAGTTTTCACATCGAAAGAAATTTCTGGACTACGCGGCATGGTCTTAAAATCACTCAACATATTCCACCAAGCTTGATGAACACAAACCAATCCTCTTGTGACACGAAACTATACTAACCTAATGTTGAAAAGAATTTGTCTACATATTTTTGTCCCTCATAAAAAAGTGCTTATATTCAGACTTGTATTATGTTCATTGCAGATAATGTAAAAACAAGGAATTTAGTTTTTCCACTAATAACGCCTTTGTTTATGGAGCAATGAAGTATGAATTCATTTTCTAAAGGTATTTAGGTAAATATTCATATTTGTCTATATACTTTTGTCCATTACTGTAGGTGTAGGTTAAGAGTGATTATTATTTATTCAACAATATCAGCCAGCTCTAAGTCACTTTCAACAAAATCACATCAACTGCCCAGATAGTCTGAATATCCATCTCTTGCACATGTCACACACACTATTCAATAATATGAAGTACCATTTAAGTGATTGTTAGCTTCCACAGAATGAACATAACTTTTCATTTGTGCAACCAAAAATGTATACTTACAGATCACTTAATATTGAGTAAATAGTAAGGTATCCATGAAGTTATTGGTGCAATCAGTTGGGAGTGAAAAAACTGGGACCATTGGAAAGGCATGGTCCCACAAGCATCCTGATGAAAAGGCACATGTCTGGAAGATATGTGAATAGGTGTGGTACGAGCTCGAGAGGCTAGATGGTTACAGCTAGGAACTGGGTTGAACTACTTACCAATCTACAAAGAATTCTAGTTTGCCCTCATAAGGCCTCTCTGGGAATGGTGCGTCTACTTCTATCTTCACAGCTACTAGAACATCAGTGTTTGCTAGTCGAAGCCTCGCAGAACCGAAGGCATGTGATACCACGTCGGTTTCTAGTTCCATAGGCCGGTATTCCTCACGATCTCTGCCATCTACCCTGAGGTTCTCCTGAGAAAACACATTTTGTATCTTCCGATTTTTTTATACTTTAATGGTCTTTCTTACCTCCACACCGTGCAAAACGTAGGTTTTTTCTGCTTCACTCAGACCCATTTTTTGAGAAGTTTATTTCCTAATTTTTGAAAATACGGGACATAACCTCAATTTCAACTTAAACTAAAAATCTATTCAAGCGACATCTGATGAACAAATGTTTAATTCTTCGATGATTACAATTTCCACAAATCTGTGACGTTAAGACCATAAAATAATAGTAACATAGAATTTTAATAGATGGCGATGACAAAATTAATCCTTATGGTTCGTCCTAGGTTTGTTCCAACAGAATAGTAACATTCAAACGGTTTCTAAACGGTAGCTGAAATGCACCTATACATCCCAGATTATTTTTACAAAATTTCAGACTAAATTCAGATTCAAAATCGTACTGGTGGGTTCATATAAATATTACCATTGAATTGAACGTACGTACGAGTTTGTATTTCGTCGCCTGAATGCAGGACTATTGTATGTCCGAATTCTTCATTTTTCGATGCAATTTTGGTTTATTAAACATTGTTTTTAAAATCGTTTTTTGATAAGTATCTAAGTCATGAATATGAGTTGAGCATGTAGATCCCCATGCCAATATACCGTAGGTTAAATGCGGCTCGATCAAGGTATGGTATAAGGTATAGAGATATTTTTCTTTTAAAATGTTTTTGATATATTTAATTTTATATATATCTAACTTTTTTAAAATATATGGTAAAACATTCCAACAAGTCCAAAATTTCTCAGAAATGTTAGGCTAGACACAAACACGAAAAATAGCTCTCCTGTAAAATTTGCATTTTGTGATTTAGAATACTTCTGCATTCAAGCGACGATTTATTTGCTTGTCCTATTTTACAAAATAAGAATACACCTACCGAAACGCAAAAGGATTCGGGAGTATATTAAATATAATCACAATGTTATTGAATCGAAATGCTGACGAGAGCTACAAGTATTGAAGTAATGTAGTACGTATCATGACATAACAGAATTTTACCGGTTTTTTAGGCGTGATACCAATAAGATATATTTATTTTCATTACTTCGTCATATTTTGAACGCCCGTAACCTTGCATAACGTGATCCTGATACAAACTCGTCTAAAGCTGAAATCCGCACACATCATGTCATCAGACTTTCTTCGTAGAAGCATCAACATTAATGAGTAGCAATATGCGATCAGGATTAAATAAACGCGAAGAGGTATGGTCACCTTTTGTCGTTTGTGCGATCCTAATACAAAACCGGTTTTCATAGAAGCGTCCAAAATACTGAGTAGCAATTTGCTATTAGGATTTCAGAAATCCAAGAAGGTGTATCGAAATAATTTTTTAGCCCTGGTATCAATTGGCGCGAACACCTCTCGTCGTTTCTGTAATCCGAATACAATATCATCGACAACGGAAATTAAAATATTGAGTCTAATAGCAGAAGCTATAGGCCTAGAAAGGCGTCAATGTTCTTGAATAACAATCAGCTGTCGGTATTACAGAAACGCGAAGATCGATGGAAGAAATTTCACTGATATCAGTTGGTGCAGACAACTCTCGTCGTTCCTGCAATCTTAAATCAACACATCAGCACATTGAACCATCTGACTTTCTTTGTAGAAGCGTCAATATTCATGAATAGTAATTTGCTGTCGGGATTACACAAACGCGACGATGTATAGAAAAAGTATTATCACTGGTATCACTTGACGCAAGCACATGTCGTTTCTACGATCGAGATACAAAATCTTGACAGCCGAAAAACGCACCTCGATCCATATCCGACTTTCTTCATAGTAGTGTCAAAATTACTCGTCGGTTCTGTTATCATAATATTCAAAATCATTGACCTGAAAAGCGTCAGTATTCTTGTACAGCAATTTGCTACCAGGGTTACAGAAACGCGAGGATGTATAGAAAAAATTCGTTAACCCTAGAATCAATTGGCGCGAAGAGATTTCATCGTTGCTGTGATCCCAATACATGGTCTCGTTTAATAAATGTGTCTAGATATTGGGCAGTATTTTGCTATCAAAACCAAAAATATGGAGGCTTCGCAAAATCCTAGTACTGTTAATTTAGTTTGCATTACAATGAACATTGGTAATATTAGGGTATCATTTTTAAAACGTTAAAATGATGTCTAGATGCAGCAAAATTCAAAACCTTTCTACATAAATTGCTACTGGAACACACTTATTGTTTACAGTTACAGGATACTGTAAAATGTGTGGGCATAAAGTAATTTCTAATAGATGTCGCCATGTTGCAGTGCTTGTCGCGACATCTACTGTTGACTTATCAAGCTACGGCTTCATTAGATTAGACATGTCAAACGTGTTTGGCGTCATCTATCGGGCAAATTTTTAATCTTACCACTTACATGCTAGAACCCTGTTTTCTGTGATTCTGTCAACTTCACAGCTTGGCCACGGCGTCACGGTGATGGGTAGTGTTGCCAGAAGTAGCGGAATTTTCAAGTGGTAGCGGCGTAGCGGCGGAATTGGATTTTTTGTTAAAAGTAGAGGAATTTTGCAATTTAGGTACACATGATGGTTATTTTTACCAGAAAAAAATGAGTGCAGTTAGTAACCAAATCTAAATACAGGTATCTTTCCAATCGACAGTGGTAACCACCGTTCCGTAATTCTTATTCAACGGAGACGCGTATAGATGATAATAGGTGGTAAGATCACACCCTGTGAAGTGTATTTCCAAAGTATGTGCAATAATTTTAACATTTGCCACATGGTAATGCAGATGTCGAGTGGACACTCTCATATATGGAGATAATCAAAACAAAGAAAAGGAATCGTATTTTACCTTCAACTTTGTTCGCGATACTTATCAAACAGGATACAATACAAAAAAATGTTGTTGCTTAGACTTCGAGTTTGATGAAACACATTTTAAAAAATACAAAAATAATGTATATAGTATAGAGAGAACAGAAATGCAACAAGAAGGATCTGATACAGATAGTAACTAAGTTTAAGTAACTCAAAAACAATTTTTTTTATGCAAAACAGAAATGGCGTTTAGTCATATACTTTTTATCTTTTAGTTTCCTGTGATATTTTTTTAATATGACTGCGTGATAAAAGTTCTGTTGTTTGACAGTTATTTGTCATATTGTAGGTTTTTATAGTCAAATGTTTTTTTATTACAGTTTTATGTTAAACGTTATGATATTTATTATTTAAATGGGTGATAGAGGGGGATAAAAGAAGCAAAAAGTTTCGTATAACATGGGGGTCAAAACGGCGTTTTTTAGAGAAAAGCGACAAGTAAAATAAAATTTGACAACGCCACAATGCCAGACGCAAATTACCACGGAACGCAGTGTAAATAAAGATGGAGTTTGTTATGTTTGGCTCTTAGGTATTATTTCATTATTTGATAATGTACGCGTAAAATGCAAACAATTAAAAAAATGGACCTACCACTAACTGTCTCAGTGCTTCACCTGGTGTGTGAAAGTTTATTGAACGTATTAAAAAAATCCACTTATAAATAGGACACACAATTTTGATACATACATTGTTTTTCTTTTTAAAACCCACACTGCACTTTTTTTGTATTTAAAGAAGGTGTTCAAAATGTCGTCCTCCACTTTCCACACAAGCTTCATTACGATCTTCACGAATGGTATGAGGTTTTTCTTGGGCCCACGTGTGAGTTATATGGAAATTTAATACCCCGTCTCGCGTAAAAGTACCTACATTCATCCGTCGCTAGAATGTTTTTAAAAAATTTTTGTGCAAAAACCACTGACAGAATGTTAGTCTGCGAGGATAGTATTCTGGTAACAAAGCATGCACTCGTACGTGGTAGGGATAAAGCAAATATCTGCATTGATTTCCACGATATTTAAAATTTGTTCCTTCTGCTCTACAGTAACCTGTCTTTCACAAGTGCGAATATTAGTCCGCTGAACACTTCCTGTATCTCGAAGTCTTTGGTACACTTGCACAAATGCCCTTCTGTCTAGGTGTACCCGTTGGCGAAGATTTGAATTCTGACGAGCTTCACCGTAAATTAACATCATGTCGAAGAACTCTTGATTCGAGAACATTGTAAATAAAGACGACGTCGTACGCGAACAAAAACAAAACAACAGGCCCGATGCCCGATAAGTAACCTCTGTTACCGTTTGCGATGGATTGCCGGTTCGATAAAAGTGATGAAAGGCCGACGCGCTGTTGTCTTGTGTGTTTTAAATCTTTAATTTAGTGAAACTTACTTACTGACTACAAATTTTGGCTTAACTTAGAAAAACTTAATTCCATTTATTTGTTAATTACCCAATTTAAAAACGTTTTAGATTAGATTATAAAAATTAGTAAGATTTAGACAAAAATCTATTGACTTTTGGACCATGCGTCATATGAACTTTTTGACTTGTTTTGACTCCCCTTATTACCCATTTCAATAATGACTACCATAACGTTTGCACCCTGTATTTTTTCACGCAGTTTGAGTTTTGTTTTCCTTTTTTGACACAACCTGTTTTATGTGCGCCAATTTCTCAGCTTTCTAATCAGCCTTTTAGGTTCACTTAAAATATTATGAATTATTATAATCAGACAGCCATTTCAATGTTAATTATGCAGGCACACCTCATTAAAAGTATCGCCCGTAAGGTGACACTTTATTTTGTTTAAAACAGCCCGATTAATTTAATTTCTTAACCTGATTTTTTATATAGCAGGTATTTTTTCCATTTCAGGCAAAATACTGGTTAAAAAATGGAAGATATCTGATTTTTTTTTCATTGTCAACTATATTTTTAGAGATATCGTTTTTTTTAAATTATTTTTCTCCCAATCCCTGAATAATGTGCTCAAATATCTTGTACATTATGTCGCTTTTTTAATTGGGATTACTTGATTGTAGAGGGTTCAATCCGTAAAAATGCACTAGTAGGAGAAGGTGATAAATTTTATTTCATTTAAAATTACAGGTAAATCATCACTGGCAAGACAAATATCTCAGATATGGCACCTATAAATAGAATGTGCACTTTTGATAAATTTGTATTTTATTTTGTCTCTATTTTTTTGTATTTACTTTATTTATACTGATTTACTTTTACTTATACTTTTATACTACATGTATGTCTGATGTCTGTGATATCACTTCTAATTGTATTGTTCCTGTGATTGGGTATAACCCGTTGGAATAAAGATTATTATTATATTATTGTCTTCATTATCGATAACATCAATGTTTCCTTCATCTAAGTTTGATTCGTAAGTTAAAGGCATGTACTTATCTTTTAAAAATTTTAATAGTGTGAAGTATTTCCAGGATGGTTCATAATTCGAAGATGAATCACCCGACCGGGATTTAGGCATTTTCTTTAATTCTTTACTATATGTGTCTTTCAGGTTCTTCCATTTCTTTTTGAGGTCATCGACTAAACAAAATTGTTAAATTTAAGAATAATATACAGGGTGTCCCAGAAGTCGACGTCAAGCCGAAACCGGGTGATGGGCAAAGTCATAACAGCTATCAGAAAAATATTTAAAAAAATTTTATGTATGTGTTTTGAAAATTATAGGTCTCTAGATTTTTTTTTACTGGGGAACTGTAAAAGAAAAAGTGTATTTCAAGCCGATTCAAAATGTAGCTGAGCTTTTTAAGAAGATGTCGAGCGTGTATTGCGGCTGAAGGAAAACAGTTTGAGCATTTGCTGTAAAGGTAAATCATCATCAGCAGCATTTTGATGCCCACTGTTGTGCAAACAGTTATCCTTAAGGGTCCTTGTGCGTTTTCATAATCGCTGTTTAATTAGGAAATTTTGAAAAATTTTCATCAGTTTTTCTTCAAATAAAAATTGTGCATAAGTTAACGGGTGATAGTGTAATAAGTGTTATACCATTTTGGAATCGTTATTAAATGCGCCAACTGTTAAGGTTACTTGCCAAACTCTCGTAGTACATTTTTTTCTAGTACAGCCAGTTAAAGTTGAGCAAAGTTTTACTTTGGAATACTTGGTTGGGAAATAAGTGGCAATTTTTCCTGAACGAGAAAAGTTGGCAGTAAGGTTGAGACACCAGTTTGAAGATGCATTATTCATCATTACATTGTAAAAATAAAATCCAAAAAAAGTTAATATTTGTAGTAACAGGAGTTGACAGACTGCCGTGTGAAATTTCTATATCTTTTTCAAAGACCTATAATTTTCAAAACACATACATAAAATTTTTTTAAATATTTTTCTGGTAGCTGTTATCACTTTGCCTATCACCCGGTTTCGGCTTGACGTCGACTTCTGGGACACCCTGTATAAGTTAGGGCACTTGAAAAAATAATAGAGTAAATGTGTAGATGCATAAAGAGAAAATGTTTCAGATTTCTCTCTGTTGGGATATGACTTTTAAATCTCTGGCTGTCATACTCTCTAGGCCGAAGAACCGTCACCAAAATCAAACTTTGAAGGCAATTTAGGTAAAGTTGGTTATTCAGCATATGTCACGAAAACTAACAAGTGAAGATTTAAGTTAAATTTCAGACATGTTTTTCTCTAGACGGCAATTCCCCAATTGCGTAGGAGCCATAGACGGTAAACATTTTAGCATTCAGAAGCCACCACGGAGCGGTAGCCAATATTATAATTATATTTTTTTTCATTGTCCTACAAGCAGTTTCGGATGCAGATTATAAATTTTCTGTAATTGAGATTGGTAGAAAAGGAAGTGACGGAGGCACGTTTCATTTTTCAAAATTTAATGAATTGCTTTCTAACAATCTATTTCATATGCCACCGCCGAGAACATTACCTGGGACAAATATTTTACTGCCACACGTTCTAGTTGGCGACGAAGCCTATCCACTGAAAGCATATATTATGCGACCCTTTCCGTCCAGTACTTTGGATGATTCGAAAAGAATTTTTAATAAAAGATTGTCAGAGCTCGAGTGACAATTGAAAGTGCATATGGTAATATGCCTAACGAGTGGTGAATTTTCCTCAAAGGGAAAGCGTGATCCCGATTTCAGACGGTACATGAATTCTAGATCTATAACTAATCAAGTTATAACGTCTCGGCGGAACAGTCGAGCTACGTTACAAGCTGTAAACTTAAGAAATCATTTTAAAGACTATTTTGTAACCTATTGACTAAATATTTGTACCTAACCTAGGAATAGAAATTTTTACTTATACCCTTCCGAGTCTGGAAATTTTATTTTAGTTTCTTCCCACAATGTCTTCACAAGTCGTGACCAAAAATGAAACATCATACACAGGACCGCATTTTAAGGGGGGTCTTCTATGTATCATTTTTATAGGGCTTCATTAAAACAATTTTTTTTAATATCTTCCAAACCGTCAACTGGAATGAACTAAAATTTGGTATGTGGATTTACCCAAGTATTGTCCACATTCAACAGTCTTTACTTACAATTAACGTGCACCAGTGGCGGAGATACAGGGGATTACTGGCATTATTTTTCCAAATAAAAATATTACGCCACTGTTTTTTTCGAAACGCGTTTTTCGAATTTTACCTTCAATTTGTTACAAAGAATTACTCCTGTGTTTTTTCCTAGAGTGTACTGGTTTCGTAAAAATAAAAATAGAAGTTCGTTCATTCATCAAGAGCCGAGATACAATTAGTTTCAAAATAAAATAGGAGGCCCTGATACCATCTTGACGTTTCTTGGGAGATAGTTTGTCAAAGTTATGTGTTATATAGTTGTTATCGTTACTACTACCATTTTTTTTGAAAAGTCAAATCAAGAGTTTCTTTTTTTCATTTTTGAGTGTTGTGAAATGGAATTTAGCAAAGATGAGTACGCCGATATTATTTTTGTGCACGGGTTCTGTAATGGAAATTCTTTAGCGGCTCCTCTGGAGTATCAACGTAGATTTCCTAAGAGACGCCAACGTACCCCCAAAGGTTTTTATTAATTTTTTTTATTTTTGCGAAAATAATGCACTCTAGAATAAACACGAGTAATTATTTGTAGGAAATTGAAGGTACAATTCGAAAAATTGCGCGTTTTGAAAAAAACAGTGGCGTACTATTTTTATTTGGAAAAATAATGCTACTAATCCCCTGAATCTCCGCCACTGGTGCACGTTAATTTTGAAAGTGGAAAATACTTAGGTGAGTCCACATAAAAAATTTTAGTTCATTCCAGTTGACGGTTTTGAAGATATTATAAATATGTTTTTTATTTTTAAACTTCAACACCCCGTATCTTTTTATTGAAGCTCTCGAGGAAAAAATGTTACATAGAAAATGCGGTCCTGTGTACGATGCTTCATTTTTTATCACGGCTTGTGAATCACCCTGTATTTATGCTGCGGGTGGGCAAATAGCAGGCCTAGCAAGTGTTTCAGTAATAAAAGCCTCGGTGTGTTCATTTTTCCCGGCAAACAAACTAAACCTGTTTGATCACCGCACTATTCGCCTCGACTGCTGCTCGACTCAGTGGCTTGAGCCGTATTGATTCATGATTCATGCCTTTGTTTCACTCACCCGCCGCACCGCCAGTCGCCCTCGCGGTTCGCTCGGTACATTTCGCTGGTCGCTTCGCCGTTCGCACCGCGCGAATATTCGCTATTGGAAATGTCCTGTGGCCAGGCCGTAAAAGTTATAGACTTAGAGATATCATATACACCACCTACATATAGAACTCGCTTTTCTGATAATGGGAGAGATCGATTGAGGGTAATATTAGTTGATCTATAGTCGGGTAATTTTAAATCAACTTTGAAATAAATCAAAATATATAAATTATTCATTCATCAATCTATTGAACAATAATGTAACACTTACATACTAAGGAATACATTATAACTTTGAACATCTCAAATAAATTGACTTACATAACAAACTTTAAAACTTGTATGCAAACAACAATAACATTAATATATTTGAATACCAATTAAATACAAAACTAAATTAATTACACAAAAACAAAGCTTTATATATTTAAAGGGTGCATTAAAACGTGTTTTTTAACCAAACCAAGCAGTATATCCACTGGTACAGTGCAGTCGTCATTATGTAGAATGAACCGCCATTGGATCTTACCTTTGGGATCTATGAATATTGCAGCCCTGAAAAATGAAGATGTCCGAATTGATTTTGAAGTTTGATGTTAACGATTTGATGAAATTTTATTTTCTGCACAGTATGAGCCGAAGTCATGTGTGTTTATAAACTTCCTTGACTGTGTCATCTATTCGCACGCAACAGAGTGTTGCAGTGCAAGTCCGCTAACATTAACGTCGATGCTATTCGACATACTCTCGTTAGTATTTTAGGTCAATAGGTCCGTTAGGACAGATTGATCAGGTACAAGTTAGGAAAAAAAGCAAAGAGGGTAGACAGGACTGGCTGCCAAATGAAACCACAGATGCAGAATAGGAAGATTGGTGGCCCTAATGGCAGCGATTATTTCAGTTCTGCTTCTGTGTAAACTAGTAATACGTTTCTTGCTCTAATCAGCATGGTTTCGGCTTGGTCTCAGGTATAAGGTCTATGGAAATAAGACAGCACTGCGCGAGTAAAACAGCAAACTGCCTGTTTTAAATGTATCCCAGTTCACATTATTTCACTTGACAGCCATCAGTGACTTGATTAGATCGTGGATGCGCCTTTAGCTAGCTGACAACTTCCACATTGTATGAATAACTTCTGTTTTCAAATATTTGAAAGCATCATCCGCGAAATGTAAGATTTATAACTTCATGAAAACAGACGTTCTTCGTAAAATCTGTACTCCGCTTCAATATAGTCCATTCGGTGAGAAATGCCAAGGTATCTATAAATAGTTTCATTGGAAAGTTACCATGAGGTGGTAGTATAATTGTAGTTTCACTCTGTAGACTACTCATATGCATTTTGGCAAGAAAACACAAAGCAACACATGCTGATTTTTGTTGATAAAACTTAATTTTGACGTGTGTTAAAGTTGCTAAAACGCAAAACAGTTTTCAACGTTCCAGTAAAGAAAAATCCTTTGCATGATCTTTCTACAGTATGCGATCTCCAAACACTGAAAACTCAGGTATGGAATCGCACTTACGTTTGACGAGGTTAGCACTGTGACTGAGCAAAGGGATTTGGTTGTAGTTATAATAATGGATAAACATAATCATTGATTGACGTAACCTACCTGAAGATAGCCAATGTCATACTATACTCCCGCGTTCAAAAAGATATCTGAGATGAAATAGATATGGCGCCACAGCGCAATAAGCTAATATAGTTTGCTACAGCGCCATATATCTCAACTAACAATTATCACTCCTATTAGAGTTGCAAGAACGATTATACAGTATGCCTTACTCAGCATTGTATGATGCAAGAACTCTCTTAGAACAGCGGTATGGGCACACCTAATACGACAGTCATTTAAGAGGTTGTATATAACAAAGGTGTAAACCTCTTGCAGCCGCTATAGAACATCTGCGTCATTGCAAGATTATATAGCAATATGACAAATCTCTGAAATGAAATGCGGACAGAGTCGAATGATTTACTAGTTTGTATATCTTCAATATGAAAAGTTGATGAAACCTTTTAAGTCAATATGAATGCGTTGCTTGTCTCAAAGTATTGGTTATGGCATTTAACCTAAAAAGATGACAGCAGAAAGTTAGGTTATGGTGAAGTTGCATACTATACCAACATATTTAGCAGCAAATGTATGCTGAGCACAGCAGTTTTGTACTTTAACAGATGTAATATTGTGGCAGATATACAGTCTTAAACAGTTACTAGACGACAGTTGTATAAGTGCTTCTGTTGGGAGCAATTTGTTGGCTAAAGTATATTTGCGCACCAAAACAACAAGGCTTGGTAGGGGTATTATGAAAAAACCTAAACAACGTAAAAAAAACCGACGAAATGTCATCTTGCAGACCAGGTAGATTTTAGTGTGGAAATCTGCAAATAGTTCATTCCACGTGTACATGCTATGGTCGCTGTTCGCTGTCGTTTATGCAACATGTACAGCTACAAAACGAGATCACAACAAGTGTACAACAGCTTGTGCTAAGTTAGATCTTGTAGAAAAACCTACGTTATGTCACAAAAAACCTACGAAATGTCAAAAAATCCGACAAAATGTCACTTTCCACGATACGTAATAAATATTTTGATTACCGCGCAATTATGCCTTATAAAACAGTTGTGTAAACGTTTAAAATTTGTCCTATAAGATGTTGTATAACTATGCTACAAGATTATTTTAGACACCTCATTTTAGAGCAAATATGTTGCAGAAAGCAAATTTGCACCCCCAGGACACCCCTTAGGTCTGTCTCTGACGCAGGAATATCTCTTTAGGTTGTAAAATTGCTTTCGCAAGTGACAATTAATTCACACAAAAAGGATTATCTATCGGGCAACTCCGTATTTATCCCTGACCAAATGAGAACAGCACGGGTTTGGACGCCATCATCTATTTTGTGGACGCCATGTTTTGAGTTACATTTATCCCTTTCTAATTCGCCTTTTCTAATGATTAGCTATTATACTTATGCAGTGCGGTTTGGTGTTCTTTTGCCAAGACGCGCATCCAAAATCATCAAGTACACCAAAGCAGTACTTTACGAACGATTTGCAATGGCCCATAGCATATGACAAATCAGACTCTACAGAAAGACCTTAACGTTCCTTACTTGAGGCACTAATGTGTAACTTCAGGCGCAGCGGCGTTATAGTCAAGCGGAATCGTTCAGCAGCACTGTTGCGTTACTGAGAAGACTACACAGTGGAGCAAGTCATAAATCCTCAAGGCGACAGCTTGCGCTGTTCAAAAATTCAGGGCGAAAATTACACTCTAACAAAAGCTGAATTATTATTTTTTTAGTACACCTCAAAATAAACAGTGTACGAAGTACATAAGAGTAGGAGTTTCCTCATACACTTCCCTTTCCTTTGCACTTATCCCTTCCGGCTTTCTCGTTTTTTTCTTAACCTTCGTATGTTTTTTTGGCAACCAGGACTGACAGATTTGCCCAGACAAACAAATGACGAATAGATCAATATAAATTATGCAAGGAAAGATGTGCAAACAATTAAAAAGAAACTTTACTATTTCGAGTGGCCTACAATTGAATCGGGCATTGCAAAAACCTTGCCAGTCATATAGTTTGATTTTCCAGGAGATAATGAAACTGTGCCACCGACAGTGAGTTCTGTAAGATTAAAATTTCAAATAATCTTCAAAGTTTATATAATATTATAATAAATGAAAAAGCCGGGAAACTGTTATGAATTTACATTGCTTTAGCAGGAAACAGGGCTGGTCTAGCTTAAAAAAAATCACATTAACATTTTTTCATTGCTTCTTAGCGAAAACGAATTTAAATATTGGCCTATTAATGCCACATATTTTAATTTTACATGTTTTAATATGTTTAAGGTGTAAAGGGGACACCCAGACAAAGCAAACCGTTGGGAAAATGGAATTTCCTGTTTTACATTTAAACCATGAATTGACCACCGGAAAAGTAATATCTTCAATAATCGGCAATCAGTTTTAAGAGAACCCACGAGCTTATTTGACTGCGGTCTACTAAACTGTACGGTTGGAAACTGTTTGTACATGATTGGCAAGACATGCTTATTTTCTTGAGGCAGTAGTGCAGTCAAAATAAGGTACTGGCAGGAGGGACAGTGCGGGTGTCATATGACATAAGATCAAAAAACAATATTATTATATTGAAAGGTTCAAGACTATGACATTGAATTCTTGTTGAAAGCTTTAGAATTTATCATGGTTTATCACTAGAAATTAAAATAGCACAAAGTGTAACAATATTCAAGACAAAATTACGGACTTTGGTTATTTGATCTAAGAGATATACGTTATTAACACCTAAACACGTGAAAGCATATTGGAAAAAATGGACTTAGTGCTATTTTAAATGACCCATTTAATTGGAAACGAATTAAGTGTTCGAAAATCGGCTTGACAGTGAAGTATCTCACTGGCAAAACATATGTATAATACACAATGTTATATATCTGATTGTCACTTGTGCTAATAGTGATAATTACTTAGGACTTCGTCCGTAAAATAAAACGATATTTGTTTAAATAAGGGAAACGTTCATGAAATTAAAATAATATACCTGAAATTATGTCCCCACTCGGTCACATACATTCTGAAAGCCATAGACACTTTCATTTTGCAGTCGGCAATCAGAGGAACGACGATGTTTGGCTTCCTGGCCAGAAATTCCATGTGAACATTCTCGTCAGTGGTGCAGCACCCTACCACCTCCACATTCAATGATTTGAAAGTTTCGATATGCGCTGAAAGCTCCTCGAGCTCTTCTGGGGCTGCCACTGTATAGCCACTAAAAATGACAACGTGGAAAATTAAGGGACATATTTGCAATTCATAAAAGGCTGTAACAGTTTAAGAAATAAGACAGCGCAATGCGCCATCTATCACACCAGAATCGACCATTGCGGAAAGCGCATAGCTACTATTAGTTGGAACTGTTAGGGATGTCAGCTCGCGTTTTAATAGCAAAGTCACCACGTGGCCGCTAGATGGCTGACGATTCTGACTGTAAAGTAGATGTGGTCTACTTGCCATTGAACAAACCAAACATGATCCGCTTTGCTCTCCGGTAGAGAAGATAGTTGCGATGCTTCCGTTTGTTCGTCCCGAGACAAAGCACCAACCATAGACTATGCTGCTGAGTAACCAAGAAGCACGAAACAGCTGACCGTGGTTGGCTGTCTTTTTTGTTAGACAGACGAGGGCATCATGTTTGGTTTGGCTGTAACAGTTGTCATGAAACGTTTTTAAAATTTGGAAAACTTAATTCGAAAGATTATTAAAAATTCCAGAACATTCAAAGCATTATAAATTTTCAAAATGTAAAACTAGCTACTGCCAAATAACAATTTTATTTATCTTGAAGCTCCGTAGGTGCAGTCTTTGCGTAATATAAATGAAAATCTCAACGTTTAAATGAAGATACTATACCCCATTCGTAGTCCATTTACGCCCAGATAAAACACAACATGCCCAAAGGCGAGATTGTACAGGTCCGTATTACCCTCAATGGTCTTGGAATAATCTAACAAAATAAATTATTATTTTTATAGAAAGAAGTGCACATACTTTTCACAATTCTTTAATCTGGAAGTACTTGAATCATCGTCCGAATGGTTAATATTAATTATTACAGGTTCAATTTGAATATCGATCATATTGTCCAGATCCCACATCTTTGTTTCGATTGTCTCTTGAACGTGACGGATGCAATCTTTCCAATGGTTTTCCGTCACTCTGTTGACAGCTTCATAAGAAAAATTTTTCACGTCAGAAAATTTGAATGTTCTATTGTTTGAGCCACAGTTTTTTATATTTGCCCAAATCATTTCAATGGGATTTAATTCGCAGTGATAAGGGGGCAGCCTTAAAACGGTCTTCTTTTGGTTTTTAGCCATTCCGTCAATAACATTAAGATTATATTTAAAATTGTGCTGCTTGACTAGATGGATAAGTTCTGCTTTGACCATATTTTCATTGAAACTAATGTCTTTTGATAGGAGCCATTGTTGAATTTCTGCCTTTCTTGTGGACATTACGGGGATTTTTTCTAGTTTTCTATTGTAGGCAGCATTATCAAGTACAATGACGGCGTTGTCATCAAGATTTGGGAGCGTTTCTTCAAGCCATCGTTCAAATGATCTCCGGTCCATTTCTTCATGGTAGTCGGTAATTTTCTTTGACTCAAATGCCCATAGGGCAGTGGGCACAAAGCCATCTTCAATGTCAATGTGACCGATAACAAATCGTTTTCCTTTTCCTTGAAATAATTATTTCAAATAGTATTCATGGAATAATAATAAATAATACAAGCAGAGTATCAAAGAGGTGTTGGTTCCAAATCTATATATATATATATATATATATATATAGTTAAGTTCGGTATAGCTAAGTTTTCAGCGTGGGCCCATAGATTCAGTGTACTTGACTCCATTTTTACAACACAAATGACGAATTGGTTAGATACACGTATCTGACGGATTCTTTAGGCACGTGGTTAGACCATCTAGGAAGGCTTGTCTTGCTGATTCAGTTGTAGAGTCAGCCCATACTTTATGTTTTATTTGTCCTGCATTTATCCAGGTTTCATTCAAGTAATAAATCTTCCTGCCCTAGTCGGGGTATTTCTTTATTGATTTGAAATAATTTCTTCTCTATAAAATAATCTCTTAGCTGTCCATGAAAATACGATTTCTGTCCCGTTTTCGATATTCAAAATAAAGTTCTTTGAGTAGACTATAGAATGTGGTCCTTTTGAAAGTAGGTAAGTCTTCACCACTATTAACCTTGTGTAATACTTTGTCTATGGTGGAAAGTTCCTGCCTCTCAAAAAATTGATGGACTTTGTATCTGATCACACTCCGATCAAACTTATCAACTATGTGGTGGTGACAACGTTTTGTTTTTTTTATATTCTTTAACATTGTTGAAAATCGTCTTAGGACATAAGCCTGTCTTGTGCGCCACACGTCTTTCATTATCATGAATTTTCATTACAGGATACTCTAAAATTTCCCTCTAATCAACGTTAAGGACAATTCCTTTTGCCTGAATATTCAAATGTCAATTCTTGTCACGTTTTTGGGGAGGAGACATGACTGAAGGAGGCATTGAGAGATATACAGGTATTCTCAGTTTCATCTGCTGTATCCGTAAACGACATGCTAACGTACGAGGGATGTCTTTTAAGTTTTGCATATAGAAACATAGTAGGCCGCGCGGATCGAACGTCAGTACTGAATCTTAACCTCACTCTGTAGTAAACTTAAATTCAAAGTTTCACAACAATACGTGCAGTGTTCTCACTACAGTGAATTTTTAAGTGTCACCAAGTAAAATGGAACTGAACCGAGAACATTTTCGCGCCATAATTTATTACAACTTTCAGACACAATTATCGCAACAAGAATGCCTTGCTGAGTTACTGTCTGTTTTCGGCAACGAAACGCCACATCAGTCGACAATTTCCCGTTGGTATGGAGAATTCAAACGTGGACGGGTGAGTCTTAGCGACGATCCCAGGGTGGGTGCACCAAAAACAGCAGTCACCGAGGAAAACGTCGATGCTGTGCGCAAACTCATCATTGAAGATAGACATTTGACATATCGCGAGATATACTTACAAATCAGAAGGATAGAAAAACATCAGCAAATATTTCCCTTGAAAATCGCTTGATCTAAGTTGCTTCCTTTCTCCACCTTGAATGGCATCGGCTACCCATTCTGGAGCCTCGATAACTGAAAAAATAAAAAACTACGTGCACTAAAAATCCTTATTTTATAAACCAGATATTGGATGAAGATTTAAATAAAAATAATATTTATTATCGCAGTTGCAATCTGTGCATAAATAAATCTAAATATCTTCTGCATCGATCCTGTTTCAAAAGACATACAATAATAACAATACATGGTCGATGAGACTAACAAATATTTATCAATTTATATATCAAAGTTTTATCTATATCCATACATATATATGTGAATGTCTATCCAGTCTGTCAGTATCACGTGTATCACAATATGGAGAGCCGTCAAAATTTGTAAACTCACTAATTGAAACCCGAGGAACGTTACAAGTATGGTTTTATCCACAAAAATACGTTTCCTACAGAAAAATGTAAAACAAAGTTCCAAGGTTTTAAAAGATTCATCAATTGGTGATCTTGTAAGGTTTGAAAAGATTCATCCAATGGTGATTCAAAGAATTACTATCGATATGGATGTGTGGCCTAAATGTGCCATTTCATCTGAAGCACCCCAAGGTTATGTACTCGGACACTTATTATTTGATTTATATATCACCGACTTGCACACATTTGTCAAACATTGTGGTATTCAATTTTTTGCTGACGACTCTCAAATTTATAATCACTTCCATAGTAGTAACACTCAAATTGCTGAATATGAAATTAATGAAGATACGAGGGATGTCCTTTAAGTTTTGCATTTAGAAATATAGTAGGCCGCGCGGATCGAACGTCAGTACTGAATCTTAATTTTTAAGGCCCGTATCGTCAGTCGTCCCTACAATTGTAGGGCGCGTTTATGGCCTCCTTGATTGTCATAGTTTTCTAATTTTCCGTGTCAGCGCTCTATTTTGAGGTTATGTCACAAATATCTATTATGCATGCTTTTGATTTATATCATGTTTTATCAGCCCGAAATTTCCTACAATTTAAAAAGAAAAAATATCTTCACAATAGGAGAGCGCTGACGCTGACACAGAACAGGTGCCATCTAGAAATTTTTGAAGGAGAGAAAAGAGTATGACAATCAAGGAGGCCATAAACGCGCACTACAATTGTAGGGACGACTGACGATACGGGCCTTAGAGTCACCAAGTCATTAGAAAAATGGAACTCATCCGAGAACATTTTCGCGCCCTAATTTATTACAACTTTCAGAGACAATTATCGCAACAAGAATGCATTGCTGAGTTACTGGCTGTTTTCGGCAACGAAGCGCCACATCAGTCGACAATTTCCCGTTGGTACAGAGAATTCAAACGTGGACTGGTGAGTCTTAGCGACGATCTCAGGGTGGGTGCACCAAAAACGACAGTCACCCAGGAAAACGACGATGCTGTACGCAAACTCATCATTGAAGATAGACATGTGAGATATCGCGAGATTGAGGCGTCCTTGAAGATCCCAAAGACCTCAATACAATGAATGAAGAATTAGGAGTAAGAAAATTAGTTTCTCGTTGGATAGCCCACCTCTTGACTGAAGAGCAGAAAGCAGCCAGGGTTGATTGGTGTCCAAAAAGCTTGACCGTTTCAATTCCGGAAACTCAAAAAATGTGTAACAGCATTGTTAGTGGTGATGAATCGTGGATTTACTGTTATGAACCAGAAAATAAACGACACTCGGCTGTTTGGGTGTTCCAAGGTGAAGAAAAGCCAACAAAAGCCATCCGTTCTCGAAGTGTTTCGAAAAAGATGGTCGCGACATTTGTGTCAAAAGCGGGTCATATTGCAACAATTCCTCTTAATGAGCAAAGAACTGTTACTGCGGATTGGCATACCACCATTTGTTTGCCAAAACTTATCAACGAGCTTCGAAAAATCAACCCGAAAGAAGAATCATCCACCACCAAGACAATGCAAGCTCGCACACAGCCCAAAAAACAAGGCAGTATTTAACGGAAGAAAACGTGGAATTATTGGACCATCCTCCATATAGTCCCGATCTAAGTCCTAACGATTTCTTTACTTTCCCGAAAATTAAAAACAGACTGCGTGGTCAAAGGTTCCAGTCACCAGAAGAAGCAGTTGACGCATTCAAAAATGCCGTTTTGGATCTGCCAGCAAACGAACGGAATAAGTGCTTCGAAAATTGGTTCGAGCGCATGTAGATATGTGTATTAATCTTCGTGGAGAATACTTCGAAAAACAATAAAGCCATTTATAACTATCTACCGTGTCGTTTTATTTCCATATGCAAAACTTAAAAGACATCCCTCGTATAGCTGCTTTTCGATCCTACGTCAATTATATCTGAATAAACAAATTCTCGAATAATTAATTATGTCCAAAATTACTTACTGTGATATAGTTTACAATCCATTTTTAAATACAATATCTCTTTCACGTTTACAAAAAATTCAAAAGTCATGTTGCAGACTAATAAACAATAAAATAATTTAAGGAAATATGACCATATAAGTGGTTCCTTAAGAGACTTGGGATGGTTGACGGTGAGAGAGCTATATGAGCTACACTTATCAACTTGCACATAAGCTCTTGCTTACTTCGATTTCCTCGATTTTAAAGAACAAGCTGATCCCTCGAAATTCTATTCACACTAGAGACATACGGTTTACTGAAACACTCATAATGCCTCTTGACAAAACCTCATTCTCTCATAAGTGCTTCACATACAACTCGATAATGCTTTATAATGACGTACCTCGGGCATTAAAATGAATAAATTACAATGACTTTAAAAAACAAATTAAACAATTCATGTTAGAAAGTATTCACCTACATAGTTTGACCACTCACTTCGCAAACATTTTTCCTTTTCTGTGTACATCCACACTTCTGATTAATAATTATTAATAATTTTTATTATTTACCATTATATACTTAGGTATATTCTTTTACATATTTATAATGGTTATTGTGTTTTTTGAATTTTCAAGGGTTAAGTGGCAGAATAGCTTCAAGCTAAACTTCGCCCTTTAATAAAGAGACGTTTATTATTATTATTTGGAGGTCGAGCCAGTTTTCCTATTTTTGACACAGGAGATGTACAGTGCGGGAAATTTTTCGTTAAAGAATATCTTTGCCTATGACCTTGACCACGATCTTCATGTGTATTCAAAATAAGCAAGTTGGTATCTACTTGCCGTACAGCCTAAAATGCCATAATTTTGAAAATATTTCAGTCGAATGTCGAATGGTCGCATGCTAGATAGCTAAAATCGAAACACAAAACTCAAAATGCCTTGAATCTAGCAATCAACATTTTTCATTCGACAGAATCTCGCGAATCGACATGATCCGACAAAGAAGGATGCGATCGAGATTTTTTCACCGTTCGGCAAAACGCCAAATGACAAAGGGGAGTATGGGTTGCTTGAAAATGCTTACTTTTTTTTTCGTTATTGACTACCTTTTTCTAGCTTCCTTCTTAAAATCAAATAAATCAACAGCACATTGACAAACAAAAATAAAATTCCACTGTCGCATGCGAGATTCGAGAACAGTTCCCCAGTCTGTTAGCATCGAGTCTTAAGAATGATACGGAGAGACTAGAATTTGTACACTCAAGCTCGAAAAAGGTTATAGGCATGGTTTTGTCCGTGAAAATATACAGGGTGTTCAAAAAGTATGGATACACCAAAATATATCGAAAGATACGTTTCCTAGAGAAAAATGTGGTAGAACAAAATTGAAAGGTTTTCTATTTTCGACTGAATGTGACCTTAAGTATCAACTTCAATGTCATTTAAAGGTTTAAATTTTCGTAAATGGGACCTCTGTTTCTGACACAGGAAATGTAAAGAGCGGAACACTTTACGTTAAAGTATGCCCATGTCCTATGATCTTCATGGGTAAGAAAGTAGGGAAACGACAAAATGTCTCGAAAAATGTTTCGTAAAGGAAAAAGCTGTGTAACAAAGTTGTGAGATTTGAAAGGATTCATGGTAACCATGAACTACGACCTTCAAGTTTATGGTCAATACAGTTTTTTTAAATAGAAATCCCTATTTTTGACACCAGAAATAAAAAGAGCAAGAGTAAAGTAACTTTATGTACAAGTATTCCTATGACCTTGACATGACACAACATTTTCCTTCACTATATATATATATATATATATATATATATATATATATATATATATGATCTTGACATTATTTCTTTTTTTGAAGTTGCAATTTTTATCTGTTTATTTTTACTTCTGGTGTCACGCTCATAATTTTTATAATCGGTTGAATGTTGAATGAGTTTGGATTCTATAAACAGTGATTTGAAGAGATATCACAACTTACTCTCTGAAATGTAGCCATCAATCTCCTTATGCGTATGATCATGAACAAAGGCATTGTCTTCTTCGTCCAGCAAACTTCTAACAGGTGCAATTTCAGAGGACGCCACATCAAATTCGACTGGAGTTATGTTGCCATTATCGATTTCTTGCGTCTGAAAAAACAGGCTTGTTCAGGGACACCTCAAGTCACAGTTTTATTTTATTACAGATTTAAAACATTAAAAAACGATAGTTCATACAGGGTGTTCAAAAAAACATTTTTAAATGGAAAACCCTGTATAGTGTCAAACTCTTTCATTTTCCCTTTTCATTAGTTTTTGTCTGATATGGGGTTTATGGGGTTGATAACGATTGAGTTATTACAAACACAGAGACATCTTGACTTTTTAACTTTATTGCATAAGGTTGAGTAAATTTAATTGATAATGGAAGTATACCAAATGCTACTTTTTATTTTGACATCTAATGTAATATTTTTCATTTACCTTGATATATGATTTACAAAAAAGTTAGCTGTTATTCAACAACCAGTCGTAAAAACCTCCGAAAAACCTTATATCAAAAATAGCTTGTGAAAAGGGGAGTCAAAGGATATGTAAATATACAGGGTATTTCACTTAAACATTTCAAGAAATTGTTCATTTTGCGTTCTTGGCCACCATGTATAAACTATAAATAATAAGTAGATAGGAAGAAAACATGTGATCATTTTCTGTCAAAAAATTTTGTGCTCTAGCTATATTAGTTGAGGAGATGCAAGTTGTCAAGGTTTAAAGTTTTTTCGATAAATTGTCAAATATCTCCACAATTTGAAAGTAAATCCGTATGTATGGTATTTGAATGTCATCTAAATCTGTAATAAAATGCACATATTTCCATTAAAAAAAGTATGTTTGGGTCACTACATATGTAGTTATGAATCTCTCTGCAGAGATGCGGTTAGCATATCCTTGGCTACCATTACTGTGATTATTTTTTAGAAAGTATGCGTAATAACCAAGCCCACACTAAAAACACCTTGTGAAGATGTAGAAGAATAATTTTAATATGGTACAAAAACGATCAGCAGCTTAGTCAAAGCGATCATGTAGGTATAGTTAGCTATTTTAAATCAGTAAGTCAGGTTATAACAACTACAAAGAAAGTATAGGTGCTAAACAACTCCAGGGTTTCAAGAAGTCCCTAATATTTTGTTACGTTATGGTAGACTAAAAATTAACTACATCTTAATAAAATAAATTAATACGTTTTTCTTATTATAATAATAATTTTATAGCCGTTCTTAAAACTATCGGATTTTATTTTTAGTAATAAAACACTTCCCTGGTCTAATAATTTTGTGGTAGAAAATCGTACTCTACTCTCCACCTCGTTGGGGGTCATATTTTATAATTTCTGTCGACCGTAAATAAGAGAGCTGAAGGTGACTTGGTGCTATTTCCGGTGCTCTGGTGTAGGAATTCTGTGGTCCACTGCCCAATTCTGTCAAATAGTTTCACACGCTAAGTTGCGGTTTATAGGGTGGTGGGGTGTTTTTTATTAGAAATCCACTCTTGCTCTTTTTTTTGTCGGAGCCTGTGAGGAGCAGTTCCCCATTTTTGTGAATCCTCATTGTTCGAGGTAATTATGATTTTTTTCCTTACTTTGCTAGGCCTGTCTTAATCTCATTCATACAAACCGAAAATACCACCACTTCGTTCAAAAATTAAGCATGAAACTATCCGTAATTTTATATGTGCCAGTTTAGGCGTCCTTATGTAACATTATGGTTATACTTTAACCATTTAATTAACCATTGTTTAGGTCAAAAACAATTAATTCATCAACTTATTTAGCAATAAAAAGAGATAACTGTTTTGGATTTCTCATTGGTAACATATATATATATATATATATATATATATATATGCATCATAGTACATACACTGAGAATAATATAGTGTTATTTTTATATGGTGGTAGCTTCTGATATTTGTTGTATATTTACTGAAATTTGAGTGAGCCATGCTCACGAGGTGAAATATTCCTGTTGTTATCAAATAACATATTCATTGCTTTACTTTTAGGCTCAGGGAGGACATGAAATTTTTCCCACCGGGGTCCTTATGTTTTTACAGGTATCTGAATGTTTTAATTTAGTTCAGGTTAATTTAAAAATTTGGGTATTGATAGTGCAATCACGATTTTCCTTGTACACCTTGATTAAACAGCAAATTTGTTTCAATTTTAAATTGTTGAATTGATGTAACCCATGACTAAATGGTTCCATGCTAAAGTTAAGTTTTTAATTCTTGGAAGCAAATTAAACTCGGGGATTAGTCAAATCGCGATTTCGAGTTTTTTTTTTATTTAGGTTTCTACCTTCCGGTTCAACCTTCAGGTTACATCTGGGACTTCCTGCTCTCGGTTGCCTACCGGTAATAGCCCAAGCACATGCATAGGTGTTTTCTTTTATTTTAATATTTACCGGAAACCACTTAGCTAGGGGGGTAATATACAAATTATCTTTAGTATGTCCTCTAGGACTTCTCCTTCTCTCCTTCTCCAGAGACCTGGTGGGTTGATACTTTTTATTTCATTTCCTAGTTTTTGAAACTAGGTGGCACCCAAACCGCAAATGCTTTGCATAAAAAAACCAAGGTACAAAGAACCTCACCTTGAGGTTTCATAACTACCGACTAACCTTGTTTTGGCGGGATAACAATCTACAACCGCCTAAAACGGTTTTTGGAGGTTGTAGATATTAAATTTGTAATTTTCCTACTAAATTGACGTCGATGATGATATGTTAGATAAACCAGTACAGTTCAAACATTTAGAGTTACTCACCTTACGTCGTTTTGACGAAACACCAGATGGGCTATATACTTTCTCTGCCCTCATAACTGTATCCAGTTTCTTCCTGGGTCGACGAGGCGTGTTTTTAGGTGGGGCTCGTTCTTTTTTACGGTACGTACGATTTCTAGTCCTTTTCGACTCATTTTCGGATTTATCCGAAAATAACTTATGCCGCTCACTCTCCAGCAATTCGCCAAAGACGCGAAAACAAGCTGATTCTGTAAAAGATCAAATTTTTCATGATAATAAATTTAACAGTGCAGTATTCCTAATCGTAATTGAAATAGACCATGCAAAAACCTACAATAAAAGAATTATGCTGTAGTCATCGCGTTGGAGATTTAAAACTAGTATTTTGATAGCTTACTACGTTTAGACGCTCCATGTGGCGGCCGTCGGAACTCTTGGTATCAGTTGCGTGCTAAAGGTACGGGATATCCCATTACAATTTCACCTCCCTCTAATGATTTTGTATTGCCATTTAGTCATTTTTTCCATTATGCTGTATTTACTGAAAACGCTTCATTAAAGATAGGTGCGTATTCTGGGTTTGCATCTTGTAAGTCAATACATTCCTTCCCTTTCAAATAATACCGCGAAATCGACGTTCATTGCATAAACAGTGTAAGTGAGGGAGATTTTTCCAAGCACTATTCGACGGCGAGTACTTGAATGGGTCATTTCAAACGCAGTACTAAAATACTTATTTCTTTTATTTTTATATTTATGTGCTACTAGCTTTCAATCCAGCGGTTTTATTCGCGGAATGTGTAGATGGCGCCGCAAATAAAGTAACTAAGCTTTCCAAGCATGCAAGTTGGCTGTCAATTTACTAATGCCATCAAAAAAAAAATAATCAGAAGTTTATAGAATGACTTAAAAACTTGCTTTAGGTTAGTAACATTTTCAAGCGTATAAAACGTCTGTATCGCTGACGGTGGAGACTTCGGTATTTGCCGCGATGGTTGATTATAAAGTCGCGGATAAAACTATGCCTATAATCTTCCTTGTACATTTCTTGTAAGAGCCCATTTACATGTATCAAACATCCGAGCATATGAAGCCCATACCTGTACACCTAGCTTTAAAAAACAATAGTTTCCCATAGTAGCTTTTACCCCTTATTTCAACCTCTTCAAATCTAATTTACACAACAAAACGTATCCGATGTTCGTCTGCGAGGTATAGTCTATACAGGATGTTTCAAATTCGACCCTCACCATGGGGATCTCGGAAACTGCAAGAGATACGAAGTCACTTAAATGGGGGCAAAGTTGTATATTTAGGTACTCAACAAAATGTTGCACAGTTTCAAAAACGTCCGGAGAGAGGCAAAAAAAATGTTCCTAAATCATTTTAATTTTTTCCCGACTTTACTTGTAATATCAATATGACGTATCATCTCTTGTCCTCCAGCATCAACTTTATTTTGTCTTATAGACGTCATATTGGATATTTGCACAGATACATACACTGATGTTGGCAAACCTTAGTTATTTCACAAAAAGCAGAATTAATAGGTAGGCCTTGAAATTATGAGATTTAATTTGTTCCGTATACCAGACCTCGAATTGATCATAGCATCAAAGTTTGAAAGACTAAAAAAAAAAATAAATTGAGCAGTGTACAATGTACAGAGTAGAGTCAGGCTTTACCTACAAAATAACGGACAACGCTTTGAACATCTGCTATGATTTACATCTGTTTATCTATGATTATTATTGTTATTACCATCAATAACATTTTCATTTTGTGTTCAGGATTTACCATACCTTTTTATTTTCTTGTAACTTTCATGGAATAACAAACTCATGGCCAACTAACGAAATACATCTCTGAATTTATTACTGAAAAGTCCATTTAAATGTACAAAATTCCAATATAGCGGTTCAATCGTTTTGGTGTGAAAACGGAACCTACATGCAAACATAAATAAAAATATAGATATATCCTTGGACATATATATATCAGTATGGAAGCAGGGATATGAACAGCTATTAGGATATTTAGCGTACATTTAAAGGACCACCTCAATCATACAAATGAGGACGATCGAGAAAATGGTTTTCTCCTAACCAATTTTAATAATGGTGCATACAGCACATACAGACATGGACAAAAGTATGTAAAGATTTTTATTTGAATTTTTCCAGATCGTCTTGTATACAACAATAAGGTATCACATATTGTCAAATGTGCCACAGACATTCCTACCTTATTTGCCTTTTTTTTTTGTTTTTTCATATCAACATTGTTACATATTTAACATCATTGGATTATTTTTGTTGTATCACTGCTATAACCAGCACCCTATTAAGAATGGGCAAGAATAAGTATCTACCGAAAGAGTTGCGACAATGTACTATACTAAAATTCAGCCCAAGTGAGACCACATCGCAAACTCGAAGCGTGATCAGCGCGTGATCGATGTTCCCGCAGAGGGTCTCATTATAGTTCAGGCATTTTACGGTTTGAAGTTGTAGTTTGAAGCGCTTGCTTTTTCAACTAATAGTTTCATTTCGTAGCTTTTATTTTTCTTTTTTTAAACTTTCCGCCCCTCATATTGATGCTTTTGTTAGATACAATGTCTTGAAGTGGCTCCAATATAAAACTCCATGAATTTGGAAAACATGCAGTTTCGAACATTTTTTAAGACCTAGTTAGACTGTAGCAATACAAAACCCGCCGTTGCGCCGCGTTGATGTCTACAAAAACCAGAGTTGTAATCAGGCCGTGGCGTGGCGTCGAGTGCATCGCTGTTATAAGTTCTGTTATATCTGGTGTTTTTTGACCATGTCTTCTACAGACACAGCTGATGAAGGGAGAACTACATTGAGTCCACACAGGAAACGATCAAGACAAAACCATTTGAGCATCGAAGTGAAAGAAATTATTTTAAATGTTTACAAATGTGAAACGGAGGAAAAACCTGAGCTCAGCGTCAACGATGTTGTGCAGAGGGTGGCGAATAAAGTTGGACTTTCTCGTGCATCGGTATTTAGAGTACTCAAAGAATATAAATTACGGAATGCATTTGCTGAACCTAAAACGAATCAGAACCGTAAAAGCCAAATTAAAGAAATAGATGATGCTGACAGACATGCGATCAGAAGGAAGGTTCATGAATTATTTTTCCAGAATGAAATTCCTACAATTGATAAGATTTTGAAAGTAGTGAATGAAGACTCAGATTTGCCGAATTTTCGTTATTAATCGGCCAAAGTCAGATCGACTTAGAAATACTAGCCGCTATGTCGATACGGGTATTAAAAAAATTTCGATAGCTGATGCGCATAAGTCATCCGTCCAAACTAATGCAGACATTCGGCAATATTTCAACACATAACGGCCCGTACTGTGAGAAGACATCAAGCGAAGTTGGGTTGTTTGGAAGAGTTGCTGTCAAAAAGCTTTACTGTCTAAAGATAATCGGAAGGCCAGAGTTTGCTCAGAGGCATTTAAATTGGACACCTAAAAACTGGGGTACGGTGCTTTGGAGTGACGAAAGCAAATTTAAAATATTTGGTGCTGATGGAAGATCGTTTGTAAGAAGACTTGTCTGGAAAAAATTTGAGATCAAGTATCAAAAGCTTACAGTAAAGCATGGTGGTGGCAGTGTTATGATCTGGGTGTGTTTTTCCAGGTCTGGAACGGGCCCGATACTGAAAATAACTGGAAAAATGGTTCGCTTTATGTACTGCGACATATTAGAGACTACAATGTTATCTTATGCAGAAGAAGAGATGCCGCTGTTGTGGAGATATGAACAAGATAACGATCCGAAACATTCATGCCATTTAGTAAAAAAATGGTTTTTATAGAAAAACGTTGATTCACTGGCATGGCCTTCGCAATTCAATAGTGCACCTTTGGGAGCACTTAGAGCGGAAAATTCGGCCATTGAGTGGCGGAAGATTTCAGTTGATGTGTCCCAATCTTGTTGATTCTATGCCAAGAAGATGTAGGGAAGTCATTAAGGCGAAGAGATTTTCAACAAAATACTGAACATTGCTTGTTTAATTTGTATGTTTAACTTTCTTTTTCTTAATAAAAATATTCTTTCCATACTTTTGTCCAAGGGTTTTCTTTATTCGTCATATATGAGACTTGGTTTTATTTAGTATTTTCGTTTATTTCTAAAATGTTACCAAGTTACTAGTGGATGTTTATTTTTTAGTATGTAATTAATTTCTGATTAACAAATTAATATTAAGCGTATAACCAGAAAACAAATATTTCCATACTTTTGTCTATGACTGTAAATATGAAAATAAAACAATACAGGAGTACTGGTACTGCATTTGAAAAGACCCATTCATGTACCTGCCGTCAAGTTATGTGTGTAAAAACCACGTTCCGGACTTACGATGTTTTTGATCTGAACGTGTATTACATGTGTTATTTCAAGGGGAAGGATTTTTGCGACTCACGAGCTGTATACCTAGAATAGGGTTAGCTTTAATGGATCATTTTCAGTAAAAAAAGCCTTTTGGTATGAAGTGAACGTTTTTGCAATGACCTATTTGAATATTGACACATTAAATTTTATCAGCACGAAGTGTGACGCTTATGGCGCTCTTGTCATGTATAAGACTGAGTTTTTTTGCTTTGTTGCAGCCATGAATAGAAATAATTTAAATCTTTTGTTCTGCGTTTGTAAGAAAAAGAACAAAAGCAAAATGAGTTTTTACATTGGCGATATAATTACCTCTTGAATGTCCTAATCTCGGAACAGACCTGCTCTTATCACTCTGCATATTATTCTCGAATCTAACTTTTTTCGCCGAACGCATTTGTAACTCGTTATTCTTGCGTTTACTATCTTGAAACAAATTCCTTGCGGATATAAAGGGAGATTCGTCTTCTTGAGGTTGACGATGTATATTCACAGTAAGATTTTTCCAGTTTTTTTCCTTAAAAGAGGAAGCTGCAGGTTTAGGGACGTCGATTTTTTTCTCAACGGATCTTTCAGTGATTCTTGTACGTTCAAGGTTCTCGTTCAGCTGAGGCACATTATGCCAGGTTATCGACTCATCGAGAAGTTTCCTAGTTCTTTTTCTGGAAATAGTGCTGCTAGTGTTGGTATATTCGCTTCTGCAATCAAAGTCCCGTTCAATGCGTTTTACTGTAGTACTGTTTTCTCGAGTTTTATTAGCATCCATGGGTTCAGCACCTTCAGTGTTCTTTCTAATTTTAGACGCATTTTCCTCATTAGCCTCTTCAGCACGATGTGTCGACAAGATTTCACTCTGGTTTGCATGTTTATGCGCGTTTATATTTGCCATGCTTTGAACGCTTTTTCCTTTAGCACTTATGTGGCTCTTCTGGGTTGCAGAATTGTGCTCAACATCTATATTTGATTCCTGATGATAGTTTACTTCATCAGTAAAGACTTCTAATATGTCATCAACATTCGAATGCTGCAGCCTGACATGGCTCCTTTTAATACCCTTAACATTGTGCTTTGCTGTTACTTTTTGAGTACCACATATTTCTTTATTCTCAGTACCTGCATCAATTTGTTCGGAATCCTCGTTTTTATCTGCTTGAATATCAACAATCTGTTTTTCAGTTGCAGTATGGCTACTAGCATTTAGTTCACTTTTATCAATATCTTGCCCAAATATTTGGTCTTTAGGCATGTTTTTCCGAACAGCGCTCTCTGTTGTTATTGTAACATTCAAACTTTCATGGTGGTGATTGTCAGATGTACCTGTAACAAGATATTTCACAAAAATTAATTTTTACCCGTTAATCATATTTTAAAATTCAAAATAAAAACTCTGGCTCAATGATACGATTAAAAAGAAAACGGCGTCAAGTAAGTTGACTCTGCACTTCCCGTGCAACAGAGTATCATCAGTTCATACATTATGTTCAGCTCAAGCTAGCCCCTCTCAGACAAAACCTTATTATGAACACATAATGGCGCCTGTGAACAGGCAATATTTTTGCTACATTATCCAGCTGAAATAGAGTAGCCAGTAACATAGGGTGACATTTTTATATTGTTACACATGTTTGACATCTCCATCCTAATAAAACTTGTGGTTTTTAAGTTGCTAGGACTACAATGACTGGCCACCAAATCAAGCCACATAATGCAGATATGTATGAAATACTTTTTAATGTCTACACATCACTCTGAAGACGTGAACCATATTCTAGAAGAAGATGAAAACTACAATTAAAAAATGGAGCCCTATTTCCAACCCATTTTCATATTGTGCTGTCAGATTGCCGAATTACCGGAATCCTACTTAATGTAATATAATTTGAGTAATGTAAGCTGCCGCGACGCGTACAATTTCATCAGTCTTTCCAGATTTTGTAGTCCTTCTGATGAGAAATTCTGAAAAGTGTGTCTACACATAGTAAACAATATATTGACCTAGTTGCAGCCATATATATACAAAATATCGCTCGTTAAGATGCTCCAAAACAAAGGAATTAAATAGATAAGGTCGGTCAAATAGGACTATATATTCAATTAGTCGCCAGTTTCCACTCATTTGACAAGCAACGGCAGAGTAGCATCAGATTTGCGATAAGTAAATTAGTTCTGACGAGTACATGCCAGATCCTCGTCAGAGCAAAGCGGTTACACTGAGCGCCTTGTCTGATCTTTCGGCAGTCAGCTCAGCAAATATGGACGAAGTTGACGAATTTTATTTTCTTGAATGTCTTTTACTAATTATAAAATGGTAGAAAAACAAAGCATGCCAATCCTTTATTTTCTAGTAGAGATGCCAAATGAGAGATTGAAAGCTTATTATCGATAATTTTTGTCTCTTACAGGTATATCTCATATCGCAAAATAAACTGTTCTGGTACATAATATTTATCAAAATATTGTTGACCAAATTAGTCAGACCTTGTAAGAACAAACTTTCGTTAGAATTCGCATTCATAGTAACCATGAACTAGACCGACAGCGCAGGTAGCAACTACCTTCCTACAGGTTTATCTATACGTCAGTCGTTCATTCTACTCGTAAGTAGTAAATATTTATTTATTGCATAATATAGCAACAATGATAATAATATAGAATATAGAATAAAATATGTTTTAATCCACAGAAGTTGAAAGAAAAATAAAAAATATATCAAAGAGATATGTAGAAGACGATAAGTTTTATGAATATGTGATATGAGTTCAATAATAAGTTGTCTTCCTATTGAGCGTAAAGTCTAATCATATTAGACGAAAATACCCCTGGTTTGCGAAATAATCTGGTTTTATTGCTGCAAGTTGTTCAAGGAGATATTCAAAACATGGACGCATAAAATGGATACACCAATTTTTGTCGGAAAACGACAACAAAGAATGAGAAAACGTGTTTTTTGGGGTTCAATCGAAAGTGTTGACTGCAACGAGAAAACTCTTTATATAAGATTTTCAGGTATTTATGAGACCTACAAAATGAGACCACACGTAAAAAGTTATGGCCGAAAACCGAGGCTAACAGCAGGTTTTGGCACATATGTTGGTAACGTGTCGATGGTTTCTCGCAGATATTTGACACTCTTCAAATTCGTAGAACCACAACAAAATTGGAGTAGATTGGTCGAGTAGTTTTTGTGATTTTCTGATTGTTTATCACAAAACACCAGTTTTCCGGCCATCACTTCTAGTTTACAGTGCAGTATACAGGGTTAGTTGAAAGGGCATTTTATAGCAAAATACACTAGTTTACCTTGCCGATATGAATCGCAAACCATTCCGGAAGATAAATGTTATTTTTATGCAAAAAGGATGGGTTACGTTTTTCTTCTAAACAAATTCAAACATTTCGTATTTGTGAGTAATTCGCAACAAAAGATGATAGAGACATCCGCTTTATTTCAAAATATGTATAGTAACGCATGTTTTTCGAATAATATATATTATAATTTGTTCAATTTCACAAATACGAAATGATTGAATTTGTTTAGAAGAAAAAAACGCAACCTTTGCTTTTCGCATAAAAATAACATTTATCTTTCGGAATGGTTTGTGATTCATATCGACAAGGTAAACACGTGTATTTAGAACGTGGTGAAAGGAGGAATCCACAGTTTTTTGTTGAAAGACATGTTCATCACACTGTTGGAGTTATGGTTTGGGGTGCTATAGCTTATGGTTCCATGTCACCTTTAATCTTCATCAGAGGTAACATGAACGCGCAGCGTTATATCCACGAAGTTCTAGAACCCCATCTTTTACCCTATCTTGACACCCTGGCAGATCCAACTTTCCAACAAGATAATGCCCGACCACATGTTGCAAGAGTCACAACAGACTTCTTTCAACATAATGATGTCACATTGTTACCATGGCCACCAAGATCTCCCGACTTATCCCCAACTGAGCACGTGTGGGATATGATGGGTAGGAGATTGCTCAATTTGCAACGTCCTCCTCAGACTCTAGAAGCACTTCGAGAGGAGTTGGTGGTTGCCTGGAATGAGATACCACAGGAGGACGTTGACCACCTGATCAGAAGCATGCTTAGGCGCGTTGGAGAATGCGTAGCACATCAGGGTGCATCCACACATTATTAAAGGTCAAAGGGCTTTAAAGCAGTGCAATCATTTTGAAATTTTTATCAATTACTTGTTATGCTTCATTAAGGACTTATACAAAATTTTATTAAAATAAAACCATTTAAACTGGGTGTTCGGATTTATATGTCACTTAGTATATATACCGCACGCAATATCAGAGTATCGTAGAACGAATGAATACGGTAAAACTGAAATGTTTCCATACTTTTGTCGTTACAAAAACTGGTAATAAAAAAAAACGCGTTTTTATTTTCAGAGAATTTGATTATTGATACGATAAACCTTGTATTAGTACGGGAGCCAAAGGTAGACTTCAATATTTATATTATCTGTCGTTCACAATTTTAATTTAAGTAATGAAATAGTTCATAATAATGTTAATATTTGTTTCCAAACTTCTGTCCGCTACTGTAGGTCATGGTTCACGTTTACGCGGTATTTGTAGTTGTCAAAACTCTGTCTTTTTCACGAGTATCCATCACGGTTGAATAACAGCTGATTATCTAGTGATATTTCAAAATTCCCCATATAGACAAATGGAATAATTATGACGGTTCCGTCAACGCTAGGAAGACAGGGCCGTATTTTTTTTTGTACGGTACAGATTCATTTTGTACTTGTTGACAACTCTTTATTTTGAAAAGTTCATAACTCTTTATTTTGAAAAGTTCATTTACATATAAAAAAAAACGCTACAAGCAATTTTTACTAGATTTACAACCGATTAAATATCGCCAACGTTACAGCCTAAATATACTAAATATAAATATGTTACTTGCTGATCAGCTGTTCACCTCAGTAGACATCAAACGTGATGAATACCCGTGCAATAGGGTTTAGGTGTTGATCGATTATAACTTGATTTTCGCTAAAATATTAATGATTAAATGTCACACACCTGTTTCTGCATCATCTCTGATACCCGCAACACCTTCATGGTTAACGTCGACATCTTCACAAGCTGGTTTTGCGGATTCAACATATTTTACAGATTCTATCGTCTTTAAAGTCTTGTAGATTTTAGATTTACTTCGAGTTTCCATCTTAGAAGAACTTTTTAACGGCGTACCTAATATAATGTCTTCATTATCCACACCAGTCTCGACATGGACACTTTTTCCCAAAATCGATTCCTGTTGATAACTACTCCTGCCTTTAACTAAAGTGACATTCGACAGTATTACAATCTTACTTCCTGCATGTGATTTTGCATCACTGGTATGTTTTTTAGCATGTTTGATTTGTTGAGTACTTTGGCACTCTTCTCTTTTTCTTCCCTTTCTGATACCACTTTTTTCTAACGAATATTCAACCGCAAATTCATGTTTCTCATCTTGTATTTTAGCACATATTGGTTCGTCTAAGTCAGTTGCTAGTTTATCACCTTCTTTATCGCAATGCGATCTTTTAACCTCTTTAGAGGGCACTTCTTCCAAATCTTGGGATAGTTCAGGCAGTTCATCCACCAATGTTTTCGATTTTACAGATGATTCAGCGAAATCTGTTTCATGTTCAAATTGCTGGATTTCTGCATTGTTATTACCTAGTTCTTCAACAACACTGTCTTGTAAAAATGTCCTGTGAGTAGACCTTTGCGACGCTTCATTTTGTTGCGACGTTCCATGTAACTTTGCTAATTCTTCAAAAATATAGTCTTGTTGAGGTTTCAGGCGTCTGGTTTTTGAACCCATCTCTATATCTAAAGCTTCTGATTTTTGTGACGAGTCGAGTTTGCGTAAAGTCTTCTTCCTTCTAGCAAAAATCGTACTGTCACTGCTAGAAGACATCTTCCTGTTTGTGAGTTTGTTTTTTTTAGCAGGTACTCGCTTCTTCTTAGATCTCCGTTTCTTTCTTTTTTGAAGAGGAAGACTAGACATCCCAGCAATGATAGTATCATCACGAGACGACGATTTTGTAAGTGGTTTTGGCATTTCATCATCTGAGAATGCATTAACGTCACTTGTATCCTTTTGTAGTAAAGGTCCTTGTTTTTCCTTGCTTTTTTCAAGACTGATATTAGCAACTTGGGGGGTTGTATTACATTTTGCCCCCACTACTTTTTGGGCATCACGAGAAATTACTAGTTGACTAGGGACATCTTCCATGACCGTTTCAACCTCTGTCGAAATCCCTGGAGTCCCTTTTCCAGCTTCGTTGTTGAAACTGCCCTCGTTTTTCGAAATGCGTCCCGATTCCAAATATTTTTCAGCAATTACAGTTTCAGCGTCACATGAAATCACTCGGTGTAGCCTTTGGTTTTGTTTTTCTGAGTGGGCAGTAGAACTTAATGCTATTATACCGTTATCACCAGATGACTCTAGGGGTAAAAGCATCTTCGAATGTCTATTAGGTATAACTGAGGGATCTTCCGTATCACTAGCAATCCTGTCCACAGTATGACGTATTGAGGCAGAAGAATTCAATCTAATGATATCTCTACCTCGATCAATATTTTTGATTTTAGTCTTGCTAGGTTTTCTCTGTCTTGATTTTGCCTCCAGTACTTTTTGGGCATCACCAGAAATTACTAGTTGACTAGGGACATCTTCCATGACAATTCCAAACTCTTTCGAAGTCCTTGGAGTTCCTCCTCCGACTTCTTTGTTGAAACTGCTCTCGTTTTTGGCAATGGATCCCGATTTCAAAGATTTTTCAGCAATTACAGTTTCAGCAGGTACTCGCTTCTTCTTAGATCTCTGTTTCTTTCTTTTTTGAAGAGGAAGACTGGATCTCCCAGCAATGATACTATCAGCACGAGACGACGATAATTTTGTAAGCGGTTTTGGTATTTCATCACCTGAGAATGCATCAACGCCACTTGTATCCTTTTCTAGTGAAATTCTTTGTTTTTCCTTTCTTTTTTCAAGACTGATATTAGCAACTTGTGGGGTTGTATTAGATTTTGCCTCCACTACTTTTTGGGCATCACTAGAAATTACTAGTTGACTAGGGACATCTTCTATGAGCATTCCAACCTCTTGCGAAGTCTTTGGAGTTCCTTCTCCGACTTCTTTGTTGAAACTGCACTCGTTTTTGGTACTGGATCCCAATTCCAAAGATTTTTCAGCAATTACAGTTTCAGCGCCACATGAAATCACTCGGTGTAGCCTTTGGTTTTGTTTTTCTGGCTGGGCACTAGAACTTAATGCTATTATACTGTCATCACCAGATGATTCTAGGGGTAAAAGCATCTTCGAATGTCTGTTAGGTATAACTGAGGGACCTTCCGTATCACTAGCAATCCTGTCGACAGTATTACGTGTACCTTCTATTGAAGCAGAATAATTCAATCTAATGATCTCACTATCTCGATTGATATTTTCGATTTTAGTCTTGCTAGGTTTTCTCTGTCTTGGTTTTTTGACGGTATCAACAGTACCTGGAACCTTGCCTAGTATTCTATTAGGTTCTTTATACTGCGTCACAAAATTTTCATCATCAGATGATAGTTCTGGAGCGGCGGATTTAGTGGAATTAATTTTTTTTGATTTCTTTTTATTCTTCTGTGGAACAGTGCTTCCTTCAGACTCGCTGGTTATTAAATTGACGATCATATCGCGTCCTAGAAGAAAATCTTTAGATAATATGTGAAACAATGAAGAAACACTTAAATTCTAGATATTCGTGTGCTGTTCCAAAACGCATACTTCGGTAAAACGGGAGCCAATTTTTCTAGTCCAAATAGGGCATACGTCGCTTTTCCTTTTTTACAAGTTTTTATATAACTTGGTGGCAAGTGAATGTCATACGATCCGTATTTATTGTGGGCTCTACCATCAGCCTTTACTGATCAATTCGTTAGTGTCAGAGAATTTCTATCTAATAATTACTGACCGCCTGGCTACACGGTCAATAAATATCACATTTCAAGGTAAATATTGACGGATCACAGTAAATATTGATCGTCTGACATTCGCCTAAGTAGGTAGATAATTCTAACAAGTTAAACATTAGAAAACAAGTGTATAACTGTTCTGAGAAGTGAATAAATTTAGACAACAGTGTTCGTGAGTACAGGCATTGACTATTCCATACAGAAAAAAGATACAAAAATCAGGGTAGCCATACCAGCAAAAATTAAGTTGGAAATTACGTTAAGGTATTTGGCTGCAGGAGATTCCTTTGCTTCCCTACAGTACTTTTATCGAGTACCAAAATTCACTATTTCAAAATTTCTTCCTGATGTCTGAGCTGCTATATATGAAGCACTGCAGGAATTTGTTGAGGAAAGAGATCGTCCTTGTTATTTACAAGATGTCTCGTAAATAAACAGCCAAACTTCAAGAGGTTATACCAAAGGGAAAAGTAAAAAAAATAATTGTACAAGATTCCTTATTAAAATGACCAAACACTCTCGCCACATGTTTATAAGTAGTAGTTGTTTGCAAGCAACAGGTTTACACAGGAAAGTACAGCTAATTCGCAAGTGGAGCTTTCGCGAAAGTTGTTAGTTGCGCAAGTAATTTTTGTCAAAACAGAATTTTTTGCGAAAGCAACAAATGTATGCAAGTCCGCGTTGCAACTTTCGTGCATCTTAGTGTTTACATTTGCAAGTTTTTCTGCAAGTTGGATGAAAATAAATCTTGCGCAAGCGCTACATGCTAGTGTAAACTCCCCTTACCCACGACAACAATGAAAAATTTTTAAGTTTAAATGAATGCTATCGAAGGAAATTAGATGCAATCGACTTACTTCGCCCATCCAAAGCGCATTCCTCGATGGACTCAGACGTTTGAATTCTGGTACATTCATCCAGGATCGGCACCTCTACCGATTCCGATACCCTAGGCGCTCTTTCCTCCTTTGAAGTTAGCTTCACATCGGGTACTACAGGAGCACCAGGTTTCGTACATTGCTCAGTGCGGGAAAATAGATCTGATGCTGAGACTTTGATGTCTTCCTCAGACTCGGTGCCGCTGACGTTTGCTTCTGAGTAAAAGTTGAGCTCTTTTAATGGTATTCCTAATTTATGTCCATGCCCTGATGGTTTCATCGGATATTGGTTTTCTTTCTGCTCTTCCTGGAAGTTTTGAGTTCTTTTTTTTAGTATTTTATAGGATTTCTTAGATTTTTCTAGAGCATTGGAATTTGAAAAATGGCTCACATTACCAGACATAAAACTGTTTAAATTTTATTTTTGTTGCTTTTTGGCGATAACTAAAGTAACTGCTAGCCCTGCTATCATGACCATATTGCAGCATACAGCTACGCTATATATTATCTGCCATGTGTAGATACATACAGATTTCTCTTCAGAAGGGCTACAAAATCAGGCAAGAATGACGACGATACTCGTATTGCACGCGTCGCGGCAGGTTACATTACTTACGTTGCATTGAGCAGAACTCCGATAGTTGGGTAATCTAACATATACATATATATATACGTATATATATATATATATATATATAATAGGTCGGAAATGTCAAACATGTGAATCAAGAACGTACTAAATGTCCTAAAATTTTTGGCACAAAATCCATTGGCTTTAATTTTAACAAACTCAAAATAATACCAAGTTGCTTTTGTAAACAAAAGTTTGTTTACTTACTTTACTGTCAGTTGACATTTATTTATTTTGAGGTTGAAATTTGTCGAATAGTCCAGAATGAAAGCATTTCACACAGAACTATAGCGGAATACGAGCAGGGCATACCATGTCTGAATCTCCCAAAGTGGAAGATCACGTGCATTTACTGCAGGTGAGACAAATTGGTGAGAAGAGCAAACAATCAGGTTGGAATGTCAACCAGGAGACTTGCTCGTCAATACAGATCTAAAAGTACGATAACGTTGGAATCGGGGAGGAAAGGTCTTAAATATCGAAAGAGACTTAAGTGCCCCAAATTAACTCAAGCGCCACTCCTTCGAATACCAAGATGTTGTCGTCAACTGAGGCAGGTACACTTTGGCAATGGAAAAATCATTATTTTAGATCACTTTGTGTACTTCTGAAATGAAGGGAAAAGACGGATTTTATACGAACAACGAAGATGAATGCTTTGACAATATTAGATATGAAAATAAAGCGAAATTTGCAGATAAAATCCTTGTCTGGTGCGCAGTTTCTAACAGGGGTGTAACCCAACCTTTTGTGGTAAGAGTGAGAAGTGACGCTTTGAATAGTCAGAGCCATATTGATAACTGCCTTCCCAAATTGCTTCAGTTTGTCCACCAACATCTTGCTAATTACCATATCCCAGAATCATGCCATTACACGAGAGATACCCAAAACTAGCTTCGACAACACAACATACATTTTGTTACAAAAAACGATAATCCTCGAAACTAGACGCAGGATCGCCCAATAGAGGATTTTTGGGCTTTATTGTCTAGGAAAGCTGGGAAGCCCAAGATGAAGAACAATTAAGACGGCGAATTTACGAAAAACTGGAGGAAATTGATGTGAATTCTGTCAAGGACCTCATCAGAGACATTCGAAGAAAGTTGCGTCTGTTAGAGCGGAATGGGTCTCTCTACATAATTCGATAGTATAGTTTAGGTAAGTATTGAGTTGTAATTTATTATAACTAGTTAGTGTTTAAATAAATTTCTTCATTAAAAAATCCGATAAATATTTTTTGCCAAAACTTTTAGGACATACGTTATAGCCGGGCCATAGTAAAAATATTGCCATCGCAGGCTTTCCAGAACAACTGCCAAATTAAGTTTCCGGAGTTATTAATAATTGATACATTTTTACTGAGTGGTGAAATTTTTAAGATGATTTGGCATTCAGGTTCAATAATATAGTATATATACTTTTTGTGCTTTAAACATTTATATCATAAAATTAAATATATTTTAAGTACCCATGTTCCGAATTTACTGGGCTTTTATGTTAATATTATGTTCTAAACGTTCTACAAAAGTAATCGAGCTGGCAGTGTTAATATAATTGAAAATTCCAAGATACCTTTTAGTGAAATCAATATGACTGACAAAAAGACAATGTGCGACAATCAGTGTAGTACAATGTTTCGCTAAACATAAAGTTTAAACATAATCCACCATGCTTGTCCTGCCAATAAAATCACGTATATTGACAGATCATGACTGATAATGTTTCAATCACAAATGTGATTTTAAGTTTATCAGATTGTCGACATGTAAACAACATGGTAAGTTTCAGATGTTACATTAACTACAGTTTAAGCCATGGTTTTTACGTGTTGAATCTGTTCTCTTCGGCCCGTATCGCCAGTCGTCCCTACAATAATTGTAGGGCGCGTTTATGACCTCCTTGATTTCGATAATATTACGTCTTCTTCGTTAACGTACATGTATGTCCTGCTTTAGATTTCCGGCATACTGACAGTTCTGGCTTGAGGTTATGTTGTTGTTTTGACGTTCAAGACACATGAATTGAAAGCAGAACCATAATTTATAATTTACTTGCAAATAATGTCGATCACTCAAAAATACCTCGCTACAGTGAACAAATTCCACAACCTGTGGTATCTTCAAGAAATTGTTGAGTTAGGAAAATTAATGCACATGGATATATTATATTATAATATTATATTTGTGTGTATGAAAGTCCAGAAGCTTACAAGGTATTCTCTTGATGGAAGTTGGTAAGTTACAAAATAAATCATTGCATATCTATATTATATACTTATCGCATTATTTTCAGGTGTGATTCATTCTCACAGACTTTATGAGATGGTTCCTCCATGGATAAGAAACATTGTATGGCAAGTGCAATTATTGCATTGTCGATGTCAGAGATGCTTTTTCACAAATCATTGTGGGACTCTAGATTGTGTAGAGTGTCAGGCACAAGTATGTATAATGTGTGTATGTGAAGATCATAATTACTACTATTGACCATCGCTATTTCAGGGTGCTCAAAATGCCATGGTCATGTAGGATTACCAAAAATGAAGTGTTACAGAGAGTAAACAGAAGAATAGAGTTGCAGCATGAAGTAAAATCAGAAAAACTTTATGACAATTCCTTAATTAATTACAAATCTGAAAATAAAAGAAAATTTTGACTCATCAAGGGAATTACTTTCCTGTTAAACAAATTCCAAACCATTCAAATAACTAGATAAGTGGAAAAGACCCATTATGTTGAAAATTGTAGTTACATCAAAGTCAGACTGGGTTAAGCCCTAATAGGTAGTTTTGATTGCATTCATAATTCACTCGTCATTACAGGTAGATAGATGTTGCAAGTATCAAATTAAAACTCCCAACTTTATCAAAAACTTAACATTTTAGGCAAAAATGAACTAAACCTAACCTGGCTCTGAGGTACAGAATTTGATTTGTATTTAAACTGCTGGGTATAAATTTTGGATTTAAATCACTATCAATAATGGATGAGTCTTTAGCTACTGAGCATACTTCAGTGGTATTATCAAGAACAAGGAGATCAATGCACTGAGCCTCAAAGCACAATATGTTGTATTTATTAAATGTGTTGCACCATATATTAATGTTGTAGAATGTGGTACATGAGGAAAAAGTGAGGACAGCTAAATACAGTTTCTTTACCAATTTGTTCATTGACTTGTAATCTTAATACAAAACGGAAAATTTATTAAAACTGTGGCATAGGAAAGAAAAACATTTACTGTTTGAGAAAGAAATATCAAAAACTGAACAGGTTTGATATTTGAAACACTCATATGAAGAGCAGATTTTTCTAGTTATGATAGTCACAGTAAAAAAAATATGAAATCTTTGGCTCGAAAGTCTGCATTTATCTCTTGAAGTATTAGTAACTGCAATTTAGTTGTTTCCTAATTGAATGTCATAGGGGTGTGGTTTCAGGTCCATTTTAAGATGAAAACTTCAAATGATCGTATATCCTAAATGTTTTAACTTTTGAAACACAGGGTGGTAAAAAAGGTCAAAAAAATAAATCCTTGATTATGACTATCCGTATTACCACTTAATGAAATTTGGCATACATGTGAACGTGTCAAGAGACAGTCTTTTAATTTTACCTGCCTGTTTTGATAGACAGTGATGGTATGCTGTTTATTTCTCTCTTATTAAAATTTTCAATCACTACGAAGCAAAAATCGATACGAAATGATTTTTTTTTTCAATCTGATTCACGGTTTTTATAAAAACGATCATAACAATATTGTTAACATGACAATATCACCAAACAGAGAATTTTTTGGGTGAAAATAGTGGGTCGGACATGAAAAATTGAATTCTTAGTCGGACGCACGGTTTTCACCTGAAAAATACAATCTATTTCCCGACATAGTGACGTGGTCATACTAACGATATTAGGATAATGCAAAGAAATGTTATTTTATTTTTGTAAGCGAATACCGTGCCTCGGAGTGAACAAAAATTAAGCAATCAAATTTGCCTAGAAATGACGAGATTTCAGTTAAAAGTTTTAATTTTAAGAGAAATCAGTTGCGCACTATCATTGTCTGCCAAAATAAGCAAGTGAAGTCGGTACGAACGTCGCTGGTGGAAATCAAAAGAAAATTCATACATTAAAAATACCTCCTGATAGTACATATATGCAGAATTTTAATAAAATATTTAAAGTGATATTACAGATCGTAACAAAAAAATGATTTATTTTTAAAAAGCTTACCACCCCGTTTCTCAAAAGTCATGAAGTTTAGGACATACAATTATAAGAAGTTTTCTTCTTAAAATAGAACCAAAAGTCCCCTCTTAAATATTGTCATTCAGTTGGAAAACACCTTATATATTTTATGTAAGTAAATTTGAATTTATTAAAAAGGTTATTGTAATACACTATTGTAGTTTTTCATTTTGGATATGACTTTTTGACTATATATTTGTTCATATTTCCTGTTATTATTTGTACCTTTTAGATATAAAGACTTCATTTGATCTGATACTTATGTTTTTTGACATACTATCTATGAATTCCTTAACAATTTCATGTATCATATTTTCCAGTTGGTACTTGCAGAATATAAATAAAAGAATACTTGGTAAAATAAATATTTTTTATTCTACATTGTATACCCACAGAAATACAATAGGTTCATTCAAAAATATCTAGAAATATAGATTTCATCAATTTTTAATCCTTGACGTTAACTAAATTATATGCTATTTTCTAAATTACAAGCTATGTAAACAAGGCTAAAAGGATATCTGATCAATTGCAAAGAGATCTGTCTAGTTTGGGGGTAAATTAGATCATTTTGGAAAGTTAATTAACTCTAGGTATCAAACTTCTTGAAATATCCAATTTGAATATATTGACTCTTTTTTTTCCCTCAAATAAAGTTCCTTACACTGAAGGTATTGTCTTGGAACAATATCTTGTACCCTGGGCTTATCAGGATTGGATGTTCTTTGAGCAATGCAAGTAGATCTGAAAAAATAGTATTATAAGTAATGGTGATTTCTTATTCTTTACTCCTAAGTAACGAGATAACCATGAGTGTTAAAATATGTATTTCATATAGCATTTTTGCTAGATCACTGGATTCTTATTTAACCTATGGCATCGGCTTTGTGAGATTTTGTACAAATAGAAATGTTGATTACAATATTCAAAAAGCCACTTTATCGAGTTTCGTGTGACATTTCATCTCTAGGCAATCCAAAGTCTGACAATGATTTGTGAATAGCCATCTCCGACATCAACAATGCAGGTGCACTTGGGATACAATATTTCTTATCCAACATCTCATAAAGTCTGTGAGAACGAACCACATCTGAAAAAATTGCGATAAGTATATAAATATGAATATGCAATGTTTAAAAATTTTGTAACTTACCAGCTTCATCAAGGGACAGCTTGGTTGTAAGCTGTTAGACAAATATATATAAATACACATGCATTTGCATTAAATTGTTGATTTTAGATCATTAATACCAGATATGGGACTTGAAGATACCATGGCCTGACGAATTTGTTCAAGGTAGGAAATTATTATTGAATGTTCAACATTATTTGCAAGAAAATATCCTTGAGCATTTGATTCATGTCTAAAATTTATTAAACGTCAAAAAAGAAACATAACCTAACATCACAATTGACTTCTGATTGACAGCAGACTAGAAATCAAAAGCAGGACATACATGTACGTTAACGAAGAAGACGTATTATTATCGAAATCAAGGAGGCCATAAACGCGCCCTACCAAATTTTTCATTCCATTTTGAAAGTTTCAAATTCTCAAAATTTTCCAAAATACTGAAAATTTCCATCACTAGAAATTTTGCAATTGTGTACAATTAAATGAATTTTTTAAAAACATAACAATTATAAAATTGTCAAAATATGACAATTTTATAAATTGTCAAAATATTGACAATTTTGAAATTGTCTAAATCGAGAAAAATTTACGAATTTAAAAAACTTTCAGATTTTATAAACCTGTGATAACTGTTACACCCTTCTGTGAAATACAAATTTTAAATCCTCCCTTGAAATTCTCTCATGGAAGCATTATTATTTGTTGAAAATCAAAGAGAGATCGTTCCTCAAACAGCAGTAAAAACTCAAGGAACTTCTATAAATTTGAAACTCAAAAACCTAGCGTTAAAAAACAGCCGGACATCAGTATTTGTAATTTTACCTGTGTCTGTGAAATGACATCATCGTCAATAATATGCACAGAATCAAACTCCAATGTCGCGGGAATTTCTTCAGCTGCAGTATAAAAAGCCTCACTTCCATTCTGAACTAGCGCGACTTCGTCAGCTTCTTGACTGTTAGGCCTGACTCCAGGCTGTGTAGTTGGTTCTTCAAAAATCACTGTCAACGCTTGAGCCTAAACAACCACGTAAATTTAGATAATTCTAACTGAAGAATCGTCATCAAGCAACCAAAAAACTTTGCTACATAAACGTCTTTACTTCTTAAGCATTACATCTACCTCCTAAGGAAAGATCACCTCTCAACCGCGATCGTAATTATTCCTAAGATTTCGTTTCCTCAGAATTTTCAATTACGAAAAGGTCATCAATTCCCACAAGCTCCGGTAATGGTCCGAGAGGTGGCCAACGGTGGCGCATCAAGAAGATGGTGTACAGGATACAGGGTCCTTAAAATTAGGACTTTCCTTTACAGAGCACATACACTAAAGCCTTGAGATAACAGAGATGTTCAGTTCCAAAAAACTCAGAAACGATGTTTTGTGATAAGATGTGCGGCAGTATTCAAATCAGGCGTTGTCTCCTTCCTAAAGCAATAACGAAGTTAGCGAGCTTATGGCGAGTGCCTTCAAGACTTTACTAATAATTCGCGACTGGATTCAGTCCCAGCTCTTATTCAGTTTCGATGGATGACCGAGTTCTGCCAAAGAGCCATTCGTTTCGGCTGGTCGCAGTCCAGATAACCGAGGACTTGATCTGGCAATCGCAACAGCTGCTAGTAAGAAGCTGTTCAGGGCTACGGCGTACTTTTTTCCGCATAACCTCCTGACTCTCACTCGCATCATCTAGATCTTCTATCAGATTTTTGTCCATGCTTCGAGTATGGCGCAAATGCTTATTTTACACTGGTCACATTATAGCCGCTAATTTAGTGGACGCAAATGGAAAAATAAGATTTTGTAGCCAAATCAAATGAATTATGGCGTATTTCTTGACTTATTATGGGAATTAGGAGCCCATCTTACACTCACAGTATACTTTTCCTCTAGTTTGAGAGACACTTTACAAGAAATCAACCATATTCATTAGATCCATTACTTGAAAGATGCATTACTGTTTGAATTTGTGTTCCACGTGCTTTTTTGCTTTGAACATCGGGCCTAAATGTTGCAAATTTAGGAAGAAGTAAACAAGCTCGTCTTTTTTAATCGAACGACAACCTCAAGCAGTAATTACAAACAAAACATGTGACAGGGCAGTACTTGAAATGGTATACCAAATACGTAGTAGTGATTATTTTTCTTCAATTTCGTTTTTTACATTTTCGGAGAGGTTTTACCGCAAATTTAGGCAGTAGCGATGGCGTAGCGGTAGGCGTTACGAGTCTACTAATTAGTCGCCGTTGATTATACTTTTAAGTGGTTAGAAATTTTGACAATAAAATGTACGTAATAAAGATAAAAAATTGTTATAGTGCATATGGGATTTAGTGATTACAACGTAAGTCAATAGAACAGGCTGCGTTGTCGTTTCAAGTAGCTGGAAACATAATATAGACAGAGTTTCTGGTTAATTGTCAGTCATCAGTGTAATGCAATTCAAATGCAGGTTAAGTATGAGAAGAGCCCAACATAACAATTAATAATGAATAAAGCTTGTTTAATACACCACTCATGTAAAAGGAATTGATCGTGTATATTTTTTACACACCGCGGCTGGTATGAGAATCCCAAAGAAATTTTGTTAATCCGATTTTTGAATTGCCTAAGGTTAGTAGAACTGGGAAAAGCTTCTTCTTGTAGATTCTTCCACAATCTCGACACCCTTGGGACAAAGAAGCTGTCGTATCGGCCAGTTCTGGATGTACGAAGTTCGACACGATTAGCATGGGGGGGGGGCAAAGTCAGGCGGGTCTGTCTGGCAGGCGCATCGCATCATGGAAGAGAGCTCTGAGTAGCAAAGCCCGTTGGGAAGAAGAGAGCTTGATCCCCGACGACCCGCCGGTGCGTAAGCGTCCCGAGACTGTCTGTTAGAGAAGAGTCATCAATCAGTCGGACAGCCCTCTGGATAGCATCGAGCATGAATAATGTAGTCGGGGCGGCAGCACCCCAAACGTGTGAGCAATACTCGAGGCGAGGACTTATCTGGGACTTGTTTAGAGTGAGAAGGTCATGCGGAGAAAAGTACTTCGTAGCTCTAAACAAATAGTCTAGCTTTTTCTCAGCAGATGCCGCTTTTAACGAGATGTGTTCGTGCCAGATCAAGTCCTCGGTAATCTGGACTCCGACTAGCCGAAATGAACGGCTCTTTGGCAGGACTCGGCCATCCATCGAAACCGCATGAGCGCTAGGACGCTTTTTGTTCGTCAAGGTAGAGTACTGTGTTTTGGAAGCATTAAACTGTACAAGATTGTTACGTCCTCAAGCACTGATAGCCTCCAGGTCTTTCGTCAGAGAGGAAGTCATCACTAGTATTCTTTTTTCCAGCTCAGTGACAGAAATCGGCTTGTCACTCTGAATTCTTGCATGTAGAGTGCTGTCATAAGCGAAGCTGTGGATTGGGTTGATCGTGCAGGAAAGGAGGTCGTTGATATGTAAAAAGAACAGTGTCGGAACCATGACCTATCCCTCGGAAACACCCGCATTGACGTTGTGGGATGAAGACGAGAACCGAACATTACATCAAGTTGCAAATTGAATAGTTGGACACGATATTCACGAACACTGCATTGTCCTAGTTGAGTACATTTCATGGCTTCCTGCAATAGTTGTTTGTACATTTTACATACATTTTTCTAATTACTGACTCAGACATAATTCAGGGAATCGAACCTCTATCAACTCGGTCATACAATGCAACACATTCCGAATTGATTGTAAAGTTGCTTCATTGCTTTTTAAAATCATACGGTGTTTCAAGTTCCAAAAAGTAGAGATGATTAACACGGTTTAAAACTGTTTATCTTATTTCATTCCTACCTGACTTGAAATGTAGTGACGATCATTAGCAGCCACTATCCTAAGCGGTTTTTTTATATGTAAAGGAACTTTTCTGAATAAAAAAGTTGTTAGCAAGTACAAAATGGATCTGTAGCGTACAAAAAAAATCAACAAAACATTTCTACCTGGCGTCACTTGTCGATGTGGGGAGTTTTGAAATATCACTAGATAATCAGATGTTATTCTATCGTAAGGGATACTCGTGAAAAATACCGTAGGTGTCAGCGCTGCTACTTCTCTGTTGCCGTAGGTTATGCGTTTTACTTTTCGGTCGATGAAAAATTCTGACACGAAATCTTAGGCATAATTACGAGGGCGGTAGAAGGGATAATATTTTCTTGGAAAGTTCTTCTGAGACAATTATTGCGATTCAACTTGGCAGAGTGTCTCTGACGATGGAAACTGTAGATGTAGAAAATTCGTTGCTCATATTATATAAATCGTCGGAAGTAGAACATTAACAATACAAAAGCGAGTGAACATGAGACATGATTGACAATAAAAACACTAAAAATTGTAATGTAAAAATTCCTCAAAAGAGTAAAAACATTGATCGAGGAGGATGCACGTCATCGGTTTTTTGAATTGCATGTAATTCAGCTGATTGATGGTCTGAGGTAGTTTATTCTGAAAATTTAGATTTAATCAATTTCTCGCAGATATATATAGTCTATAATATAACGTGGCATTCTTAGGGCTCCAGACTGCCTTGTAACATGGTTGTAGACTTCTGGTTGGATTGTGTAGCAATTCGAGTTTTCATGAATATGTAGCAAAGTGTAAAGTATGGTTACATGACAACGGCAGTATCCCTAGCATTTGGAAAAGAGGTTTGCAGTTTTCATTGTAAGGATTTTCCATTAAGGACTTGACAACTTTCTTTTTAAATAAAACGCAAACCATTTGAGATAAATCCAAAATTTTATTATTGAAGAATACTCAAAACATTTATGTATGGAATTCGACCTCGTTCATATGTCTACCGCGGGCATGTTCGCACCGATCGATTCGTTGAACCCAATTTTCAATGACGCGGCCACACATTTCAACAGAAACGGCCGCTATCTCTCGTTCAATATTGGCTCTGAGCTCCTCTAACGACGCCGACTTGTTGGCATAGACCAATGATGTAATTTAGCCCCACAAAAAAAGTCTAGAGTTGTTAAAACACACGATCTAGGCGGCCACTCAACAGGACCATTTTTCAATATAACACGTTCACCGAATTTTGATTTCAATATGTCGATTGTTTCACCCGCTGTGTGGCTTGTGGCACCGTCTTGTTGAAACCCCATATAATTAATGTCTAGCCCATCCAATTGACCAAAAGATAACTTTGCAATATGTCTCTGTAGCGATCTCCGTTGACTGTAACGTGGCGGTCATTTTCATCAACAAAAAAAAAACGGTCCAACGAAACCACCGGCATGAAAACCACACCATACAGTTATTTTTTATCGATGAAGTGGTGTTTTTTGAAGCACATGAGGGTTTCCACCAATAACGCATGTTCTGTTTGTTGACGAGGCGTTTAGCCTCATCACTGAAGATGATTTTGCGATAAAATTGGTCATTTTCTTGCAACATTTCTAGAGTCCAATTCGAGAACGTACGTCGGTCCATATGATCGAACGGCCTTAGTTCTTGAGTTAACTTGATTTTATAAGGGTGCAGGCCAAGATCTCTTTGCAAAATTCGCCATAATGTGGTCCCCAATTCTTGAGAACGCCGTGGAATCGATGTGTTTTGTTCGTTTGCCACGGGAGCTTGAACGGCAGCAATATTCTCGGCACTTCGACCAACCCGTTGTCTCACTGGCACGGGAACATCCAGCAGCCAATATGTGGAATAAATTGTTTTTAATAGTCTATGAATTGCTTGTCCACTGGGACGAGAATTACGACCAAAAATTGGCGTTAACGCTCTTAAAGTTGCAGTCACCGACTCGGAATTTCGGTAGTAAATTTTAATTATTTGTAAGCGTTGTTCCTTCGGGTACTTCACCAAGATGGAAATGTTTTCTTTACTGTATGTTTTGACATGTTCGGTAATTGATTTAAAGGCGCTTTCACAGTGAAAGTTCCAGATTGTCAGGTCCCTATTGGAAAAACCGATACTTAGCACCTGCTATAATCCTCACTGCACGTTTATGCATAGATCAGATGTGACTGACATATGCCAAAACATGCATTTAAAAAGCCTTCTTGCGTAGAAATACGTTGTAATTGTCGCAATACGAATAAGTGTGTTGAAAGATTTGTCCATAAAGAGTCAACATGAGCCTGTCATTTGAGAGCACCATCAAATTTTATGCCAAGAGAATCAGTTTCGATTTCATGCAACTGATTGTTTACTGACTGCATGGATATTTGAGTGTTGTGTTTATGAAGTTTTAAAAAGTTCGCCCCAAACCACCTTTCTACTTTACATTCCGTGTCTAATGTGTAATAAGTGATATTACAAACCTGTCTCGACTTCTTAAAGTTGACATTCGAGGGCGACTTTCTCCCAGAAGCCGCTCGTTTTGATTGACGGCCAGCGTTGGCTAAATTTTCGTCACCTGGACGGGATTTTTTTGAATGATGTGACCCGGAAGACACCGAAATAGCTTCAAAGGTGCAGGAGGAAGTGTTTATTGTTCTGTCCCAGAAAAGGATTGACTGAAAAAAAATATTTTGAATAAATTTAGAGAATACAAAAAATGTACTGAAACAACATTGAATCTTATGTATTATACATATTTTTGAGTTCCTAACAGTTTTTAGACAGGTGCAGATTTTAATTAACTCCAAGTTTTCTCTCTGATGCTCAAATATCTGATTTAAATAAGTGCAGTAGTCAAAAAATAAAAAAATTAAAAACGGCAGGATTATACGGAAAAATGAAGTAAGAAAATGACTTCAAGTAGCTTGACTCTGCACTTGCCACGCAACGCTGTCATCAGTTCATTAAGGATTATGTTTATCACAAGGTAGCCTCTCTGAGAAAAAAGTTAGCTTCGATCATATGGAACAAAAAAAATAAATGGATAAAGTCAGTCAAACAGTCCCATACAATTAATCCATAGTCCCCCACACTTGACAATTTTGCAATCTAGAAATGTCTTCCCTGTCGTACCGACTTTTGGCATAGGCGCCCGCAGGTGCGTTCTAGGGTAACCGTGGTCCCCTGAAAATACGCTTGGACCTCAACAGTTGAATATTTAACATGATTATTTAACCTCCCCGCTTGTCAGTCACGGAAGCACAGCAGTCTCCACTGAATATGAAACACAAACACCCATCGGGCGGGTCGCGATGCAGTGCATCCCAATATTCCGTATAATGATATTTCCTCGAGATCACTAACCAACCTGCCTCTCTAGGTCCCCTGGGTAAGTTCAGTGAAGAAAATAACGCTCAAAGGGTCACACTCGAGGTACTTACTATTTTCTTACTACTACTACTTCTATTTTTTTGTATCTCTTACTTCAGGAATGGCGGAATTTATGATTAAAAGCAAGACTTAAAACACAAGCTGGTATATTAGCAACAAATACATCACTTACTCGAACGAACAGAAACGTTCAAAGATTTGGGTGTTGTATTCGATGCCAAGCTGACATTCACCGATCACATCGTTCAAATGGTGAATTCAGCGTTTAAGATGCTAGGCTTTTTTCTAAGGAATTGGTCAGGGTTTTCAAACATAGCAACTCTAAACCTTTTATATTTTACATTTATAATTTGGTCTCCAATCTACAACAGTTTAAGGGTTAGTATTGAATATGTGCAGCGTAAGGCTTTCAAGTATTTGTATTACAAATGTTATGACAATTATCCTGAAAGAGGTTTCGACCATTCTATTTTATTAAACATCATTGACATAGAGTCATTGCATCTTAGACGCGATATATCAGCGCTACATCTTTTGTATAAAGTCATACACAATCACGTTGATTGTTCATTCATATTAAGTAAGCTTAATTTTCGTGTGCCTAGGTTGAGAAATCGTGTTCAAATCACTTTCTATCCGGTTATTGGTAATACTAATGTAATGTCTAGATCTCCGGTAAATATGATGTGTTACATGTTTCAATTCTGTTTGCAGTTCCTGAGACTTATTTTTTGATAGTGAGAACTTTGTTATGAAGTGCTACAGAGACTGGTGCATTTGTCAGTGAGAGTTAGTTTTTTTTTGTCTTCAGCGTTAACGCTTCCAGTTTTGTAATGTCATTTTAGTTTTATTGGCCTTTACCATAGATGTACTATTTTAACGTGTCAATTTACTTTTCTAATTTAGGTTATTTATTATTGAATTTAGTTAAAGTGTCACAGTGTCAGTTCAAAGTTTTATCGTTGCCAGTGATCCTGTAACATCAAATTATGTCAGTGCGTGCGTTAGAAGCATATAGTGCGTTAGAAGCATATAGTGCATTAGCAAATACTTGATAGACTTTATTTATAACTGCGGATATGGCATTGACGACAATGGGATGGCCACACACAAGATTTTTGTTTCGTGGCATTACTTTTGTCATTGATACTTCTTTGTGGCAACAATCTTTGAAATTTATATTTTTATAATTGTATTTGGCAAATAAATTATTATTATTTAAAATTTATGAAGAATAAACAAAAAATTAACAATCAAAAATAAAGTCAAACAATACTTATTAATATAAACATTCTGAAGCTTGTTGTAAAAAATAATCTGACAGTGACATAACATCCTAAATTTCCGCCAACTAGATGCCTATTAGATTTTAACAGGATGTGATAATAAAATTTTTTAAAAACCAGCTCCGAAAAAATTTTTCTCTCGAATACTATGTTAGATGTCCTGTTTTTATGAGACAAAAAATGAAGTAACATTTTGATACAGTTTATGTAGGTATGGGGGTGGTTTTCACCCTTCTCGAACCTTTTCGGGTTTTTTAAAAAGTCAAATATTAGGACGTCTAGCAAAACACGTGTTCCAAATTTCATTCAAATCAGACTATCTATAATACTATATATTTGGAAAAATATATATTCAAAGAAAGCTTTGACGCCCTCCAAGGGACAAACGAGGCACTCCTGCATAGAGGTAAGACATGTCCAATCGACTTATTTTGTGTCTAAAAATACGCGTTTCCATGTTCACGGAATATTGGGACACTATATGCACTAACACCAAAAAATTGAAATATACCCTTTCCACCTCCCACTACCCTCAAGCCCAACTTGACGTTTTGACGATTCTTATTTTTTTTCGTTTTTTTGCCTCTAGCTCCGTCGCCACTAAATCGATTTTCAAAAATTACACATTTTTTCATTATTAGTATAGTAGTAATCTTATGTGATAATTCCATCCATAACCGAGCGGAACTCCAAGTTGTAGATGAACCAAGGATTAGCGGACAGACAGACTGACGGAAATGAGTGACATGGTTTTTTGTCATGTACACAGCAACATCCAAAAAACAAAATATCTCATTAGTGTATGAAGTTTCGCGATTAGAATAATTCCTCGCCAGTAGAGTGAAATTACTTTGCCCTTGATCTTTTTTATTCGGCTATCACCACAGTCAACATAAAAAATCACTAAAATGATGTACAAGTTGTCTTTCATAAGGCAAAATCTATGAAAACGAGCTTACCCTATCCAAAATGTCAGTATCAGGAATTGATATATTTAAAGTCTCATCTCCAGCAGACGATAGTTTGCCCTCTACAACTAAAGTATATGTTAACATTAATACCAATATAATTACTGTTAAATTGAAATACTCACTGTCAGCATCTGTGCTGGACCGGCCAGTATATTTTAACACTTTTGGTAAAACTTGTGTCAAAAGTTTCTGAGCACCATCAGAATTTTTCAGCGTAAAAGAGCATTTGTTGCAATTTTTCACCATAAGTTTATATTTTTCTTGTAGATTCAGAGGGGGATGTTGTAATTCAAACTTTATTGTTATTAGATCATTAGGAGAGCTGAAAACAAAGACATATATTTTGCGGGCAAAATTGTATTTTACGAAACTTAAAAACGATATTTGAATTATTTGAATGTATCACAACAATTTTTATTGATACATGTGTACTCACCACTGTTCTTAACTTCTATATCTTTATTATCTATGAGACAAAACTATAACAATTATTAATACATACACAGAAATGTGAAATCTGCTAATATTTTCGCCCAAAATGCTGATCAGTTCTATAGCTCTGCTGTTGTCCTCTTCTATAACATCAAAGGTGCCAACACCACAATACCAGGATATTACACAATTGTTCATATTGAAGTCTACCCACAATCCTTGCATGCTATTCTAGAATATTTAAAGTGGAAAGTTAAAAAAAATGGCATCAAGTAGGTTGGTTGCACTTTCCACGCAACGACCTTATCAGTAAATAAATGCAGAACAAGTGCAGGATTCGACAGGATAGAACTCAGGGTCGGGGTTTCGCCGGCAGTTGCTGTTCATATTCGGTGCATACTTAGCGTGTGTTTATACGTTAGCAAGTCGTCTACGGATACAGCAGATGAAACTGAGAATATTTCTCCCCGAAAACGTGACAAGATGGGACATTTGAATATTCAGGCAAAAGAAATTGTCCTTAACGTTCTTAAGAGCGAAATATTAGAGGATCCTGAAATGAAAATTCATGATATATAAGACGTGTGGCGAACAAAACAGGCTTATGTCCTAAGACAATTTTCAACTTTGTTAAAGAATACAAAAAAAAATTGTCTCCACCACACAAGAGGCTGCATTACACGAAGCTGTTGGATACAGTTGATAACTTTGATCAGAATCCCATCAGACGCAAAGTCCATCATTTTTTTTGAAAGACAGGAACTTCCCACCATAAACAAAATATTACAGGAGGGTAATAGCGATGAAGACTTAACTACTTTCAAAAGGACCACATTCTATACTTTACTCAAAGAACTTCATTTTGAGTATAGAAAACGGCGCAGAAATAGTATTTTGATGGACAGCCAAGAGATTATTAATTTTATGGAGAAGAAATTATTTAAAATCAATAAAGAAATACCGCGATCAGGACAGGAAGATTTATTACTTGGATGAAACCTGGATAAATGCAGGACACACAAAACCTAAAGTATGGGCTGACTCTACAATTAAATCTGCAAGACAAGCCTTCTTAGATGGACTAACCACTGGCATAAAGAATCCTTCAGGTACGTGTATTTAACCAATTCGTCATTTGTGTTGTAAAAATGGTATCAAGTAAACTGAATCTATGGGCCCACGCTGAAAACCCAGCTATATCGAACTTAGCTATATCTGGTAGATTTGGAACCAGCACCTGTTTGATACTCTGCTTGTATTATTATTATTCCTTGAATATTATTTGAAATAATTATTTCAAGGAAAAGGAAAACGATTTGTTATCGGTCACACTGACAGTGAAGATGGCTTTGCGCCCACTGCCCTATGGGAATTTGAGTCAAAGAAAATGACCGACTACCATGAAGAAATGGACCGGAGATCACTTGAACGATGGCTTGAAGAAACGATCCCAAATCTTGACAATGCCGTCATTGTACTTGATAATGCTGCATACAATTAAAAACTAGAAAAAATTCCCATAATGTCCACAAGAAATGCAGAAGTTCAACAATGGCTCCTATCAAAAGACATTAGTTGAAAATATGGTCAAAGCACAACTTATCCATCTAGTCAGGCAGCACAATTTTAAATATAATCTTAATGTTATTGACGGAATGGCTAAAAACCAAAAGAAGACCGTTTTAAGGCTACCCCCCTATCACTGCGAATTAAATTCCATTGAAATGATTTGGGCAAATATAAAAAACTATGTGGCTTCAAGCTAGCAATAGAACATTCAAATTTTCTGACGTGAAAAATTTGTTTTATGAAGCTGTCAACAGAGTGACGGCAAACCATTGGAGAGACAATCGAAACAAAGATGTGGGATCTGGACAATATGATCGATATTCAAATTGAACCTGTAATAATTAATATTAACCATTCGGACGATGATTCAAGTACTTCCAGCGAATAAAGAATTGTGAAAAGTATGTGCACTTCTTTCTATAAAAATAATCACCTATTTTGTTAGATTATTCCAAGACCATTGAGGGTAATACGGACCTGTACAATCTCGCTTTCGGGCATATTGTGTTTCGTCTGGGCGAAAATGGACTACTAATAGGGTATAGCTTCATAGCAAAATTGCCGATGTATAAAAAATGTATGGATTCATCATTAGAAATAATTGTCAACTTTTTATTAGTGAAGCGCCTTGAAATGTAATTTTTTTATGTATGTTGTGGAATATTATTGTTGACACAAAAAAGACTGGAAAAAATTACAAAGTTTTTGAGATATCTAATATTTAAAAAGCACCAGATTTATAAAGAACAATGAATTGAGTATAAGCTTTAGCTAAACCTTTTTGAGATTGATAGTTGTGTAATAAACGCTATTATTATTAAAACTGAATAAAGTTCAGTTTATCTCAACCTAAGCCCCATATGACATCTATGATTAAAAAAAATCAACCATCATAGAGATATGAGATCAAGACAGCCTTTTTTCCATTTAAGTAACATAATCTGTTGTAGAAGTAACGTCGAAAAAAAAATGCAATAGAAAAAATGTTTTTTTTCTATTGTGCTATATCTAAAAAGTATCACTGAAATGAAGAATTGTACTTACGAAAGGTGTTATACAAACATAGTCATCACCTAGTTGAACACTGTCACACACAATAGAGAATACACTCGATGTTGGATTTTGGTTTAGTCTGTTTAGGAAGACCCTGACATCTCTATCAAAATTGTCTGGGTCTATTCCAATGAAATGTTCACTCAGTTCTTGAGACTCTGGTATCAAATCACCAATTTGCCTGTTCAGATTACCTTTTCCATATAATAAAATTATAACTTCAATTATTAAAACCTGCATATCATAGTCGCTGTGTATACTGATGCTATCTGTTAATTTATACCTATAACAAGAAATTTTTCAAATTAGATATTTATATTATAAGTTATATGAGAATATCCAACTACAGCATATGGTTGGGCATCTTTTGGAGAATATGTTAACAAATAACCAGTCAAATCCTGTGAAATGAATGGGAAAAATTTCAATCATCACTTACATCCACATCTTTGCTAGTTGATCCACAGCGTCGCTCCTTAGCTCAATGGAAGTATCCTTTATGACATTATAATACATTTTCAAGAGCTCTTTAATGACTGCCCAGCCTTGGTAACCATCAAACTCAGTTACAATTTCAAAGATCTTCTCTGACACATTTTTGAGAAACGCAGCTTTGTGGTCATGCTCTATCAATGCCTAATTAAAAAAATAGCTAATATACTATAAGTATAGAAAAGGCCTCTCAAAACATATAGACTTTCAGTTTATTTGTATAGTGGTCGGTGACAGTGTCTGGGATCCAGCCTTGTAAATTCTGTCTATGTAGCATAGCAGAATGAATAAAATGTATGTGGCGGGCTCTTGGACATGATCACTGGCAGGTTGGCGACAGCTGTATGAACAGGACTCTTGTCTTGTATGGCTTAACTATCACTTTTTTAATGTAACATCTGAAACTCATCTTGTCTTGCTGATCAGTCTCCATATTGTTCTCTACTTGCCACAAAACGAAACACAGACAGAAGTAAAAATTTACTGACAATGTTATTTTGTACATTAAAAAAAAGTGACTGAAATGTCAGTAAATTTTTGTTTCTACATATGAGGTTTCACTTTTAGTCCCATCAGCACAGCTTATGAGTAGTAGCTTTGTTCAATGCTGGCCTAATATTGATGTAAAATATGAAAGACATTGTTTTTATTTATGGAACTTATAGTTCAGACTCAGGTGATAGTATGTTCTAGAGCCACAATGTATTTAGTGTATCTAAAAATACATGTTTTCCTGCAATATACCGGGTGTTTCAAATTCGGCTCTCTTCATTGGGATCTCGGAAACAGTAAGTGATACAAAGTCTGTTAAATTGGGGAAACCAACAAAACCTCCCAAAATTATTTTAATTTTTTCTTGATTTGTAGGAGGATTTCAAAATAAATTGCTCATGAAAATTGTTCTTTTTTTTCTCCTCAAGATGGCATAATTAGGAATTCAATATGACAATACGATTCTGATTCCATTGCCAGTTAAAAAAAAAACAGAATTTCCTAGGTAGGACTTGAAATTATCAGACAATCATTTGTTTCGCATATCAGATTTATATCAAAATCATTTTAATTTTCTACTGATTTTATTTCAGATGGGATTTAAAAATAAATTGCATATTTTCATTGCAATTTATTCTCCTCTACAAGATGGCATACTGAAATCATCAATTTGAGGATTCTTCTTTTGACTTCCATCACCAACTTTGTTTATCCATATGGACATTATATTGGAATTTTGTACATTTAAATGGACTTTTCTGTCCTAAATTCAGCAATGTATTTCCTTTGTTGCCTATGAATTTGTTGTTGGAACAAAAATTATAAGGAAATAGAAACTATGGTGAAACCAGAACACAAAATGAAAGTTTTATTGATGGTAATAACAATAATAATCATAATTAAGCAGATGGTCAAAATGTTTTCCATTATTTTGTATGCTAAGCCTGAATCTTCTCAAAACTGCTCAATTTATTTCCCTTCTCAGTCTTTTGAACTCTGTTACTATGTTTAATTTGAGGTCTGGTCTGGTATACAAAACAAACTATTTGACAATTTCAAGACTTACCTAGGAATTTATTCTTCTGGAAAACCTGAGAATTCGCAATGTCCATGTATGACATACTATTATACATTTTTAGTCTCAGAATTAAAAACTATTGATCTGGGCAAAAATCCAATTGATGCTGGTGGACAACTGACAAAACATCGTGTTGAATTTCTACCTATGCAATCTTGTAGAGGAGAAAATGTCACAATGTGAATGTGTAACTTATTTCAAAGTCCCACTACAAATAAAGTCAGTAAAAAATTAGAGTGATTTTGGGAAAATTTGCTTTTTTCTGTCTCTCTCCAGAAACACTTTAAATTTTGAAACTTTCCAAGCAGCATTATGTTAGTTACCTAAATATATAACCTTGGTTATTATTATTATTATTTAAGTGACTTTATTATTGCTTCACCATCTGTAGATCCCAGTATTTGAAACACCAAGTATGAGTTAGGCAAATGTTACACGATTAGTGTTTGCAGTATTCATTTTAGAATATGTTATTTATTGACCATATAGGCAATATCACTACTTATTGATGTATAATGTTACATTAGAATCGACTGACTCAGACAGAATGATTAGTTTTTATATTGAGGGTACACTGGCAACAGTAAATACTGATAATCTAAGATTTGCCTTAAAGCAATATTTTTAGAGTGGGGGTTACAACTGCCTCCTGCCCTAAGAGTATGCCATCAGCCAATACGGTGCAGAATTTTTATTGTAGGACTTATCCAGAAATTAAATTCTAGCTGCCAGGTTTTAAGTGGACAGGAAAAATGCATACCTCGACTTTTTGGAAGAAGTTCTTGCTATGAGTTATTTGTTTCTTGTGTGAAAGTAAAGAAAAATTGACAACAACTAACTCAATGTATTTGACTACGCATTCCATGAGGTCATGGTAGTATTTTTGGTTTCTAGCTTTCATAAAAATATGTTTGAGTCTCTTATACCATTCGGAGAGAACGTTAAACGATGTCCCCGCTTTACTGAATTCCTGAAAATTAAACTATAAGTTCTTTCAAATATTGTAACGCATAAAATTGACATACCTCCTCTATCTGGAACAGGAACTCATCGATTTTTTCTGTTATGATTCCCATTTTACACAAAATTTGATTCAGGGTAATAATGTTTTTTCTCAAGTACAGCTCCACGCAACACGAAAATTTCTTCAAAACGATTATTGCGCACAGCAAACGAACATAATTTTTGAATGCACAAGAGCGCCAACAAGATGGACTCAAAAATTATGACAAAACCACTTTTGATCGCCTTCTGGCAGTTGACAGATTATTTTCATTTGTTTCCAAGGCCACCATCGCAGTTTATAATTTTTGATGAAAGCTGTTGTGTTTGGTAATCATATTATTTTTGTTTACGTATTTTTAGCAATTCCATAAATTATTTGTACTAGTTTTGTGGTTTTTGCGTAGTTGCGATTGGAGTGTCACCGTCACCCCAACGCCAACCTGCCTTTGAAAAAGGCGGCTGTTTATGTTGCCGTTTGAAATGCCTGTTGGCTCTGTTGCCAGCTTTACAAAAATTTTCGTAGGTTGCTTACTAACACTCTAATTCCTATTTTATCAACCCCACAGTCACCAACTACATGCCAAACAACGAGGTCTGGAAGGAAAATAAAAAATAAAACAAATAAATTTAACACAACATTGTATTTTATATTAAATCCGACGTTTACAATAAAAAGGTATATATTTACAATTAAAATGACAGTTCTTCAACAGGTGTATATATTTGGAGAAATTTTGCAATTCCAGACAGATAATGTGGTGATTTAATTTTTAGACAGAACATAGAAACTAGACGTGTATGGTGTGTTTTTGTTAGTTAAGGTACAGACATGGTTAAAGACATAACATTCATATTGAAAACAAAATGAGCTGAATAGTTTTTTACTAATCGGTTGTGTCGAGAATCGAAGGAGATACAATATGTGTAGGGCTCAATTTAACCAGGACTATACCCATTATTTCGTGTCTGTTTATGTGTGGACATTCACATAGTTACATTAATATATCATTTGTTCATAAAAATTATCCATAACAGTCTATAAAATCTATAACATGCACTGCCTCTATACAATTTTATTATCTCTTTTTGCTTCTTTGGCACACCCATTTGGAAGTTAAGGGAAAAAACAAGAGACTGCCACGGTCGTTCCCTTAAAAGGCACAGGTCGCGATTTCATCAAAAAATTACCTGCAAACCTTATTAAAGATAGCCCAGGAAAACTAGAAAAAACTCGTTAGTGAATGTTTTCTTACCGAAATTTTATTTATATGGAAGTATCTCAAAACGGTAATAGACCTTGGAATGTTTCATGTATTTCCAGTCAATAATAGCTTTATATAGCACCTCTACTACGTAGCCGCAAAATGACAGGGGGAGCGATCTGTTTGCCAGAATTATCACTTTGGAACTAGCTATGATTCACTTCATGTTCACCTGTAGTAGCTGTGTGCTATGTGTGTTTATCCAAAACGTCAAGAATACTTGAGTGATGTGCAGTGGTTCTGATATAAACTAATATCAGTTTCAGGGATGGCACTAGTAGAGATCACTTATAGCTTCTATGGCCTACGTTGTAAATTCTATATCATTGGTCGTTGTATCATTCCTCCATAGGTGGCGCACACAGCGAGGTCACGTGGTGTGGGCTATCGACTAGCTAGTACACAAGTTAGAAATATTACGATCTTACCATCATCATAGCTATTATTTCAGATAATACGGGTGCTGTTCAGACTTCGCGCAATTGGTTCTAGTCATTTCAAGCCGCACAGGTACTTTAGAACAGTTGTAACAAACGTCAGAATGTCAAAATACGGTTGAATTGATATAACAGATATGAACTCGCCTGGACTATATTACATGGCAGACTAAGAAATATTAAACAAAAAGATTTCTCATATTTAACGTCTTTACAAGAAATCATTCATTCATCAAAATTCGCTTTACATTTTTTACAACCTTGTTGTCTTTTTTGACGTAATATATTTATAGATAGGTCAGAAGTTATTTATATTTTACCAGTATCCAGTACGCCATAGATACATATCTACATACGACGAAACAGGTGACCTTATGATCATTTTTCACTTATCTCTGTATTTCCGACTAGCATGAAAAGGATGCAAAGTAATTTTTTGAGCACGTATTTTACTTGAAGGTTGACATTGTGCCGACAATATTGTTGCGTTGCTGCTATAGTAAAAAACGAAAATTAAAGCTTAGGGTGAATTACCCAGGCCAACTTATCTTACATTAAGTTATATCTATTATTATTGTGTCATTGATGCACGTTTATGTTGTGTTGTATAAAATATCGCTTTATCCATTTCTTAAAAAAAATATTTCATGTCTGTCAGTCCAGTGTTAGGCCTAGTGACTGCATGTATGTATACAGCTTTCGACAAAAAATTATAACAAGATAAATAAAGTAATATCCGTAATACAATATATATATATATATATATATATATATATATATATATAAATTTGGTAAACGTAATTTTATGGAATCTGACCACTGAATACAATTTTACATTATTTGTCGATTTTGTAAAACATTTTTATGGAAGGTATATGGTGTTGACCAGATGAAAACATAATAAAACTGGATATAATTCTAAGGGTTTGAGTGCATAGTGAGACATTGCGAAGTGAGTTTAAATATATTTAGTATGATTTTAAGATTACAACAGAAAACAGTATAGGAGTATTATATTAACATGCACCAAAATATCTTTTGCTTAAATTCTTGGAGATCTACGGGCCATTTTGATAACAATTTACCTTCATTGCTCAAAGTGACCCTAGATACTAAATATTCCTTTAAGCTGTTTTATCGCCACATGAGGCTCGTTTGTAACTCATTTTGTCAAAATCTGGTACAGACTGTTCTCAACGTATGCATTATTTCAAAGTCTTTGTTGATGCATCATTTTTTGAATTCACTTCGCAGTTTCCCATATATAATATACATGCCGTTTTTCAATTTCTTATAACATTAAGAAAATATGACGCCTCAATATCTGTGCATGTGTATAGGAATGTTTATCGCTTGGATATATTGTCTTCAAGAAGTGGCAACGTTGCATTTTAGTTGTCCATGTGCTGCGATGTCGCTGTGATTTCGGGGTTTTGAAAAACAGTGAGTTTTTATATAGTATGAACGGTGGTATGAACTTTTTTTAGTGTATAGGTATTATCCAAATATCTGACTATGTTTTTAGTCTAAGGTATGAATAAAAGAACGACTACATTTTACCGCATAAAAGTTGCTGTGGGATCCTAGGTATGTATTTAAAAAAAAAGAATGAATTTTTGACATTCTTACCCGACGTGCTAACTGGGGCTGCGATTCTATAAAGCTTGTAAATGCTAAGCCATGTTAACCTTTTCATGATACCTTAGTCACGCACTTTTGAATTGCTGTATTAGTTAAATAGCTAACCTGTTGAAGATCAGACTACCTGTCCAAGTGGCGTAGGTACCCTCATTGCAAGCCGAAAGCTGCGGAACCGTATCTGAGGGTAAAGTCGAGCAAGACTGTCAAAAAAAGAGCGTCGTCTGTGGTTGGCTTAACAAACGTGGATTTGCATAATTATGTACATTTTGTCTGAGAGTGAATTTTTCCCAGAAGGGACGAGACAGAAAAACATTCTCTCAGCAACAGTTTGAAGAGGAAACAGAAATTCGAGAGTTGCAATAGACGTGTTCTCTCAATTATATCAATTCACAAGATGCTTCGAATAGTAAAGACATTATTGTTCCTACAAGACAGTAATAGCATTACGGGATAATACGTTCCACTTTGAGCGGGACTGACTTTATTTTTGACTACAGATTATTAGCAGCTATCAGCTATATTACAGACAACACTCTCATGATACTACTATTATCAGCGTCATCTGATGACGATTGCCCCTAAAATAACTCATAACACTAAAGGCACGATTGCTTACAGGATTCTGATTAGTGATGCTTGCCCCCTCTGTTATCGTCGAGTTGCATTATATTTATAAACAAATTTGTATACAGTGTGTTGTAGAAAATGTGTTCGTTATAGGATTAAAACATACAGTTTTCAAGTTGTCATCTACTTTTATTTTGTAAAATAACATACAACATGTGATAAGCATGTAAGTGTATACATGACATTTAAAAAATGGCGTCAAGTGGATAGATTACCTACCTACATATTCTGTTACTATGTTCATCTTACCAAAAATTTTGAATTCAATTTAATTTCATAATTTGCAATATTTCCCAAAAGTATCATAAAATAGATTGACACAAAATATTCTTGGAACATGGTTAATTCAGTTACATTTGAAATATAAAATCAACATCCTCGATGCCAACCAAGAGCAGGGCAAACTATACTTGCTTATTAAAACTAGTCACATCAGCGCTTTCAAAAAAGAAATATAAAATATTTACAAAGGTGACCAGTTCATTATTGTGTATAAATGTATTATATAAAATATCTCATTTGATATATACCATTCATGGCAGACTACTTTATACAGACTGTTACAAAAGTTTGGAACGCATGAAATATCTGACGAATGACTAGACTAGTTTTTAAAAAAATTGGTAGGATTAGGCGGATCCGTTGATGATATCCTCGATATTGTCAAGTCTACAGTTTTTCATAAACTGATAGCAACATTTGCTATACTTTTTAGTCGATATTTGTACACTTCGAGAAATCGTGAATACTTTTTATGAAACATACTTTGACATAGTTTTGTCATTAAAAATATTGCAAACTTCTTGCTGTGTGCGTCGACGATCGCCATAACCCAGAATCATTAGAATTTCTATTTTCTCGATTTCATTTAAATGCATCATTCTCAATAATTCTACTAATAAAACTCAATGGACTTTTGAATGTTAGAGATGACAGGAAATTACTTTCGATACCGGTCATTGCTTAGGTGAAAAAAAATACCATTTATTGTTTAAATATTAGTGTTTGACCGCGAATATTTCGAAAGTTATGATGTTTACGTCAAAGTATGTTTAATAAAAAGTGTTCAGAATTTCTCGCAGAATAAAAATATCGAATAAAATGTATAGCGTTTCATAAGAAAAACAAAAGTCGCTATCAGTTTCTAAAAAACTGTAAATTTGCCGTGGTTTCGAACCTAAGCCTACCAATTTTTAAAAAAATTAGATGGGTCATTCATCAGATATTCGATGCGTTCCAAACTATTGTTGCCGTCTGTATGTTATGGGCAATCACCATAATGGTTAATGAGTCATGGCTATGTTGATGTAAGGACGATCGGAAGGAAAATATTACCGACTAACTCGGAGGGGGGCCGCGGTGGTGGATTCGCATCCGACAAGTCTCTCTTCCCTCACGTCCTAAGAGGAGGCAGACGAGGACATAGCCTGTCGGCCTCTTTTCCTGTTCTTAATTTCTATCAATTTTGATGACATATTCCTCCATATTTTGAATTTCGTTGGTAAGCTCCCCAATATATAGTTTTGTCTCGTTCAATTAGTTGAGTTCTTGGGGCTATCCATTCCTTCAGCAGCCCCGAATGATCCCATTTTCACGTCCCTGCAGACTGCAGACTAGGATGTTTGGCGATTCTGGTTTCTCTCGCATGTTTCTAATTCTAATTGCTTGTGTTAATTACCTGGGTACTATTTTGAATTTAAATCAAATTACTTCTCGCTGACTGCGTCTTGTATCAGTCTTTTTACATTATTTAGAAAATAAGTTGAGTTGCGCCATCTAGGATGGGTAGTAGCAACTATACAATGAACAAATCATAATCTATAGGTAACGTTATCGAATGAAATAGTCACATGCCATTAGTGTTCGGCGCAAGCATCAGATGTCACTCAAAGCAGGGTACAATAGTTGTATATTACTTACACCTCCCTTTATTTTGACCCTCTGTTCGGGTGTTCGTGTTAACAATCTGTGGATGCAAACAGCGCGAAAACAGTCAGGTCTGGGGTCTGGTCAGTCAGGGATCTCCAGCAGGCACAATCGCTGACACCCCTCCGCTCTTCATTTTTGGATCCCAGGAACTGGCCCGACTAATTGAAAAATTAATGGCTAAGCTCAAGCATGGTGGGAATATTAAAATACCTATGTTCCACAGCCACATTTGAAAACGATAAAATATTTTAATTGTAGACTATTTTATAATGAATATACAGCAATGCAGTGTTACCACTTATCACGCTTCACGAAACTTGACTCTTAAGGCGGGGTTTGCAGTTAGAAAAAAGTGACCTATTTTGATATCAAATTAAATCGTGTAATCTCTCGCGTATGGCGCCTTTCATCCCCGAAAAGTGTGATCTATATATCTTTATGAAAACAGAAGTTATTCGTAAAACCCCTAAGTTATCCACTATCTGTTTATCTTATAGGGCCATACGCGCGAAATTACACGATTTAGTATAGTAACAAAAAGAGAATTGTCACCTTGAAATTCAAAGTTTTCCTAACCTAAATACCCCGCGAAGTCCGCTTGAAGAAGAAATAACATTGCTTTCAGACTGTTGTCAGTCTATTTCATTCCTTACAATGTGTGATTCCTTTTGGTAGGAATTCCGAATTCGCTTAAACACATGTTACTCTAAACTTTCATTAGTTGTTCCAAAGTATGCGTACCTACTCACCTGTCGTATTTACCTATGTGTCATATCATATCCTAACTAGTCTAGAGACAGTTTGTTTGTTTTTTAGGCATGCATATCAGCTAGACAAATCAAGAGATATCAGTCATTAAAAATTTCACAGTAATACCTTTGAAACACCTATCTGTCTGTATAATTCTTACAACGTCTGATTCCTAAATTGGTAGCAATTGAGAATTGGCTAAAATACATGTCACGTGAGGTGATTCTTAAATGTTCTAATAGGACTTGAGAAACGCTAGGGTAGGCTTCCAAATTTGCCTCAAACATTTATTTGGAACGCTTCTCTCGTTAGTTTGGATTGTGACCTCGCTTTGTGGCCCGTTTTTTCGTATTCAGACTCGGATAGTGTCCTAGGATCCAAATCGGAAAACCTGCGGAAAGACATAAAGATTAGAAGCTCAAGTGAAGATTCTCATCTGCATCATCATTCTCATCTAGGGTGTTCTGGAAGATGGGACGTTCCTCATCAGAAACAACTACGTTTGACATAACAAAGTTAATTCGTGGAATGACTGTAATCCGCCAGTTGGTCGGCTCCATTGACCTTGGGATTTTTCTGCATTATAGTAGTATAGTATAGAAGATCGCATATTTTTGGTTACATCATCGCGTTCTGATATAATACCACAGCCGACGTCAACTACGAGCCGTGATGAAAGAAAGGCAACACCGCGCTCGGACGGCATGGTAGTGCTACCTGTGAACGTCGGCCGCCAGCGGCTGTGTGGTCCGTCTCCGTGTAACGTTCAAGAACTAAATTTAATTTTGGAAAAGAGGACAGTTCGATTCGATACAAATCGTCTGAATATGAAATAGCTCTGAAAAATTTAAAAATACGAAATAATCGTGATATATATATGAGTCGCTAATGCAGTTAACCTAATTAAAAGTATTTAGTTTACGTTTTTTGGTGTCAGCACACTGTGTTCCAACAGGCCCAGCTTGGAAATGTGGAGTTACCTGTTTGTTTTTAATACATTTACTTTCAGTTTTACTGTTATTTTTCAATTTTACATAATCATTCAAAATTATGTTTGAAAAAATAGACAAAAGTTTAGATAAAATATCTGCATAATTGCGGCCACAGATGCAAGTTAAAGAAAATTCACTGTATATAAAGTCAGACTGAATGCTGAGCAAGGTTAACTGACACAAAATAAATTTTTGATTATTGCTTTTCAAGAAGAAAATTTCCAATCTATCTACATTAATAATAGATTCAAAAATGGCATACATATGGTAGAATATGATTGGTACATAACTGGTTGGAATTGACAGTCCTCCTCTTTGTAAATGATCAAAATAAACATTTGTTGTTAATGAACCTTTTTCTTTAACTATTAGCGATTTGCATATCTCTCGCAGTTTAGGTTTTTAGAGATAGCGTGTGAAGCATATCCAGATATATATAGTCAACGCCAAAGTGGCGTGCACGTCATCACGATAAAAATTCCCCGACCTAATGCCTAGGTTTCTATCACAAACAATTGCTCTATTGCAGTTTCATATTAATGTGATATATAAATTGTAAAATGGTCATTACTCTCTTATTATGGTTAATAGTCATATAAACATTGTTATTAAAATATCACATAAGTTGCTTTCTGATAAATTTAGACGCATTATGCGAAATAAAATGTTTTGCAAACGCTCCAATCACTTATCGACATGTAAACGCACTAAACCGATTTCGCTGCGTTGACACATTGTCACCTTGAAACTTATTTAAACTGGGAACTGACATTTGTATTAATTTTGACACTGAATCAATTTGTGGCATTTCAAATCTTTATAAATCCTTTGGCCCCGCATACTGTAAATCAACAACTGTTTGTTTCAAAACAAAATTATTCATTTTACGAGTAGATAAAGGCAATTTTGGTATATAAAGATGCCCAAACAGTTAAATAGTCGGTGTAAGGAACTCGTGGCCTCGTTAATGCACTACTTTGAGCAAGAAAGGGACAACAACGGGCCTTTGTTGCCTTTAAATGCTGTTAAAGAGGTAGGTTACTAATAATTATATGTAATGTATATTAATAATAGTGAAATTTTATTTCATTTTTTGTAGCGTGTTGCTGCTGCTTTAAAAATTAGTTTAAGGACAGTTAGTCGTATTTCCGAGGGTGTGAAAAGTGATGCAAATTTAGAATCGCCCAAGAAAAAGCGGAGTTATATTAAACGTGTAACCAACACAGCGACATTGGATACAAGTGCCATTCGAGAAGTGATCTATAATATGTATCACAAAAGTAAGATCTTATTACGTTATAATAACTTATCAGAAATTTGCATTAATTTGTTAACTAAATTATAATGTCATATTACACATGGTTTCAGAAGAACAAGTTACGATACAAACTTTATGGTCTCGATTAAGAGATAGGGCATTATTTGATGGTAGTGCCACGTCTTTAAGGCGGTTGCTTAGAGATCTTGGATTTAAGTGGCTTAAGGACAATCCGCGACGAGGGCTCATGGAACTACCAAGTATAGCTTTGAAAAGGGTGGAATTTCTAAGGCAATACAATCAAGCCAAGGTTGAGGCCTTATACCAGTTTGTCTTCCTCGATGAAACTTGGATATTTCAAAATGGGACCATAGGTCGCTCTTGGCAAAATGGAAACCAAAAAAGCGTGAAAGCTATTAAAACAGATGGTAAAAGGTATGTACTTTTACACAATTTGCACTATAACATTTAAAACTAATATATTTTAGATACATTATATTACATGCTGGAAATGAAAATGGGTTTATTGAGGGTAGTGAAGCGATATTTTCTTCGAAAACAAAATTGAGCGATTACCATGGAGAGATGAACCAGGACAATTTTTTGAAATGGTTTCAACATCAGTTATTAGAAAAATTGGAGAGTCCATCTATGATTATACTGGATAACGCCCCTTATCACAGCATGATATTGAACAAAGTGCCCAACAATGCATGGACAAAAAAAAATATCCAAGACTGGTTGACAAATCAAAACATACCATTTTTAAACACAATGTTTAAAACAGAGCTATTGAGTATTGTTGCTCGGTACATAATGCTTCTTAATTATATATATTTTGGTCGACAGTTTATATTTCTTTTGTTTATTCCTATTCTCAAAATAACTGCTTTTTTAGAAACAAACCACCTAAAATATACGTGATTGATGAATTGGCGGAACAACATGGGCACAAAGTTCTTCGTCTGCCTCCTTACCATTGTATATTTAACCCTATTGAGTTAATTTGGGGCATAGCAAAAGGTTACTATAACAGACATATTGGTAGAGATGGTAACAGTGAAAAAGACTGTTTGGATATGTGGAACGAGGCTCTACAAACGGTTACCCCAGACATGTGGAAAAATAGTGTTCGACATACTGAGCAAGAAATTTTTAAATGGTATGAAAGAGAACGAATTTTTGATCGACCAGACATCGAACCTTTAATAATCAACTTTGAGAGTGATGGAGATTCAGATTCAGACAGCGCTGAAGAAAGAAACTCCGACTAACTTTATTGTACAGAAAAAGCTTACACCAGTAGCTTACCTAATTTTAGAATGCATTTTTCTGTATGAATTCCATGCATAAAATTTGGAGGACCCCATTTGGATTTTTATTCAGTACCTTTAAGCTATCAATTAAATATGGTAGTTTCATAGTGTCATCTGATCAATAATTGTCATACTTAATGATTATGCAAGTACAGATCTATAATTTTATTATACTATTATTTTTGTTCTCATTTGAGGTTAATATTGCTTATAAACCTAGATATGTAAATAATAAATTTTATTATTTTACAAAAAGTTTGGCAACAATGTAAATTTTTCAACACACCCACCTTGATGACGTGCACGCCACTTTGTTTGGCGTTGACTTTATAAGTCTTAGTACTATCCTCTATGTCACAATTGGCTAAGTAATTTGTCTCAAATACTTCATTGAATATATCCAAAACGTCAGGATTTTGTTTGGTATCCAAGAAATCAAAATTTTCTTGAGTTTCTAAGCAGTTTTGGAACCTTGTTTTAATTTCTGCTAAAGAAAATGACGATTTCTTTTTATTGAAAATATGCTTCAGCCGTATTTTCTTTTCAGCATTTATAATTTCATCATATGACACATTGTAATTGCAGCCATATAAAAGTCTATAATTATTGCCAAATCGTTTTTCTAAATTATCAGTGGTGAATTTTCCAAGCAATACATACTCAATGTCAAATTGATTAAATGAATATTCAATTATATTAAGTAGAGTCAGCGTGCTTTGATATAGAGCTGTATACGTTTCTGGTGTCAAGTGTCCATTATTATTCTCTAGATTATGCCATTTTTCTAACCATATCAGGAATTTTTTTAAAAATTGTACTCTATAATCATATTTATTGGTAATAGGCTTACAAAATTCGTTTCGCTTCAATTCTCCTTTTATTACACTTGTATTACTGACAATATCCCACCAATTCCTGATTATTTCCAAAAAGTGTGCAGCATCATTAAACTTTAATTCTTTCATAGCAGCTATTGTTGAGTGGTGGAATAAATTATCTACAAAATTTACATTTTGCCTTTCAAATGAATTTGGATGCAATGTTTTATAATTTAATTTATATGCTTTCCTAACTACAGCTTCTTTTTCCAATTGATATACAGCACGAATGTTTTAAAATTTAGCATACTGAATAATATCATTATTGTCAAAATTAGGATATACAAAAGTTTAGTCTAGGTTTTTTAAATTAATCCAATTATTTCTGATACTCTTAAAAATATGCACAACATCATAAGTTAAATATATGTTCTTATCAGGATTATGTGGATTTGGAATAGAATAATTTTCTGATGAATCCTTTGCTAATTTCCTGAACGTTGCTCTATTAACTCGGTGATTATCAGTAACAACACAAATAACTTCAAATCCACATTTTTGAACTAAATTTATCTTTGATCTTATCCATATCATCGAAATTCTGGATAGCTTTTTCATGTTTCTCAATTAATTTTTGTTTTCTTTGCATTGGGTCAGTTCTTTTGGGTGCTTCAGTTTTTGAAAGATATGATGGCAAGTTTTGGAAAATGGAGGAACAGCATTTTCTTTCAATTTTGGATATTTCAAAGGTATATTATTTTGGACTGTTCCATCCGCCAAAACTATATTTTCTGTCCTGATGATATCCGATTCTCTAAAATGACGACTGCACACAGCTGAATATTTTGAAGGTGTCCAATTTTTTCTGGGAATTGCCATAAGCCATTTGTTTTTCAGACTTTCGGTACTTGGGAAGCGAAAAGTTGAAACATAGCTTTCTGTTTTCAAAGCAGAATTATAGTTTGCATTGCATAAAGGAACACAGCAACAACGAGGCATATTGTCTGCGTCAAATACTTGATAAATGAAAAAAGAAAAGTACAACCTGAATTTGCACGTTTTCAATAGTTGAAATCCTTAGCGTCCTGAGGCGCGAACAGCCACAGTCACACTTCTTAGTTTATTTTTAAAGCACAGAAGCACTACAACTGGAGTCTATTTCTCATATATTATAGTCACCGATCACTTTGAACACATACACAGACTTTGAAGCTTAGAAAACAAGCTTATCTCTTAATTACAGCCTCTGGGATTCCAAAATCACAAATTGAAAAGATTATGTTTTCTCAGCGTTTTGAGCACGAGTTGCGTCGATGCAGCAAGCAGCGGCGGGAGTAACACTACCACCTACGTTACCAGATTTCTGTGTTCACGGCTCGTAGTTGACGTCGGCTGTGATAATACCATAAAGTCATTAGTCATATCTTACCTATTTTGATGATAAACAGCAAACTCAGCAAAATACATAACATCTGACTAGTTTTTTATATCTATTAGAACGCGATGTAACCAAAACTGCTGTCGGCTATTGGACTATTACTAGTATATACACAAGAACAGCGATCTCTGACGATTTGCTACATTGACGGCTCTGCATGTACCGAGACAGTGTTGCCAAACTGCCATAAAATGTTTAGAACACATTAAATGTATACTGAGGCGAATGGAGTTCAGTTATCTTCACGGTTTTTGGTTGTTATATAAAATGTTATACGAAATAAGTAAACATTTAGTCTTAAGGCCAAGGTCTTTGAGATTAGAAACACTTTAATTCCACGTTCCTCTTTTGTTACTAAACTAAACTGTGTATATCCTGTGTAGGATCCTAAAAATTAAATATACCCCCTTCCCCCCATGGTCTTCCATTTAGTCCAACCTCTCCCACCCCCTACTGAAACATGATTTGGATATTTTTTTTAGTTGCAAATCCGGGGATTTTTTTTAAGTTGCAAATCCGGTTTTTTTTTTAAGTTGCAAACTCTGGGGGATGTTTGTGTTTGTTTTGGGGGAATTCTGTTTGATCCATCTGGCAACCCTGATCATCAGTTTTTTTTGGATACATCTCATATGTCTCTTTAATTTAGTCGCTCTGTCTGTCTTCTCTTGGTATAACTACTCTTTGGTTCAGCAATTTTCAAGACTTCCGTAGAAACCAGCCCACAGCTCATATCAGGGCTCGGATCCATTTTGAATAACCACAGTGCGTTTTTGGTTATTCAAAGTGAAGTAACTGATTTTTTGTATATTATAAATGATGAGGGTCAACTATTATACGTTTGCGGTGCCAAAATATAAAATAAAAATTGGCATGGGCGCCTGCAGTGGGAGGCTGTGGCTCGAATGGCCATCTGACTGCCTCCTAAATATTGCATATTTAGCATGGTTTTGTGTGCTATATTTAAAACTTCGCTATCTACTCTCTTCATAAATTTTTGGAAGGTGATAGATAATCATGATAGACAAAAGTTTTCTCTTACCGGTATTTAATCGCACACCCTCCTCCCCCTGAGAGAAATTCCTGTGGCCTCTCATGAAAATAAACACTTTTTCATGAAACTTAAGTGAGTAAACAATTTGGTGAAATGAGAAACTGGCATTGATTACTGTATCATTTTAGTTTTGTTAGAATTGGAAAATTTCTTACGGAGCATCTAAACGTGCAATATTTTTGCAGCAATATTTGGGTATATCTATTGCAATTATAGATCAGCCATTATCACTATATTGCCGCATATGGCCCGGCTATATCTTGGAAATATTATCAGCAGTGTAGACACATACACTTTTCAGAATGTATTATCAAATGCTACAAAATGAACTAAGAATAGTTAAAGAAATTGTACGCGTCATTACATTAAAGTAGGATCTCGATAATCCGGCAATCTGGCAGCAATATATGAAAACAGGTCCGAAATGTCATACATCTGTAACATAGGCATGTTCTTGCAATGATTGTTAAACGGTTACAACCGTAAAATTCATCTGACCAAAAGACTTATCAAAAAGTGACGCTCAACTCTATTTGTTAAACTGAATTGGTTAACTACATCCAATTGGCCGCAACAAGCAGAAAACCGTTCCTAATATAGCTGGGCCATACTAAAAATATGGCCGTATGTTGAAGGCAACTCTATTTGGAGATAAGTAATGCAGTACGAATCTTGTCTGTTTATAAGTGTCATCAGAATCACTCCCACTTTGAAGTTTGGTCAGGTACTTTTTATTCCCACTGTATATATCTCCTGCTACTCTCAAGTCAGAACGCAAATAAAGCATCAACATAGTAGCAGGACTTAGTGAACGTCTATACATTTGTTCGATTCTGGTATCTGGCAATAGATGGAACTTGTGCTGTCAGATTAGGATATACTTCATGCCTCCAACAAAGGATACTTTGCTCTGCTTTCGCTTGTTGTCTTTGTTGTTCTATGTAGATACTTCGCATAGACCGTGCTGATTATTGTCAATATACGAAACTGCTGTTCACTGTTGGCTCTCTGTGGTTCGGACGGACGAAAGATTTTTTTATACTTGAGCCACCACGCAGGTCTCAGGCTTGAAAACCCATTGGTACCGTGGAGCTATAGGGAACTGGCAGAGAAACACGTGACATGCACACATTATGGCCCTGTTTCAGAGATTTGCTGGGTGGTACCTTACGTTCGACAGTATGAAACCGATTAACCACCTACGGACTATCACAATATCCATAGCCAAGGGAAACATTCTCTTGGGATAGGATTCGAACTCACTGCCTTATTATTCGATTTCCATGACAGGTAGACCATCATATGCTTTATCGTCAGAACCGACGTGAACCGAAATACATTTACAGTGCATTTACAATTTCAACAGATAGCTGCTGTTCACTCTCACAGTGGTAGATTCTTGTATCCATTTGGCCCTATATTTTATCGGAATGATCGAAAATCTGTAAGTCTTAATCTGACAACCTTGCCGACACCCCAAAGACACACGTCAAATGCCATTTCCCATCTATCACCCCACAATCTTCAACAAAAATCTCCTGACCTATACCTGGAGAGCGGTTGGTGCAACCGCCTGCCGCCAGATGGCCCTCCCGCGAGAGGCGTGTCTCCCGCGAACGCTGCCGATATGCTGAAGGTAGTCTCCTCATTGTGACTGCTGTATCCGCTGCTGCTGCGTACGTGCCGTTTGCCTGCCGTGGATGAGGCTCCTCCTCCTTTCAGGTGCCCGCCCTTGCGGTGTCCGCCCCCGTGGAAAGGCGGTTTCTTGCGGCTGATGCTGCCTGAAGGCGGGGAGGTCTCGGAGGAGGAGCTGGAGCCTTCTGCGCCACCTGAAAAAATGGCTTCAAGTAAGTTGACTCTGTCATCAGTTCGTAAAGAACTATGTTCTGCTCAAGTTAGACCTTCTTAGAAAAAAGTTAGCTACGAAAATGTATAATAAAAGATTGAATAGATCGTCAGTCAACTGGCCCTACAAGTAAAATTTGCATATTTACCATGCTTTTCTATATACTTTTTAGGCTTGTTAGAATTTGACCCCCGTTGAGAAAGAATGCTATCCCCCGCTCTTCAAAAAGTTTTGGAGACAGGTACCCCTTTCATATAATGACGCACGTCCATTGGTCGGACCACGGCGCACGTATCTACACGCGACTGTTGGAGATAGTACGAAGAAATTTATGATAACTGAAATATGCCTAATAGGTGCGTAGAATTACCGGGGTTAGAGGCGTATAAATAATCCAACGTCAAAAAATTCCTTCATCCATCACAACCTCTAACCCTTCAGTTTCCCGGGTCCTATGAAAGGTCCAAAAAATGTACTTTGATGGATATTTTTTTTTCGTTTTCTGTCCCGTAGGTCCACCGCCACTGGACTGATTTTTTTATCCATGGCATAAGACGTGCCTAGGATTAGCTGTCAGACAGAGGCAGACCCTCAGGCAGGCAGACCGGCAGACAGACCGACGGAAATGAGTGACACAGTTTTTCGTAATGGACAAAAGTATATAGACAAATTAATATTGTGCTGTATTTCTTTTTTAACTTGTTTTATTAATACACCAACCTGTATACATAATTCGTTATAGCCTAATACTCACTTATACATAAATAAATTCATTAGACTCCCTTCAATAAAAAATTGATTGAAAAAACTGGAACTATGAAGGACAAAAATATCTAGACAAAGCAAAACAATTATAGAAAAAAGAAGCAAATTTCATTGAAATATAGAAAACTAACCATGTTTGTATTAATATTTTGTGGCATAACCATTATTATCAATCACCGCCTGGCATCGTCTCGGCGTAGATTGTAGAAGTTTCTTGATATAAGATTCATCAATCTGTCTCCACTTTTGCACTAAAGCGGCAAAAAGTTCATCCCTGTTTGAATATTTTTTATCTCGTATTTGCTTATCTAAGTATTCCCATAGATTTTCAATGAGGTTTATATCGGGAAACTGAGAAGGTCATTAGAGAACTGGTATTTTTTCATCCAGCAAGAATTTCTTTGCGAGATTTGAAGTGTGCTTCGGGTCATTATCTTGCTGGAAGATTGATCGTAAGGGCATATTGTCTTCCTTATAGGATAACATGACATGCTTTAGTATGTCTGTGTATGCAAACTTATCCATAATGCCATTTATTCTATGTAAAGGTCCCATTCCAAACCCCGAAAAGCACCCCTAAACCATAACAGACCCGCCTCCATGTTTGACAGTGGGCAAAGTGTACTTGGAGTTCAATCTTTGACCTCTAGGACGTCTAACGCAATGAACACCATCTGATCCTAACATATTGAACTTGGATTCGTCACTGAAACATACCCTTTTCCAGTCACAGATGCTCCAATCAAGATGCAACCTTGCAAATTGTAATCGGTCCGTATGGTTTTTCCTCGAGATTAGCGGCTTCTTACTCGGGCGACGTGCAAATAACTTCAAATCATTTAATCTTCTACTTATAGTTTTCGTAGAAACACTGACAATTCCTTTTGTCTCGATTTCGGCTTTTATTTGTCTTGGGGTTTTAAACGGATCTTTGGACGAAATTACTTTTATTAATCTAACTGATCTAGCAGTTAGTTTTCTAGGCCGACCACTTCTCTTAGAGGCTTTCAAGATACCTTTTTGTTTATATTTGTTCAATATTGCCCAAACTGCTTTACGCTTCAGCTTCAAATTTTTGGCAATTTCGACTTGACGTTGACCATCTTTGTATAACTCAATGATCTTAGTTTTCACATCGAAAGAAATTTCTGGACCACGCGGCATGGTCTTAAAATCACTCAACTTATTCCACAATACTTGATGAACACAAACTAATCCTCTTCTGACACGAAACTGTACTAAACTAATGTTGAAAAGAATTTGCCTACATATTTTTGTCCCTCATAAAAAATGCTTATATTCAGACTTGTATTGTGTTCATTGCAGATAATGTAAAAACAAGGAATTTAGTTTTTCTACTAATAACGCATGGAGCAATGAAGTTATGAATTCGTTTTCTAAAGGTATTTAGGTAAATATTCATATTTGTTTCCATTACTGTATATGTCATATAACATCAAAAAAAAAACATAATTTACATTTTTCGAAATTTTACGCGATCACAATACTTCCTCGCCAGTGGGCGGGAAATAAACTGTGGGTTGAGAAGCTGAAGAGAAATTGGGTGAGATGAGAGTCTTTCAATAAAATCGATGTTCGATATGGTATGAAATAAATGATCTTGATGGGAAAACTATTGAAAATGTGCTTCTCTCTTAAGGTGGGTGCCCTAATAAACGCTTCGAGATTTAAATTTAGCGCCATTTTCCAAGGATTTGAGACACTTTATGATGGTAGAACGCATCCGAATTATGTAAACGTACTGGGAGAGCCAATAGCGGATTTTGATTGTGCCCCTCCCCCCTAACGTTAGACGTCTAGGTCCACCAATCTACTTCACAGAAATTGCTTAATTTTTGGAAGCGCTAAGCAAGTACCTTCTCGTACGTAAAGTTTATTTTTTATCTAAATTATGGCGAACGTAACCACAAATATGGACTTCCCGTAACCCCAACTGGATGACTTTGCACCTTAAAGGTATGATCTTTTAACAAGATAGGACTACAAGTCATGCGGCGAGCGAGGGCTATCTCGGAATTATCACTGACACGTTTTTCAAATAGCCGCGTAGTTTTCCGCAATAGTGATATAATAATAATAATAATAATGATAACAATAATAATAATAATAATAATAATAATAATAATAATAATAATAATAATAATAATAATAATAATAATAATAATAATAATAATAAACCGTCTTTTATTAGAAAAAACAAATTACAGGTGCATATATTATTATCTATAATTAGATTAGTGAGGCGAAGTTTAGCTATGACAGCTATTCTTACAGTTAACCATTTACTGCATGAGAATGATAGATGGTAAAAAAGTGCAGCTGTAAAGAAAATAAAAGGAGAGAAATGCCCATGTAACTGACCACAACCTAAACAAAAATTTGCTTAAAATATAATGCTGGAGAAAAACACCTTTAAGAAGCACCATTGAGCAGAAGAGCTTTTAAGTGTTTTTTAAAACTATACAGCGGCAGGCTTTTTGTTCTGTAATCTAAGCTATTGTACAACATGCATGCATTATATGAGAAGGACCTGTTAAAAACAGATGAACTATGAAGTGGCGTTGTTAAAGCGAATGTGTTACGGATATGTCGTTGAAGAACTTTTTCCCTAAAATTAGTTTTTCACGTAAATAAATTGGAATTCCAGGGACAAGTAACTTATGTATAAAGGTTAGATAGTTGTATTTAACTAAATCTGTCATCTTTAACCAACCAATTAAAGGATGACGATCCAAAACATGACCAAATTTTCTTAAACTAAATATAAATCGTACACAGTTATTTTGTACTACATCCAAACAAGGATGATAAACTAGATTGCAATAATTAAAAATTGATAACACAAAAGATTCACACAACTTTTTTCGCACTTTAAAATTCAGCAAATTTTTGTTCGCATACTTCTTTGTAAGAAGTTATTTAAATGTTCACGAAGCCGCACGTTTTCATCAATTAACACACCTAGACACTTGACACTTTCAGAAAAAGGAAGATTTTGATTGTTAATAGATATACTCAAGGAAGCTTTGACTTCGGCTCTTCTGTGATTTGGACAAACAGCACAGCAGAAGATTTAGAAGCATTAACGGTTAGGCTGTTATTGGCTGAATAGGTGCAAATAGAGTCAATGTCCTCGTTAATTTCCATAGTAGCAGTCTGGAGGTACTCAGGATAAAAGAAGTAAAGCATAAGACTTTAGCTGTGAATTTTGAATGGACTTAGCAATATCGGCTACATAAATTAAAAATAACAAGGGTCCTAAAATTGAGCCCTGAGGCACACCAGAAGTAATAAAGTGCTCATTTGACAAAACTCCAGAAAGTGAGACGCGCTGAGAACGGTGGATTAGGTATGATTTAAAAAACTGCAGTGCTATTTTATCAAAACCATAAAATTTTAGCTTAGCACACATCACTGCGTGATCAATTCTATCAACGGCCTTGGAGAAATCCAGTGAAACTAAGGCGACACACATTTTTTTATCAAGGGCCCTGATGATGATGTCCACTAAATTAAGAAGAGCAGTTGTAGTACTGTATAATTTTCTAAACCCAGACTGATGTACTGGGAGTATGTCACTTGACTCTAAACAATCTAAGATTTGCAAATACATGATTTTCTCCAAGATCTTTGACAAAACACTCAAAAGACTAAGCCTAAGATCCGAGAAATCGGTGGGCTTCCTGACCGTAGGTATTGGCCTCACTATTGCTCGTCTCCAAGATTTGAAAAGTAACCCTTCTCAAGACACAAATTGATAATATGGGTCAAGTAAGGTAGTATAATATGGAGATATAGCTGATTCATAAAAAGAGATATACCGTCAATACCCTTTGTATTTGACTTAAGGCCACTCACAACACTTTTGATAGTAGTAGGCTCAACCAGAGTGAAGGAAAATCTCCGATTGCCAAACGTGTTATTGAGATAAAAATTGAATGTTGCTTCGTCGGGCTGAGCACAATGAAACACTGATGCAAAATAATCGTTTATAGCGCTTGGATCATTGAGGTGAGACGGAATACCTTCAGTTCTTGTCTTTGAATTGAAGCCACCGATATTTATGTTATATAAAGCTCTCCAAAGTTCGTTCGACATATGATGCTCTTGCAAGAAAGATAGGTAAGCCGCTTTTTCACGCCTAATTGACGCAAGAGCAAAATTACGTTTTTCTTTGTAGCTTAACCAGCTCGATACTGTTTTATCGGATTTATATTTTCTAACTGCAGCATCACGTTCTTTCAGAATAATTTTTAACGGAAAGGTCAACCAAGGGGCCTGACGTTTATTGACTCTCACCGTTGTGAGAGGCGCGTGGATATCAAAAACGTTAAGAATGTTCCTTGTAGGGAAATCAACTTTTTCATCCAAGTCATTCAATAATATCAGGTCGTGCTAAACAATTGAGCTTAAGGCACTACAAAATCCGTTTTCATCAAAGTTTTTAAAATCTCGAAAAGAGATGAAAGTTTGCTTAGTTTTTTTGACAGCAATTTCCATCGAGCAACATACAAGTCGGTGATCGGAAATTTCCCCAGCATCCAAAACCATTGTGCCTGTAAAAAGTTCTTCAGTATTTGAAAAAACTGCATCAATCAGAGTGGCTGAAGTTTCCGTGATACGAGTGGGTTCTTTAACCATTTGGCAACAACCATAACACGCAAAGCATTTATTAAGATTATTGTCGGCATTTGATAAATCGGAGTTTATGTCACCTAATATTAAAACGTTATCATACTGACAGATGCACAAAGGCAGGACGGAGTCCCATACGTTAGCAAAATCGCCAAACGACTTAGATGGGGGTCTGTAAATGACACCAACGCAACATTTTTCTTTATGAACAATTACCTCTAGCCAGATGCTTTCCATAACTGTGCTGGTATCAATACCAAAGTCAAGAAGTCTCACCTGATACATAGATTTAATATAAATGCCAATGCCATATCCTCGGCCTTCTCTATCTCTGCGATAAAAGTTATACTCTGGAACTTTAACAACTCCAGTAGGTATATTGCTAGTCAACCATGTTTCGGTCACCGCAAAAAAGTCGTACTCTTGTTCAGTTAATATATCCAGTTGACAGGATAGAACGAACGTTAAGGTGACCAAATGTCACTGTTTTTAGATTACCATCCATACTTGATAATTGAATTGTTGAAGTTTCACTGGAAAAAACAGAATGTACAATCGAGAATGAAGATTTTTTAAGATTGGAACACTTTACATTTCCCATTGCCTCTGGTTTACAAATTCTTAAAGGTGATATACCAATGATGTTAGGATCATACTTGTAAATAAGATGCACAATGTCAATGATACTAGAAATATAACGCGATATAACGGTTAATTGTACTAATTTAAAGTTATGTTGTAGTTTATTTAGCATCGTAGTTAATATTAGATTTAAGACTATTAATGTGATTTTGAAGAAAGGAGCATGAATTCACATCATTGGCAGAGTGGTTTGTTTCAAATTTAGTTCTGACTTTCTCATTATGCTTGGAGCAGTTTATGCATTTCAAAGTATTATTTGTACATTCTTTTAGACGGTGATTACCACTACAGTTTGGACAAGCAACATCTGATGATACCTAGCCCCCTTAATGTTTTTGTGAGGATTCCTTAAAGTATATTTAAGCAATCCGCAGACGATTAATGATCTGAAGCAAAACTTCTGTCCCCGTCTTTCATGATTTGTTGACGATAAAATTATATAAATAACATTTTTGGAATTTTATTTTGTGCAAAGTTTATTACCTCTCATCCTATGGCTGAAGGACATAAGGTCCTGACTAGCGGCCCTAGCGTCACCTTCAGAGTCAGAGCCGCCTAGAGCGTCGTACTCTGAAATAGGCAGGTGTAGTGTTAGTATCTTCTTCACCTCTGAGTCAGTGCTGCCCAGGTTATCAGATTCTGCAAATGTTGGCAAGGTGTCAGTTAAACGTTAACGGTTTCGTACGCCGTCGAGTGTATTTTCATTGTTTTTATCTTTTCCAAATGAGTGAGCAGCAGTGTCCCATAGCTTTACAGCTACGTACTACACGCTAACAAGTAACTAGAATGCAACTAATTAGTTCCCGAAGTATTTTCGCATTTGCTCGGAGAAATATTCTCGTTCTATATTTAAAGAGTCTCTTTTAAGGAATTCCAAGAATTGGCTTTATCGTACCGGGCAATGTTCTTTTAGGTTTTTTGAGTCATTCTGAGCAAACAAGGTTTCATGACCCAAAAAGTCAAAATAAATTAGCCCGGAGCAAAATAATAGCGTCAAGTGTTTTGACTTTGCACTTCCTACGCAACGCTAGCATCTTTTCATAAATGATTAAGTTCAGGGCAAGTTGAATACTCTGCACTGAAAAAACGTGCTCAATTAAACTGTTGTACTAGAAACATTTCATTACCTGAAATACATTTTTCAATTACTGTAAGTAACTAAATTATTCGGTTTAATTAAACTGAACTTTCTGGAGCCAGTTTAATTGAGAGTAATATTAAACTAATCTGCTTGAAAATAGCAAACCATGTATCTGCTTTAGTAAATAGTTTAATTAGTTTATGTAGCAAGGGTACATTTTAAACAATAAACATTTTGAGAAATACAGCTATTCATTTGAGTTGCGGACTCGGCAAAACTCGGCCTTCATTAGAGAATGACGCGCTTCGACCTCCTCAGTTTCATTTGTAATTATCGCGAGGAGCTTCATATTCGGATGTTGGTATATTAACAGTGAAATTGATCAATAATTATGGTGATCAAGTGAAATACAGCAGGTGCTTAGTGACCCATAACCATGGTTAGAATATTTCTCACACAAAATGAAACACTGCGCATAGGGGAGTCATTGCTGGCGTGACGGAATGCGAAGAACATTGAAATTTTATTTATGCAGCCATATTTAGGTCAACGAAGAGCATTTATACCAAACATGCGCTTAACATAGTAGTTCCTTTTATGTTGTTTAACGTATATAGCGAGTGGAGTCTCCTGTTGCAGACCGTATATATCCTAGTTTGTTTAATGTTGAATTTATTTATATGTGTATGTAAATGCGTTGAATGCGGGTGAGTGCAACATTGTATTACTATTAGAAATAAAAGTACTATTCTTATATACATGATCTAGTGGCCTGGTTCAGTTTCAGGTACCCCTTTCGCTACTTTCTGAATTTAAAACGAAGAAAGTGAATGGTGTTTCTGGACAAACAGACACATAGTTGGTAACACTTGATCCTATATATAATAAGTTCACAATCAATGAAAAGTCATATAGACAGACAGAGTAACGGAAATGAATGACATAGTTTGTCGTGGTGTACATTTCATCGAACATCCAAAAACATATCTCATTACCGAACTTTTTCGCGATTACAATACCACCTCGGACAGTGGCATAGGATGTAGAAAACAATTTTTAGGATTTGTTCAATAGATTGTTTAACCAATTTTCGGCGTAACTTTAGGCTCCTTCTTGAATAAGGTCATGCAGAAAAGCGAATCTGAATATTTTTGAGCGGATGCGAAAATACTTCTTGGACTAAAATGAAGTTTTGACAAATATACGAATGTGGCCACACTTGATAAGACAAAATTGAAAGGTTGTTTCTGACGACAAATAATCGATATATGCACTATTCGACTACAAAATGCCGTATATCCATTGGCACCTTAGAGGCACAACGCTCTCTTCTTCTGGATATATACTAGTAGTGTCAACAAAATAGTTCAGTTTGCAGTTAGCAGAGAAACAAGAGTGATCACATTCGGCATAACTGTTCTATGAATCTTTTTTACCTATTTTATAGTTAAGTTTTTTGTACGATACTTTGTTCGTTCTATACACAGATAAATATTTTCAACTATTTCATATCTTTACAATACCTTGACTCTCCGAGTGAGGATCTCTTAGTCTACCACCTTTTCTCCTTACTTTGGTGTATTCAGGTTCTTTACTCTGAAAGAATAAAACAATGTAGTACGTCAGAGACTTGCTTATTTTTAAATATTTCTCGAAAAAACAATTTTTATCTTTTATGGATTAAGAATTACTTACGTGTAAGCTAAATTTGTCGCTAGGTGGCGGTTTAACGTCGTGATACAAAAATGAGCCTCTTACAGAATGATAAGGCCCTGAATACACGTTTCCACTATAGCAAGTTTCACTGTAGGCATTTCCAGCTGTAGCAGTCGGCTTGGCTTGTAGCTGAAAGAGAATAGTACTGTAGCATGACGAGACATATCTCTCCATTTTCTAAGAAACTGTTTGTAAGTTTACATAATGCAAACTCTTTTGAATTAAATATAAAAATGTTATAGGGGCACGCAAACAAAAAGGGTAGGGGAGACTAGGGAGACTTGAGACAAAAAATGAATTTTATTTCTTACACATTATACAATTTGCAATTCAAAAATTACATATAGGGCAAGTGAATTGTGTGCGATTTAGCTAAACTTGCCATAACTGTGCATGCTTCCAAAATATTATTCAAATTGTTTAAACGTATTTCAACCAAATGGTGTAAATTGTCTTAAGGCTCCCTAGGTAAGGGAGCATTGAGACAAGCTATAGGGAGCACTGAGACATTGTAAGCTTTTGAGAAACGTTTATTAATTGTTGAGGAAATATATAATTAAGAAAATTTACAAAGCAAGGAGTTTATTAATTATTAATCAACAACGAAAACTTTTTTTTATTAATTATTGATAAAAAAAGAATGTCAATAATCAACGAACATTTTGATAATAACGGAAGTCCAGATCAAATGTCAGAGTAGAGAGATCTTTCTGTTCCACCCACATTTTTTGGAAACGATAATTTCAAAATTATATCTTGTTCTCGAACTGAAGAAATACCTTCCACTGGTGGATAAACAAATTTCCAGGTGGTTCCATGACGACGTAAAAATTTTACCTCGTATCAATTATCTTCCTTTGATATTCTCAGACCCTCATAATGCATAGTTGAAGTCTTTGTGTAAAACTTAACAAAAACGAAGTCTCCCACTTAGAGGGTCTTGACAATCCTTAAGAGCTTTAATCTGAAGCATTTCTCTTTCGTAGCTTGCAACATCTGAAATATCTTCGCTGCTTCCGCCCAACTCGCTTTGTTCCTTTTCATCACTTGAAGAAGACTGTGGTGGAGTTGCAGGTTTCTGTAAACATTTTTGTTTGTTTGTTGTTGAAAAAAGATCGTCATGCTTCAACGGAACAACTTTTTTTTTTATCTTCCGAGCAGTTGCTTCAGACCCTATTGCTTCTTTTTCTGGTGTGTCGGTGAGAATTCTTGAGGAACCACATTTTCGCTTTGTAATCAGTTTTCAAAACATGAGCATCACAATTCCATTTTCTTTTGCTTTCCCCAGGGAATCAACGGAAATATGACTCTCATGGTTATCCATTAGTAGCAATACTGTGTCTTCCATGGAACAACCACTATGCTTTATGAAGTGGTCCAGGGAAACGACAAAGTTTTCGGAAGACATCCATCCACTGGAATTAGCAACCCCAACACTTCCTGGAAAAGCGCCACGTAACATATAGTCCTCATAATGTACTCCTGGAAAGACGAAAAACGGCGGGACGAATATCCCTCCAGCACTAATACCACAACAGGAAGTTATTAATGTGCCACGTTCAGCAGACGTGACGTTCCCAACTTGTTTAACACCCTTCGCTGCCAGGACTTTGGCTGGTTTGTATACAGTTGTAAGCCATCTCTCATCAATGTTCCAGATCTCATGAGATACAAACTTTTCGTGCTTCAGGACCGATTCCAAAATGTTAAAAAACGTGGTAACATTTGTGCGGTCAAAAACTCGTACATCGTGACAAACTGGTGGACTCTGGAGTCCTCAGCGATAACTCATGGTGGCGATGTCTAAAACGTCGATACCAATCGTAGGCAGCAATTGATTTTTCATCCCATTTTATAGAATATTTTTGATGGTTGGCCTTAGCAAATTTAAAGGCTAGTTGACGTGCGCATTTGCGAAGCACCGACTAGATAATCCGATAGACTAGCCTCTTCTATATGGGTAAACACTAACGCAGTTTTAAAATCAGGTGAATAAGTAATGTTTTCAGCAGTGGCATCCAAATTCCTTTTTTTCACATATCTGCTAAGCGTTTGTTTGCCTATATCATATTTCCTCTTAATCAAAAAATGGGGGATATTTATCCAATTATTTCTCAATCAAACCAGCATTTTTTAATTGTTTAAAAATACTATTAATCCAGTGACTCAGATGTTTAACCGGAATTTTAAATTAGATAATTTTATAAAACGCTACATAGGGAGGCATGAGATGCCTCATGTCTCCCCAAAACAACTGTCTCATGTCTCCCTATATATCATTTCATAAAATAATCTAACCCAAAATTCTTGTTAAACTTCTATTTCATGGGATAACTATATAAATAATTCACAACAGAGGTCACAATGCCTAAACAATCAACTCGAATTTTCACTTCTACTTCCTGCAAACTACAACGATATCACAAAATTAAAAGTTAGTTTTGGCAGCCATTTTGCACCTGTACTAATAATAATGTTCTACTAATTATTCTCGCCGGTTCGCTGGCCAAACGGTAAGAGACTTGACTAAAGCTTTTAACCAGTAACTAACAGATGGCTCTGCCTATCCGATTTTAAGAAATAAATGTAGTGTCTCATTCCTCCCTTGTCTCAAGCCTCCCTAGTCTCCCCGACTCGAACATTTGTTCCATTATATGATAAACTGAGATGTAATCAAATGAAATCTTCAGCTTTAATAGAGATTGAAGACTTCAAGTTAATCACAGCCGAATGAAGGTTTTTTGGTAGTTCCCTCGGATCTCGGCTTACTATCACTTTAGCACTTTCAGCTCTCCAACTTATCTAATTGGTAGGAGTTTGGTAGAATAGCTCACCAAATGAAAGAAGAAAATCAATTCTTGCTCTGATTGTACGGATTCTAAATTTGTCCCTTTCAAATGTGACACCACTGAATTAACGGCAATCTGTCTGACGTCTTGACCCGAGTGAATTGTTGGGGAAAAGCATGTACTTAGTTCTGTGCCTGGGATTCGAGGGAATAGATTTAGTGAGGTATCCCTGCTTCCCGCTTAGATTCTCAATTTTTTTTTATGGTCATGTTTCAACTAAATTTACATGCAATGGCCATTTAGATTTTTGGTAACATAATTTTGACTTCATTATGGATCAAATTCGTATAGCGTAAACGGTTTCTGCGTAATTCAAATTTGAAATGTGAACTTTCCCACTGGACACCCTCTACATTAATGGCCAACCTGATACATTACATACCTTGGAGAAGTATGCCATTATTTTATATCTTGATATAATATGCGATATATGATCGTCGTTTTTTATATTATATAGAAGTATTGTTGACCCTTTAAAATTTGGAAAAGTAGGGAATACAAGTTTTTGTCTTAGATACATCAACTGTGCTGCTTTTTCGTTTTCAAGTTGTGAGTATTCAGTATTACCTTGTTTGCTTACCTGAAACGTGGCGTACGGACAAATATCATCGACGTAATCCGCGGAGGCGGCGTCATCATTACAGGTTGCCGCCCCAGCAGGATGGGCGGAAGCATTTGAGCTCCGCCCAACTCTAACTGCAAGGTACTGCTGGTCGCGGTTGTGCTTGTTTTGCAGCTGCGCTGTGGTGGGGGATTCAGCCATCGATTGTGAGTCAGAAGATCGGCGCAGTTCTAGAAACATATCATACAGCGTGCCTGGCAACACAACGGAAGAAGGGGGTTGGTAGGTGAAGGTGTGCATAGAGGATTCAGATATTAGATTACGCGAAATAAGACAAAAAAATGTCAACATTCCACATAGTCAGTTTAACCTGAACCATGATCCAAAATTGAAAGTATAAGCTAAGAGTTCTAAAACACAATACGCTTCTTCTCTTCTATGTGATGACAATGACATCTGGACTGGTTCAAGTTTGAGCCAAAACCGAGGAAATTGAACAATAGACCTATTAATATAATAACTATATAAGAAAATTTAATAGTAAACATCGTTACGATAACTCAAACAAACCAAACTCTTAATGAAGCTTTTGTAACCTTATATGAATATCTGAAAATTTTTCAGACTAATATCAGAAGCCTAAATAAAATTTTTGATGAAGTAAATGTTATTTTAAAACAAAAAAAACTGACTTTGATTTAATTATTTTGACGGAATCATGGAACATAATAAATTAATAATGTTGAAATCTTATATATACTTAGGTCCAAAATTATATCATAACTTACCAAAATATATTAGAAAAAACAGAATATCATTATTGAAAATTGATTTATCTATACGAGGGGCTTTTGAACACTGATATAAACATGATGTAATTTATAAAAAACTAACACATATCTTTTCTTCATTGATCCAAAATTAATGTACATATCACACGAATATTATATAGATTTTTTTAGTCCTATCAGTTTATTATAACTGCTATGTTATATTATGTTGTGTAATATCCACATACAAGGATATTTTCCTTGTAATTGATGTCCATAAATTATTATTATTATTATTAATATTATTATTTAATAGACTTGCCAGAGGGACAGGCGGTACTCCTCACTCCATACAACAAAAATACCGTTTGTATTCAGTGAATGCGACAAATCTTCCTTTTTGTTTTGTTTGACGTCATTGTGCTATATTGTTAGTGACACTTGAAGTAAGGTCTTAGTTTATGTGCTTGTTAACGTGCACTGTGTAACATTCTGTGTCAGCAAGCCAACCAGATAGTGCGTTAGAGTGTTTAGAATTCTGTTATTGCTTGTCTTATTGCACGTAAAATGTAGAAAATAGGGTGCCAGGATTCAGGAACTTACTTTTTCTCCAAAACAATAGTGCAATTAACAATGTCAGGACTAGTATAGACAGCATGATTGGCACAAATACTTTGGCGTTTGTGTAGAACGGATGATCTCCAGAATGCGATACTGGAGGACTGAGCTCTGGAACAACTGCAACAAAAGATATTAGAAATACTTGGTAGGATGAGCAAGATGTTTATGGAACATGGTCTATCCGTACAGATTAAAACATCCTGATGACCTTGATAGCAAATTCCGTTTCTACATACTACTCCAAACAATCAGTCTTGTTTGTATCATTTCCTACCGACCGATATGAATTGATATGGGTACATAGACGCAAGAAGATAATGTTAGTGAGGATGCGTCGTTGAGAAGAAAAATGTAAAAATGATTGTCAGTATGAGCAGAGGTAAAAACCATAACGTCTAAGTGACAATTAAAAAAATGAGTCAAGTACAGATATCGATACCATCCAAAATCATTTTTAAACGTGCTGCGTTATCTCTTGAATTGTAAAAAACTATGTTAACAGATATGCTGTTTTCAGTAGTGGCAAAATGATCTGAGCGCACTTAGACCGTTATGCCACCATAAATATTTGAAACGTTTTCATTACTTAGACCGCTTATTGTTAGTGTTCCACGTTGTTACTTGCTAGTTTAGTGTGGTTTTCAAAGTGTAATATTAAGTTTCTAGTGTTTGGACATGAATACAGACAAAAGAATTGCATCAGGTAAATTTCGAATTATAAATAATATCAAATGATATAGTTATCAGGATTTTTTTAGTTCAAGTCAAAACCTAACCTAAAATATTTTTCAGCGGGAGTACGCTATAGCTTAGATTCAGATAATAATGACGACGACCCCTTCGAAGCAGATGAGTGCTATTGGTATTGAAAGCATGTTATTTTCATAGTGTTAACAAACAATAATAATAATGCTTGATTTTTATTACAGTTACTCCAAAAAATACGAGAAAAAAGAATGACATGGGTAATTATAAGAAGCAGAAAACAAAGTGGGCTAGATTAAGTGGTAATGAGTATGAGGCTAGTGAAGGAACCTTCAACCAAAACATGGTCCATCAATCCAAAAAGAAGAAAAATGCAAAAGAAAGTAAGCTAACGACGCAAACTGAAATGGAGAAAAATGTCCAAGAAGAAAATAATGATGAAGATTATTTTTTTTTTTTCATAATGTTCACTATTGGAATAAAGTTTTCTTATTAGAAAATTAACGTTTTCTAGAAAAAAAAAACAAAAAATAGAACCAAAGGGGCCTAAGCGATTTTTTTTAAAATCAAGCATTTAATAAAATTTGTGAAACATAATTAAAACTTAAATATATGGTAAGGTTTTTTCCTTAAAACCCTCATATGAAATGTTTTTATAGATTTTAAAATAATTAATTTACTTTAACATTGAATATCTCCAAACATAACGGCACTTAGATCTTTTTGGTTCTTAACCCTTCATTATGATTCAATGGAATTGGATCATAAATAAAAAAAAGTACTATTAAAAGACAAACGAGCTCACCTCCCATGACATTGAGAGTGGTAAAATTATAGATAGCCTGCGTATCTCCAGCATTGTTATGCGCTGTGACCCTGAGCTGGTACTCCGCAGCTGGTTGCAGGTCTCTAACTGAATACGTCCTATCCTGAGGCTGCACACGCCCTGCCGCCATCTGCCAGGGCCCATTTGAGTCCCTGCGACGCCATTCCACTGCGAAATGGGCGATACCACATCCACCGTCACCCCATGAGTCCAACCATACTGTAGCTGCCGTCGCGTTTGTTGTTAAGGTGTGGGACTGTGATGGTTGCACAGGAGCTGGAGGTACAAATAACCATATGATATATTAGGAGAAACTCCAAAAAACTTTCATAAAGACTATTCGACCAATGAACTGCATAAACTGGCAACCCTGCGATATTCACGGACAAGAGGTAATCCTAGGCATTCTGGTAATCAAAATTTGCCAGTGTATAGGCTTTTCATTGGGCCCTCTTGAATGTTGGACTTCTAGGCCCGCCTTTTTAAACAATGTGAGTATGACCTTGGGTACAATTTCCTTAATGGTCTAACGATCTAAAATATTGGATTCAGGTATTTGTTGGCAAGGACTAGATGGAGATGAAACAGAGTGTCTTCTTAGCTTCTTTCTTTGCTGCCACATGTTGTGATCAAATAAAACTCTTGGGGTTCAAATCCCAATTAGGGTACATTTTCCTAGTCTGGTTATTGAATATTGTGGAATAGAATTTTCAGCTTTCGGTATATATATATATATATATATATATATATGTTAGCGGCAATCTGTACAATTCGCCGATAATGTAAGTAAAAGACGAGAGCAAGGAACAATTTTTACGTATCGACAAGGCAGTAGACCTACTTATTATTTTCAGAGGACTTTTTTTGTTTCTTAAGTACATGTGAGAATATTTTTTTTATTTAAATAAAATTTTGAATAAGCAGTAGACCTACTGCCTATACTTTTACAAAATTGTTTTGTTTCTTAAGTTTTTTATACGTCGTATAAACAAAAAAATTACATTATGTTACTTAGCCAGAATAATTTTTAATTTTAGTGTACTAACAGAAAGGTGTTTTTTGTACCCTTATCATAAAGCTTATTTTTAAGGTGCACTCTAATTGTTAATTTTGATAAAGTTGATTTTAAATGGTATGACTGGTTTCATTTGCCCGTCATTTTATCGATATGCCGGTTAACATTGATAAATGTAGACCAAGTTCTATTTATTTTACACATTGCCGGTGGAACAGCAGGTACTGTATATAATCCCTAGGAATTGTATTCATTACCTAGGTCTAGGTAAAGTATGTAAGGGATAGTAATATTCATAATATTTCATACATTGCCTGGGCAATCCAGGTATTCTATCAATTAGGTATTGCATAGAATACCTGAATTTTATAGATTACCGGTAACATACATATATACTCAGTGATATGAGAAGTGTTACACACCCAGAAAAAAAACTTGATTTTTTGGCAACGAGGTATTACATCAAAAATGAAACGGTAACATTCTCACAAAATTTTATTGACGAGTACTAAGAAAAAAAATTAATAATGTGTTAGGTGACCCCGCAGCTGAATACACTCCTGTATACGTCTAGGCATCGACAAAATGAGATGACCGATGCCTGGTTGTCGCACCTCACTCCAAGCAACTCGAACTTCGTGGATCAGCTGTGGCGGATGGTGCAAAGTGGATAGTCTCCTCCCTATCATATCTCATTCATGTTCGATCCGATTTAAATCCGGTGAACGGGATGGCCATGGCAAAACATTAACGCCTGCTTCTTGAAGCCCGTAGCATGACGGGAAATGTGGGGATGTGCGTTGTCTTTCTGAAAAAGGACGTGTGGACGGCCCTCGAGATACGGCAGTAAAGTGTTATGTAGGACATCATCAATATAACGCGGAGCAGTCATATTGCCTTGAACAAAGAGAAGGGGTGATCGGCTACCATAAGCAATAGCCCTCCAAACCACCACTCCAACAGTCCTGTGTACATGCCTCTCAACAGCCAGTCCAATATCACGCCATTATCCACGGCGGCGTCTTACCCTTCTACGACCATCGTGCGTACCTAGACAGAATCGTGATTTGTCTCTAAAAATGACATTATGGCATTCCGCAGTCGGAGGAAGTACTAACCGTGAACGGTATGAAAAAAGTCCAAAGGCTCGAATGCGGCGATAGAGTGTGCGTACAGTAACAGGTCTACCTTCTTCTCCAAACCATTGGTCAGCGATCTGAAGTAGTAGTAGCAAAACGGTCTGGTAGGGCCAGTTGTCTGAACCGCCTATCTTCACGCTCTGGGGTACGCGTCGGTTGACCAGTTGGCCTTCTTCGTGTTCCTCTACCTTCTTCTATCCACACACGATACACATACATTCCCGTCATTGCAGTACAATTAACACGGCAGCCAATTTCGCGATAGGACAAATCATCTCAATAGGCAATAAATAATTCTACCCCCGTCAAAGTCGCTAACATGGTGATAATTTGCACGTCTTCAAACTCTAGTGAATGAAAAGACAATGAATAAAAATATCTGTACTACTCAGCTCTCAGAAGCTGCTTTCTTCACAGAAACTAAGAGATCATATTTTAACAAAGGTAAATAAAAACAAAGATAAAATATTGATATTGTTGCCACGGCATGCTTTGAATTTAGTCATTATGTCGCCAAAAAAACAAGTTGAAGGAATTAGTTTTTCTGGGTATAACAAAGTCACTGAGTATACTTACCAGTTCCCTTGGTTCTCGCTGGCACTATATCACATGGCAACCCGGTACCAATCCTATTGAAGGCAGTTATGTAGAGCAGGTACTTGGTGCCGCACCACAAGTTCCTCAACATATGCTCGTCAGTCCTGGCCGATATCTGTAGTTCTTCCCAGTCCCCGTGATCTCGTTTGTAGTTGATAACGTATCCCAGGATCGGTGAACCGCCATTGCCCTGGTCTTTCCAACGGAGATGCAGGCTGTCGGTGAAAGACTCTACTACCGTGAGGATTGGAGCTTCAGGAGGAACTAACACCTGTGAGAAGTTAAAATGAAAAATTGTTGACTTACTTAGATGGGACTTATCACGTCGACACGGTATGTCGGTGAACTTCACATTGAAGATATTTCAAAAACTGCATAGCCGAGCTTTAAGTGACATGGAAGTATTCTTCAGATGCATGTTTTGGTATGTTTGCGTGGAATTGAATTGATCGATGTTTACGTGGAATTGAATTTATCGAAGTTATTTCTGGCGGTCTGCAAACAGGTAAATGCGTTTCATATGGCATTTGTATGCCTCTTATTGAATAGGTGACTCACCTTCAGACTATATACAATCTCATCCTTGCCATATTGATTTTCAACCGCACAGCTATAGTTCGCCTGATCCACGCTCTGAATGTCCTTGATCAGCAAAGTGGCATTGGGGAAGACTGACCTCCTACCTCCCGTTTCCAAAGGAGTATCGTTGACTTGCCAAGACGCGGGAGGCACTGGGACTCCAACTCGCTTGCAGTGCAGGTAGATGTCTTGTTTCCAAGCGCTGATCACTTCGCGACCAAAGGAAGCGATGCGAGCTGGCACGTGCTTGGAGGGGGTTACTGTGATTACGCGGGTACTTTCTCCTTCACCTATCTGTTGGAAAAATGACAATTGATAAATAACATTATCTAGAATATGCATAACACGTCGTATCAAAATATAGTCAACACCAACGCCGATGTATCCGTTCACAAGAACTTATTTTTGCAATTTATCAAATTAAAACTTTGTCTTTTTTCAAAACTGTCGATGCGAAATATGAATTGGGCAGGTCTCGATATTTCACCTTCAGGAAACTTTTAGGCAAAGGTAAATGAACCCATTGTTCAAGAAAAAGATGAAAACCTTACCCTAGTAGAAGCAGTGACCCAAAACTGCAAGGTAGCCGTATCCTGCGACCTGACGACTTCATGCATCTCAACGTTTGGGTTAAGAGCCCTTTTGTGGGTGCCCTCTTCTTGTCCGTCCTCCACGACGCTCATGTAGAAAGTGTAGCCCGTCAGAGGGCCGTTGCTGAACTTTGGAGGCAGCCATGATACTAGGATCTTGTTAGGAGCACTCAGGACTGCTTTGATTGCGGCAGGAGCCGAAGGCACTACGATAAAGTGTTATCAAGTAGATTGACTCGATAGCTAGATATCCACTAGATCACTGAATTTTGTTTTTTGACGGTGAAAATTTTATCATAGCATTGCGTTTTTACACAAGACATGAGTGAATCTGTATCAGTGTACATGATATGTTAAAAACTTACAAACTTAATAACAAGTAGTGACTTGCCATTTTCATCAATGTTGCTGAGAATCAATTTACAAATACTAGCAATAATGTAGAGTTGCTAAAAGGTTACGTACCATCTTCCTCAGTCTGGCAATAAACAGGAGGTGACCTAACACCGTCTCCGCTGGCAGTATATGCCAGTACGGTCATACTATAGTTTGTGTACTTCCTCAATCCCGAAATCGTTGTACGCATCTGATTCACGATCTTCGTTTGTTGATCCTCATTATCTGAAAGAAGATACACGTAAATCAAATCATTCTCAAAAATACTCAATCAACAGTAGCAGTGCGAGTGAACAAAAAGTAAACAAATATGTTAGTGTTTTGCATCTGTCATACTTTTTGCTTTCAAAACTATATTTTTTAACAAATATGTTGATGTGACTATGTGGAAATATATTATAGTGAATGATAACTTCACAAGTTCTATACTCATCATATCTTAATCAGAATTTTATTAACCATTAATTTGGGTTCGGTCTTTGTTGTTGGTGTTTTCACGTTTTATTGTAAGTTTGAACTGTTGTGCTTGTGTCCGACTCTTCGTTGTCATAATGCCGAATTTCACTAACGAGGAATATGCTGATATGTTGCTGGGTTATGGCAGTGCTAACTGCAATTTACGTAAAGCCCAAAGACTAGACTTTCACAACAATGTATCGGCCGCTGAGAGAGACTGGAAACTTAAACTTTCAAGAGCCTAGAGTGAGTGGTCGACAATACAGTGTAACTGTAGATGATCAAATCCCAAGAGCATTTGATGCGGACCATACCATAAGTATTCGGATTGTTGCCGAAAGACTTGCTGTGTCTGCGTATAAAGTCTGGTCTGTTTTACCGGCACACAGGAAGCACCCATGTCATTAATGTCCTGTTCAAGGTAATTTAATTTTATGTTATTTGGTGTATTTTATTTAAACAATTTGATATTTGTGCAATTGTACTAAACGTTCTAGGCCTGAAAGATTGTAATAGCGCGAGAAGGCTGGAGTTCTGCCGATTCATTCTTCATACCGATGTGAAGGACGGAGGTTTTTTAAAGAGGATCTTGTGGACGGATGAGTCCAACTTCAGCCACGCCGGAATCGTAAACCTACACAACCTCCATTATTGGGCAGACCGGAGCCAGAACTCATACAAGAAAAGGCAGTCCTCATTTCAAAAACGATTTAGCGTCAACGTATGGGCGGGCGTTATTGGACGAACACTGATAGGACCGTATTTTTTTCCGAACCGGTTGAATGGAGAAAATTATCTGGAATTCCTGCAGACTGAGATGCCTGATTTGGTGTTAGCAATTTTACCCGAAGCGCCCATTGTTCTTCCAGCATGACGGCTGCCCTGCACATTAAGTACAACCTGTTCGAGAGTTCTTGGATAATTCATTTCCAAACGTGTGGATTGGTAGGGGTGGTCCTATTCCTTGGCCTCCACCGTCTCTAGAGCTGACACCTTTGGACTTTTACGTCTGGGGGTGATCGAAGGAATTAGTGTATGTGACAGAGGTGCCTAGCAGAGAAGTTTTAATCCAAAGGGTAGAAGCCGCATTTCAACTGATGGACAACAACCGATCAAATACGAACGAGATGTAGGACATATCTCGAAAATGGGGGCAGTCATTTCGAAAATAAGCTGTAACCTATTCTCATTAAATAAAAATATGAAGAACTGAATCAATAAATTCTTTGTTCCAGAACCTAATCAATTGTTCTCTTCTTCTGACCGCACAACATATTGATGTGTAGCATATCTTTGGAAAGGCGATAAATCACAGTAAGTAAAACTAGGTTTCAAAAAAGGTATAGTTTTTTTTAGAATCGAGTTTCGAATTTGAAATTATTTATACACTCCACGTGATTGTACACCACTTTGGAAGGTCATAAGTCATTTGTTTGAGAATATTTGCACGAACTGTTTACATATCTGATCTGATTGAGTATGCATTACAGAACAGACTCACGTTTATTTTGTGTCATTGTCTCTAGAAACAAAAAAAGTAATGACGATATTTATGCGCAATTGTAGGTAATTCAGTAAATAAACGAAAACGATTATATCTCGGGAACCGTAGTTCTTAGAGCATTGTGGTTTCCATCAAGAATCATCAATTTGTTGGGTCATGTACCAAACACCTCGTATACATCTTTTCGTAGACGAGGACATGACTCTCACGGGTGTAATAACGAGAAGGGAATGCCGTCAGGTATGTAGATTAACTTAATACCTCGCACGCATTCATATACTGATACACTGATACACTGCTTTTTTAAAAAACGCTCTCTGAACGTGAATCGTAATATTGTTTCGAGTTTTTGAAAACCTCTGATGCCCAAAAGTGCCAGTCACTGAGAAACATCCGAAAACAAAGTTTGTAAACGGTTTGATATTGATGTACTCTGGTCATTACTTGTCAGTCAATAAATTAGAACTAGCTTATTGTATACTGCTTATCAAATTTGATTAAAAGCGATGCACGAATTTTTGACGTTAGATGTTACAAGAACGCCGACAGCTAAATGTAGAAGCGACAGAAATGCACGACATCGATATGTGTCATTATGATATTTTTGAAAACAAAAAACGTTAAATGAAGCTTTTTTATTTTTGTTTTTTTATTCATTGATTACATATACCGTTTAGTGGCGAGACATCCGGATGCATCTGACCGAGATCGTGACTAAGGCCTGCTGTCTGTTCCCTAATCTTTAGCCCATTTATAACCCGGAGAGTTCTTTGACTTTATTTTGGCAAAAGCTGATACCTATGCTAGAAACGAAAAAGGTCCTGAAAATTGAATCAGTAACGGAGAAGTTATGGAAGAAAAACAAACATCGTGCCTGCTGTGTTCAGCAATTTCATGGAATGGTTGAAAATTGGAGTTTGAAGTTTCAGTGAATGGTTGTCAATATTGTGCATTTTCCATCTGATATGAAAACACAAATATGATAGATTTATTTTATATAGTTCGAGATGTAGAGGTTCACTATACATAATACTTGAGTATGGTAAACATACCTCCAATTTGCTGTTTGAATTTTCAGAATTTAAACGAAGGAATGGAAGTATAGAGTCAATCTACTTGTTTCCATTCTTTGAATTTTGACTCAATATTTATTATATTTCACATTTCAACAATTTTTTGGAAAATGGGCTTGAAGTATTGCGAAAATACCATCATACTTACCATACCACTCTCCTACCGAATGATAAGTAACCTTGTAACCCTGAATGATTCCATTTTGCCCTTCTATTGGAGGGGGTTCCCATGATATGTGTAAACTTTGAGCGTTTAGAACTGAGCATTGAACGTTTTCTGGAGGCAGTGTAGGAACATCTTCCAGGGTCCTGGCTGTTACTGGTTCGCTACCTGGACCGCTTCCTCTGCTATTATAAGCCTACAAAGAAGTAAATCGTCCATATACTAATATCTCCATTGTTGAAATTCTAACAAAAGGGATCAACTGGCTTTGATTTTGAGACTAATCCATCCAAGGTCAGAGTTGACTTAGTGCCTTTCATTATTCCAAAACTATCTTACGAGTCTGTAAATTAAATAATGAGACTGGCAACGTAGCATTCGTTCTGGCAACACTGGAGGCGCCGGGCTTGGAGGGGAGACAGGGACACATGAAATCCGTCTTCAGTACAAGTTTGTCTGGAGTGATTTTTTTTATAAAACATTTTTTCTATTGTGTTCTAAAAATGAGTGACATCAATTTTGAGTAATGATATGCTATTAGGTTTTGCTTCAGACTTGTTCACAGTGCATTGCAAACTCTTGCTAAACTTTAGCAGGCCTACAGAGATAACGTTTTGTTGTTAAGGGCCCAATTTTTTCGGTGGTCTTAGGCATTGTCAAAAGAGAGAGAGAGAGAGCCAATTAAAGATGAACCACAAAGGGATAGGCATTCTTCTTCAAGAACCATTGGAAATATCGGCAGATGTCCACAAAGAGTTTCTACCTCAAAGCCAAACGCTCAATCAACACTTTTACCGGGAGGTTCTTGAAAAACTTCGAAAAAGGATCATTCGTGTGAGACAAACTAGGTGTTGCATCACGATAATGCCACATAGCAATGATTATAAACGAGTTTTGGGCCAGCAAAAACGGATCCCGTGGCTCCCCAGCCTTATTATTCGCCTGACTTTTTTCTCCTCCCGAAGTTGGATAATCACCTCAAGGGAGCTTATTTTGTGACAGTCGAAAACATTCAAAAAATTTAAACAATCAGTCTCATTAGTTAATTTATAGACCTTGTATTACCTGTACAATAATGCTATAGGTAGTAAACTTCTCCAGTGCCTGTAGTATGGCCTCGCCGCCGTAATGCGGCCTAACCTCAACAGTCTTGAAAATGTAGTTGTCATCGACAGTATTTGAGTCGTGGTCGGTATACTTCCGGTACCCCACGTGGTATCCGAGGAGGTTCCCGTTCCACGTATCCCTCGGTGGTGGTTCCCACGTCACCACCAGTTCTGTCGAGGATTTCGCTTCTGCGCGGATGTCCACAGGGGCACCACTAGGCACTAAAAACATGATGCATATAAAAAATGTGTAGTTATATTTAGGTATCAAAGTACGTCACTGCTAACGTGGATGTCACCTTGCACAAAAGCACACCGAGACACCAGTGGCGTACAATAATCTTTCATTTTGGTACTCGATAATAGTATGTAGATGCTGTAGTAGCTATTAATAAGTGGTAGGCAATCAGAGTGGGCATCAGTATTTTTTTTTGATGGAAGATGAAGAATTCGATTGAGGCTTAGATCCTGGTTTCAGGCAACAAATTCAGACTAGGTAGGCAACAAGCCTACGATTTGCTTGTCTCCAAAATATAAGTTTTTAGATAGGATGAAGGTGCATACTACAAGTGGACTTGAAATAAGTTCTGTAATTAAATTCGTATTTTTAGTGTTATTTCTTAAAAGTGCGAGAGTTTACAGATAATTGTAGTGTTAGATGATTTCAGGACATCTTGCATAATTTGCAAAGAGCGGCACAAGCCTAGAGAAGATAGATCTTTCCATCGGTAAGTATTATTATTATGTTGATACAACGTTGTCCCTTTGGTAGGCAATGGTGATGAAATAGGTCAAAAGTACGCACAAAAACTAAGCAATTTTGGCGACAAACAATGAAGTGTTAACGTCTAGACTTGGTTTCTTATAATCTAATATATTGTGTTATATTATTTCCACCTTTTCTGCTACTTACCTTCTTCCATAGTATTAATCTGTACAGTCTGACTGGGTTCACTTAAGCCTAAACGATTCTCTGCTAATATTCTTATTTGGTAAACTTGCGCTGGGTGGAGATTCTGTAAAGTCGTTGTAGTTTGAGATCCAGGAACTGTTACCTTCATGGGTTGATTCGTCCAGGCCTCTGCAGCATATTCAAAATGACATTTTATAAAAATTATGTTGCCATATGCAAGCAGACTGATATAATATAATTTGCAGATAAAACTCTTCTGTAGAATATTAAGGATGATTTATATCTACATGTAATCTCAATTTGGCATTGATAATGACCCTGAGCTTTATCCTGACCTTGAATAAAAGTAGGTTGGTACCAGGAGTTGCTTTTTTCACGTTACTACTATACTAACTTTGTAGTTTTGCATTCCTGACCGCCACCAATTCAAGATATACATTCTTGGGATTCGGTTAATTTAAAACGTTTATTATAAATTCAACTTTTCAGCGAATTGAAAGGCCATCTTCAGGTAAATATGATTTTCTAAAATTAAACATAAGCGTCAGAAGTTACAACACAAAACACGTTGAATATTTTCGCCTAAACGCCTATAAGCAATGTTTTAAATTGACCGAATCCCAAGAATATATAACTTGAACTACTACACCTCAACAGAAACTTTCGGGATTCCCTCCCACTGATCTACTTTTGTTTCTCTGTTTGTTGAAGGTTTATTTAGTATCAATGCTACAATGTCAATTTTGTATAATTATTTGCTTACATATTTTTATTCAATCCATTTTCTGTAATTTTACATTCTTGTATATTAAAATTACATCACTATGTATATTTATTATTCATAAAGTGAAATCTTAATTTCACCTTAAACATTTTTAGATTCGAACGCTGTTTAATATCATTATACAATTTATTAAATTCAAATACTCCTTTTTGAAACACAGATTTAATAGTTTGTTAATATTACAGTTTTGCAGATGAAAGTACTACCTCTAGTTTCGTAGTTATGATAATGAATATTTAATTTTGTAAAGTTTTCTAAATGTGGTGGTAATAAATGATTTTCCAATTTGAATATGAAAACGAAAACTAAATAATAAGTAGATAAAATTTTTCACATTCAACCACTGCAGTTCTTCTAACATAGACTTAATCCTAGCATACTTGTTTTTATTTAAAATGATTCTCATAGCTTTATTTTGTAGAATTTTTAAATTTGAAAATATGTTTTCATTTGCTGTAAACAAGATGGTTCAACAATATAAAAAATGGGGCAGAATTATAGTGTTATACACAATTTTTTTGGAATACATACTAATATTATAGGAAACTCTATAGAAGTAATAATTTTTTTATATACGTATTTTTGAAATAATGCTCGTGAAACAATAGTTTACTATCCATATATATATACCAAGATATTTAAATGATTCGACTAGTTCAATTTTTTATCATTAATATCTGCATTATTTGACTTACCGTTAGCCATTTTGAACTGCACCACGTAACTAGTGATAGGACTGTTCCCATCATAAGGCGCAGTCCACGTGAGCTTCACCTCCCTGGACTGCTGAGCTCCTACTCTGACGTCAGCTGGGGACTCAGGGGCCTCCTGAACCACCAGTTTGACCAACATCTGGTCAGAACCGAAAGCATTGGAAGCTCGGCAGGTGAAGATGGCCGAATCGGCGCGAGAAGCGCGAGGAATGGTCAATTCAGAGACCATGCCTTCTGCTAAGGGCTGAGAACGGATGGTGTGCCTGAAGAATAGACGGTTTTTGAATTTTAAAAATTCTTCGTTTTCCATTACTGTCGTCATCATGATGGTCATCGTCATTATAAATATTTCACCATACACCTACTCAATACACAATCAGATTAAGGGTGTTCATTTGAAAACTTACTACCACGGATACATCGAAAACCCCTGATTAAAAGGAAAAAACGCCTAGACACGCCAAAAGATTTGTCAAGGAGGACAACTTTTTAACCAAAAACTACTTCACCCCCTTTGACCCTCTTCCTCCCAGGGTGATCCCCTTAAAAATGTTAAATGACAAAGGGTATCGAATTATAGCTTGTTTGAAAGGTCTTTCGAAGTCCTTTATTTTGACGTTTGATTTTTATAAATCTGTGGATTCGTTTTCAAGAAAATTAGAAAAATCTTTGTTTATCTTAACTTGTTCAAATAGAAAACAAAAACACACGAAAATATCAGTTTTTATCTCAATAAGTATTCAAAATGTTGCCCGTTATTGGCCAAACAATGATATCGACGATGTTCAAATTCCTGACGGACATCTTCAAAAACATGTTGTCGGGTATCATGGCATCTTTCGATGATGCGTTGACGAAGTTCATCCAAACTTTTAGGTTGGGGAGTAAACACAATAGATTTCATATGGCCCCATAGAAAAAGTCTAATGGCGTTAAATCCGGAGATCTAGCAGGCCATTCTGTAGGGCCTCTTCGCCCTATCCATTTATCTGGAAACACGTCGTCTAACCTTTGCCGAACCTGAAGAACATAGTGAAGAGGAGCGTCGTTTTGCTGGAAATATATTTCAGCCCCATCAGGTAGAGGATTTCTATCCTCTTCGATTTAGTTTTCAATGGTTTCAGTGGTAAGCGGATTGATAGTATATATCCAAATGAATGTCTCCAGAATTAATAAACAATGGTCCAATCACTTTGTTTCCTAAAATGCCTGCCCATACATAAATTTTCTGGGGTACTGGGTATGCCCTTCTACAAAAGCATGAGGATTTTCATTGCTCCAATACCTGCCGATATGCGTATTAACAAATGCATTTAGACAAAATCTGCATTCATCACTGAAGCAGATATTCTTTACATGAATGGTATTATCAATCGCTGCAGTCATTTGTTCACAAAACTCAACTTGCCTATCGAAATCATCTTCGGTCAACTCTTGCAATATTTTCATTTTGAATGATGAAATTTATGGAGTTTAGTAACTTTGTGTACAGAACCTAATGAAATACCAGTCATAGCAACAATTTTGCGTAATGAAGTATTACGATTTATTCCAAAATGATCCAAAACTTCAACTTGAGCGACTTCATCCCAAACTCTCCGATGATCACGTTTTTTATTTGCAACAGATTCAGTTTGAGTAAATTTAATGTAAACAAGGTCCAAGACATACCTATGCGAAGTTGATCTTCTATCTATCGAATCAATAAATTAATTTTCACTATCCTAAGATTGTCACACAGGTAACTGACAACAAATTAAGTTCTTTCTTTCCCTTAGCAACAAATAACTAAACAAGTATAACAATAAATACAGTTCGCCCAGGCCATTCGTGTTGATAAAAAGAATGCCGAAAAATTCGGGTTGTTATTTTCTTGTTGCCACATTAGAGACATCAGTTTATGAATTTATTTTAGAATATTACCCAAAATTACTTGTAAATATTGTATTTTTATATATATTTAAGTTAGAGTTTATTGGTTATGTACTAATGGATATTGGTAATATTTTCTTTTGTTAGTTTGTTTAAGATTTATATAGCATGATTGCTACAATTACAATCTTTTAAAAACTAAACCATTGCATAACATACCTAAAGATATTTAGAAAAGACAAAATATGCATCTCTAAGAATTTCCCTGTCCATGAAATATTCCTTTAATATTATTTTAAACATCTCTAAATTACAAGTAGACTTTATATCATTATTTAGTTTTATTACATTCAAGTAATCCTTTCTGAAATACTGATTTGCTAGTTATATAACTATTGCAATTTTGTAAATGAAAATCTATATATTCTCTTGTATACTAAGTGACATATAAATCCGAACACCCAGTTTAAATGGTTTTATTTTAATAAAATTTTGTATAGTACTTAATGAAGCATAATAAGTAAATGATAAAAATTTCAAAATGATTGCACTGCTTTAAAGCCCTTTGACCTTTAATAATGTGTGGATGCACCCTGATGTGCTACGCATTCTCCAACGCGCCTAGGCATGCTTCTGATCAGGTGGTCAATGTCCTCCTGTGGTATCTCATTCCAGGCATCCACCAACTCCTCTCGAAGTGCTTCTAGAGTCAGAGGAGGACGTTGCAAATTGAGCAATCTCCTACCCATCATATCCCACACGTGCTCAATTGGGGATAAGTCGGGAGATCTTGGTGGCCATGGTAACAATGTGACATCATTATGTTGAAAGAAGTCTATTGTGACTCTTGCAACATGTGGTCGGGCATTATCTTGCTGGAAAGTTGGATCTGCCAGGGTGTCAAGATAGGGTAAAAGATGGGGTTCTAGAACTTCGCTGCGCGTTCATGTTACCTCTGATGAAGATTAAAGGTGACCCGGAACCATAAGCTATAGCACCCCAAACCATAACTCCAACAGTGTGATAAACATGTCTTTCAACAAAAAACTGTGGATTCCTCCTTTCACCACGTCGCCTTCTAACCCTGGCACGACCATCGTGCATGCCTAAACAAAATCGAGACTCGTCACTAAAGACAATACTGTTCCATACCTGATCCCAGAGTGACCGTTGTCTGCACCACTCAAGGCGATTACGTCGGTGTTCTCGAGTTAAAGGGAGGACCCAGTGTGGCCGGTATGAAAACAAGCCAAAACTTCTCATTCGTCGGTAAACACTTCGCATGCCAATAGGTCTTCCGTGTTCTGCAAACCATTCATTTGCAATGGACCTGGTAGTGGAGAAACGGTCCCTTAAGGCCAATAATCTTAGGTGGCGATATTCACGGTCTGTTGTTCTACGGCGGCGTCCAGTGCCCCTTGTTATTTGCGTACGGCCTTCTCGAAGCCATGCCTGACAACACCTAACCACAGTGTCTACACTTCTTTGCACTCTAACTGCAATTGCCCGAAAAGAAAGTCCAGCTTCCCGAAGTCCCACTATACGGCCCCTATCAAACTCACCAAGTTGACGAAATCGTTCAGGTCTCCGTACTCTAGGCATCGTAACCGATCGTAAAGGATGTCAAGAACCAAAATCCGCCAACGTTGCTTCTTTACTGCGGCTGAAATATTCATTTTTAGAGCGTTAGTGAATTAAAAAAAAAGCAGTATAAAAACCGGAATGTCCAACTGATAAAGGCTGAAAATTTGTTCACTTGTTATTTACAGTAAGATAAATACATTCACCAACTTTTATTAAAATAAAACCATTTAAACTGGATGTTCGTTTTTATATGTCACTTAGTATATAATAATTGTGGTAATGATTATACAATTTTATGTAGTGTTCTAAATGTTGTGGCAAAAGATGGTTTTTTATTTTAAATATAAAAATAAGAACCAAATATGATATGATTTCTTTATATTCAACCACTGCAATTCTTGTAACATAGATTTTAATTTAGTTTACTTATTTTTATTCAATATTCTTCTCATACTTGTAATTTAAAGAATACAGTTTCATTTGCCTAAAGCGCGGTAGAATAATTGTATTATAAACTATTTTTGGAATATGTACCAAGACTATGAGAAGCTCTATGAAACTAATTTTTTTGTCAATTTTTGAAATAATGTACTCATAGTGATTCTCAAACTTTAGTTTACTGTTAATATATATACCTAAATATTTAATTGATTCAACATTTTCAATTATTTCTCCATCTATCCTGACTGTGATAGTACTTTCATTTAGGTATTTCCCTATTAGCATTTTGTTTTAGAAGTATTTAGTTTTAGTTTATTTACGTTTAAGCAATTTATGATTTTTATCAAGTCAGAATTTAGCATTTTTAAAGCGGTGTCTATATTTTCATCTGATATGTATATTACAAATGTCATTAATATATAAAATAAATAGTAGTGGACCTAGTTTACTACATTGTTATACCACCACCTTTTTAAAAATTAAAATTTTCTCAAATAAATAAACCATGTTCCTTAATTTGCTGACCAAGATTATGTGCATTTCTACTCCCTCGCGAAATTTTCGTAAAACTTTCCGTGAGCAGCCAGTTCTCAAAACCTTCGACATTAGATCAAGCCATGATGACTAGAGGTAGGAGGTTGAACTTATGCGGTGGAGGTGGAGCTAAAAATGTTGAGAATGAAGACGATCGATCTCTACATGCATTGAGCAAAAGTGTCTTGAGTGTTGCATGGAAGAGGGGTTTGCATGTAATAGCAACGAATGTCACCTTCCTTATTAAATGGGTTTGTTTTTTGTATAATTTATTATTGTGTTTTTTTTATAAGGAAATTACAGGAATAAAACATACGATGATTATATATATATATGAGCTTGGAAGATACTGTTGTGGAATTACTAGATACACTGTGTCCTCATCGTTGGGACTTTCCTTTACAGAGCGTACAGGTCAGGCAATAATGGGCACGTCTGCTTAGTAACATATGTATGAAAGCGTTAAGATAACTGATATATTAAGTTCCAACAAGCAATAAATCAGTCATTACGACTCTGTCAGGCTCCTCTCCCACAATCCCTTCTTAGGTCAAAACGTATGACTTTGTATTAAGACTACGTGATTCAGTGTCCAAATCAGACGTCGCGTGGTGCGTAGGTTAGCCTAGCCTATAATCAAGCAGCATTTGAAAAACTGACATTGGTACATTCATAGAGCAATAACGTAGTTATCTATTGATACTCCGCGAGTGTACTCAAAACGTCGCCGTTGTCCTCTATGTTTCTTTTATTCAGAGCTGCATATGTTTGCTAATTTCGGGCAAAAGCCGTCTGGTTAAACACAGTTGAAAACCTAGACAGCCCCTAATGTTGCAAATTTAGGATGATAATTTAAAGCAGTGTTTACAGACACGTGACAGCGCAGTACTTGAAATTCCTTGCCAAATGAAAAGTAGTAGTATTTTTATTCAATTTCTTTGTTTACGGTGTTGTGTTGCTGCAAATTAGCTTTGATATGGTAAGCAAATGTAGCTGGCTCTGAAAAGGAAAGTCCCATCTTTCAGGACACACTATATACATAATTCCTATCTTCTCACAATAGCGCTAAATATTATTCAGAATTCGGAAAAACGGAAAATTTGATTGTAATACAGTTAGGAATAACCAGTCTATGTATCTGTCTTCATTAACTGCAGGTGAGCTTAGTTAAATAGAAAAACTCAGCAGGCACTAATGAAACTAACAAACTTTTGGGTACATAAAATGAATAGATCTAAACCTACTTGATCGAAATAAAGTATCCGACAGGTAATGTTGACATTTCTCACGTGCATCTGCATCTGTATAAATGTTAAGAAGCTCTACGAACACTAGATTTCCGAAAGTCACGCCGTCCTTACCTTCATACGAATACTTGTCATCACTAAGGTAGTTTAGCCTCCTATCTCTAGTCTTCAAGGGTAAAATAAAATCTCCGACCTTTTTTGACCGAATACCGAACGTGTGGCCGAAAGTGTATTTTTAGGCCAAATGTAGCCGGTGAGGAAGCTTCCATCGGATCCCAGTAGCATCCTCCGCGGTGAGCAAATCTACTCAATGACAGTGGAAGTTTCTCTGCGAGAAGCAGCTATGTTTTTCGGATGCATCGTCTTACCTTTGATCACCTTCCTTGGGGATATGTTGATTACTGACTTTCCAGGTAATCTCCATTGGAGTATCACCTGTTGCAGAACACTGTAGATGGGCTTGCTCTCCTTTAACCACTTGCACTTGCTTGGATTTTTGTGGAAAATGGGCTGGAGCTGGACGAAGCAGATATATGTGTCACAAGATGGTCAAATGCTGTTGTTTTTCAGTTTTTAAAATTACATGTTTCAAAACGGCTTACCATTGACTCTGAGAAAAATCACTTTGCTAACGCCCGCTCCGATGTTGTTTTTCGCTTCGCACAGGTACTGGCCTTCGTTTTCTTTTGATATGTATTTGAAGTATAACGAACCATTTTCAAATTGTTGAACGTTTGGTTCGAACAGGAAGTCTTTGTACTCTCCAGGCTGTTCACCTAAAGAAATAAATAATGTCAATTACAGAACCTATCTTTTTACAGCTGAAAATCACTGATCAAATGAGTAATAACATAAACTTATAACAATTTTAATTAAATAGAATTACCGACTGCCCGCTTCCAAGTAATGGTAGGTTTCGGATAGCCTTCCGCTTGACAGTGGATCACAGCTACTTGCCCAGAAGCTACGCTGGCATCCGATGGCTCTACCGTCCATCTTGGAGGTACTGAAAAGCATCAAGTGATTTATTGATCATTATCATCATAAAGTCATTCTGGTAGCAGTCCACGTATATTTCAAGGGCGGATTCAGGATTTCGTCTGGGGAGGGGGCCCTTAAATCCATTGTGTTCTATATGTTCAACGACAACTTGAAAAAAATATATGGGAAGTACTCAGAAATCATCAGAAAGGCAATATTTTATTATATGAGAACAAAAGAATTACGTGGCATTTATAATTAACTAGTGTAATAATATTAAAGATTAAAACATAAGGAACTTCATTGCTCTGTTAACCAAAAACGACATTTTGAGGGACCCCGAGACATTCCAGCCATTCCACACAAAACAATGTCTTTGATGGCGAAAACGAACATGAGACCGAAAAATTCACATTATCGTATGCACGCTAGATGAGACAAAGAAGGATGCCTATAGACCACCATCTATAGATCGTGTCTTGAGACCTTCTCCAGACTGCCTATAGACAAATTGCGCAACGGGGTCTACTAGTGTGTACTAAGCTTAAGGATGAATACTCTGAACTACCCGTTAAACAAATCAAGTAATTGGTGTAAATACTGACACAATCAAGCACTTCTATTACATCAGCAGGTGATAAAAATATCAATAGGTATAGTCAATTATTTTTTCAATTCAATATAGATGTTACAGTTATTCTTCAGACTTTCGTTGTCGAACTTAGATTTACGGCATAGTTGTTTTCTCAGTTTTCGAATCGGTGTTGATCGCATGTAAAAATGTTGGAAATCTTTGGAAAAAACTATATATGTTAGATCGTAATTATTTTGATAATGTATGTTTGTACGAAACAAGAACAGGAATACAGGGCTGTACATATTCACGTGCAGTGCAGAAGCTCTGTGACTTGAACGAATTCCAATATAGCAACATAAATAGAAACATACGCGGGAATAAATGTGTGGTATTGACTTTGAGCATCGAGCGACGCATTTTCTGGTCAGGCTACAGGCGCACCGCTAAACAAGTCTTATAAATGTATATTTCCAATGTAGGCGTTCATTTAAAATATTTATAGTTTAATCATATTAGCAAATTTCCCCGAAATAATTGTCGGTTTTATTGGTGCCAGTTGTTCAAGGGCGCATTTTAAACATGGACGCATAAAATGGTTACACCAATTTTTGTGGGAAAACTTTTTACTTAACAACAAAGAATGAGAAAACGTGTTTTTTTGGGATTCAATCAAAAGTGTTTACAGGGACGAAAAAACTTTTTATGTAAGATTTTAAGATATTTATGAGACCTATAGAATGAGACCACACGTGAAAAGATCCGACTAATAGCAAAAGTGTTCTGGCCGAAAAACCAGGCAAAATGCAGGTTTTGGCACTTTATGGTAATGCGACGATAATTTTACGCAACTACTTGAAATTGTTCAAATCCGCAGGATTCATGCTTCTGAATAACAACATCAAAATTGGAGTATAATGGTCGAGTAGTTTTTTGAGAATTTATAATTGTTTATCCCTAAACACCTGTTTTCCGGACATCACTACTAGTTTACTACGCTAAATACAGGATTATTTCAAAGAGCATTTTACAGCAAAATACACTAATTTACCTAGCCGAGATGAACTACAAACCATTCCGAAAGATAAATGTTATTTTTATGCGAAAAACGAAGGTTACGTTTTTTTCTTCAAAGCAAATTCAAACATTTCGTATTTGTGAGTAATTGAGCAAATGCGCTACGATATTCGAAACACATACGTTGCTATACACATTTTAAAACAAAGCGGATTTATCTATCACCTTTTGTTGTGAGTTACTCACAAATACGAAATGTTTGAATTTGTTTAGAAGAAAAACGTAACCCATCCCTTTTTTGCATAAAACTAACATTTATCTTTCGGAATAGTTTTCGATTCAGATCGGCAAGGTAAACTAGTGTATTTTGCTATAACATGCCCTTTGAACTAACCCATGTAAATTGTTCAAAAAAACTAGTAATGATGGCCGGAAAACAGATGTCTTGGGATAAACATTTTAGAAATTCTCCCAAACTACTTGACCTGTCTACTCCAATTTTGTTGTGGTTATTTAGAAGTACCAATCCTACGAATTTGAAGAATTTCAAATATCTGCGAGAAACCGTCGTCGCATTACCAACACGTGCCAAGACCTGGAGTTTGCCTCGGTTTTCGACGATAACTTTTTTGCTATTAGTCGGATCTTTTTACGTGTGGTCTCATTTTGTAGGTCTCATAAATACTTAAAAATCTGATGAGAGTTTTTTCGTCCCTGCCAATTATTTAGATTGAATCCCAAAAAACACGTTTTCTCATTCTTTGTTGTCGAATAAAAAGTTTTCCCACAAACATTGGTGTACCCATTTTATGCGTCCATGTTTTGAATGCCCCCTTGAGCAACTTGCAGCAATAAAACCAGACTTTAGAATTATTTCGCAAACCAGGGGTATTTTCGTCTAATATGATTAGACTAATAGTGCTTCGCTGCAACACCAAGCCCGAACAAAATCAGTCAAGCTTTACACACTTTTCAAATTACTATTGAGCAACAAATAGAACATAAATCACTTTTTAAGTGCAATCTGTATATCTAAATATATTGCTTAGAATTAGATTTGTCACAACTCACAATACTCGTATATATGTATAAATTGTAAGAATTGTGCTGTAAACGTAAGTGATGTCGAAGAGGGACAGCGTTTGGAATACCAAAGGATACCAAAAATCGTAATGCACAGTCCCTATAGCTATAACTTGTAGTGAGTATGCCTCTGTCGCCGTGATGTGTCAGAAAGCAACAGAATGGTGTTAGATTACAAAAGCAAGTGTCAGACGTCTAGGGGGGGGGGTGCCCCCCACGCCCCCATCTAAATCCGCCACTGGTATATTTAAAGATTTATTATAGATAATAGGTTTACTGTAATGGCAAAGTGAGTAATCGATTTACTGTATGCAGAGGAATACCACAAGGCTCTATACTTGGGCCATTTCTGTTCATTATATATAATAATGATTTGCCTGAACATATGAAATCCATCAATAATCAATTTAGTCCATTCTTTTTTGTTTAAAGCAAGTTTCTTAGCTTCTCTCCAATCCGTTCCTCTTTTCATCAATATCTGTTCTATGGTATTCTCCCGTGTTCTTTGTGGCCTGCCCCTTCTCCTTTTTCCTAGCATCTCTGCCAAACATGTCTCACCGGTATGTTGTCACACATTCTTTGCAAAGGTCCCCACTATCTCAGCTGCTTCATTTCTATGTGTTCTAGTATAGATTCTGTCTCTAACTCCGTTCTTATAGTCTCGTTTCTTATTTTGTCAATTTTGGTTACCCCTTTAACTCGTCTCAAGTAATTCATTTCAACTGCCTGAAGTTTGCTTTTTTGTTGTTGCGATAGAATCCAGGATTCGCATCCATATGTCAATATAGGTCTATATATTGTATTATACACTGTCATTTTTGTTTTCTTGGACAGCTTTTTTTTGTTGATAAAACCTTTACTCATCGCATAGGACAAGTTGTTTGCCTTTCCTATTCTTTCAGAAATTTCTATTTCATTTCTGCCGTTAGGTTCCAATATAGCTCCTAGCTCCCAGATATTCAAAGGACTGCACCTGTTGTAATTTTACATTATCTATTCTTACGTCCATATTGAGTTTTTCATTTGACACAGCCATAACTTTAGTTTTAAGTTTCTTTAGTTTCATACCGTTATCTTCAAGTACTGTGTTCCAAATGTTCAAATTTTACTGTAGACTCCCAACACTACCAGTTACCAACACCAAATCATCTGCAAATGCGCACTCTGCTAATTCCACTTTTTGCAACTTCCTGTATCCAACAAAAATTGGTTTTGTTCTTTGCTTGCATTGTCTTATTAGTTCATCCATAAATACTATAAACAATAGGGGACTAAGCCCTCCGCCTTGACGTACTCCCTCTGAAGTAGCGATTTCTTCGGGCATCATATTTCTGGATATTACTCGGTTGTTAGTCTTGTGGTATATACTCATGATCACTTCTACTAATTTTACAGGAACATTTTTTCTCAGCAAATTCTCTTTTAACTTTTTTCGTGGAACTCTATCAAAAGCTTTGTCCATATCCATGAAGGCAATATACATTGGTTTTCCTTTTGGTAAAAATTTATTTACTTACCAAGTTTTTAATAGTAAATATGTGATCCTGAGTACTTCTTCCATTTCTGAAGCCACTTTGTGTTTCAGACAATGTCGACTCTAATAACTTATTAGTTTTTTCTTTATTATGTGTTCATAGGCCTTGAGTACTGTAGACAGCAGCGTTATTCCTCTGTAATTATTACAATCTTTCTTGTATCCTTTCTTGAAAAGTGGTAAAATCAACCATGTTGTCCACTGCTCGGGTATTATCTGTTGTCTATATAAACAGAATTAATGTGTCCAAAACCCTTGGAGTTAAATATTACAATAAACTTCCTGAGAGTGTTAGCGATCTGCCGTTGGAGCTTTTCAAAAAAGAGGTCAAATCAGTTGCGAAAGAAACAGCGCCATATAATGTTAACGACTTTAACATGTACGTTTCTGTTACCTAGATTCTTTCCAGTTTTTAATTTTTTATATTTTTAATATGTCGCTCATGTTTGTATATTCGTGTGTATTTTAATCTGATGTCTGCGTTACAATGTATATTGTCAAGCTTGGTGTAATTGTCATTTATATGTGTGTATGCATTGTTTATCAATTTTATGGATTATTGTACATTCTCTGACTCAATAAACATCTATCTATCTATAACCCCCAAAAGCTTGTAGGTCTAAACACGCAATTACGACAAAAACGACCGTACAAGACGATATTGAGGATAAGTAGATTCTTCTCACCATTAACTGTCAAAGGCACGACATATCTCTCGATCCCCGCAACATTCGTAGCTACGCAGGTGTAGTTTCCCGTATGTTCAGCTGACACCCTGTCAATCACTAGCGATGACGCAAATTCGTCAATTTGCCTGATAACAGTTCCTGAAGCTGGACTGCTTGACACGGCACGACCATCTCGCTCCCACCGAAACGAGATCGGTAGGTCTCCTTCCATGATTTGACAGGTGATGGCAGCCCGCATACCCTCGCGGAGAAGATCGGTCATGGGGTTCATTGGTAAGATCTTCGGCGGCACTGGAATCAATCCAACGAGTTAACCAATCATCTAAGTAATCAACCAATCAATTGATCAATCAATCAAGTTATGAATTAGTTAGGTGATCAGGTGGGGTAACCGTGCGGTGAGATGACAATGAAACAACTAAATAGATAATTAGCAATCAGTCAAGCGTTCAAATGATTAGATAAGCAAGATTTCAAACTCTTGGAGACCAAGTAATACAATTTTCAGGCCGATCAATCAATCAAGTGGTGAATCAATCATGCGATTATAAAATCTTATAAATAAACGGTAAAAAGCTATCGAGTGACGAAGAAATCGGTCAAGATGGCAGTTGGTCAGAGCTTGCTTGATTGGTACCTTAGTCGTTTGATTGGCCTGGTGTACGATGATGATGAAGGTAGACAATTAAATTCTCGATTATCTAATTGCTTGATTGCCCAATCAATTAAGCGATGTGACTAAATAATGAACTTATAGGACTATCAAGCAATACATAGAGTAAGCAAATATACAAGCTTTGTCTGATTACCTTAATTAGTCATTTGTTCAGAAAATTAAGTTCTGTGACTGAACAACGACGCTATTGAGCAACCAAACAATTAATCAAGTAGAGAAACAAACAAGATCGGCACGATTGCCAGATGCTTGATTATTTAATTTTAATCAGTCAAGCTATGAAACTAAATGATGAAACGATTGAATAAGCAACAATGAATCGGGTAGGCACATAATAATAATATATGATAATTGCTTGAATGTTTAATCAATTCGAGTAATGTTACTAAAAGCCAGCAATCAAGCAATCATTGAGGTCGACAATTAAGCATCTTTTGTTTGATTGGTCGATGCTTTATTATTCTCATCCTATGCACTAGTTAAGCTAGGCTTGCCTTTGACTCTTGCTCCGATTTAATTGGTCTAGTCAAGTGATCAAATGATGAAGCTGCGAGTAATCAACAAATCAATCGATCAGACAAATAATCTTTGCATGATTGTCTGCTTGATTGTTTATTGCTTGATTCTTGATTGGTTGGTTGATTTGATCGTATAATATCTAAACAATATTTATTGAGTTGTTATACCTCTAACTTGTACTTCCACATCCCTTCTAGCCGTATTCCTCTGTCTGTTCTTAGCCTGACAGGTATAAGTACCTGCATCCTCTCTCCTTTGGGTCTGCTCCACCACCAATGTACCGTTGGCGTACACTCGTTGCCTTCGATTGACAGGCAGTTGCTGCCCTTCACGTTCCCACGTTATTGAGTCTATTGGGTAACCAGCTACTGGACACTGATAAAATGGATTGGTTACTCTAGAGCATATTCTCGTCCATCGTATGTGGGAGCATCCTCCTCAGTATTAATAGTACTCCATTAAGGAGGGTACTAGTGTTACCAAATCCACTGATCTTTTGGAATACTTCATCGTACACCACTGCATGGATCTTATCATACTATACCATATTCGTAATCCATTTACGCTCCGGCACAACAAAAATGCAGCGCGGCAAAGCGGCAGCCGCCTAAACATTGCAATAGCTATTGGTCATCCGGCCATAAAACTACGAACAAGTGCAGGATAAAACTGAGAATATTTTTCCCAATGCTTCCTTCAGCCATGCTTCCTCTTCAGTGATGTCTCCTCCCCGAAAACATGACAAGAAGGGACATTTGAATATTCAGGCAAAATAAATTGTTCTTAACGTTTATAAGAGCGAAATTTTAGAGCATCCTGAAATGAAAATTCATAATATTGAAAAACGTGTGGCGAACAAAACAGACTTATGTCCTAAGATAATTTTCAACATTGTTAGAGAATACAAAAAACAAAAAATTGCCCCCACCACACAAGAGGCTGCATTACACGAAGCTGTTGGATACAGTTGATAACTTTGATCAGAATCCCATCAGATGCAAAGCCCATCATTTTTTTGAAAGGCAGGAACTTCCCACCATAGACAAATGTTAACAGTGATGAAGACTTAACTACTTTCAAAAGGTCCACGTTCTATAGTTCACTCAAAAAACTTCATTTTGAGTATAGAAAACAGGTCAGAAATAGTATTTTGATGGACAGCCATAAGATTCTTCTTATTAATATTATGAAGAAGAAATTATTTAAAATCAATTAAGAAATACCGCGATCAGGGCAAGAATGAAACCTGGATAAATGCAGGGCATACAAAACCTAAAGTATGGGCTGACTCTACAATTATCTGACCAATTCGTCATTTGTGTTGTAAAAATGCTGTCAACTAGTCTGAATCTATTAGCCCACGCTGAAAACTTAGCTACACTAAACTTAGCTACATCTGGTAGACTTGGAACCAATACCTGTTAGATAATCTGCTTGTATTATTAGTTTTCTTGAATATTATATTTATATGTGTCACATTGGCAGTGAAGATGGCTTTGTGCCTACTGACCTAAGGGTATTTGGGTCAAATAAAACGACCGACTACCATGAAAAAATCGACAGGAGTTCATTTGAACGATGATTTGCAGAAACGCTCCCAAAGCTTGACGACAATACCGTCACTGTACTTGATAATGTTGCATACCACACTAGAAAACTAGAAAAAATCCCACAATGTCCACAAGAAAGGCATACATTCAACAGTGGCTCCTATCAAAAGACGTTAGTTTCAATGAAAATGTGGTCAAAGCACAACTTATCGATCAAGTCAGGCAGTACAAATATAAATATAATCTTAATGTTATTGATGAAATGGCTAAAAACCAAAATATGACAATTTTAAGCTACCCCCTTACTCGTATCACTGTGAATTAAATCCCATTGAAATGATTTGGGCAAATATAAAAAACTATGTGGCTTCAAACAATAGAACATTCAAATTGTGACGTGAAAAATTTGTTTTATGAAGCTGCCAACAGAGTGACGGCAAACCATTGGAAAGGTTGCAAGAGACAATCGAAACAAAGATGTTGGATCTGAACAATATGATCGATATTCAAATTGAGCCCTGTAATAACATTAATATTAACCATTCGGACGATGATTCAAGTACTTCCAGCGAATAAAGAATTGTGAAAAGTATATGCACTTCTTTCTCTAAAAATAATCATTTATTTTGTTAGATTATTCCATGACCATTGAGGAAAAATACGGACCTGTACAATCTCGCTTTTGGGCATGATGTGTTTTGTCTGGGCATAAATGGACTACGAATGGGGTATATAAGACGCCGATTTAACAGTGACGTACGATTTGTTATGCTCGTCTCGTCTTTTTTTATACTTGACTATAGTCTTGCACTTTTTTTATACTTACACTGTTTTGTAATCGTAATCAAGCTATATGGATCATTTTTGTTGTTCAACCTACCTTAATAACCAAGCTTTTGCCTGCAATTCCGATGATCTTCGGCATTTCCCTGATGTAAGGCAGTCCATAAACATTCACTCTAGCACTATGTGATACTTTCCCCACGCTGTTATGTGCTGTGCACGTGTATTCACCTCCGTCTTCTGCTTGAATGTTTGTGATGTTCACATGACTGATGACGTCATCTTGGATGGTGACGTATTGGCCTAAGAAATATAGTTTGATATGTATCCTATTCATGAATCTAATTTAATTAATTTATGTTGTGACTTGAAGTCTATAAGAGAATGGCGGTCTCACTTTGCTAGTATAACACATAATATGCCGAAAGTCCTCTGCCTGGGCTACCAGTTGATAGGGATGGTTTGACCTTGAAGTCCTTGAATACATTTACATCAGTATCAAATTTATAGGTGTATGCACAATGCCTATCCTTTTTTCTACTAGTCTTATGAACCTTAAACATTTGAGTTGACCTCGAACTGGAATTGTTAGGTGACCTCAAGGTCATCGCCTGTAAGAAGGATGAAGATCCACACTGTGAAATTTAAAGTTTATTTCCTGCTTGTATTATGTATTTTCTCGTGTCGAGGTGTCTAACTTACCGACAAGAAACCTGGGATGATCAGGAATAGGAAACCCGTCCAGGGTCCAAGTAAACCTTGGAGGAGGATTTCCAGCAGCCACGCATTTCAAGGACACCGTAGGTCCAGGCTGCAGTGTCTGTTCGGAAAACCAGTAGACCAGCTCTGGACCTGCGTCACCCATGGCCAATTCAGCAGCGGCTTGTGCTTGGTCCCAACCATTTCCAGCTATACATTGGTACATTCCTCTATCTTCCTTCACCAGCTGCTTCACGTTCAGTCGGGGAGGGTCTGTGGACATCTGGAGTCGGGAATCTGGAGCTACAGGATTGCCTGGTAATATAAGGAAACAATGAACAAAGAAGTAGTAGTATTGGTAGTTGGAATGTGTAGCATATAGGAAGAAAACCACCTTAATCTCTTTTTGTCGAACTCGATTACCAAAACTAACATAAATGACTCTAAATGAAGTTAACGCCGGACTTACCAGATCCTCTAATGCAGATCACTATATCTGATAATCTTGCGGAATAAACTTCTCTATCATCAATTATAGCTAAACCTTCGACAAATGAAGTATTGGCATTTGAATCCATTAGAATATACATTTTTTGACTGCCAGTTTTAAAAATTTTTATACTCACCATTATGAAGCCAGTTAACCTGAGAAATAGGGAAACCATTGACGATGCATTGAAAGTGAGCGTCTTTTCCTACATCCACAACTTGTACCTGAGGTTGAACATGGACCGATAATGGAGCAGTCACTTCTAATGTTACTCTTATGCTTTCTTCTCCGGCAGAATTGTTTGCATAGCAAATGTAGACGCCTCGATCTTCCAAGCGAATCTGTAAAAAAACAATTTATACAGATTGTTTTTGGTAAGGTACTTGATCTATTAGTCTTCATTCGCAAATCAAGGGTTGTGACCTTATCATCTCGCAGCAGGGATCTGGACCAGGCTATTGAGAGCTTTTTCATTCAAGCCTTTTAGTTGCTTTTATGCTATTGGATGATACCGTCCCCGTGACTATAGAATATTCTATAGAAGTTTATTATTACCTTGGTAATCCGGATAACCCCGGCAGCCACCACTTCAACCCTGTCTCCATCGACGGGTTGTGGTTCTCCCGAGGCACCGCCACCTCCTTCCTTTTGTGGTTCCTTGCGCCAGTGGTAAGTGGGTGGCGGATGACCGTGGGCGGCGCATGGCAACGTCGCATCGTCTCCCAACGCCGCTCTTCTGGCCCCGCCTCCTCCATTGTTGCCGCCCGTTTGGTGTTTGTCCATGCGCGGTTGGGTCACGCCTTTCGGTTCTGTCACGATCACACGGCCTGGGTATGGGCTGGTTTGCACCTCACCTGGAACAAAATAATGTTTATTTATGTAAATAGTTTATTTGATCTCAGTACAGCAAAAGGAATTATAATATCGTTAAAATCACAAATAAGACCTGTGAAGTGAACAACTAGCATCTCCAACAAGACCTTGAGGATGTCCAAAATCACAGTTATCAACAACTAGGTCTAGGTGGCTATGCCAGTATCAAGCGCGACCTTGATAATTGTACCGAGATGTGTATTTTCGTCGCAGGCAAGGTGCGTGTCTTCAGTTCCGTTTCTTTTGCTTCCTTCATTGAGCAAAGGAGAAGAACTGTGATGGGCGAAACAACAAAACTAGGCGACGCGGAGGTGGTGTTGCTGCTCCCACTGCCCCCGCACCACGTCGGATTGCTTGCTTTGAACCTGACATCAACCTTTAACGGGTAGATCACCCCCAACCTCCCTCGTAATTATCCTAAGATTTCGCATTCTCAGAAAAGGAAGCAACGCAATGTGATGATCAACAGATTTATAGTTGTAAGTGGTTGACGCCGTTGCAATACTTGCTTTCGCGCGGGAACGGCTTTCGCTTGCATTGGGTGTCTTCTGGTGGAATATTCTAATTGTGTATGAAGCCTCGGACAAGCGTTCAACGAAATTAAATCTAAGATTCTTGCAAAATCATCAATAGAACAGAGACAAACAAAAATAATGTACTCATTCAATAAATAACGCTTGTTCTCCACGTTTCTTCACACAGATTGTCATCCACTAAAAGCACCCCAAGACTAATGGGCTTAAAATTGTTGATTAGATTGCCATTGGGATCATTTAAGAAAAGACTTTGCTAAAGCAGAAGGCTTACTACTCTACGAATCAGTATTTTAAGGACACAATATCTGGTCAATAATTAGTTTTTTTGTAAGATGTGTTTGTTCCTTTGGTAACTCTTTCCTCAACAGTTTACCTTTATGCTTCTGAGCGCCAAGTTTGTCTGACGGCTTGAGTTCAATATGTACAAGAGAGATATGTGTAGAGACATATAATTATGTTACAAAGAGATAGAAGCCGCCTGGATAGCGAAGCATTTCCTCGAATTAATATGTATATTGAAAATATGCGTTATCTTATTCTTTACGCCCAAATTGTCAATTGTGACGGATCTGTTCAGGATTGATTCCCGATTGGTCCTAAGGGCGCTCCTGTTTGTGTCGAAATGAAAGGTCAGGATCGCCACAAATTCTGCAACATTGCATCATTGGGTCGTTTGACAACACCGCATTTTTGGTCAGTACCCATCTAGCTCTAATGGCAGAGTGTAGTCCTGCTTCGAAAGGGCTTTCACCTGTGTACACGCAGGCGGTGATAATTCATATTGCGTAACGTTATTTGTTACATTTTCGACCGTAGCGCGATGTCGTAAAATGTAACAAGAACTCATGTTGGAAATCAAAATAAAAACACCAAGTGAAAATTGAAATAAATAATTCTAGTCAAAATGAAAACGAAAATGTAGCAGCCTGTGCGAATATTTTTTTGGTGTAACATATTGGCAACACGGCAGATTGCACTACTGCTAAACAATGTGGTGATGACCTTCGCTCTTCAGTCGGCTTCTATCTCTTTCTAACATGTGTTGATACACACTTCTCGCGCTTCTCTTTCATACACATTAAACTTGAGTCGTCAGGCAAATTTGATTTCACCTGTATAAACTTTTGCGTAACTTATTCATGCTTGTGTAAATGTAATTTTCCGCGATTTTGAGTTTGTTTTTAATTTGTTGTTTACCTATGTGTTCTTTATTTTATATTATTTGTGTTACTCTATCTTACCGTCTATTTTACAACTTTTACTGTAGTTTCTATTTTCTGACATGTTCTATACCATCATCTGATGGTCTTGCGGACTAAAAAATATTCTGATTAAGAATTAAGAAGTCCCTTGAATGCCCCCATGACCAAAGATAAAATTAACTGCGCCAATTGTCCCTAGCACTGAACACATTCCTAGACCTATCACCACTAGAGGCCGCTGACTGTGTTTAGCGCAGGTGGAGGAAAAATGCCCTAGGCAGCCAATATTAACTACAGTGCTTAGAAGGCGTTTTTACAAGATATTCTATATTTTGAAGATACAGCATATAAAAAAAGGCAAATCCTAGAGAAATTGATAGTCTCGAGATTGCTTTTCCCTTTTTCATATATCATGCTTTTTTCTTTAACCACAGAAGGTACAAGAATGTACAATTTTTAATTCGACATATTTTTATCTAAAAAGCTTTTTTAAAAAACGAGTTGCAATTCCTTTCTATAATTACTTTACTTTCATATGCTCAGATGAGTTATGCGAGAACTACGAATGCACGTTTTATATATGTTAGGTATATATTGGGGTTCTGGGGAGCCTTAAGGTGAATACATGACTCCTGCGGTTACTGGCATCAAATATGGCCTCTCATCATTCAGGTGAACGTCTGAGGTTGTGACAGCTATTGCATTCCAGAAGGAAAAATTAATATTGTCCATTCATTTTGTATTTAAGTGTGTGTATATTTGGTATACATGTACGATGAAATATTCTCCTGTCCAAGTTTTTTAAACTATAACTCTCGTGCTCTAGATGAACGCATTTATCAATACACCTTACAAAGGATACTATAAAAGCTTTGCAATACAACTTTATTTATTGACTTCGTTCAAAGTAATTTCCACCACATTCAATACACTTATCCATCCGACAAAACCAGTCGTTAAGCCAGCTGTGCCAAGTTTCACCTGGGAATGCGGGAATGCCCTCAGAATGTTCTCATCGCTAGAAAACCGTTTTACTTTTAGCTTCATTTTCACATGCGTCTACAGTGCAAAGTCTCAGGGAGCAAGATCTGGTCCGTAACGAGGGTGCTCAATAAGTTTCAGGCCAGTAGTGATCAAACACTCGGTGCAGGCTTTGGCGAGGTGAGCTGAAGCATTGTCATGATGGCGGAGGTACCTACATTATTCACTTTGGCCGCTGGTTCTTCATAGACTCTATGACTTTAGACAGGCACTATTCCGTGGACCACTTAACTGTGACTATCTTCTGTGTGTCTGTCCAAAATGACGCACTCCACAGTCCCGCTTGATTTGAAAAATACAGCTATCATTTTTTTCTTAACAGATCGGGATTTTCTGACAGCTGCGGGTGTGTCCTCATCATCAAAGACCCAAACTTTGTTTTAAGCCTTGGTCGGCATATTGTAATAATAGAGCCAAGTCTCGTCACCTGTCACAATGCTGTTTACATACCGAGATTGCTCCTTATCAAACATTTGCAGCATCTTTCGGCACCAAGTCGTAAGACGAGTCTTCTGCTCTTCCGTCAGACTATGCGGTAGCCAGACAAAACAAAGTTTCCTTACGTGTAAATGGTCGTGCACAATTGAATCAATTGTTGGTGCATGAAAGTGAAAGGTCTGCTCTATTTTCCTCACAGCAGTAATGTTTTCCTCATTTACTGACGTTCGCGGCCTTCCTTCCCTCTCAGCGCCCTCCAGAGTGCAATTGCCCATTTTTAATTCTCGATACCACCTGAATATAGTCCCACAATGAGGACAATCACCCTTTAATGCAAGCGTTATTTCTTCTAAGCACTGGTCTGTGCTTAAACCACGCGTAAAGTTGTACCGTAAAACTACCCTAATCACACTACGTGACCATGATGCCATAGGCCGCACTTTACACTGTCAATACGGATGAACAACTTAATCAACCGACGTGCTGCAGTCGGCTACTATGCACTCATGGACATGTCTCAACAAGCAATAACATGCAGCCTCCTTCGACCATTGTTAAGTCATATTGCAAAACTTTTATAGTTTTAATTACAGAAAATGGATTGAAGAAAAGTATGTAACCGAATCATTATACAAAATTAACATTGTAGCATTAATGCTAAATAAATCTTCAACAACAACAACCCTTTTATTAAAAAAACATAATATAGTCAAAGGGAGCTAGTAAAGATATCTCCTCTGAAGACAATAATTTTCAGCTTTTATACGTAAACACCTGTTTTACGCTATCGCCCAATATATTTGTACGTCTGCCTGTTTGAATCGAAGGCTTCCCCCAGTTCACATCGCACTTCGAACTAGCAAAGAAACAAAAAGAAGCAAAAGTCACTTGGAATCGCTGGCAACCAGATGGCTTGTCTGAGTCGAGCGAAATCCCTGTTGAACAGGTATTTATATCGATACCTTCCTGCGATAGACATGCACCAGCTGGCGCCAAGTAAGCGAAATTTCCAACGGCTCAGATGCCAGGAAGTTTCTGGGCAGGTCCGGAACCAGAAATGGTTTTCGAAAGAGTTGTGTGAAAAATGAGACAATGGAGTAGAAACTGTATATATCATACATAAGCCTCGATTACTGTTTGATCCTCAACGCAGACGACTTTTTTCCCGCAAGTCCATCGCGCTTCTGAAATGCTGGCCATACAGAGTGTCCCTAAAGCTGGGGCCTTGCACCGCGTATACTTCCTCCACAAGTAAAAAAGTCAAAGAGAACAAAATCGAAGAGAAAATTTGTCTCACAAATATGAGATTAACAGCAACATTGATGTTGTTCATCACTACCTGTAATCTAATCATCCCGCCATGCTTTTCTTGGCGGAGACAAAAATTATTGATCATTTTAGCTTCTCAAATTACGAGGTACACTCCAATCTGAGCAAGTACGGGAGAATTGTCGATTTTGTCCGCAGCAGAGATGTTTCTTTGGAATCAGACCGGAAGGATATTCTGTGGCTTCGCCTCAACTCCAAAACATTCAAACATTCCATAAACTTACTTGCTGTCTTTACAGCTCTCCCTCAGACCATAACTGGGATGACTTACTTGAATTCCTCTCTGTAAAGATCGACTTCCTGAACATCCATCACCTCGCTTCAGAGGTAGTTCTCAGCGATTTCAATGCCCATAATGACCTTTGGTTGGGCCCGAACAAATCCGATGCAGCATGTCGTGAAGTTCGTTTTTACCAAGCTGGTGACGGCCTTACT